TGTGAGCACGCAGAGGGAGGAGGAAGGTTGGCAACATTGAGAAATGTAGTGATGGACAACCAAAGTGGCTTGGAAAACAAGTTCTCCAGGGCGTTGGTTGAAGGGATGACCAGCTGCACATTTGACGGGGACTTTTTGCCACCGACGACTCTCTCTGGATTCACTTGGACTGCGCAATGCTTTCCTGAGACCATTACGTTGCTCAGAGTGGGGATTTCATCGGGTTGGATCTGGATGTTTGGTGAGACAACAACCGCCACAAATGTCACATCTGGAATGGCAGCTGATGGGCACACTTTTTTGAGCTCGTCCAACAGTTGATTGGTGGTGATAGACAGCTTGACAATGAAAGCCAGTACGACATGGTCGGAGAGCTTGATGTAGAAATCAGAGCTTAGGGACTTCGGACCCGTTCTGTAAAGGATGAAAGGAGAGCAACGCTTGATGACCAGGCCAAAGGAATCAAGCGAGAATTGGATGTCTGGTTCGGTGGATGAGTTGGCATCTATGGTGAGAAAACTATCAAGACCCTGAACGTTGTCCTGAATCTTCGGTCCAGTTCTTCGGACAAAGATGGGAAACCTCTTCGCAGTGGACAGGTCCACAAGTGGGAGTGTCCAAACAATATCCTTTGCTACTGAAGTCTGGGTGTGGGTATAAGTATGAGAGTGATACAGGAATCTCACGATGATTGAGTACTCACCGAGAGGAAACTGAACAGGAAAGATGTGGTTGGGTTGGGGTTGATATCCCTGCAAGCAATGAGCTTGCAGACAATGCTATGCGCAAGGGAGCTCTCAAGTGGGGTCCCGGTGATGTGTTCGCTTCTGGTATAGGCTCTGTACCTATTGACCAGGTCGGCGAGTTGTTGTACTTCTTGGTCCTTGTCTCCTGTCGAAGCAATCTCCTCAATTGTCATTGGGGGAACACGGACATAGACAAAGTGTTGGCTGTCCTCCATTGGCTCAATGTAAACATTCAGTGTTTGGAGTAGGCTTGCCAGAGTGCTTTTGTTTTCTGGCAGTCCCCAATGGGCATGGTTGAACTTGGAAGAATGAAGATCGAGAGGAATCTAGTCATGATGGATGTTAGCTACTACTACTTTCAGAGGACCACAAGTTCGGTATACCAACTTGGAACAATGATGCGAAGCACAAAGAGAAGTATAGCTTCTTTTTGATTGGAGTAAACATGGTTGTTGGGTTGAGCTCACTCTGGAAGTGTTGTTTGACATAGGCATGCATGTCTTTAGAAACAATGCTCATTCCAGGTGGAGTTCCGAGAAGGTAGTCAACTGATGCCTGAACCAGGCGTGGGGCCCCTAGAGTCAACTTTTTATGTGTTAGTAAGGTGATGGCACGAGTGGAGTAGAAATCTACAAACCTCATAGATGGTTTCCAAAGCGCCAGGACGTTGGCTCACAATGACTTGGCGCTTGTGAAAATACTCCTTAATGTGCTCCAATGTGAACTAATGAAGGAGAATCTGTGTAACGTATGTTCGAGTTGGAGAGATAAAATCTGGAAAGAGATGCTGATTGAGAAGCAATAGCACTGACGATCGCCCAGAGATATAGACAGGAGCTCCCATTATAACCAATGGCTGGAGGACATGTTCCCAAAACTTGTAGAGGATGCAGATTGAGTCCTCGTCTGAGTGGCTGTTTGCAATGAGATTGTCTATCTCATCGAAATGGAAGAAGAAATCGTTTGCACGCTCCAGCGAATTGATGATGATGCTCGCTTGGTCAGACGGCAAAGGGCGAGTTGTGTTACCGACCAACCTGTGATATACTCTGAACAACGCGTCGGCAACTGCAAGTGACCATGTTTGTGCAATGTCTTTGGACGAATTTGACTGGACCGTGATGGCTCGGAGGTCGAGAGTGATTGACACCAGTGATGTGAGACGTTTGAGTGCCTCAGCAGGTTTCATAGAATGAGGTTGTGGCCACTGATTGGGGTTCTTGTCAAAGTGGGCAAGGACAATACCACACAAATCGGGTCGGCTCTTCATGGCATGAATAAAGTGCTGGCCGATTGATGTCTTACCTGAACCCCACATCTGTGACGTAGATATGATTGGAAGCTTGATGTTGTTCATCGAACCAAGTGGCACCCCTTGAGTCGATATAACCTTCATGCATTCCGTTGCCATGAAGCAGAGCTCGACTTGTCTGTCTGTGAACGGAGTGTCCTGGAGCTGTTCATCAGTGAGATGAGTGTCGTACATCTTCGGAGTGAAATGGTACACTACGATGATATATTAGTATAAATCGATCTCATCGCTCTCACTTCTACTTACGCGCTTGGCCACCACCTCCTCCTGCAGGACCGGCTTGAGTGTGTATGTTAGTATTGAATGAAGACATTGCGCCGATGTTGTTTGTACTTACGAGCTAGAGCTGGGGCTTGGGCTTGCACAAAGAGCTGAGGATATCCTCCTTGAGGGACATTGGTGCTAGGAGCAAGATGATGAGCGTTGTTGTCAACGGCTGGATTGGTGGCATAGACTCGAAGTGGGGAGGCAGGAACAGCAAGGTCGAGTGATTGTCGGATTGTGTTGATGAGATCTTGGACATTTCTAGCTGTGAAGTCTATCACGGCTTCGTTGTCACCGAACGTAACAACTGCCTGGAATTGTTGTTGGTCGGCCATTGGACACTGAGTAACAAATATATGTGAAGAGACAAATAGTAACTGTTGATGACGTCGTTGTTGTAGTTGTTGTAGTAGTTGTTGATGTTGTTGTGTGAATTTTATGAATGAGTGAGCAACAAAGGTTCTGCTTTGGGTGTTAGTGGTGAAGATGATCTGCCTATCCCTTTTTGGAAACTAATAAATAAATTAAATTAAATTAAACAATTTATCTCTAACAGATATAACATGTCATTATTCAAAGAGTACTATTGGGACGACAACTCGGAGTTCAGAGAGCGTCACAAAGAATACATCAAACAAAAGGTAAGATGCGAATGCGGCTTCGAGGTAGGTCGCACCAATCTCAATCGACACAAGCAAGGCTACATCCACAAGCAGTTGATGGCCAACAAATAGGTTCAAAGTGATATAAATTAACATCTCAGTGTTAATATATAGAATGAGTAGATCATCAAGAGACATAGGCGGCAGACTGAAGAAGACGGGCGTGACCGAGATCAAGATGACAGGCAACTACACCCGAGCAGACATCGAACGAATCGCGCAACGAGACAGCAACACGCTCCAACGCTACGGCGCCAACGCAAGGATAGAGGTCGTTCTCGACTACGGCAACCATCAGTACCGGTCAGGCACATTCAAAAAGGTAGTGCTGGAACTCGCCACACTTGATAGTATTCTGTGATGAGACCACAATTGAGTCCAACTTCAAGAACTATCGTCAGTACGAGTGGGCCAGACAAGATAACAATACATTCAGCCGTGTTCATGGCATGAGGAGGCTTCCCGGATCCAAGGTCAACCTATGGGGTTGTGTCACCAGTGCTGGAGTGGGATTACTGTCAGAGATCGAAGGCAATTTAGAACAAGCTCAATACACGGAGATAATTGACAAGACTGATTCCATCCATCATTATCATGGTCAGCTCCCCAATTTCACACTGGTGATGGACAACTGTCCAATTCACAGAGCTACCAGTGTCACCACTCACTTGAGGAGGAGGAGGATTCCAACCTTATTCATTCCTCCATATTCACCAGACATCAACATCATAGAGAATCTTTGGGCGATCTTGAAGAAGAGAGTAAAGAGAGAGCTTGCAAAGGCCTCTAGAACAGACTTGTCTGACCTTGCAACCGAACAATGGGAGCATATTGATGACCGCATTGTTGAGAACCTCTATGCATCATTGCCTCAACGAATGGAGGATATCATAACAGCTGATGGATGGTGGACCAAGTATTGACAATTGCCAATGCCACCAAGAATGTTCTTCGTTGGAACTTAGTCAAACAAAATTCGTTTCATATATAATGGCCATGTTCATTACTTTTGTGTCCATAACATATGAAATATACTGTAAATCTATTTGTATCATAATATATTATTATATTGCCAATTGATGGATGAAGGGCAGGCCGAGTGATGTTGTTGGCAAATTGGTTGGTGTTGGTGCCACTTGGGATGGATGGATGAGAGTGATTCGAATCATTGGATGTTGTTGTGATTGCCTGCCGCCTGTCTTGAGAAGGTGGCTGTTGCTTGGTTTGATGTGATTATTATTATGTTTATGTATGTATGTATGATGTATGTATGTACTACTATAAGGGGATGGAGAGAATAGACTGCATGCACAGGTCCTAGCAGTTTAGTGGTGGGCACCCTTGAGGTTGTAGATGGTGTTATCGCCGACCTTGTCCTTGATCATCCACTCGCCCTCTGCAATCTCGTTGTAAATCTCATCCTCGAGCTCTGGGTTCTTCTGGAGGATCTCCTCGATGGTGACTGTCTCCAGTCTGTTTCTGAAGTCCTCAGCTGCGTCCAACTGACCCTGAATGGTGGCCAAAGTAGACTCAATCTCTGGAAGCAAAGCATTCATTGGCTTAAGCTATATGTTGTGCGCGTACGAGTGAGTGAATGATTGATTGATTAATTGAGGTCACGTGACATCACTTACAGAATCCTCAATCTGACGCTCAGCGTTGGCAAAGATGGTCTTCTCCTCGTTCTCCCATGAGTCGATCGAGTCGATGGACTTTTGGAAGACGTTGCGGATAAAGTCGACGGTCTTGGCTGGGAGGAAGTTCTTCTTGAACTCCCAGTTGATGGTTGGGGCGACGCCAGAGGCTGGGATGGGGATGTTTGGCAGTGGGTTGAAGCTGTGGAGGTGCTTCAACGAGGACTCGTACTCTCTGTACGACTTCATCAACTCGGTGTCGGCGGTGAACAGTGGGTTGTTCATGAACTTGGTGAACTGAGCGTCAAACTCGACGTTGTCCTCGAGCTTCACCATCTTGGCAAAGTCGAAATCTGGCACCTCGACAGCGCGCAAGTTCTCCTCGCTCAAGAACTTGGACACTGGGTCCAATGGCATAGCGGCAGCAGCAGAGACTGGCTTGACCTCAGCAGCCTTTGCAAGAAGACGAAATGATTGGCGAATCATTGTATTGTTGTTGTTGTTGTAAATGTACTATTTAAATATCTGTTATCTGTATCTGTATATAATAAAATCTGTTGTTATCTCTATCTTTGTTTGAGTGATTCATGGTTGATTGATTGATTGATTGATCGATGAGTTAATAATCTGTTCTCTGTGTTCACTATCAAGGTGATGTCTGTCTCATGTTCATGACACATGTATATCAATCACAATCTGTCGTGTCATGTCGTGTTGTCATGAGTCGTGTCGGCTGTATCATGTTGCATCATCAGTTTTCTTCTCTATAGTTCAATGCTGAATGAAAGTATGAATAGACCTACCTAGATGATGTGACAGCAACAAATATGTGTAGTTACAAATAATAATAAACAAAGTTAGAGTCCAATATTAATAAATATGATTTGAAGATAGTAGGATAGGAGTGCGTGAGGCCGCGCAGAAGTTTGCGAAACTCTGGTTGACACTGTAGTGCGTGACTGAGTGAGTGAGTGATCACTCATACACACCAAAATGAAAATAATTAATAAAAATCAAATGATTCTTTTTTGTTAACAAGACACACCATTCATACCCAACAATCCTTTAATCGTTTTGAACTTCAATGTATAAATGTGCAGTGTCAATGATATCATTGACACAGGTAGATTGGACATCAGTCTAACATGGTAGCATTATTACAAACGAATGCCCTTCGTTACTCGCAATAGTTTGGTATAATGCTACCATGTTAGACTGTTGTCCTGACTGCTTTGATCTACCAGACATTGAGATTGTTTCGTTTACATATTTGATTAGTTTGATTAGTTTGATTAGTTTGATTAGTTTGATTAGTTTCTTTGATTAGTTTGATTAGTTTGATTAGTTTGATTGATTGATTGATTGATTGATTGATTGATTGATTGAGAGGGAGAGAGAGAGAGAGAGATTGTTTTAGGTCAAAAAGAGATAATAAGGTTGTACAACAACATTTTGACAAGTGAGATAATGCACAATGGTCCATTGTCACTCAAACAAACACACTTGGTGAACAAACTTCAAAGTTTCAAAATTTACTCGACTGGATGTGGACCAAAACAAACAAAGGTAGTGATAAAAGGATAGATAGAGATATAGATACACTATAATGGCAAAGAAGAAGTCAAAGAATAAGAAGTCCACGACGACATCAAGTGGTGGTGGATCGACAGTCGATGCAGAGACAATCAAAGAGATTGAGAATGAACTACTAAACAATGTAGGATCAAAGCAAAAGCAGCAGCAACAGCAACAGCAACAACAGCAACTATTACAACAACAACAGACTCAACAACAAACACAACAACAAACACAACAACAACAATTACAACAACAACAACAACATAGTATGGAGAGACAGTTACAACAACAACAACAACTGCTAAAGGATATGAAGTTAAAGTACATGGGTACACAGCTCAATGAGAAGGATGTCTCGCAACTCGATGCAATGCTACGCACGCTACGTGCGTCACATCAGACAAAGACCTTTTACGAACAGTTACTCGAACGCAAACCACCCTCTGACACGGCACTCTGCTCAATGCGTCTTGGCAACAACGAGTACTATCGAGAAAAGTACGCCACTGCCATCGAATACTACAACACTGCCATCGTACTATCAGCCAACAATCCACCATTCATCATATCAATCCTAATCAATCGTGCGATAACAAAACTACGTATACATGTATGTCATCATCGTCATCTTCGTTCAGATCACATCACATCACTGTGTACTCATTCAATCTATCAAACATACATAATAGGACTACAAGAAATCGATATTAGACTGTACATTGGCATTATCTATTCAACCAAATTGTATCAAGGCATACATATGTCGTGCCTACGGATACTTCTTCACCAAGGAGTTCAAGAAGGCCTTCTCCGATCATTACCTGGCCTCTCATCTCACTCCTCCCAACCTCAATCTGAAGCGTGCCATGGGCGTATCGAACAACAATCCCATGCTCTACACAAGGATATACGAGATAACAAGTCGAAATCCAACATATAAAGGGTAAGAATGAAGTCCATCATCATCATTCAATCATTCACTAACTCTTCATCATGCGCGATACATAGACAATTGGATTGGATAAGTGACTTCAACTACTTGGGCATCGATGAGGAGCCTTGTCGAATGAACTTGTTGGTGGCGTACACCAATAGACAGATTGAAAAGTCCACAAAGTTGAAGGAGAAGAACAATCCAACAATGCCCTCACTTATACCGGCTGGCGAGTCGCTGTACAATACCACATGGTCAGAGTTGGAGGAGTACTCTTCACACATCAGGAACAACATGAGCGAGTCACTATCTTCCAAACAGAAGCTACTAGGCAACACTGACTATCAATCAAAGAACTTCATCTCTGCACTGGCACATTATACCAAGGCTATCAAACTGAATCCAGAGTATGTTAACATAAATGAATGAATGAGCGAATGAGCGAGCGACAGAGTGAGCTAACATGTGTATCCAATACAATATAGTGATCCACTTTACTTCTCAAACAGAGGAATGACATATTTGAAGTTGAACAGATTCCTCGAGGCAATCACCGACTGCTCAATAGCAATCGAGAAACAACCATCCACAAAGGGAATGAAGGCGTATTTGAGACGTGGTACAGGATACACAGCGATTGGCGAGTTCTGGGCAGCAGTCAAAGACTTTAGAGCGGCACTCAAGTATGAGCCAGAGAGTCTTGAGGTACTGGTCGGTCTTCAAAAGACCTTAAAGTTCATCAAGAAGGACATCAAAGTTAGCTTGATCGAGGACCCAAACAACGAGGAGCTCAAACAGAGGCTAGAGTCTGTGTCTGCAGAGATATCAATGTTGAACTTGAAGACATGTCCACCTCTACAAAAGTCGCCAGTTGGTGTAACAGTACCACCTACCAACAATGCCAACAATACTGCCAACTCCAATACCAATGCCAACAACGCCAACAACCCCAACAACAATTCACCAAAGACCAACAACAATCATAATGGTACCAGTGGTGGTAGCGACAACAACAGCATCAACATTCATCGATCAATCTACTACAAGCCAAACTCCAAGAAACAGCGCTCTGAACAACATGACCTCATCACTTATTTCACATCACTCATCAGCAAGGAGATTGGACACTTGCCATCGTCGTACCTTGGCAGAGGCGAGGCCTACCTCCAGTTGGATGATTTTGTCCTTGCATTCAAGGACTACGAGAGGGGATTAGAGTAAGTCATTTCCGTTAATGAATCATCATGATCAGTCGCTAATAACAAACACTATCAATCTAGGATTGAACCAAAGAATCCAGACCTGCTAAGAAGATACAACCTTGTGTTGCCACTCATAAAGAAGCATGCTGGAGGCTCGTCCTAAGTGTGGACCATTGCACATTCAATCAATCAATCGCTCAAGCAAACATGGATATCTTTTGATTATATATATTACATTGTCTCTCCATTTATTGGATCGATCAATCAAAAGGTTATACAATACATTGGCATTGCCCAGCATTATCCATGGCTCTCTAACCAGTGGTATTTGGTTGTGCTCCATTCAATACGTCTTGACACCACTTTGAAATGATTAACTGATTGGTTCGATTGGCCTCTTCCATCACCATCACGATCAGATCCTTCTCTTGCATCTGTACCGCCTTGAGATAGGCTGACTTGAGCTTGTTGCACATGATACACACGCGGATGCTGTTGCGTGCCGAGTTCAGCTTGGGAATGTACTTCTCTGCGCTCTTGATCTCCTTCATCTCATTGCACATGATCTCGATGATGGCCATGGCAATCGAGTCCCAGTCGCCTGGATCGATAAAGTTGCGTAGATTGTTGAGTATCTCGTCGCACTTTGATAGGTTCTTCTTGCGCACCATCTGAGACAGCGAGTTGGTGTACAGTGTGGTCAGGGGCAGCTTGTACTCCATGGCCAGCTTGAAGCCCAGGTCAAAGTTGTTCCACACGGTGCACAGTTCGGCCAGCTCGGTGATCTCCTTCTTGGAGCCAAACGTGCTGAGTCGATGGACATTGGCTGGCGGGTTCTTCTGGGAGTAGAAGAACTTGCACAGCTCGATCTGTGTGTTGAGCTTCTGTATGTACTTGGTGATTTCGATCTCGGGTAGGACGCCCTTTTGCGACTGACCTTGCTGGAAGTAGCGTAGTGCCGTGTCCAGATGTACGACTCTGGTGGATTGGGCGGGGTCGGGTGCCTCCAAGAACATCTTGATGCATGTCATTGCAGCACGTATGCTGTCGTTCATCGACAACTGTACATCCAGCAGCAGACCGTACCACTTCCTCTCGTTCATGATCTTGCATGTCGCCATCAGGTGCTCGTTGAATGCCAGGGGATTGTCCAGAGATTTGATCACACTGAACATTGCCTTGAGGTTGGAGTGGTTGATGCAGTGAGACACAACCTCATCAAAGAAGATCTGTGATGATATGTTATCGGTGATGATAGTCTTGCAAGACAGTTCGAGCAAGTCATGCTTCATCAAGAAGTTGATATGCATGCGGGCATTGCCATATCGCTTCAGATAATAGATCGACTCTTCCAATCGCGTGGAGTCCATCTCCTGCTTGAACACAACGGGGTCTTTCTTGGCGGCGCCACCATTGGCTGGCTTGGTGGGTGTGCCGCCAGACGACGCGGTCAGATTGTTGAATGAACCATGCTTGATGTTGACGTTGGCAGAGGCGTCCAGAAGTGAGAAAATGATGTTGTCGTCAATCTTGGGGAAGGTCTTTGAGTTGGCTGGCACAGGGATTGAGCTGAGATGGTTGAAGAGACTACGCAGGTTCTTGTGGTTGGCCTGGGGTGGCGACTCGAGAAGCTGGATGATCTGGTTGAGGATTACACTGCTGTCGATTGTATCTGATGATAGCGCGTTGGAGGCGGCGTTCAAACGACGATCACCACCAGTGGCCGCCAGACAATACTTGAACTTCTCACGGGCATCGTTATATTGGCCTTGTTGGAGAAGGGATATACCCCACTTGACCCAGGCTGGATCGGCTTGGATATTGCACTTGGTGGCCACATCGATTGCCAGTTTCAGACGATCCTCCTCGATCAACTTGTCACGAAGTTGACGAGCCTTTTGCATGTCGGACAGGTCTGCCAGCGAGATGGACTCGGCGGCCGAACATTTGGACAGCACCAAAGCTTGGAACAGCTCGACCTTGCCCAGCAGAGTGTCGATCACGGCCACGGAAGCTACACCACTTCCAGCGGCACTCTTTGGATCGCGCAGTAGCTGAAGCTTGACGTACATGAACAGCTGCTGAATCAAATTAATGATGAGCAGGTTGTCGTGCGAGTAGGTGGAGGACAGGAACGTGGACAGGTAGTTGAATATGTCAATGCATGTTGTGTAAACCTTCTTCTTGGATTCGCACATGTCCAGCAGACTCTTGGCCAGCGTGATGTTTGGAGAACGCGCAAAGTAGTGATTGTGGCGCGTCTGCTCGTCCTTGACCGAGTCGTGGCCCGTGAGTATCCATTGCTCTGACTTGGAAAGGAGCTCGCGCACCTTTGTCGGAGAGCCGACCATCGTGGACGACATGGAGGGTGAGTCACAGTAGTTGAAGCGATACTCGACCACAGAGTCGTAGGGCTCGTTGTCCGAGTCAGCCTTGGCAGCGACCGCTTGTTGATGTTGCTTCTCTTCGACTACCATCATGCTATTGGACTGGAAGTACTCTTCGCTGAGTAGCAGCTCATTCTTGGCCATGTAGCGAGCGAAAGACAATGACTTGCGAACATAGTATGTGAGCAGATCGTCGTCCTTCAACTCCTTTATCTCTCGCAGCAGTTTGGACACGGCAGGGATACGCTCATTCATCAGCAACATCTCGACAATCAGCGATGGGTAGGAGACATACGACTCGTAGTCCTTCTGCAATTCGGCGGGAAGGGTGAGCAACACACGATAACCCATCTCCTTTTGAGTCAACTCTTGCAGCATGGCGTCGGTCATTGTTGCACGCATGTTTGACAATAGGAATTGCACCAGGAATAGCTTGATTGAGAGATCGCGGATGCGTGGCAGTAGGCCCATGGCTATTGGTATCGAGTCGGCTCCCAGTGTTGACAAGGTCTGCAGCGCGAGACTAGTGTCATCCTTCTCCACGAGCAGGTAGAAGAGATAGCTCTCTTCGATCTCTTTGTGGACATTGTTGATGTTGAATATCACGCGGATCTTACGGGCTAGCTCGTAGTGCTTGCTGTCCAGGAGTGATCGCACAAGACGTGTGGGGTCGCGGCGGCACAGGTCCTTGATCTCCTGCCAGGAGCTCCATCGCTTGGACTTGTCCGCGACAAGGATGTCGTGGTAGATGAGCATGCATTGATGAAGATGCTCAATGTCTGCCGCCTGCTCTGGCGTCGTAGCAGATAGTAGTGAGTTGCAGAACACCAACATATCGATCGCAGTCAAGATGTCCCAGTTGTGATACAGGTCCATCACAAGATTGAGTGCTGATACCTTGTCCTTCATGCGTCTGATGTATGTGTAGGCTTGAACGCGGTCTCTCATTACCATGAGTTTGAGCAACCAGTCTGGTGCGCCATCGTTCAACATCTCGTCGGCCACGTTCATCGCGTCGTTTAACTGGCTTCGGGCCACCAGGTACTGTATAATCTGGAATACGAATTGCTGCTGTTGCTGAGGTGTCTCTGTGTTGTGAATGAGGTGGAGCTCGGGAGGTGTGGAGGACGTGTCGGGCGAGCTGGCTGACACCGCGTCCATTGTGCCAATAAGACTATCTACAGGCGGCAGATATGTCAACGTCGACATATCCTTGTTGTTGTTATACAACATATGATGGATTGAATGTGCTCGCAGTATCTCGGCGATCCAGTTTGAGAGAACACCAGATGGCATCTTCTTGGACTCTGTGAATGCGTACTGCAGGAATGACTCGATGTTGGCTATGTTTGGCGCCTTTAGCATGCAGAGCATTGAAGCAAGCATTGTGGAGGACATGCCCATGTAGTTGACCAGCTCCATGGTCATCGCTTTGGAGGTGCTGCCGCTGGTGGTGGCCTTGGCCGCCACTGCTGGCACGCCAGGGATTGTGTGGACGATCGATGAGATGACCAGGTCTGCCAGGTCAACCTGCATCAGGTTGGCCAGCTCCTCAGCCTTGTCCATGTTTCGCTCCTCAAAGACCACGCGCTCTAGATGTGCCGAAGGGCTTTCCTCGAGGCTTGCAATCAGCTCACTGTACTTGCTTGGCTGATCTGGTGATTGTGACATGACCTTGTTGGTGTTGATGAGATGATTGAACATCGTGGAGAGCAGGCGATCCCCTGATGCGCATCCATCACTCTCAATGATGCTGGCAACAAGCTTCATGTGTTCGTCATCCGTCAGCTTGGTGGCCTGTTGCATAAGTCTGTGGAGCGAGTTGACTAGTGTCCTCTTCTGTTGAATGTAGCTAAAGAGTGCGGCGGGGTCAGCCGGCAGCACGCCCTGGGACGCCGACAAAAGTTGGAGCAGCGAGCGATCAGTGTACTGCTGGTTGAGCACGAGCAGGCAGTCCATGTACTGCTTGAAGCGAGTTGGCTGGCGCTCCAAGGACTTGGTGGCATTGGCAATCTTGAGCACCTTGGTGATGTGTTCCTCGCTGAGTCGTGAGCCCAGTACCACATCGCAGAGAATGGCGTAGAGGTCGTCCTCCTTGATGCCTTGTAGGCTACGATCGAGCTGGAATGTTGTTGTCTCGCTTTTCGTGCTGGTAAGTTGGCCTGTGAGCTTGGGTATCGAGAGATATTGGGCAACGTCTGCCTCTACCTGTTTAGGTACACTAAAGTACTTGATGATGCTATCAAACTGAGGATACTCCGTACGCATGCAAACAGTGAGCAACGAGTGCACTGGCATGAGGACGATGCTCATGAATGGAATCGATACCTAATGAATTGATTGAGTGAGTGAGTGAGTGATTGATTGAGTGATTGATTGATTGAAACAACTTACACGTGTGGATACCCAGTTGGCAATCTGTATTCTGTGGCTGAGGTTCTGGAAGTTGGAGCTGAGTAGCTCGATTCGCTCACGTAGTGCATCGGTGCCACTTCCGCCAGGAACATATGATAGTATCTTGGTCATGGCAGTGATCATTGATGACATCATGGTCGAGGTGATATAGTAGTTCCTGTGTCCATCAGATGACGAGACATGTGATGCGTAGGCATTGTCGAATGAATGGAATGTTTCGCTGTTGTTTGTTGCAACCTGTGCACTAAAGAGTTGTTTGCGCATCGCTGGACTGGATGTTGATGGTGATGACGTAGGGGACGATGGCTCACCCGCTGGCTGTTGCTTCAGATCATGATTGGACATGTACAAAGTCATGTACATGGCCTCCACCAGAGCTACAACGACATGCGGGTCTGATACGCTCTTGCTTAGCTGGCACACCTGTTCCAGGGCATGCTCAAACTCTTGATTGGCGACCTGTGATGATGTCGAACGTTCCTGGAAGAAACGCAGCACGGTCCTCAGGGCAAAGTAACAGCGGACAAAGTTCATGTCGTTCAACTTGTCCCTGGAGAGCGTGAGGTCGATTCCGATGTGATTGGTGGGGAAGTCTGGATCGCGCTCTATGATGGTCAGCACATCGTTGGACTCGATGTGTGGCAGGCATTCCCTGATGACGTGTATGAATGAGTGATGTGCAAGCTGGTTGATCACCGTGTTGGACACTTGTTCGCGGTTCTCAAACTCGGCGTCTGCGGCTGAGTCGGAGGCAGTGTCGAGTCTTGTGGCCATAATCTTCTCGGCACACCATTCGGACAGCTCGACGAGGTATGACATCTGATCATTGGTGTGCAGTAGAGTATCGTCCATCTGATCACGGTCCACGGTGGTCATAAGATCGATTAGTGCCTTGCGTGATGAGATATCGCTGGCAAAGTGATCCCAGCACAGCAGCACAAGAAGTGGCAACAGACGTATGAATGGCGAGACCACGATGTTGGCCTCCTCAAAGCGACGTTCCTGTACCAAGATGATGGCCTGCTGCAGTGCATACTCGAGGAAGTGATGATTGTTCACTCTCAGGAAGTGGAAGTACCAATACCAAAAGTCCTCCATGGCCTTGCCTTCGTTGTCAGCGACACCCTTGGCCGTAGCGTATCCTCGCAGGATATCAAACACCCTCGAGACGGGCAGGAGACCCTGTACTTGGTTCGAACGGACGTCCGTTGTGTTGCTGGCCGCAATAATATCGTCTTCCATTAAAACAAACTGTTGAATTGGGAACAGTGATCGATTGGCGAGCAATGCCTCGTAGATGCGTAGACGCGACAGACTGTGGTGACGACCCTGCTCATCACTCGAGCCTTCCACAGGGTAGAATGGTACACGCTCAAGCGTGCTGCTTCGATGATCTCCACCATGTATGTGTTGTTCGTCTGATGTTGTGTTCAGGTTGGCCACGCGTCTGAGCAGAGCGGTGAGCTCGGGCTGTGTGGCGAGATGTGCCTCATCGCTATCACCACGACTTAGATCGATTGCCGCCAATAGATTGTATGCTTCGTTGTACTGGCCTTGATCGATAAAGCTTGTGATGACCTGTGCCACGATGGACTCAAGTTGGGCAGCCACTGGATACGTGCTGTGCAGTAGCATTGAGCTGTCCGAGGTAGTGCCGGTACTAGTACCAACGAATGGGTCGGTCAGGTGTCGCAGCAGCAGACGACTAAGCTCAACATTGGACGACAGTGTCTGCTTCAGTGCCATGAGAGTGGAAGGGGACAGTCTCAGCGTCTGCAATATTGATGTACCAGCAGAACCACCATTGACCTGTTGCTGTGAATGATGATGCAAGAGTACACATTGATATTCTCGCAGCTCTTGAATGACCGACACTATTGCACGATGTTTATCATCATCTACACCAGTATCATTCATTGTCGCATATAATAAGATTGCAAACTCAAGTAATATAAGTAGTCTCTCTTTGATCGTATCATTGAATCCAGTCTTCATTGATTGATTGATTGAGTGAGTAAGTATGATCACGTGACACTGCTGCGGACAGAAGACATACTTTGTTTACTTGATGGAACTCTATCGCACATAGCCATGAGAGATGTGCTGATGAGGGCAGTGTGACTGATGTGAGCCATATACTTGGTGGTCCATTCTTTATAGTATGATGTAGTATTGATGATACCTTTCGAATCAATGTTGTTGATGATGATGATGAGGTTGATGATGTTGTTGATGTTGCTGATATTGTTGATAAAGTGTCATTGTTATTATGTGTGATGTGATCGGTTGTTGTTGTTGATGTTGTAGTTATATTATCATCCTGTTGTTGTTGTATCTGTAGTATTAGAGCGCGTGCCAGTTCGAACTGACCCAATGACAGATGATTCGATATCAATCTAATTATCTTTGTCTCTTCCTCCTCTGCCAAGAAGCTATAATGTGTGTGTCTATCTCCATCTCCTCCATTACCACTTTTTGTTGATTCCATCTTATTGTTGTTGTTGTTGTTGTTGTTCATGATCTACCTCGAACACACCTATGAGATTGATCGATACAAACAATCAATCACACTTGAGATGATAGAGAGACTATATATATATAATGAATGTACGAATGAATGAATGGTTGGATGATACAAAGAGAGGTCATTTTGGTGAAGACGTTGGGGGTGGTCCAATGACCAAAATATCCATCAAGTAAATTTCCATTGATTTTGCCCTTGTGTGTGATTTGATCATTGTGGGGGTCCAGACTCAAACACCTAAAGTTTGGATTGAAAACGACCAGGATAACAAATAATAATAATCAATCCACATTCAAACTTTAATTATAATTACAACGAACTAATTATTGTTCAGAGTGATCGTCGTCATCCTCCGAGGTAGACGATGAAGGCCTTCCATCAATCCAATCACTCCATTGTGTGATATATCCTTCCCAACTCGTTGATATTAGTTCCGGTGAACATTGTGACCATGATACATCTCTGATTGGACCACGACCATGATGTAATCGTTGTACCAGCTCACCACTCAATGTGTTGTAGATGAACACCTCGCCATTGCTACTGCCAGAGTAGATGTACTTCTGTGCCGTAGTCTGGACCGGGGAGAAATGGCATCGGATCAGTGTTTGGAACACGGGATGGTTGGCGTAGGTCACCAGCGAGAGGTCGCGTTCATTGCGTGTCGGTCCACTGGTGGTGCTTGTGCCTCGGAGACGGTAGTCGAGATCCTGGTACGACTCACTGCGATCGGTGTAGATCTGGTTGATGTTGGTGGACATTGTGCGGATGTCCCAGAGCTTGGCACGGCAGTCCTTGCCATTGCTCAGTAGATACCGTCCGTCTCCCTTGGACTCGACGTGCGTCAGACCACGTCGGTGTCCAGTCAAGAAGCCCTCAGGTCGACACGTGTCGTCGTAGTTGCCAGTGGCATGTTGTTGTTGTTGGCTATTGTGTAATGTTCTCTTGTCCCATATCTTGATGTAAAAGTCGTCGCTGCCACTGGCAAACACATTGTCATCTATCCAACATACACTGTTTGTGTCGTCCGAGTGGCCATAGACCTCATGTGTCTTCTTGCCCTCCACCAAATCGTAGAGGTATATATGGCCGCCCGAAGATCCACCAAGCAGTTGAGTATTATCAGCCGAGAACTTAAGGCTAAACAAACAGAATCTTCCACGACCAGGGCTAGAATTTGTTCGGTGCTGTCAGTATGCATGCATGAATGTGTCGTCCATTCATCTAGACTTACGATAAGTCGATTGGCATCTGTTCTGACTCGTCATCCTCGAGATTGACGAGGTAGATGTAGGGACTCCAAGAGGAGTAGAGCATCATCTTCTCGTTGGATGATATGTCCGTGTCGATTATAGACCATTGTATGTTAAAAGCTTGGACTGTCTTGTCAACAGTCCAGTTGGATGTATTGAAGAATCTTATTTTACAGTCTGGGAATGTATATTATAATGTTAGCAACAGTTAGTTGTATGTCGTAGGATGGACACATACCTGAGCTGGCCGTCATGAATGTACGACAGCAGTCCATCAACTTGCAAGAGAATATCTTGCTGGAAAGGTTTGTTATGTTCTTTGAATGTACAGTGTTTGGTATGTAGTTGCTGGTTAAGTCGACTGGCTGATAACGATCAAAGCCATATATCTCCCTCTGCATGAGGAAGTCATTGACCCTAACATCTGGATGCTTCACTCTAGCTTGGTACTCATGTGTGATGAGCTCATCCTGGACAATTGATGTTAATAACTCGAGTTGATGACATGTTACATTGTCGTCATCATACTTACGGTTAAGTCCTGGTTTGGTTTATCCACTTGTGGTGGAGCCTGTTGTGTCCCAACATGTATAGGTCCTCCTCTAAGTCTACTCCTGTTTGTTGTTGTTGTTGTGTCAGCCAATCATCAAGTCTCAATCAATGAATGAATGAATGAATGAACATACATATATGCTTGTATAATATCAGATAGTGATACAGCACCTGATACCAGATTATATCGTTGAAGTAGATCTTCCTCTACATCGTCATCATCGTCGTCATCATCCTCCTCCTCAAAGGCATGATCACTTGGATCATAATAATAATCGTCCTCATTGACATCGCTTAACTCATCATCATCATCATCACTAGACATATCTCTATCTATCTATCTGTCTGTATCTGTGCTCAGTATGTATAGAACAATACAACTGGAGAGGATATTAACTTGTACAAGTTTAATTAACTGGGGCTTTGTTCACGCGAACTGGAAAAGGGAACAAGGATGTGGTGGGGGTTTGGAATCGTGTTCTCCCGATGGACGACCCGAACACGCTTCCATTGTTGTTGATGATGTTCATTCAGCTGATTGAATAATGTGAACATTATTACTTATTATTACTTATTGTATTAAATTTACAAACATATGGATAACAGATAAAAAGTTAAGTTAACTTATTACTTGCCACCCAAGGCCATGAGTCCCTTGGTCACCAGTAGACCAGCAGCATTTCCATAGCCAGTGAGTCTACACAGTTCATTTGGATCTTGATCACAGATGTTATAAAAGTACTCGGCAGAGAAATGCTTCAATCCAATATCACTTGATGTCATCAATGGAATCAATCTTGCACTAATACCTTGTGACACTGATTCCTTTGGTGCTCTACATTGTGTTTGTTGATTAGTATATGTATGAGTGTGAAGCGAGGTTGATTGTTCTGGCAATTACTTACTCGACAGAGATGGACAAGGGCTCATCTGTTTCCTTGATTAGCTCATGAGGGAATGTGAATGCTTTCAGGGGATCACGTGTCTGTGGTACATTCTCCGCAATGCATGACAGCAACATGAGTATTGGTATAATGTCACCTGGAGCTTCGGGTCTGAACATATTGTTAGTAAGCTTACTGCACTGGTGTCAACTCCACGCACATGCGCAACATAACATACTTGTCATATGACTCCAATTGAGTTGCAAGGATTTGTTCAAAGTATGTTAACTGTATCTCATCGACTAGCTCATCGAATAGATCCTTGGGAGTGTTGAGCAATGTTGATACTAGTGCCAGTTTGATGCTGTACATTTGATGCGTTGCATTGCAATGGTAGGTGAAGATCTTCTTGAACGTGGGGAACAGACGACGCAGACGTGCATAGTCTGCCTCAGTGACCTTGAGATCCGAGTGCGATCCACTGTCCAATGGGCCAAGATGCATGGTAGACGTGAACATCAAACGGAACAGGTCACCAAGTATGACGGACGCTTCAAAGTTGCCAGTGGTGCGGGCTTCCATCTGGTCGGCGACGTGGTCCAACAGGCCTTCGCCCAGCACCTTGGCGCGCACCTCCACACGTGTGCAACAATGAATGAGTATCTTGTATATTGGCATTGACACCTTGTCGTCTGCGCCCTTCTTCAACTCTCTGGTGATCAACACTGGACCATTAAGTTCATTTACAAACTTGTTATGTATCGACTGTGACTTTACAATTGAGTTGATTGTTGACTTGAGCGCCTCCTCTCTAATCTCATCTGAATACATCGTCGTCTTATTATCCTCTCCAATATTACCAAACTTGATAAAGAGGTTCAAGTTCTATTTGTTTGATTGATCGATTGATTGTTAGGTGTGTTCATTCCTTTGACCAATCACCAAACATACCTGAAGTACTATTGACTCCTCATCAGTTGGTATCTCACGAAGGGATATACGAAGAGCAATGAGTGTTTGAAGGATGGCGACGTTTGATCTCTTGGTCTCTTTGATCTCAGTTTGTAATATATCAAACAGATTCAGAGTAAATTGTTTCTTCTGCAACAGACCAAACTTATCAACGAATGTCCTATCATCTATTCAATCAATCATTATTTGTTCATTAGCAACTCAAAGTCATGAATCAGCCTCATTAGTGAAGTTCTAACATACTCTGGTGTATATCATTGAATGCCTTTAATAATTCCAACCACTTTGATTCCTCTTCATCACGTTTATATGCTAAGTTGAAACTATCCATTGTATATATATATATGTATGTATTTAACAAGTTATAACTATGAATGTATATTAATGAAATCAATGAAAGTGAAGTTGAACAAGGTTGTTTTTGTAAAAGTCTCGTTTTTGTGTGTTTTTTCAATTTTTTTTAAAATGCTTGTCAATGAAGCATTCAAAGATCATTCGTCAACAACAATCACTACATTATCGATCACATATTTATACATATATAATTCATTCATATATATATATATTGCATAGCAACAACAGGAATGAACTCACAGAGATTGGTCACATCGTTGGGCAACATTGCTCTTCGTCTGAGCAACACGGCAACACCATCAACAACATCAAGAGTTGTGTTGCAATCATATTATAACTATTACTCAATCTCTTTGTTAAACAACAACAACAATGTATATCAACACCAACATATAAATAGAACCTTTGCAACTATACCAAGGAATCAACAACAGAGAGCACCTGGACCTGCTCCAGTGCAGGGCGAGGAAAACGAGTTTGACTTGGACGAGTTCGAGGAGGAGTTTGGCGATGAGGAGGGAGGACCCGTGCCCAAGGAGGACCAGATGGAGATGGATATGGACGACGATGATGACTATGGCAACGAGGGAGCAGACGAAGAGGGCGCACCAGTCGAGGGAAAGGAGTACTCGGAGGTGGAGGTCAACGAGCTGATCGGTCAGACACAGACCGAGATCTATCGTCATCTGCTCGACTGTCCCAAGCCACTAGACTCTGAGGTCAAGATGAAGATCTATAGGAAGTGGCAAGAGGATCCCAAATACTATAATACAAAGAGGCTATCTGATTTGTTCAAGATACATAGAGGAAGAAGTAAGTGATCAATCAATCAATCATTCATTCGCGAGATGATCAGGCACTGACATCCATCACTCAATCAATCAATCAATCAAACAACAATATAGTTGCTGCAATCATTAGATTCCAACAGATATATGAACAGGAGGTAGCAGCTGGCAATAGAGTGTTTGATGACTTGGAGACAGACATTGCTAAACTGCTGGGCACACGTATGCAGGACGAATACTTGGGCGAGGAAGACGACCACTCGGACAAGTTCTTCTTTGTTGATGGAAAGACAGACGAGCTCGCATTGGAGGAGAATGATAAGAACAATAGTGGCAAGCGCCCGGCCCCATTGCACGAGGTGCCCACCGTGATCCCCAAGAGCTTCCCCGAGAAGCCCGTCTACTTCCGCGGACCCACTCTGTCGAGGCCCAAGCGCAAGAATCTCATCTTCATCGACAACAGTCGCGATCCATTCACCAACAGGGCCAACCGCGACCCAATGATGCTCATCAATGGCATTGATGGCTCACTGCGCACACCATCCACAAGCGAGCGTAAGCTCATCCTGGATCACATTCGCAAGCCCAAGGTGTCTCGCGATCCCGATGCACTATTGAAGCGTCCACTCAAGTACAAGGTCAATACGCCAGGTGGCGGCGCTGCCTCAGCAGCACCATCATCAGCACCAGCACAGAGCGAGCAACAACAATAGACATCATAAACAATCAACCAAACTATTCATCTCACAACCCAACTAAATAACCATCGACCGGTAGCCACTCATTCATTCGTTCATTTATTCAATAAACTCAACATGTTGATTGATATATTGACGTGGAACCAAGCAAGTGCTTGTATTGATTGATTGATTGATCGAGGAGTCCTATATTATTGAGTAAGGGAATAGACATCGCAGTAACTTGGTTTGGCACTTGATTATTTCCAGGTTCTTGGTTGGGAAGAATCCGGCAACACCATGTTGTTGTAGCTTAGTCTGTTGTAATAGTATCTGTTGGTTCATCTCAATCAATATATCCTTTGTTATCTGTTTCAGTATGTTCTCAGTCTCATCAGTCAACATCTAAAGATTGGCGAAGTTAGTTAGTCCAATCCAATCAACAATCCAATCAATCAAATCAATAATACCTTGTCGGTCAACAGATAGTTGTTGTATATCTGATTCTTGATGAGCATGTCGTTGGCTTGGTTGGAGAGTATTTGGAACTCATCGTTGGCCTCCTTCCTTTTCAGGGCGAGCTGCTCCATGATGGTGGCCCGCTTGGCTAGCAGGAGATGTTCGGCCTTGGTCTGGTTGTTGTACAGTGTTCTAACATCGTCTACGATCGTTGGATTGCCTGCTGCAGCAATCAGTTGCTTGGTTGTGACGTGCGTCATCGGTGTGGTCTCGCCGTTGGGCGAGGGAATCGTCATAGTGGCCAGGTCCTTGATCATCTGACTCTCCCTCTCGTTTGGTATCAGTGATTCCAGTAGCTTGGCATCCAGCTGGAAGCCTGTCGCACCCATTGTCGCGGGCTCCTGTTTGGACGATGTGGCATCTGATGGGACGGGCGTGCTATTCTTCTTCATCAGCGCAGACAGAGGTATAGGTGTGCCGACGGGCATCGTCACAACTCTCTCCTCATCCTCAATGATATGTTCGGGGATGATTGGTTGTGATGGGGCGGATAATGATTGATTGTCGTTCGTTTTGTTCGTCGCGTTGTTGGTGTTGTTGTTGTTGTTACTGGTGGCTAATGATGATGGCTGTGTTGCTACTGCTGCCGCTGGTGGCGAAGGTAGTAGGTCATTGGACTTTGATGAAGATGATGTTGCCTTTGGTGGAGTAGGAGGGGCATCCTTTCTTTGAAGCTTTCTTTGTTCCAAGCTTCTCTGATGCTCTTGATTGAGTGTCTCGGATATCTTTTTGAATCTTGTAAGGTCTTGATAAGTTAGGCTCTTTGGTGGCTTTGATGGATTGAGTAGTTGTTGGTGTTGTGGAGCAGTGTCCTTGATAGTAAGTGGCCGAGGTTGTTCTGGAAGTTTGAATAAATATGGCAGTAGTCTCTTGGACAACTCCAGCCTCTTCTTCCTCTCTTTCTCATCGTCATGTCTAATGCTACAGAATCTCCGATAAAGTGCACGAAGAGCAGGTGACTTGATTGGACAAGTAAGTACATCGATGTGGAATGATCTTGGACACATTGCCATGCCTGTCTGACTTACACTATGTTCTGTCGATGGTAGAATACCAAGAGTCCATCTATAAAGTGCCTTTATCTTTCTTGAATATCTGATCTTGTTCTTCTCATTTCCATATGCAATGTTGACCTCCTCTAGCAGGTTCAATAGATCCTACATCAATCAATCAAGTTAGTATGTGGCTATCACTAACAAACCAATCAATCAAACAATCAAACATACCTGTACAGCCTCTTGTGATAGAGGTGCTGAGTCTGAAGCAGAGTTGTATTCACCATTGGCCAAGGTGTTGACCAATATGTCTAGATGCGAGTTGTTATCGTTCACGATTGGTTGCTCATGATCCGAATCATCGGATATGACTAATGGTTTGGTTGGGTCATCCTCATTCATATCACCATCTCCTCCACGATGATGTTGTTGTTGGTTGTTGTTGTTGTTGGACTTATGTCTCTTGTTATTGTTGTTATTGTTGTTGTTATTGTTATGCTTGTCCTTCTTCTTTCGTTGTTTGTTATTGTTATTGTAGTTACTGCTACTGTTGTTGGAGGCATGGGATGACGAAGATGATGAGGTTGCCCCTGCATTGTCTATTCCCTCCACCTCACCTCTTCGATGATGATGATTACCAACATTATTGGTTGTGCGTTTGCCCGACTCATCAACAACAGCCCCAACAGCAGCAGCAGTATCATTATCAACAACACCACCATTATGAATATTATTATGATCATCGATGTCATTGTCCCTTATGCTCCGTGCAGCCAGACCACCGGCAGCAGAGTGGAGATGGCCACCACTGTATATATCATCATCCTTATCACCGCCAAAGCCAAAGTATTGAACAGGCTTCCTCTCTGTCATTTATATGTGATGTATGGTGATGTGATGTATGGTGAAGTGAAGTGATGTATTTGATGATGGTAATGAATGGTATGGGATAATGAGTAGTTCGTTATATCTACCTACGACCTGAACTATGATATAATGATGATGTAAGTAATGTAAAGTAAGTATCTCTTTGTCTGTGTGTGTTCACGTTGTTCAACAAGTGAAAATGGTCGAGAGTTGAGTTGTGTGTCTTTGTTGTTGTTCATTTTCATTCATTCATTCAACTATTCGCACTCATAATTATTATTCTTCACCACAACATCATAACTCATGAGGAAGTCACATGACCATGGTCATCATTATTTAAACATAATATATCAAACAAAGTTATTACTACTTGACTTTGTAAAGACAACTCGATCAACAAAGTAAACAATCAAACAGCCAGATATGGATAGCGGGTCAACGGTATTGTGATCCATTCAGATGGACCAAATGGATCGAATAGTGATCCAATGAGATAATGAATTGGCCTACCATATGGACTTGTGGAAGTTGTACAACATCAACTACTCTACTTATTGCTTGTGTGTGTGTATGATTCAATAATAATACACATTTTAAATGGTGATGTGAGCTCAAGGTGGCTCCGTCAGATGGGTCATCTGGCTCTTAGACTTGGACTTGAGTGGGTCAACACCAATTCACATGAAAAAGGCATCAATTTTAAATAAATATCCAAAATAGGGGGGTGTCTACCCGAATTGATGGCTCCTCCAAGTATGAATGAATAAATGAAAGAATGAAATGAAGTGTTGGGCAATTCAATAATAATAATCACAGTATTAATAATAATAATAGACAGTTAAACAACAACAACAACGATATCTATCACCAACACACAGGAGATATCAATATCATTTTGTATCAATATCAATAACAAGACTATTTATTTATTTATTTATTACAACTCAACCTCAACTAAACTCAACCTCAACTCAATTTGATCTCAAGTAATGGAACCAGGTACACAGATTAGAGAGATTGCCAGTGGCACACTTGGTGTCATTGAGCGTGGAAACAATGCCAATGGATACTACTGTAACTTTGGCACAAGAAAGAACTGGAAGAGACCAAATGAGATCGCCATTGCTGTGGCTGGCGAGTCCTATGCTCCACCAGCTCAATCCACTGGTAAGGCGTCCATCCATCCATACAATCAATGTAGCATTCTTTAATACTCATACGCCTCAATCAATCAAATAATGTTTAGCCAAGGGAGCTGCAATGAGCAAGTATGCCACTTTGCCAAAGAACTTCTGCGAGCCGACTAGACCATCTGCTCAAAGCATAAACAAGATATTCCCACAGCAACAGCAACAACAGCAATCACAGACATTTTCAACATCGCAGAGAACTACTACAACTGCACCTGTACAACAGCAACAACAACAATATCAACCACAACAACAACAACAAACTGCACCAATCTCTGGAACACAATCCAGAACATTCGCACCAGTTTCAGTGTTGCCAAATGCCAACGGCTTTGCCTCGCGCTCTGGCACCAACTCCTCGGTGCGCCCAGCCGCAGTGCAGCTGCAGCAGTCACCCGTGCCAGTGCAGGCACCACCCACTGTCGTGCCACTGCCACCAATGGGCATCGCTCAAGTCTTCTCGCAGAAGGACATGTGGCACATTGGTTTCAACGAGTTGGTTCTCGAGGATGTCATCGGTACTGGCAAGTACGGTGAGGTGTCCCTTGGAACCTACCTCGGCTGTCCCGTTGCCATCAAGAGAATCCTCGAGTGTAATGATGAGACCAACGTCATGATCGAGAGAGAGTTGCAAATCCTTAAGTATGTAGTACACCATTGATTGAAGACATACCTTCGCTGACATCAAATCAATCAAATAGGGAGGTGAGACATCCAAACATTGTTCAGTTCCTTGGTGCCACAAAGCATAATGATGAGATCTACATTATCACAGAGTACATGAAGAAGGGAGACTTGTTCGATGCTCTCATATTCGGAGACACTCCACTCACATGGAGAATCAAGGTATGTTCATTCACATGCCGCCACACGCGGAAACACACAAGGAAACACGGAAACACAGATGTGGAAACACGGAAACACAGATGTGGAAACACGGAAACACTAACATTCATTCACTCTATTAGTTGGGTATTGCATTGGATATTGCACAAGCCTGTAACTATTTACAAGCCAGAGGTATATTACACAGGGATTTGAAGAGTCAGAACATCTTGTTGTCAGACAACAACCGCGCCAAGCTCTGTGACTTGGGTCTGGCAAGAGTGTTTGAGGATCAGGTCAACAAGAGACTGACATTCGTAGGCAGTGACCGTTGGATGGCACCCGAGATATTTATGGGCGTCGACTACGACTACAAGGTGGACGTGTTCTCCTACGGCATTGTGCTTGTGGAGCTCATCACCAACCAGGTGCCCGACGAGCGCAGACCCCAGAAGATGTTTGCCTTTGAGACTCAGGCCTTCCTGAGCAAGGTGCCACCCGACTGTCCCCCAGCATTCGCCAAGCTGACCGTCGCCTGTACTTCTACCGACCCCAGGTCCCGTCCAACCTTCAGCAAGATCCACGACATTGTCAAGGCCATCTACGAGTCGTTGCCAGAGGATGACGAGTAAACCATATCCCCGTCCCGCCTGCTCCTGTCCCTTTGGACATTGTCCTAGCTTGTTGCCAAGCTCAACAAATCCAATCCACCTTTACACAATAAAGCTTGACAAAGTCCTTGTTGTGTATGAATATTCATAGTCTCGCGCGCATTGAGAGGTAGGTATGTTAATGTTTATGGGTCCTTTGGGAAGATGCCAGTCCAGGTGTGTTGCTCGCCTTGGGTCAGATGGCTGGTCGATCCGTTCAACTCAACGGTCCACTCTCCTCCGTTGGCATTGCGCACTAACTTGGTGAGATGACACACGCCTGAGCCAACTTGATGCTCCTCATTCTTGAGCAGGTGACGAGTCATCGATACGCAGTTGCAAGCGTGAGTGACCACGATGATGGCCTCATTCAGGCTACTGTATCTCTGTAACAGTCCATCGATAGAGTCATGGGATCTCTTGAACAAGTCGTAAACAGTCTCTGCTTTGTCCTTGACCAATGGCACTATCGGTATGTAGTTGATGTCGATCAACTCGGGATAGAGTGCAGACAACTCGGGTGTTGTGAGGTACTCTATCTCATAGTCTGGGTGCCAATCGATTAGACCTGGTTCGACCTTGAGTGTTATTCCATTGCCAAGTTGTTTGGCGATAGCTCTTGCAGTTTGAATACATCTTATCATTGGTGATACGATGATGTGTTTGATCGAGTGGCTTGGTGAGATTGATGAGTTGCGAGCACACTCTACGCCCAACTCTGAAGCAGCATTCAGACCAATATCTGACAATGGAGGGTCACACACACGTTCAGCAATCTTTGCCCAATCAGGATTGTTCCAATCAGCTCTGTTGCCATGTCTTGTAAAGTATACTACTTGTTGAAGTTGTTGGTTGTTGTCACTGATCATTCTTTGTTTGTTTGATATGTATTATTACAATAATGAACTAATAAACGATGTTACAGGGTTGATATACCTCCCTCATCAATAACAACGTTATAACTTTGTTAAACTATTTGGAACCGAATGTATCGATTTGATTGGTTCGGCATTCGGCTGGTATCCAGTTTGGTCGCATGTCATCATTGCAGGTCCCTGTAACTCCTGTTGAATCTCTTTGACTTTCACGAATCATGCAAAATTTTTTTTTTTTTTTTTTTTTGACTAGAGTGGAAGTTTATTATTATTGCAAATAAATTGGCGTCATTGAAGAGGCGGGATAATATATATAAGTTAGTCGATTTTGAATTTTCTTGATTTTTTTTCTTTCTTTTCTTTTCTACTGTAGGCCTCTGAATTCGGCCACCAAGTATTTGTTGATAGTTGGCGGCAGAGGCGGAAGACGGATGTCGCTGTTGCGAGTGCTGAGGTGCCACTTGGTAGTGAACTCGGCCATCTCATTCTTGATGTTGACTGGTCGTCCGGCCAGGATGTGACTCGTTAGCGTGGACATGAGGGAACGCCACTCCTGGCGGAGGAGGGACTTGAAGGATGTGATGCACACCAAGCTGAGCTTGGCCAACGGGGCCTCCTTGTTGCCAAAGAGGTGGTTGGCGATGTAGTGCCAGAGGTAGTTGACGATGATTGCCATGAGGTGGATGAATGGAAGGTTGGGGCGACGAGACTTCGTGGAGATGTCCAGTGCTTTGATGTTCCATTCTCTGACGTTGATACCAGAGCGTTGCTTCACCAAGTCTAAGGCTGGGCGCATGGCTTCTTGGGTCGCCACTTTGCTGCAGTCAAAGAAGAAGTGATTGTAGGGTTGGTCTGTGCAGGAGTTGCCACAAAGAGTGCAGTCAGCGTCTGCTCTCATATGATTGATCGGGAGAGTATGGGAGAAGAACCTGAAGAGGGCGTTGCGTGAAGAAGGTCCTCTCAGGGTGCTGATGACCTTGAAGATGTCTGGGAGCTTGAGGCCGTGGAAGACACTGAGCTGCCATTGACCCTCGGTCAGTCTGATTGCGCCATACTTTGCCTTCCAGAGGATGGCATAGATGTCTTTCAGACTGAGGGTGATACCATTATTGTCCAAGAGTGGTACCTTGTCGCTATGGCTGGAGAGGTGGGCAGAGCGGAACTCCATCCAAGGTGTGTGGAACTTGAGGAAGAGACCAGTGAACTTGCCGCCCAGGCACTTCCTGGCGTTGCGGTGTTGAGTTCTCCACGAGTCCAGGTAGCCATGGGTGAGGTGGGCTGGGGTGTTGAGGAAACGATTGAACACCCATACCTTGTAGGCAATTGATCTGAGCCCAATGTCCCAGAGGTTGAGGCCACCTTCATCCCAATGGAAGCTGGCGCGGTCCAGTGCCATCGTGTTGATGAAGCTGGAGCCGTAGGCGGTGGCCTTGGGGGCTGCGATGAACCATTTGGTGAGGTTATCGATCTTCTTGATCTGCCACTTGGTCGGTGAGTCCAGATAGAAGTGGTACATCAGAGGGGGGAGGGCGTAAGACTTGATAGCTGCAACCTTAGACCGCAGTGTGGTGCTTTCAGACTTGAAGAGCGAGTCTGCCGCGGAGGGAGCTGATGAGAGTCTTGAACTTGGAGTAGATGCCCTGCTTGGTGAAGTTGACGCCCAAGTACCTTTCAGGTTCGGTGGCCACTGGGTAGGGGAGCTCAGACGTTGGTGCATCGCCCAGGACAATGTGGACAGACTTGTCGACATTGATGGCTGACGAGGTGGCTTTGCAGAAGACCTTGAACCATTCAATCACTCTCAAGAGTTCCTCGAGTGACCTGGTGAGCGCTGCAGTGTCGTCGGCAAACTGGAGAAGCTTGACCTTCTTGCGGACGGTCGAGACTTTCTTGCCGTCGACTAATGTGTCGAGGGGCGGTGACACAGGCAGGCCCACGATGGATTGGTCGGCGTTGATTGCTGCTGCCAGTGCCTCAATGACCAGCACAAAGAGCGTCGGGGAGAGAGGGTCACCTTGCTTGGTGCCCCTGTCCAGGGGCAGGGCATCAGTGAGGATGCCGTTGACGCTGACTCTGGCCACGGAGCCCCGCAGCAGGGCCATGACGAGCCCGACCATCAAAGGCGGGATGCCGACATGGCGGAGAGTGCGCTCGATGCTGTCATGCGATATGGAGTCGAACGCCTTCTGGAAATCAAACAGCGTGACATAGCCAGTCGCCATGTCTTGGGCAGCCGTGTCGATGACTTCCTGCAGTAGGATGGTGTTGTCGTGGATCAGTCTCTCAGGGACGAAGCCATTCTGCAATGGGTTGATCAGACTGTCGAGGAGCTTGGTGAGTCTGGCATTGATGACCTTGCTGAGGAGCTTGTAATCCACGTTGAGTAAGGTGATGGGACGTCTGTTGGCAATGTCCAGCCTGTCGCCTTTCTTGAAGATGGTGTGGATGATTCCACACTTGAAGTCACTGGTGATGGTCTCAGGGTCGAGCAGCATGTTGTTGAACGTGGTGGCGAGGAAGGGGGCAAGGACCTCGGCGTGTGTCACGTAGAACTGACCAGTGAGTCCATCTGGGCCTGGAGACTTTGAGGTATCCGTGGTGGAGATGGCGGAGAGGACCTCATCGGCCGTGATGGGCTCCTCGAGTGGCTGGAGGTGCTCCCGGCAGTCCGGGCTCCAGTGGGACAGTAGTCTCTCATGCTCATCGGCGTCGTCGGCGCCCTTGGTGTAGAGCTTGGAGTAGAACGAGTGGAATGCCTTGCGTATCTCGGGAGGGTCAGAGGTGGCGGCGCCATCCTCGCCGTAGATCTCGGTGATCAGATCAACGGTCTTCCTACCCTTGGCGATGCGAGTGAGGTACTTGCTTGGCATTTCCATGCCAAGCTCAGCGTCCCTTCGTTGTGCCTCCTTCTCGACCTTTGCAGACTCGAGGAGGTCGGCTAGCCTGGACTGATCAAGCCGGTGTGGTGTGGCCCCTGGCGGCGGGCGAGCGAGGTAGCGTTTGAGTTCCACTATGATCCTCCTTCGCTCGCCGGCGTTGCGAGCCTGCTCCGCCTTGAGTCGCGAGATGAGCGCCTCTTTGATGCTGAGCCAAGTGGACAGACCAGAGGGGGTGATGCGACTGAGAGTGCCGTGGACCAAGTCCCTCGCGGCAGGAGACGCAAGCGTTTCCTTCCTCAGTATCCATCTGTGTCCTGTTGGGGTGATCTGTTTGGGGTATACTGTTATCAGTACGGGGTGATGATCTGACTTGGTGTGCGCATGGGATACATCTACCTTGGCGCGGTGAGGGCCCACCAGGGTGGACCGGACGTACAGTCGGTCGAGGCGTTTCTCCGTACCTCTCGACAACGACTTGTGGGTGGGGATGTTATCATGGGCGCCGGTGTCAACAAGATCGTTGAGGGCTGCCAGCTCGTTGATGAACAATGTGAAGTCGTCACGATCAGTTGCGCACGTGTTGAAGTCGCCTGCGATCACGTCGATGTCGTTGTCAAAGATCGCTTGAGAGTTCTGCAGGGTGGTGACAAAGTCCAACCTGCCAGCATTCGAGGCAGGCGCGTACACCAACAGGATCGTAATGGTGTAGTTTGGCTCGTTCACACGGACCAACAATGTGCGGCCAAGTCTGTCGGCGAAGAGAGTGTCTGCCTTGAGGGTGGAGCCCAAGGGCTTCACCAGGCCGACACCAGTATGCAAATATCGATCGTTTTTGTAAGTCCCAACAGTCTACCAAGAACAATAAAGTACAAAAGGAGCAGGTGTCGATTCTATCCATGATTGATTATTTATTGCCCGATTATGTTGGGCAATGAAGGAGATGATGGAGTCTTCATGTTTTTTGGATAGAAGGCCTGTTCCCATCATATAATACTCTGTTATCTCTTTTGAATCAATCTTGTCATTCATTATTGATGTGTTATGGTTGTTTCATTGTTTGGTCCAACTAAATTCTCAACACTTTCCAATTTGGAATTATTGGGTGGACTGAATGAAGAAGAAATCAACAACTGGAATGGAATGGTACCCTTGTTGATTACAGTTGACTTCAATAATGTAAGGTATATTTATTCTGATCGATCGGCAACATTGTAAAATAATATTAATAATAATAGCGTTGGTACATGATAATGTTGAGACGATGTTGAGTTATGCCTTCTTCTCTTCCTCCTTTCTACTTCTAAACTTATCCTCACTAAGTTTCTTGATGATCTGATCATGTGATAATAATGAACGACACGTTAGTCAATCAATCAATCAAATCCATTCAATTCCAAATCCAAATCAAATCAAAATACTTACACTCTCTTCCAATGGAATTGGATCTATACATCTATCACAGATTGTGTTGTCAGCCTCTTGAAGGAGTGAATCAATGGTTGGTTGTACTCCAAACATATCGGTGAAGTAGACTCGGAGGAATCGGAGGTCCACCTGGATCTGGTGGTAGCCATTGGTGCCAAAGGTCTTGGTGCGCAGACACTCAGTGTAGGACTTGAGTGCGATCTTGATGATGCCAACCAAGATTGAGTTGGCGTTAAAGTCCACGATGGAGTAGACATCCATTCGCTTGTCAAACAGTGTGGCCGAGGGCAGGTTGGTGGCCGATGTGTTTCTCCTCATCGCATCATTGTTGCCACTCTGCGTTCTGTTGTGGCCACCACCTCCACCGACACGTTGCATGTTTGGTGTGGTGAGGGCTTGGGTTGCTGGCAGGAGCTTAGTGATCTCTCCGCTGAGCTTGACCAACTCGTCGAGAACCAAGTCGTTGACCTGTCGCACATCTCTTGGTTCCTTCAGCATCAGCCAGTTCTGTGTAGAGTCCAGACCGATCCTGAACATCTTCTCAATAGTCTTGCTTTGCATGCGAGTGTACACAGTCAAGATCTTCTGTGCCGCCTCCTTGATCCTCTTTCCAAGGTCAGATGTAATGATCTAAATAAGATTGAGTGTTAGTCGTGATCCCAAGCAAGCCCGCCAATGTCATGTGCTGGATCTTACACTAAAGCCATGGTCGTTAATGTTGTGGCTGTGCATTCCTTGCTTGGCTGTGTTCATAAACTCATTCATGGCCTGAACCACCTGATTGATACCCTTGCTCTCAATGTACAGACATACACTGGTCAGTGCCAGGAAGAACCTTGATCCAAAGTTCTCCTTGTTGGTGGTCTTGGCAACAATGTCCAAGTATTCCTATTCATATATGCAAGTGTAAGTTATAGTGATTGAGATGGGACATTCATCATATTGGATACTCACCAAGAAATGGTTGTTGAGGAAGATGAAGAAGTTCTGGAGCTCCAATTGAATCTTGGTGAATATGGTTCCATAATGACGTGTGAGGAATGATGACTCCTTGGACATGAAGAATGGCTATGTTTGAATGAATGGAGGGAGTAAGAGAGTGAGTATATGTTCAATGTTCCATTCAATCAATCAATAGACATACCTTGAGGTTCTTGAAGAGGTTGATAATGTCATCGACAATGTCCTTGGCAGTCTGATCAGAGAGCTCCAGTAGCATATTGCCCTCGAGGATGCTGCTGTCCTTGGAAATCAACTCGCTATTCATGTTGTAGATGTGGACTAATGTGTATAGGTGTTGGATGGTTAGAGTGACATGCATGCCCTTTGAACATCATCCAATCATTATCATACCTTGAATAGTCTTTTGGAGATTGTCGAAATAGTATGATATCTGATCCATAACAGTCGAGTCCACAATGTCACTAATGGACGAGGCATCAGTGAGTTGGTCCTGAATCTTGGACACATCTGAGCACAGTAGCTCAAGTCCCTTGATCTTCTCCTCTGGGTTATTGAATGTCTAATCAATCAATAAATGTTAGTATGTGATCATTATCGTCGTCATGATTGATCAACTTACAGCCAACTTTGTCTTGGCGATGTTTAGATATCTGTTGAAGAGGTCCTTGGAGAAGTCTTGAAGTTGGGCAACAGAGTTGTGCTTCTCTTGTCTGGACGACTGGATGCCATCGAAGCGATTGATGAACAACGACCTGTAGGAGGTGATGTTGTATGTGTACTCTGTCAAGAATGTCTTGTTCAACTCGTTGATGAACATTACAATATCTGTTGGCTCTCTCTTCTCCAATGCCTTCAATATGATCAACATATGTTGCTTACGTCCAGCCAAATAAGCTGATCGCACTGTCTCAATTGGCTCCAACAACTCCATCAAATGCTCAGCTGACTCGGCTACCTCGATCTGTGGAGTCTATATGATGTGTCGGTCAGTATGTTGGTATGCCTTGTTCTTATGTGTTGATGTACTTACATCAAGCATGCCCAACTTCTCATGTAGCTTGGTCTTCATGTGATTGATGATGTTGTCACACTCATTCTGAATGTTCTGGAATGATGGGATGTGACTGTACTGCTTCAAGATGCCATTGTTGCTGTTATAATACTTGACTGCTTGAGTATATGCTTGCATCTCAATGCAATGATTCAATCTAGATGGCAAAGCTGTGAGGTATTGAAGCTATTCATCATCGTCGTCATCGTCATCAATGTTAGTTCACTCAATCAATTACTCCACTCATCAATCAATCAACCAAACATACCTTTTGTAGCAACTTATGTAGACCGCTAAGTTGATCGATCTTCTCACGTCTGACACTGAGTGTTGAGTTGATCTTGTCGCTGCAGGTTGTGATTAACTCCATGTTCTTGCTGAGTAGTTGCATGCCCTCCTCCATCTTCTCGACGTTGTTCTTCATGTCCTTGATGATGTCGGTGGCGTTGATGAACTTGGTGTAGTTGTCATAGACCAGCGTCTTCATGTCACCGTCCAGGTTCCTGATCTCGCTGACCATCTCGTTGTCCTTGGCCACGAGCTGTTGTAGTGTCGACTTCTTGATCGTGTGATCAAAGTAGGTCTTGAGGTCGAAGCTTGGACTGTCAATGTCGAGTGGGTCGCTGCTGACCGACGCTGCGCCGTCGCCCTGTCCAATAGCCATGCCGTAGTAGTTCTGCAGCAGGTTCCTTAGTCGCGCACCCTGCTTGGGCTGCGAGGGCGTGCGTTGGTGACCGCCTGGCGTGAGCGTGGGCGAGGAGCCAGGTGGCGAGCTCTCCTGCTCGTCCTCCTCGAGATGCTCAGTGCGTGCCATCTGCAGTGACTCCCAATACTTGTTCAATGTCTCTCTTATACGTGCACTGCCACTGAACTCTGATTGACCATTAAGGAACTTTGCCAATGCCTGAGGGTCCTCTCCATACTTCTTTGCAAACTCCAACTGAGACAGTCTCCAATTCCTATTATAGAACTGTATCAGTTTAGAGTCTGTTATCTGTGATGATGTCATATTTAACAACTAAACTAATATATATGTATAAGTATAAGTATACAATAAATGAATGAGTGAATGAAGAAACTTCAAAAATCTTTGAAAGATCGAATCCCATAAATTTTGTTCATTTTGACTCAATTTGACCAGGATTCTTAAGTCTTCTCTCACTTCATACACACATTCAATCATTGTCATTATCAGTCCAACATTGAATCAATGGAACAGTTACTTAGTATACTACTGTCTAATCAATATAAACAGAGTATATCAGCACTTGGTATAAGACTACCACCAGAATTCAACACTGCACGTAATTGGATACAGTTCTTACATGATGTTGTACAACTTGACTCTGGTCTACGCGATTGTTATCTCATAGACTATCCAATACCTCCACATAATGTACTACTTACATTCATAAACACTATTAAGGTATGTTCGTTGTCAACAAAGATATAAGACTCGACAGCTCACTCATTCATTCATTCATTCACATCAGACCAAGATACCAACGATATTCAATGATATTACATTGATACCTTTGAATGAATACCTTTGCTTCATGGTCAATAAGAGAGCATTATTGGAGAGGATGAAGAATGATATTGATAATGGATTCTCATCATATACATTCATTAATGTATCACCATGTTTATCAGATGCCAAACAATGTGATGATTGTCAATATCACAAGACTCAACTATCAAGCGTTGCAACATGTATAATCGGCACATTGACAAAGAATGAGAAGGAGAAGGAGAAGAGTAAACCAACAACACATACTCTTCGTGATTGGATGGCTGCACACAATCAATCGATGATGTTGGACTCGATCTATCCACCCGTGTTGAGTGGATGGCTTTGCAACTATCCAGTGGTTTACTGCAATAGTGCTCACTTGACATGCTTTACTATCAAATGTCCATTGGAAGAGACAGAGAGACGTTGGCAAAACAACTGCATCAGTATGACTGCAGAGTTGATACGATACGAGGTATCTGTGGACATTCCATCATCCGCTCACTTCCAGCATCTCAATGGAATGGCGCATCTCAAACGAATCCAGAGCTTCACGGTACCATCCAACCAGTACACTTCAGTCGAACAATTGATCAATCAATGGAAGGAAAGATACTTTGGAAGATGGGATCAGCTCAAACTAAAGATATGGAGTCAACTTAATATTACAAACACAATGGTATCCAATACGGTTGTGAACCTGTAAGCAAGGCGCAGGCATGCGCCTACATCACATGGTCGTTTGGAGCAATCAATGATCGATCGATCCAGTCAGTCCCTCCAATAAACGACACCACGTTCTGCCTAAACTCCCCTACACTCCACTCAATGAATGAATGATTCCATTCTTCCAGACATGCTTCAATTTAGTCAATAATTTAAATTAACGTATTGGGCATATCATTAATTCGCCAGTATCAAAAGCGTCGTTGTTACTGATCTTAGTCCATTCATTCGTCTTGGTTGAGTATCGATTATGTTCTTCACATCTACACTGTTTATCTTCTTCCATCATTCGTTCATTCGTCATTCATTATCTGTCTCTACAGAATCTCTTGAGTTGAAGACAAGTATGCTAACTTTCAAATTGAAAGTGATTTAATAAGTCAACAAGGTGGGGATGGTCCATTGCTGGGATGTGGCTGAGGTACATGAGCTCAGGGTCAGTCCTTTGCCGCTGGAACCTGCGGTCAGACATGTCTGGTACTTGGTGTTGACCAGTTGACGGTTGGCGTTGTAAGTCCACTGCTGGTTGTGGGTCAGAGTGCAGGTGCTCACCTGGACCGACTGTCCATTGGTCGACTCAAGACACGTGTTGTCAATGGTGGCAATCACATTGATATTGCTGACTACCCACAGCTGGTCCCAGGTGTTCTTGCAGGTGGCGGTCACGGCTGGTCCCGTGGCAGTGCTGGCCGATGAACCAATGCAAAGATTGTTGACGACGGACTGGATCTGACCACGAGCACTGTTGCCAATGGCGTCATAGTGAGTGCTACCATTGATGTTTTGCTTCACAACGGTCTCATTATCACATGTGTTGGACAAACTGACATCGGACACTGTTGCTGGCACACCATCGCCCAATGGAAGGAAGAATGTTGCTTGGGAATACGGTTGGTTGTAGCATTCAGAGGTGTCTGAGCTCCACCTATTCCGCGCGAGAGTTAGTATCATAGTGGACTCCAACGACATCAACAACAGAAACTACTTACTCAAAGTATTCAACCCAGTTGACCATTCCATCTGGACTGATGGCAGTACCATTGGTTTGGATGGAACCAATGGTGAAGGCAAGATTCTTGTTGGGGATGGACACGTTGACTGACAACCAGGTGTCTTCGAGGGTGAGGTCAAAGTGGATCTCATCACCTTGAGTCCAATCATAGAAGTATTGGCAATGCATTCCTACACCCTCACCTCCGAATGGTTGGCACTTTGAACCTGGTGATCCAGGCTTGTCAACCTTTGCATTCCACAAAGAGAACAAGAAGGTCCTTGGTTGACCACCATTGGATTGTACACTATGTAGATGGGTTGGTTAGCTTTGAACGATTGATTGATTGAATGAATGATCATGTACATACCCAGTGTAGCCACCATCAGTACCAACCATTCCAAATTGGTTGCTCCAGTAGGTGTTGGCGTAGAAGCCAGGATCGTTTTGGATATTGATTTGGTAGTGAACGTTTGAGAATCCCGAAGGCTCTGGGCTCCATTGATAGTTGGTATAAGAACCTGGTGTATCACCTCCCTTTGACCAAGCACCTACGACACAAAGTGCAACAACAACCAACAACAAATATGTATTATTCATTCTTTATATGTATGTGATGTGAACTTGATATTGAATTGAATTGAATTGAAATGATCATTGCTATGCTATGCTATGATATGATATTGAGTATACTTGATACCAACCATGCTGTCTCTTAGAATGGATGGTACCAAACAAACAACATGTTTATAAATATCTGTTTCATCGGAAACACAACAACAACAAATCTGAAGCAACAATGTTTGGTTTTGGTTGCCGACACGGCAACAACGCATTAAGGCCTGAGAACCATGTTCTTTTTGGGATTTCAACGTAGTTCATTGAAGGTGAGCACTTACAAGTAAGTGTGTATTAATATGTAGACTTATTGCGAACAAGTCACAATGAATGGGTTGTCAGATGTACAGGTATCCAGTGTGATGGGACCAGTCTGGCATGGAGCACTGGGCGTGCAACGACGTTGGAATGGTTGTCCATTCTGACAGTAGTATGCGGTGGTGCCCCATGGGTCACCGCGATCAGAGATCACAGTGCCATTGGTGGCATACCAGTATGATTGTACGGACAAACAGTCACTGTTGGTGGCTTGGAATACGACGGATGACGAGGGTATCTTGACATCTTGGAACACTTCGACTTGAGTAAAGGTGTAGGCGCTGTATGCCCAAGGTGAATAGGTGCATTCGCCCAAGTCAAACACCTGATCGTGTACATAGTCATCGCAGCCAGGATGCAAGTCATACGACAAGTTATACTGATTAGTGCCATAAATGTTGTAGATCATGAATGAAGCGTCGTTTGAGAAGTTCAGTGAGCATTGGAACTCGATTGCACCAAAGCCCTATGTATGTTTGATTGATTGAATGGTGTGTGAGTGATGAGTGAGGGATAGTTCCAGTGCTCACTTACCACACCATTGGGCTGACCTTGACAATGTGTTGATCCATAGAATGGCGTGAAAGTGTATATTTGGCCATTGACAATGGTCAACAGACCAAATAATAACAAGGAACCAATGAGATATCTGTCCTTAATAAACATGTTTGTTATAACTTAGAGTACAAATAATAGAGTGATCATTCAAAGTGATGTGTTCACAAAGTAAGTATTAGTAATAAATCATGATACTTGTCTTACGTCCAAGTCATCAAAACGATCATGCGATGAATCCAATTCTTCCAAATAATTTTGAATGGAACAATCGTTTAAGTTGTAGATTGAGTGGTCCACTGATTGAGTGAGTGCGCTGGAATCATTCCAAGGACTGTTTGTTTATCTTTTAAATTGCCTATCGCTCAAAAGACATATGGCTTCAGCACCCAGTCCTAGAGGACTATCACTAATATGTATCCATTGATTCAACTTGATTGAATACTGGTAGTTCTTATTGGCACCCTTGCAATAATATAGTGCTCCACGCTGAGGGCCACATGTGAGAACGAAAGGATTGGGTTTAACTGGTGAAGGCGCCAAATCTCTCAATTGCCCAGTTGACAATGATACGCTGATGAATTCACAATCGTCAGCCACCAAATAAAGAGTGTCCACGCCATCATAGCAACTTGTGCGGACTGTCCAGGGCAGAGGGTACGATCTCTCGTGAACCAACGTGGTCAGATTGAAGAAGACAATCTCTAATCTCTCATTAGCATTGATGGTCCAACCATCGACAAAAATGAGTTGGTTGCATCTTACATAAAGATCCGACCCTTCTAGATATGTTGGCAGGTCGCCAATGTGGTTGAATTGTTGTGTGTCGATGTTGAAGCTCTGCACTCGGCTCACCTTTGGATTAATCTTGTCTGCACAAGTGACCATGTAGATCAATTTGTCTCCATCGTAGTATGAGGTGGACATTTGGTAATTTGGTTGGTCCTCAATCTTGTTGTGCCATTGACCATCTTCCACCGAGAACCAGATGAATGCGGTTGGATACTCATTGCCTCCAAACATGTAGACTTTGCCACGCGCGTGCACAACTGACCTCATGTTTAGTGTCGTCTTAACTGTTACTTGGGTGGGTACTGACCATTTGTCGGACAATGGAGAGTATATTGAGGCCAATTCATCACCAAAGACCATTATACGGTTGGAATTATCTGAGGTCTCTTCAATCAGGTCGAAACATGATTGAAGTAGAACTTTGATTGTGTTCACACATTAATCTTATTCTTTGATGATTTGAACACATTGTTGATGGCCTCAATCTCATTGATGATATCATTGATTGTTGATGATGTTTGATGCACTCTGTCATTGATCTGTGAGTTGATCCTGTGTTCTTCGATCATGATCAACTCGTGTAGTTCCTTGCATCGCTCTGTCACCTCCTTGCTGGCTTGAGTGAGTGTCTGATGCTTGATTGCCAACTGTTGTAATGTACTCCATAACAACTTCATCCTTGACAATGACGCATCATTATATTGTTGTCGTTGACATAACTCCTTTACATTATCAACATTCTCCACATCATGCTTTCGATGTGATGTCGCAACACACTTGGAACATATTAAACAGTTACAATCTAAACAAATGAATCTATTCTTCTTATTATTATGAGTCTCACATATATTCTCCATCATTGTCATCATCATTATCTTTATCTCTGTCTCTTCACTTTCAAAATTGTGTGAATATTCGATCAATGTTCAGGGTCATAGACGTCTGGTTTGAAATTCGTCAACATTTAATTACCTGGAAGACCTTTCAACTCCTTCAATGCACTCAATGTAATGTCGGTGATGTGATGTCGCCAGACATATTGAACAAATCAAACAATTACCATTGAAACAAACAAACTCATTCCAGTGTATCACATAAATCATCACCATCATTATCATTCTTATTCTTGTCCATTATCTATTTCTATTTGGTTATAAGATATTTAGATGAATCAAATGAATGTTCATAGTGTTATTACTCTGACTATGACGAATCTGATGACTTCACCCCCCGATGGTCAAGACAAGGTTGTCACTCACTTTGTTTTTTTTCGAACACATTTGAAGTTGAAGTAATACTTACTTATACATACATATACATATACAATCACCAAACAATGCTCGAACATTATCTTGCAATGGCTGACCAAATGGTCAAGCAGTACATCGACCCAAGTCTAGACTTCCAACTACTTATTAGCAAGGTGTTGGGCATTGGTATCATCTTTGCCTCAGTCTTCCTCAAGGTTCCCCAGATTCAAAAGCTGATCAGCAGCAGAGACTCCACTGGTCTCTCGCCTGTCTCCATCATCTTGGAGACCGTGGTGTAAGTGATATGAACCAACGTCATCATCATCATCCCCCATCAATCAATCAATCAAACAATGACTGACACGTCACTACTCATCAATATAGCTTCACAATCTCAATCTTGACCAGTGTTCTGCTCGCCTACCCATTCTCGACTTATGGTGAGAGCGTGTTCATCTTGGCACAGAACATCATTGTCGTCTATCTTGTCTTCCACTACTCCAAGAGGGTCAACGTTCAGTTCTGGGCTGGTGTCATTGTGTATGTATAATGAATGAAGTTCATCATGCACGAGTACCTAACTAATCAATTGATCGACTCTATATTATAGTTACCTTGCCGCCATTGCTGGTGTACTCCAGTTCGCTGACAGGAAGCTTTTGATGCTTCTCCAGGTATGTTATGTTGTTGACACAAGTGTCAATGATGATCATCTGACTCACTGACTAACTAACTCTGATGAATGTAGTCTCTCAACATTGTGATCTCGATCGTCAGCAAGATTCCTCAGATCTTTGCCATCTTTAGACTCAAGTCTGTTGGACAATTGTCATTCATTACGACATTCTTGCAGTTTGCTGGAAGTATCGCTCGTATGTTCACCAGCTACAAGGAGATCCCAGACCCAATTGGTATGTTATCATTGTCTTTGACGTCATTGTCCCCATGTCATTCTTACTCATACTCTAATCATTCGATCATTCAAACAATCAAACAAACAGTTTTGATTGGATATGGTATCAGCGCAAGCTTGACCTTGATCCTCGTGTTGCAGTTCCTCATGTACTGGAACTCAACACCAAAGAGGATTCCATCTGGAGCTACCAAGAAGAAGGTTCAATAAAGTGTTCATTTTCATCTATATGCATTCACCATCATCTCGAGACAAAGAAGAAGACACAGTTCCACCTCCAGAAGGATGGAAGGAACAATAGGAAGGATTGGCTGGAGGAATCGAAGTTGTATTATTTATAATTCGTTGATACTTGTGATTGGTACACAAGTGAGTTGAGTTGATTCTTTGTTGAAGGCTGGCTGGCTGGCGACTGACTGGCTGACTGGCTGACTGTTGATACTGGAGTTGTTGTTGACGTTGTTGCTGAAGTTGATGTTGCTGAAGTTGTTGTTGCTGAAGTTGATGTTGCTGATGTTGTTGTTGTTGGAAATTGATTAATTTAACTAGAAGTTGAAACGACATGTCTTAAAGAATGGTAGCGGTATAGCGGAGTATTAGTAAGTTGTGATCGATCAATTGGGGAATGGGCAATGCGAGGCGGAAATGAACCTTTTGTGATATGTTGGGCTGTATAAAGTTTGAACAGATAGGGAGAGAGAGTGAGTGCAGTTGGAGGGGCGACGACGATGGTTGTTGGCAACGAGCATCCTGGTCGGGCTAGGACGTAGGCCGGCTGGTTGCACTCCCTGATCAGTGTCTAGATTGATTAGTTGGTGGTAGTTGTTGTTGTGCCATCTTGTGTTGAGGTGTTGCAATCATGATGATTGGTGGTGCATTTGGGGAGGTGTATGCAGAGACGGTCCAACCTGATCATTCCAATTGATATCGTTCGTTGAGGATCTTGCGCAGCTGCAGTGGGAACTGTGCGTAGTACTGTGGCCAGTGCTGGCCGATGCTCTCCTTGAACACGTGGAGCAGACGGCGATAGGCATCGTTCAGGTCGGTCTCCAACTTGTTCCAGCTGGCAATGGCGTCGCAGATGTAGATGAGGTGCTTGAGGGCACCCGATGGGTTGTTGCTGATGATCACCCACATGCCACGGAATGCCGAGTCCTTCTCCTGGTCGTCGATCTTGGCACGGATGGCCATGCACCAGCACTGGATGAACTCCTCGATGCGTGGCGCACAGACATCAGCTGACACCAATCCCATCCTGCCCAGTGTGATGGCCGTGTTCTCGAGGATGTTGCGGTTGAGCTTCACGTTCTGCATGATCGGGATAAGCTTGGCAAGGATGTCCTTGACGTGTGGCTTGATCTCCTGGGGCAGGCGGACAGAGATCTCTCCAAGAGCCCAGCAGGCATTATTACAAACGGGCACATGGTCGGGGTAGAGGTTGAGCGTGAGGATTGGGATGTACTCTGGTATCAGGGTCTTGAAGTGAACAATGCAGAACTTGGACAGGTCTCCAAGCAGAGCAAAGGAGCTCTGACGGACGTCAGGGTGGCTATCTCTCATGCACTCCAACAGTACAAGTGGCAGGTTGCTGTTTGCCACCAGACCCTCAATGCTCGTGCCAACTCCATCAGTCAGACCACTGATCAGGTCCAAAGCGCTGACAATGAAGTCCTTATCTGGCTCATCTGCGTCGTCTTCAGTCTCTTTGTATATCTATTATTGTTGTTATGGTGTTGATGTTAGTATTCAATCATACATTCAAATCTTGATCGTTGATTCACTTACTTTAATCGCTGTCAAGGTCTCAATTATGATCTTGAGTGCTCTGTTATAGAACACAATGATGACATCGCTAAGGCCAAGACCAACTGATGAGCATATTGGTGTCAAACATTGAAGCAGTGGGAGCAGGTTCCTAATGTTGTTTGATTGTTATTGGTCAGTTGAGTCTGTTTGTGGCCATATGCCATGACAGCATCAGTAACTACTTACTTGTTGTCATCCTCAAGTGATTGGAACTTGTGGAGAAGTGGTGGCATCAATACATTGATGTACTCTGGCTTGTTCATATCCTTGCCAATGACCTTGGCCAGTGTTGAGATGGCGTCGTAGAGGATCAACAAGTTCTTGGCCTGATACTTCTGGAAGGCTTGAACAAATGTCGTCAAGATGTTTGGCAAGAATGGGATCAGATTCCTGTCTGCGTCTTCCTCGATCGTTGCGAATGCACTAAAGTATTGATTGATGGTCAGTCGAAGTTGACATATTGCGTGCTCGCACACAACTTACCTGCATGCTGCTTCTTGAACACGCTTGTTGTTGTCCAATATCCTGTTGAGAAGGTTGCCGATGAGCAATGGGATGAGTTCGACACCATCCACTGAGATCCAGTGTGAGTAACGACTGAGTGCCCAACAGGTGATCGAACGAACCAGTGGCTTGGGATCGTTGAGCATGTTGATCAGATAGGGGATGACCTTGGGCAGATGTGGCGACAGGCCCTTCAGACAACCCTCGGCGATGGCGCCCAGTGCCAGGATGGCGCTCTCTCTGACCATCCATTGGTTGGACTCATGCATCTTTTGTTCGATGAGAGGCAGCGCGATAGAGAGATAGGTTGGTGCATCGAATATCGAAGACAATGTATCCAGAGCCAGAGCAGAGCTCTTACGGATTGACCATGATTCATCATCTGCAAAATCATCATCATCATCATAGTCATCATCGTCATCCTCCTGTTGCTGTGGTTGTTCACCTTGAACGAATCTATGATTGTCATAATCAGTTAGTATGTGCGTGTGGTGTGTGAGGTTGGCCGTTGAGGCCGACATACCCTTGGCCTTGAGAGGGTCCAGTAGTGTGAACCTTGCTGTTGACAAAGAATGGCTTGATGTCTTGTGGACGATCGGGGATGTTTGCTGTGTCCTCCTCATTCTCAAAGGACTCATACTCCTCAACTGTGTACACCATTCCATTAAGTAGAATTGGTATTAAGCTAGATTGATTGCATAGATGATGGTTAGTGAACAATCATTCACTGATTGATTGATTGAGTGATTGATTTGAATACATACACTGGAAGGAACTCTTTCAGAAGTTCTTCACAATGTGGGGAGTCAGCAATGGCGGACCAGAACTCGCAGGCCTCAAGGGCCACATCCTCGTTGGAGTCTTTGGATGCGTGCAACATGTACTGGATGATTTGTTTGATGTGGGTCATCAGGAAGTCCATTCGCAGGGAGACCAGCGACACCAACGATCGGCAAACCTTGACTCTTATATCAGAGTTTGCGTCGTCGCTCAGGGAGAAGATGCCCAGCAGGTAGCTCTCCATGTTGATCAGCAGTGCGCCAGGCATGTGCGGGATGAAGAAGTGCAGCGACGAGAGCGCGCGACCCCTAAACACTGGTGTCGTCGACTTGAGGAACATCAGTAACTTGGGGATCAGCTGATTGAGAGGTCTGCCAATCTTCTCACTGTCGAGCTGTTGCGTAAAGTCCTCGCAAAGCAGTGAGAGTGTGTAGAGTGCTCCCTCTACAACGTTCTGGTCGGGGCTATCCAAGCCCGACATCAACATTGGCAACAACTCTTTCCAATCCTTTAAGTATTATGATGTTAGCGAACGATCATTCATTCAATCAATCAATGCTTGAACTCACCTCGAATGAACTCCTGGAAATCAAGTTGGTGATGATGTTGGCGACGGTATGACGCACGTTCTGAAGTGGATCAGAGAGTACGGGTACGATCTCGCGCTTGATGAACTCTTGAACCACTCTAGGCATGTTCTGATAGTAGTTCTTGATGTTCTGCTTCAACAAGAGTCCTGACACATTCCTGACGTAAGCATCCAGATGTTGGAGCTTGAATATATATGTCAAGTAGTTATTATAATCTGGAATCTTGTTGAATGTTTTGAGTTCCTGTTTTAAAGTTGATTGGTCAATCGTTTGATCGATTGTGAAGTGTCAATATTGTTGTTGTTGTTTGTGTAAGGTCAAGGTCATGTGGCGATGTCAATGTCGATGTTGAAGTCGATGTTGACGACACGTACACTCTGTATCTTCCTCTGTGTCTCCTGATCGCTTGAGTTGGTCTGCTTGAGGATGTTGACCAGTTGGTTGAGACCATCTTGATGGGGTGCCCAATCCATTGTAAACAATCTATATATGTGTTAATATATGTATATATATGTATAAATGTACTAAAGTAGTAATATTAAATTAATGATGATGTAGTGAATGTATGAATGAACGTATGAATGAACGTGAATGAATGAACAAAGATATACAATAATAAGAGATGAAGTTGGAAAAGGGTGTGTCTGTGTATGATGAGTGTACGTGGTGTCAATGAGAGAGAGTGAACGGAGAGAGAGAGACGAAGATTGAGGTCTGTAGTGTCTTTGTTTGAACTCACACACAGAGATTAAATTTTTATTCACGTCCAAATTCATAACGTTACACCGAACACGAGGTCCTTCCAGTTTTGGTTTGCGATGCTCTGAGCCAGTTGACAAGACATGACAATGGAGAGATGTATGAATGAATGAAGAGAAAGAGAACTTGGAGGAAGGGTCTTTGGAAAAAGCAAGCGATTACTATCTGGTGGAGATCAATCATGTCCAACCAAGCACTTGGAGTTCAGACAACTGAATGAACCATAATGCTAATGGACAAGATTGGTTTGGCGTCTGCGTTATCGAGTTCGCACCAAGTACATCGATCTCCATAGACTTGTCAATGATGTATTGTTCAGCCTCTATGATTGCAGATACATTGCCTCGGACGAGGTTTCATTCACACCAACTTAACCAACTTCGATCTTATATCTAATTAGTGATCACTTGGTGTGCAATGATATTAATGTTCAATCACATTGTTGTTGTTGTTGTTGTTGCAAGAATGTTGGATGAACTTACATTCAATAATTGTTGACCCCACTGAATATCATATCTCGATGTGATTCTGGGCAAGGATAATGATGGTGACATATTGATATCAAGGTCCAGATCGATTCGAAGGACAAATAGAAGAAGAGAAAGAGGAATGGAAAAGAGGGATTGTTCAATGAACCCTTATTATTGTTGATGTTGTAGTTGTATTTGGTTTGATGGCTTGGTAAATATCCAAGTTACTGCTGCATCTATTCATTCAATGCAACAATTACACCAAGAAGATGGTCAAACAGTTAACTTCAACACTTTAATTGAAACAGTGAACAGTTATTAATACCTACCTACCTACCTACATACATAGCATGTAGTGATCTATCTTTAAATCCGACAGTTGTTCTGAAACTCTGATTGTCTCTCTGTAGAGGCAGGCCGCAGTCTATGTAGTGTCAGTAGTTCTCAAAGTCAGGTCTGACTGATGCCATGCACATCGATGTGTGGGGTGGGTTCATCTGAGGCTTTTACCCAAACACCCATTCGTTTTATTGGTGTCTTTGAGAAATCGACTGAGATGTCTAAGTTTTTTCAAGCACTGGTCCCCCTTCAGTAGGCCCTGCCCAATAAGCTTCGTCTTGAGTGTGTTTCGATTGCCCATAAACACACCAGATAGGTTGGCACTAAACCCAACTACAAACACACAAAGTCAGTCAGCCGTCTGTTTGCATATCATACAACACAACTTCATATACACATCAAAGGTTGTTGTTTGTGTTGTGTGTTTATGTGTTACTTGTGTCTTCACTTCTTTCAACAACACTCATTCATTCATTCATTCATTCATTCAAACTTATACTAGTTGAGAACAATAACAGATAGAGATAGATAGATAACATCTTAAGATATATATATTTATAGGATACATAGAGAGTGAGATCAGTTGTTCCAGGGGATACTTGGTGTATATGAACTATGAGCACAGGAAGTAATAACTCTAGACATGTCAAATAACAACAACACTCCAATCAATAACAACAATACCAGCTCAAGTAAGCTGCAACAGATCTCATTCAGTGACTTTAATAGTGTAATCAATAATAATAATAATAATAGTACAAGTAATAATAATAATAATGATGGAGTTGAAGGTGCAGATACATCATCATCACAACAGCAACAACAACAATATGGACAGAGAAGTCAAAGTCAAATGGTCATGACAAGACTTGGAAAGAGTCAAATGAATCTGCGAGAGTCACATATTGGTGAATGGAGTGAATCGTCCGAAGATAGTGCAGCAAGACATAGCCATATTGAGGATGGTTACGATGGCAGTGTGGTCAATATGATGGACGATGACGACTCGTCCGCAAGATCGGTCGACGACGATGGCTCAACGACGTCGTCGCACAGTGACACCAGCTCAGAGTCCGACATCGAGATGGACACCTACAACTCAGAGTACAACATGCACGACGATGAAGAGGAGGAGAAACGGCGTAAACGACGAATGTTAATATATAAGCGATGGTATGTGCGCTTTGACTTTCTAATGGAGCACATCAACATCGTACTCAGTGTACTCTCAGTTGGCATCTACATTGCACTCAGTTACATGGATCCAAATGCACACTCATCCTTCCAACTCAACCTATTCCTTCTCGTTCTTTCCATCTTCTTTGTCATTGACTTTGTCAGATGTCTGGTATTCACAAAGAATAAGTATGTTTGTGGACAGTCGCGTCTGTCTGGTGGCACATCATTCAATCAATCAATCATTCTAACATTCATTATGTAACAGACGGAAGTACCTCAAGAAGACATCGACTATCTTGGACATTATATCACTACTTCCAATATTTGTCACATTGTTACCCAACTCTTTGGTCAACGTCGTCCCTCTGGGATTCCTCAGAATTCTCAGGATATTGAAGGCTCCAAGGATATTCAAGTTGCATGGTGCTGGAAGTAAGTCGCATCAACATGGTGATCACCAAGCCAAGTCCTAACTAACATCAATCCAATCCCACTCCTATCCAGCCATTTGGTTAAAGACTAGTCAGCTGCTATTGTCACTGTTCATATTTATTATTTTATTTGCATCGATGATCACATCGGTCGAAGGCATTCCATTCCATACATCGATTTACTATGCCGTGGTCACACTGTCCACAGTAGGATATGGAGACATCACTCCACAGACCAATCTTGGTCGTATACTGGCAAGTGTAATGATCCTCATGGCACTGATGTACTTGCCACTTAAGTCATCTGAGCTGCTGGCGCTTCTCAACGCATCAAAGTGTATGTATATACCATGTGTTCGCATAGGCATCGTCCAATCCAAACTAACACAACTCAATGTAGCATGGGATCGAGGCTTCAAGACCAGCCACAAGAAGTACGCCGCCATTGTTGGCAATATATATGAGAGATCCCTCAACACATTCACCAAAGAGTTCTTCTTTAATGCAAGTCATTTGGGAGCCATCGCTTGGCCACTCCATCCTCTCTCTGATTGATGAACTAACCGCTGCTCACCCACTACAGTCAAGGATCAAACCAATGCCACTTCTTGTCTTTAACAGCCAGGAACCACCCGAGTACTATGCACCAATGATAAATCACAACAAGATCAAGAAGCTTGTAACCTTTATAAAGGGTACACCTGGTGTATGTACATACATATCCAATCGATCACCTGTCATGGCTCCACCTACTCACACAGGTTATTACCAAATGTAGAAAGGAGACGATATTGATCGATCAAATTTGAGAGGAGCGAGTAGCATATTCATATTCTCCAAGCAATCGATGGACGACACAAACGATGACATGGACAACATCTTGAGAGTACTCACAGTGAGAGCATTCATTCACAATACACCTATATTTGCACAAGTCATGAATCCAAGGCTAGTACCAAAGATGTTGACTGCTGGTGCCACTCAAGCCATATCTATCCAGGAGTTGAAGATGGTACGTACATGACGCTCGCTAAACAATAACACTCAATGACTGACCCATGTCCACACAATAGAACCTGCTTGCTCAGTCTTGTCTATCACCTGGCTTCAGCACACTTCTTATGAATCTACTGCGATCAGACTTGCACAACTACAACGACTTTGATGAGTATGGCTCAGGCAACAGCTATGAGATATTCACTCAACGATTCTCCAATGTATTCGTTGGACTCCCATTCAAGAAGGTTGCCAATGTATGTTTGTTCATTAATGACACATATACCAACACATGGAACTAATGCAATATCTTTCTCATTCATCATAGTTTATATATGACCGATTGGGTATGATTGTATTTGGAATAGAATCAGTGATCCATAGGAAGCAGAGGATCAAGATGAATCCATCCAAAGACTATATCATACAGGACCACGATAGTGGCATCCTCTTGGCCAAGAGCAAACTGTCCGCCCGAAGGATCAGGTTTGTCACACTCGAGATGTTGGCCGAGAAGAATGTCGACTCTACCAATGACTCTGTAGCTGTAAGTACACCTCTCACACAGTCTCATATCGATGGAATAAGGTTGGCTAACATCATTCATCATTCATAGATGGAAGCTAAAGTAGCATGGAAGTATGATAATAATACAAACAAATATATGTAAGTTGTTGTTGCTGTTTGAACGATCCAGGCGATGCTTCCCTGATCCAAACTGGTCTAACATTCACTGTCAATCAATCAATATAGATGTAAACTTATATTATCCGAAAAGGTCGATGGCGCTAAATCGCCAAAGAATCGTGGCAAGTCATTGCATAGGCTCATCATCGAGAAGAAGAAGGAGCTGAACCATGACTTGTCCGTTCTTCAAACAGTTCACAGACTTGACAACCCGTCAGCCAATGTCAAGGATTTCTTCAACAACAGCAACAGTAACACTAGTAACACCAGTAACAACAACAGCAGCAGCAGTGGTGGTGCTCACCAACACCAAAGGTACAACAGTAACAATAGTGACACATCAAACATTGACTTTATGTCATCGGAAGAGACATTGAGCGAAGGTCAAACCAACCTCTCGCCCGTTCCCTCTGACCTCAGTTTGACGATGGGCGTCTACACGCCACCACTGCCACCCCCTCTCGCGCAATCGACTAAGGCACCCAAACAATTCTGGACGACTAGGTACTTCCAGGACTACCTGGTCGACACGTGCGAGGACATTCAATCAATCAACAACCACATCATCCTGGCTGGACATATTATGAACATCGAGTTCTTTATCCATCCACTGCGCGACTCTTATCTGCGAAGATACGATCCAATCGTCGTGCTGACGCCCAAGTTCCCCGAGTCTGAATGGGAAAAGATCAGCAAGTATCCAGAGGTCTACATTGTTGAAGGCAATGCCGCCATCTTCCGCGATCTTAAGCGAGCTGGCATTCTCAAGTGTTCCAAGCTTGTTGTGCTCTCGCAAGAGACACACAGCAGAGAGCCCTTCATCAATGACAAGGACACACTACTGGCGATCATCTGTGCCAAGGATGTGATCAAGAAGCACAACATCTTCCCCATCTGGGAGTTGGGTATGTACACTGCCTGTCTGCCATGATCAGCACCTTCTGGACACTTCTAACTAATCACATCCATATCCACACACACTACAGCCGACCCGCTCAACCTACACCTGCTGCCAGACAATCATCGATGGAACCAGAACGACCCATTCTACATGGCACCATCATTCGCCAGTGGCAATGTGTTCCTGAGCACAGTGTTTGACAGTCTGTTGTGCCAGTGCTTCTTCAATCCTCACTTGCTGGCACTGATACAGATCCTGGTCGGAAAGAGTGATCAGGTGACCAGCCGCACAAAGATCTTCCAGGTGGACATACCCGAGAACTTTATTGGACAACGGTTTGGATACCTCTTTGAAACACTACTTGGCTGCAACATCATATGCATCGCACTGTTCAGGAACAAGATGGATGGCAATGGCAAGTTTGTACATACCAATCCGGCAACGTCCACACTGCTCCGCCAAGACGACAAACTGTTCATCATGCACAGAGTCAAGTCGTACAACAATGCCATCAACAATAAGTAAATATTAGATCGATTGATTGATTGGACATTATATATTATATTATTATATTACACATGTACGTATGTACGTGAGGCCTACCTATTGTAAGCTCGGCGTATCATTCGTTTGGTAGTACTGGCTAGGTATATCATCTTCCTCGTCTTCGTTGTCATCATCTAATAATGTCTCTTCCTCCTCTTCTTCCTCGATTATATTGTTGATTGGCAAATAGAGTGGCAATTGATTGCTCGCTTCCAACAATCGCTTACTTCGATAGTACTTGACGGCGTATACTATGGTGATCGCTAATAGGATAAATCCAAGTGAATCAAAGATGACGACCAATGTCAGTGTACCATTGTTGTAGTAGGGAGGTGGAAACCACATCACTTCAGTCGGTTGATCATTGTTATAATAACAAGCAAAGGTGTAGCCCACTGAGTATCGATATGTGTAGTGCCGTACCCATGACTCGTCAGATGACCATAGTCCACTGATCGATGTTGATATGTTGTTGCCATAGCGATCGATATAAGTCACATTTGAAATGCCATGTACACAATAGTTGTTCAAGATGTTGCATCCTGATGATGATGATGAAGATGAAGATGAAGATGAAGATGTTGATGTATCATTTGATGATGTACTATTGCCATTGTCATAAAGTGAACTAGAGTCGCTCGAACTACCATCACTGTCACCATTGTCACCAGATGGAGATACATATTTGAAGAAGAAGCTGTCGCCCCATATTCTGTACCACCATATCTGTGAGTTGTATCTGTAGCAATCCTCATCAAAGCAACCTGTTTCTATATGTTTGTTGACTACCTGGCATTCAGACCGCGAATATGATCGCGCCTTTACAATCTGTGTACGTGTCCATGATTAGTTTAGTATCAAGTGTGCGCACTGAGACTTCGACACTGCGACCCGCAACCTACACTTGGTACTAGATCGTTAAAAGAGAATCCAAGACCAACTGCCATGAACAAGACGAACATCAAACATGAGATGATCAGGAACACTTTGTTCCGCCTACATTTCTCATCCAATAGATTGTTCTTAATGTTACTGTGCATCGTTTATTTGTTTGATTGATTGAGTAGTTGTACCAGGTAGTACTACTACAGAGGGTACATCGATTGAGGATATATATATTGTATATGTATATGTATATTTGTTGTTTGTTAATAACTTAAACACATTTATTCATTCAATCATTCATACGATCACACTTGGGTAACAAAGTTGATGGAAAGGTTGTCGCTCGTGTGATATGCACACACTAATTTCGGGCCAATCTTTGCTTTTCCAGAATCTCTGGACTTTCCTGGTTCAGAACATTCGCCCATAATCAAGATATATTTGATCGATTGATTGAATGATTGAATAATTGAATGGTTGATTGCTCCCATTGATTGGATGGATATTAATAAAATGAATAAATATAAAAGATGTGATGGAGAGATAGACCTTTAGAATTCAAAGGTCTTGTGTTTGGGACTCCTCCATGGATATTTGCTGGGATCACTCATTTGCAACATGGTGTAGAGTACCAGCTCGTGACCGAATGGTTTCTTGGTGTTGGTGTACTCGAGGTTGATGGACTCATCACCTGGTGCAATGGACCTTGCATCATAGCCAATGATCTGAAGGTTGGTACCATTGTTTCTTAGTTCTCGTAGGTTCTTAAAGTCTTCTTGCTGTGAAGCCAAGCGTTCATAGTAATTGCAATAGAATTGACGACATTCCAGTGCTCCAAGACGATGCTCCTTGCCATCTGGCGTATACCAAATGAAGCAGTCTGGAATCTTTGGCTTTCCATTGCTGTCCTTGTACTTGTGACGATGTGGTTCGCTGTCTTGGAACATCTGATCACGACTCTTGCGATAGCGATCACCCACCACCTTGCCGGGACCAGCTTCAAAATCCTGCTCGAAGCACTTGGAGCCTTGGTGGAAGTTCTCAATGTTCAAAGAGGGCGGCGCGTTTGGTTGGTTGTGCACAACCGGTCCCAGGCTCATAGGTGAGAGCGACGGCATGCCCAGGCCATCCTTGCGTCCGCCGTGCTTAAAGTTGGGGAATACCTTTTGATAGCCATCGAGCTGCTCGGGCGACTTCATCATACGCAGTTGAGACAAAACCACGTTACCAGGCCGCTTGGCACCATGGTTCACCAGACGTGCCTTTTCAATCTTGTCAGCCTCGCCCTGCATCTGTTCAACCAGTCGTTTCTCCTTCTCTGCCGCCGTTGGTTTTGGCAGAGACTTGGCACGAGACTTGTAAGATTTCGAATGAACGCCACATAGATAAAGTGGTTGTTTCTCTCCCGTCACACTAAAGTACGCATTGTTACTACATATCTTTGTAGTAGACATGCATTTAACCTCTCCATAATATATAACTCGGTTGTCTTTGTCATTGTCATTGTCTTTTTTTAATTTCTTTGTTGTTGTTGTTGATGTAGTTGATGTTGTTGATGTTGTTGAAGTAGTGGATGTTGTTGGCTTCTTCTTTGGTACAACAACTTCTTCGCCACTGCTGTCACTGCCGCTGTCACTGCTACTGTTGTTACTGTCGCTCTCTTCTTCAATATCCATTCGTCTTTTGCTCATTGCTTTGATCTTGGTCCTTGTTTGTTATGTGACAAGGTATTTATAACTGTTTGGTTGGAGATATAACAAGGGAGTTGAGAAGATAATAAGTTACTCTCATGATGACACGAACATGTTCAGATTGTTTGGGCGAACTGTCATTTCCGAGAAATGAAACAGTTGATTTTCAAAGATGTCTGTATGTGATACACTTCTGATTCAGTATCATGTTTTCTTTTGGCTGTTTTTATCTCTTTGAAATAAGTGGTGGAACATAATATGTTGGACCGAAAAGTCTATAATATTATGTCATTTGTTAAATCAATTGATAAGAACATATCTCAGACCAATATGCTTTGTTATTTCCGCACGATTCCTCAAGTACGGGTGAGATCCTGATAGGAGGAGTAGGTATATCAATCATGCCTATCCAGACAATGGACAGAATAATCGATCCAACAGGATATACCACTACAGATCTAACAACACAAATTAGAGAGGGCGATGAAATCTTTATCAACTATGGCTCAGAAGAGTATTGGGATATTTCGGAAGAGAATAACCCTTCACGATTTATATTTATAAAGAGTTGACTTGTCAACTACATGGAACCAATCTACAAGTATGATAGATGTTTAATTAATTGATCATCATTTTTCTGACTGAACTGTTCGATGAACTCGTGCGGCGAGGGACCTGCCTGCATGCCCTCTCCGAGTTCGGGAAAAACAATCAACTCGATGAAAAACACGTTTATTATGAAAAACAAACACAATGTTTGTCAGTTGGTTGATGATACACGCATATAGATAAAGATAGATAAAGAGATAGAGATAGAGATAGAGATAGAGATAGAGATAAAGAGATAGAAAGAAGATATGTCTAATAGGGAGCGAGTATTATACTGGCCCGAAACATATACCAACATTAAGGAGTTGGGTCGGGGTGTGACTGGTGTAGTATACAAGGCTATAAAGAAAGACACATCCGATGAGTTCGTTGCAATCAAACTAGTGGACATCAATCAGAACAGAGCCAATTGGGTGTAAGTGAATTGATGTGAAGTGATGTGAAGTGATGTGGACTGTCTTCATTGTACTAATATCATTCAATCAATCGATCACATCATTCATTCATTCATTCATTCATTCATTCATTCATTCAATCAATCATTCAGTCAGGTTCAAGGTGAGATCAATGCACTACTCGCGCTCAACTCGCCTGATCAACACATTAACATTATCAAGATGATTGACTGTTTTGTATGTAGTTCAATGTATGATCGACTCGCTCAATCACTAACTCGATCGATCAATCAATCAAACCAAACATTCAATCAACAGAAACACAAGACGACAGCTATATTTGTGTTGGAATATATAGATGGTGGAACATTGGAGGACTTGATGCTCACGTTTGATTATGGTCTACCATTGTCGCTCGTGTCACATTTGGTGTATCAACTTTGTAGTGCAAGCGAGTTTATGAACAATCACAAGTGTTCGCACAGGGATATCAAGCCGGCCAATGTCCTGCTGCACAGTCTCAAGCAGAGGACAATGAGCAACATCAACAACAAGCTCAACAATCACAGCAATGATCTTCAAACACAGAACAACAACAAGTACAGTTATCATCCAGACGACCTACCCATTCTAAAGATCACCGACTATGGCTATGCCTCCATCACCAAAGACATCAACGACATGCACTCTACACTTGCCGGATCGCCTCTCTACATGGTAAGTATGGGGTGCGCGCGGTCGTACGTACCCTTGGCGCCACTCACTCACTCATTCATACATACGTTCATAGGCACCAGAGATCATACATATCATATTGGCACCAAACTTGGATACTCAGAAGGGCAAGATTATGTCAGGGTCGACCACTGATGGCTACATACCATTGCTTGTAGATATCTGGGCGATTGGTGTTGTAACGTTCAGACTCATAACAGGAAGAGACCTGATCAATGTAATATTCCCACAACTGGACCAGACCACCGTGCTTGGCGCCCTGGTCAACTTGGCCAAGATGATTGACAGCGGGGAGTTTCTGCGGTCTCTCTCGCTTGTACCACAAAAGTAAGTGGCCTAGGCCGGACTTGTGTTCAAAGAGATGGCATGTCAACTAACAAGACGACACCTGATAGAATGAGAGAGTTTGGAGTCACTGATGACTCTTGTATCGATTTTGTCACCAGCCTACTCAAGTTGAATCCGAGAGAGAGGCTGTCACTGAACACTGCACTGGCACATCCATTCCTTCACTATGGTCTACTGTCATTCAATCACACGATCAACCAGAACCATCAACAGCAATTCATGCACTCGAACATCCCATCCGACATTGACAACCTCAAGACAGCCGAGCAGCTCAACATGGCCAAGCCAACTCCCTTCTACTTGAATCAGAATGGACAAACTCAATCGCAGTATGATCAACAACAACAGTATCAATTGCAACAACAGCAACAGCAACAACAACTACAACTACAACAACAACAACAGCAGCAACAGCAACAGCAACAGTATCAATCACTGATGCAACCTCAATATCAACAACAGCAACAACAGGGCTTTCCAAATAACAACAATACTCGACTGCAAACTCCTGCATCGCCTTCGACTGCGGCTATGATGAACAATACTCAAGTCACACCACTTCCTCCCATTCCACCCAACTACCATGAATCGATCAAATGGCGTAGTCCACCCGTCTATTGCAATGACGGTATCAAGTGGTCGACACTGGCGCAGGACCCACTGTTCCAGGTGCAATACAGTGTGTTCACGTCGTTCCTAAAGACATTCTCGTCCAAGGCCGATCACACGTATCGTATCATCACACAGACAAGAACGGCGCCCATCGAGATTGGCGTGTCCAACGATAAGGAGTGCATCATGTACATGTACTGTATTATCAAGTCTGCCATCACACCCCAGACCATCACCATGTCGAACGAATCCTTTTACTCTGCACTGTCCTCCATTCTTCACCAGCTGAATCAAGAGCAAGAGACCATATCATTCGCCTCTGGTTGGACTACACTGTAGCTGCCTGTCGTTCGTCTTGGAGAATCATGCCGTAGACAATCATTGGATAATAACAACTCTTATTTAAACTCTCGAACAAGAGCATTAGTCTAACATGTTGTTTCTAACTCTAATGGCAATTCAAAATACAGACAAACAGTTATCATGTTGTTTATAATAATATATCCATTGTTCTCGACCAATCAATCTACTTGGCCTCCAACAGTTTGTCAAACTTCCTTTGATCCAAAACAATGGAGGCAACCTCGTCAAAGAACTGATCCTCTTGTATCTTTCGTTGTGGTAGCTGTGTGAATAGATCGATGCATTGGTCATAGGTGGCCGATTCCAGATCGGCAATGAATAGTCGCAGGATAGCCAGTGATGTGCGGTATACAAAGATCTCACCCTCGAGGAATGTCAAGTCCCATATCCTCGTGGCAATGTCCAACGGTAGAGTCTTGGAGAACAATGTTGTGATCCAGTCGACCAAGTAATGTTTGGCTGATATACCAACGTCCTTAAAGTGTTTGTGTAGTTTTGGTAGCATTGCTTCAACTGTCGCATCCATTGCATTCAAGTACTTTGGTATCTGATTGATTGGATAGTGTGTGCGCGCGTTAGACTTGGTGCACCCTTTGTTGATGTGCGCGATCACTTACACCTGATTGATCTTGTCTAAAGAATGCTAGGAAACAGTTCTTGTTGATGTGATTGGAGAGACATTGGAAGGCGTCGTACTTTTCCATGTTGAGCAGGAACATGGCACCAAGGAAAGTCATACCGGGTACATATCCAATATCGGGTCGATTGCAAATGTATGCGCCCAGCACATCTATCAGGTCGTTGTGCAGAGGTCCACTCTTTTGAAATATCATCAGTGAGGGGAAGGTGTCCTGTATATCCTGTAGAATGAGGCCAAGACTGGTGGACTCGACACCAAGCACGTCCTCATTGTCAAAGTCGTCGCTGTCCTTCAACACACTCTTGCCATTCAATGAGTGCTTCCTTCTTGGCGGTGAGTCATCGTCGTCGTTATGTTTGGGCGAAGTCACCCTATTGTTCCTGTTGAATGCCAACAGAGCATTGTTCGCATGTCCCAGTGATATAGTAAATAGATCATTCGTGATCCTCAAGTCATTTCCAACTGCCATCTTCCAAACCTTTCCTCTCACAGCTGGTGGTAGTCCACGCCATGATACCTCTCTAATCCTTTTCATTATACCTGGATCCTTCCTATATTGAGTTGTTTGATTGATCGAATGTGTAAGTGAATGAATGAGCGGCGATCAATCAATCGATCAATCGATCAATCAATCGATGAATCAACCTACTTCTTTGGGTCCCAATTTGGTATTATATCATCTTCCCAAACTCGTCTTGCGTCTATCAATGACTTCTCTTTCTCCTTTCGCACTTGATCCTGTTTCTCTTTCTCTTTTGCTTCTTTCTCCACTGAGTTTGGTTGATTGAATGATCGTATGAGTGAGTGAATGAGTCATGTTTGAGCGATGATGATACAATACATGTCTTCTTTGCTTTCTTTTGTATCTCTTCGTATTCTCTTTGATGCTTTGCTATCTCTTCTTGAGACTTTGGTGGCAGTTGACTTGGTCGTCCTTGATCGAGCATTGAACCAGGGTTGAATATCAAATTGTCTACCTTTCCCGTTGCTATCATCTCCTTAATGTTTGAAGGCTGTTGTTGTGTGCCTCCATTATTACTCATTCTTGGTTGTTGTTGTTGTTGTATGTTGTTCTCTAAAACTTATATATATATATTGTGATACAACTACTATTACTTTACATTATCACTTCACCTTCATTCAAATTACAGTTATAGTATTAGTATGTAGATCATCAATAATTTGAAAAGAGTGGAGTGTTGGGTGTTCAAAAAAATAAGGTGCGAAGGTGGGACTCTTCGGGTCACAAAATGATTAGATTCTAACAATAAGTTTACCAGATTAATTGGAGTTAGAACCATCTGGAGATTTAAAAATCAATTTTAATTTATTTATTTATCTAATCTTTAATTATTATTAATTTTTTTATAAATAAAAAAAAAAAATAAAGTTGAGGAACCTACCATATTGTCTTATTTTTTATCTTTGGAAACACTTACAAATAAATAAATATATATAGAATGGATAATCTACCAGAGTTAATTCTACAATATATATGTGAAAAGTTTATAATGAATAGCACTACCGTCCTGGAGAAACAATAATCAAAAATCTAGAAACTTTATACTAATCAATCAAAGATGGTTTTCCAAATGTAAAAGATATTTATACATCAAACCTTTATTTTAGAAAGATGGACCTTCATTTAATAATGGTTCTCCAAAGGAATGGTTATTATAATAGAATCTATTTTTTCGAACATTAAAATAAAATAATTATTATTATATTAATTAATTAATTATCCACTTTGGAATTCATTCAAACTTTGTTGATTGATTTCCATATTCGAAGTGTACAATCTGTTGAGATGGACGCCAGGACGTTGCGATTCGGATGGTGCATGATGCTAATCACTTCCTTTGGATGTAGCTCCATTGATTGTAGATGTGTGCCCTTGTCAACGTCGAAACAATGTAATATGTTGTCCTCGGACACTGCGTAGAGATAGGTCTGCTTGGGTGATAGTGTACAACAAAGGAAGTTCTTGTTGTTGTCCAATGTAAACTGCTTGGTGATGGTCTGTGTGCGTATCGACATGATGCAGATGATGGGCGATGCATTGCAAATGAGTACCAGGTCTGGATTGTTGCGCATGCCAATCACACCGCGAACTGATATGTCTTTGATTCGAACTGATTGTGTTGGCCTCAGTGTCTGTAGGCACTCTGCCGACTTGGCGTCCCAAACACGAACCGTTGCATCACTCGAGCATGATACAACACGGTCCTCGCTCTCTGTAAAGAAACAATCATTCACAAATGAGTTATGTCCTCTAAACACTTTGAGTGACTTTCCAGACTTGAGTCCATGTATTCTAAATTGTTGTGATGTATGAGTGAGTTTGATTGATTGATTGATTGATTGATTGAGTGAGGCGATCACATACTTTAGTGTTCCATCGAATGATCCTGAAAGGACTTGAGTGGCATTCTTGCTGAAGTATAGACATGTGACACCTTGAGGATGTGCAGGTTCAAACTTCCTCAGACACTTGCCCGTTCGAATGTGCCACACCTTGATATGTCCATCGATTGAACCAGATGCCAGATACTCTCCATCTCTCGAGAAGTTCAAACACAGTATCGTCTTGTCATGCATCATGAAGTCGTCCTATCATATTATCAGTGGAGTGAGTAAGTGATTGATTGATCACGTGATCATGTATGCAGGCGAACACACATACATTTGATTGATATGGTAGATTGGTCGCAAGCTTTCCTGTTGAGTAGTTCCACACCTCGATGAAACCGTCGACACTGCCTGTGACAAGGTATTGGGCATCAGGGGAGAATCGACAGCATTCGGGATAGTTCTTGTCTTGGAACTTGATGGTGCGGTCCAGCGTTGTGGGTATGTCCTCTTCCTCAGAGGCCGCCGATGACGAGGACAGCACCGAGTCGCCACGGAACAAGTCATAGTCAGCACCCGGTGCCACAATGCCTTGATACTGCTGCCACTTTAGTGCCTGTGCCAACAAGCTCATCAGTCGCGATGGCTCCACAGACTGTATCTCTTTGCCAAGCAATGTGGCCAGTTGAGCACGTCGCTTATCCGTCGACACGCCCGCATCGTAGAAGTCGCGCAGATCAACTGAACCACGCTGCAGGTAATGCTCCAAGCGCAGATACCTATCGATGTTGTTCAGTCTGAGATGATTCATCGCCTCACTCTTTCTCAGCAGTGACTTGGCCAGCTCCAACTCGCCCATGTCCAACATCTCCACGATGATCTGCTCGTATAGATCGACTAGACTTGCCGGTGACAGTTTGACATGAGCTAACTCCATCAACACCTTATCCCAACGGCCTTGTTTAACATCATCCAAGAACGTATCTCTATGTTGTATCGTATTAAGATTGACTCCAGTCTCATTCTGCAATGCTGTCAATGTACTCAACAATGCATTCTCTTGACAGAACTGTAGTATCAGTTTGATAACACTGTGATTGATTCATTGATTGATTGAGTTGAGTTGAGATGAGTGAGTATGTTATTCATCATTCATCAATCAAGATATACATACTCCTTTGATTGAATATCAAGTGTATTGCCTGCTGGTCCACTCATTATGATGGTATAGTATACTGTTATAACTAAATAGAGATAATGAGTCGAGACGAATGAATGAACATCAAAGTGTCATTCCCCAAATGCACGAGGGTAAGTGTGCGAGGGTAAGTGTGTGAGGGTATGTCTGCGAGGGTAAGTGTGCGAGGGTATCTTCGCGAAGAGCGAGGGTAAGTGTAACAGAAGCTGGAAGACCATGATTTATTGATACTGTCCATGATGGTGATGAGTAAGTACTTTACTTTACTTGGCCTGCTGAGCGAGTACTTTCTTGAATATGACGATGAACTCATTGAAATCGATCTCGCCACTGTTGTCCTTGTCAGCTAGTTGCATGTGGCTGTCGACCAGTCTGGTCATCATCATCTCACCAACACGCTTGGCAATGGTCGCGCGAAGAAGTTGTGCCAGTTCAGTGCGATCGATCGTGCCACTCTTGTTGGCGTCGTATTTGTCAAAGGCGACGCGGGCCTCTGCCAGCTCGGCGTCTGTGAGCACGACCTCCTGGTGTACGACCTTTGGTGCATTGGCGCCAGTCTCAAGTGTGTGATGGACTTCGGGCGACTTCTTGTAGCCCATATGGATTGGCAACTCTGGGTTGAGGTGGATCTTTGAATAGAGTGATGCAAACTCCTCAAACTCAATGACGCCATTGAAGTTCTTGTCCGAGTCATTGAACTGCAGCTCCAAGTACTTGTTAAATAGCATGTCACTGACCTTTCTCTTGAGTGTCTCCTCTAGAACTCCTCTCAACTCGACCTATTATAGTTGTTGTTGTTATTGTAAGATATGACTATTCATTCATTCATTCATTCAATCATTCAATCAATCACATGACATACTTTGTCCAATGTTCCACTCTTGTCTTTGTCGAACTTGTCAAAGACAGTTCTGATCGTGGTCAATTGCTCTGGTGTAAGTGGTGTGGCGGTAATGGTAGACTAGATGTTGTTGTTGTTGATGTGGTTAGCTAATGATCATGCCATGTCGAGTCAAGTCACGTGATCTAGATGATTCCTACCATTATGATGATGATACAATTATGTTTATAAATAGAGGTTTGTTTTATATATATAAATGTTATAACAGATAATTTAATTTAACAATAAGACTGCAGGACTCTCGTGATATTGATATGTCTCATCTTGGTCATTATCGGCCCAACGTTTCAATCTCAGATACTTGATTTTGAATCAATTTTGATCAACTGCTCAAGTGGTGGGTGTGTGAGTTGGTTGGAGAGAAGGCACTCAAAGGTGTGAATGTTGAAGTGATCATTCAAATAATGGTCCATAAAGATTATGATGACTAGTCATCTTCGGAGATGGGACCAATCGAAGTAAGGAGAAGTACATCACTATTATCCCTAGTATAAACAATCGATACTTCTATCTACCTACAAATAATCTTTGATGTTTGACTGATAAGTTGTTGTCTTGTCTTGTTGTACAACAAAACATTAATTAATTTTAACTTGTCCCAGCTGTTTGATGATGCAACACCAAACAAACACAACCATTCCATTTTTACGATCACCAATTCGATCAACAATGATGACGAGGGCCTTATTTTATTAATAATTGATCATAAATCTAGATATTCGTACAGGTGTGTACATCCTATTGTTGTTATTGTTTGTTTGTAAGTTTTGTGTTGGGTCCTAAGACGAGTCCACACCTCTTGATCACAACACAACCCCCTCACACTCACACATCCCACTCATGTGTTTGTTTGATTAATCAAACACATCATCAGATGCAAACAGGATCATAAACAATCACCAAACAGACAGATATATTTATTATATACATTATATACATATACATATACATATAAATAGATATAGATAGAGATACAAAGGCGGATAGAGTTTGATCAAAGATGAAGTTGTTTGTGTTGTTCATTGTTTTGATGTTGTTGATGTCAGCAGTGTTGGTGTCATCCAAGACCAAGAGCAATAATAATAAGAAGAAGAAGAATCCATCATCAACAACAATATTAACATTCAATGATACAAATAATAATAATTACACTATTATGGATGAGGTCATAACTGAACCAATGTACACATCGACTCAGTGCACCTATCAACTATTCATCCTTATTGCCACAAACAACTCAAACTCCAACACCAACACCAATGAGATGGTATCACTCGAATCCACCAACTGCACATATTGGACCAAACAGGCATTGATATGCTCACATGTTTTCCATTTGGAATACAACGCCAATCACATCAATACGTCATTGGTGATGGGCAATCAGACTGTGGCCCAGCTATCCTACCCGATTGATTCGTGTGTCCTGCCATCCCAGCAGGAAGTAGGCACGCTCAATGCATCGATTCAGTCATATTCCATCGAGAGAGCACCATACCCATCGATGGACAGTGGAACGTGGCGCATCAAACTGTCGCTTAGTGCCAATTACAGTGCGTCGTGGATGCTCACTGGCCAAATCAGTCAGTCGAATGGTGCCGCGGCATCATGCTACTCGCCATCACAGTTCACATTCACCTTTGACACATTGCTGTCCCACCATTACGTCGATCTCCATCTTCTCCCATGTGCCAACCGCGAAGTACCAGCCCTGAACGTGACCATATTTGGCATTTACAATGACACTGCTTCACTACTCATTCCACTTGGATCACTTAACAATGGTAATTATCTTGATTGATTGAACGAAGTGAAGTGATCACTGACATTAACCTCGCTTCGCCTCACCCCACCCACTCACACACTGGAATGATTCCACCAATAATAGATACCAAGATTGAATTGACAAAGCCATTGTCAAATGGAATGTTTGGACAACATGTTGGATTGCTAGCATATACTACAAACTTTAGCGAACCTACTAATATCTTGCAATATCAGAGAGACTTTAACAATTATTATCAAGCTGGCAACACACATTTGGTGTCGGGTACATCTGAGCAAGGAGTAGTATACGCCTACCTTGAAGGACGTAACCAAAAGGATGGCATCAAGCTTCAATTGATAAACATATACCAAGATTTCACCATTCACTCTGAGAACACAATCAATGTGTTTGGTATGTTATGTAAATGATTGACACCGTCATGGGATCATTCCATCCATGATCCAATCACTTACTTACTCATTCATACATCCATAAATATACAGATAATCAACAAACAATGAAGGTGAACATATCTCAAGATGGCAATATTTTGTTGATTGTATCGGAACAGACTGTCAATGAGACCATAGATAGTATTGAGTCGGCTACTACTTCTGGATATGAGTTGGATGTCTCATATCCATTTGGTTATGGAGCTGGAACACTCTCATCTTACATCCACACAGTATCGATCCCAACAAAGTCTCCAATCCAAGTACGTCAATCAAGTTCATCACGCATATATACATCAACATCAACGTCAACATCATCAACTACATCAACTCCATGGATATCATCCATCGAGTTTATCAAGTCCACTTCAACATTGTACATGGTCCGCATAACAGCTGGCGATGACAATGGAGTCAGTAGAATAACACTGAACAGTGGCCACAATATTGAAGCAGTGGACAGTATCATTGATGGAGGTCTGACCAATGGTACTTTTGAGTATCCACTTCAATCATTCGATATACCATGTGTTGATGATCTGATTATCACAGTCATCAACAACCAGTTAGTATCCAGAGTGTACCGCACTGGTGACTACCTCTCCACCAACGACAAGTTGATTGAGGTGCCAAACTATCCACCTATATGTATGTTCGTTTTATTGATCGCCATCATCAATCACTTTATTAACAATCACTGAATCAATCAATTAGTGAACAACACTTTGGACACGATCACACACTTTGAGTATGGAGTGCCAACGACATCTGGCAACATATCCTTGGTGCTGTACTTTAATGTCAGCAATGCAGACACTGGTGTCATGCCAGTTCTCCACATTGATCTGTCCATCTTTGCGCAACATCAATTGTCTGGACAAGGCAATACATCGTTTGTAGGACGATGGAATGCCGTTAAGAACATGTTTGAGATACCATTCACCATCCCAATGAATCAAGGACAGCGTGATATCTCAATGTTCCTCAGACTCGACCGCCTTTATAGCTTCAACCTCTTGGCCGCCGTGTTAAAGTCCAAGTACGTCTCATTGCCCGTGAGCACTCAAACAGCACAGATCGATCACCTTCCACCCATGATCACCGAGATCCTGGCACTGGACCCAACGACAATTGGCAACTCTACAACTTTGGCATGGTGGGTCACAATCAATGACTACCCCAACGGCTTTGCCTCAGCACTGTTTGACATTGTGTCGGATGTTGACCCTCTCACTGTGACCGTCCCCGTGGACTCGTCAAAGAGAGTCAGTGGCAACAGCACTGTTGGTTCATACAAGCTCACCTATACCATGTCCACACAGTATCAATCGATGAATGTCACACTATTGGCCACACAACTCATTGATGCCGGTGGAAACATAGCCACTCGATCAAACGTATTCAGTCCACTGCTGTTCGGTGCGTCGTCCACTGTCAAGGTGCAAGGTGCCAACATATATGCCGGTGATGTGACGCCACCATCGATATCAGACTTCCTCATCACCCCATCCACCATCGACACACTGTCGCCAAACCGAACGATCCATGTCACTTTCACAGTCAATGATACAGACTCTGGAATCTCCTCATCCCACGTGCCGACAGTGTACATCACCTCATCCACTATGCAGGTCGTCAGTGCCAAGGCCATGGTCAAGACCAATTTAGCTGCAGCCATTGCCACCACATCATCATCATCAGTGAGCTACACCAGCACTCTTACTCTACCATTTGGATTTGGCTACGGCAACAACATAACAGTGTCAATTTATGGACTTGTGGACAACGCGTTGAACCTAAATGGATACTCATCATTCGATTTGGAGAAGATGTCAAATGGCAAGCCGGCCATCATTGAGGTCGCCGCGTCGCCACTGTCTGGCATGGGCGATCCATTGCTCAACAGCTACACCAACACAACGACGACTACAACATCGATGACAACGTTTGTTGTGCGTGGAAAGAATTTGAGACAGGTGAACCTCACTGCCATCACACTGGACTTCAAGAATGGCACGATCATCACGATCACACCACTCTTGGTCACAGCCACAACCCTTTCCTTTAGCGTCGGTCCATTCACCAGCGCAGCACAGCTCACCGTGGTGTCCACGAACAGCGGCCAGACGCGAGCCAGCATTACTTTGCAGCCAACCGCCAACCCGCCACACACTGATGAATCTTCGTCAGATGACTCGGGCACCCCGAGCGGCCAATGTCCCAACGCATGCAGAGGACATGGTCAGTGCAGCTCAACTGGCTGTGTCTGCAACGCCAACTTTTATGGCGTGGACTGTGGACTCAACTCCATGCTTGTGTCCAAGCCAGAGTTTGACACTGGCTACCCTCGCTACGTCCAACAGGACGCGGCACATCTACTACGCGCAACAGTGTTCTTGATGTCGTTGACAGAGAACAATGCCAGTTCAGGCGACATTGTGATCGATCACAACGTGTCATCACTAACATGGACACGCACAGAGAACACCACAATGGGCCAGAACATGTATAACTACACGACATCACTTCCAATGTCGCCTGGCAGTGTGATCAGCGTCGTGTTCAACTACTACCCTGTCAAATCAATCATACTCTTTGAAGGCGTCAACAGAACAATCATGGCCAATGGCGTCAAGATGGCTGTGGAGCTGTCCAACTACTCATTTGCCGCGGACAATCATACATTGCAGATGGTCTTGGGCACAGATGTAGCGGGCAGCCAAAGCACGGACTCGTCATGCAGCAACATCGAGCTGTACCCATCGATGGATCGCCTGCTCTGGGCCAATCTGCAGATCAACTCCAAGCTGTTGTACGCCGAGTTTGCCGACCAGGCCACAGTGTACGATCGCGCGGCCAATCACTCCAGCGTGATGCCAGTGACCAACAGATGGATCAACCGCAACAGCCAGTCCAACCAAACCAATCACATTGTGGGTCCCGTTGGCCTCCAGGTCGCCGAGTTCAAACAACAGCGTACCATCGAGTTTGAGGCGTTGTTCACCATGCTCCAGGACAGCGTGCAGCCCGCGGACAAGACTGGCGCGTACTGTCTGGTCAAGTCACCCAGGCTGTATCCAGGAGAGATCGCGGCCATCATCTTCTGCATGATACTCTTCACCATCCTCTCAATCACCATCGTCTATCAAGTCATCCAACGACGTGCTGCCAACAGGCGTGCCGCTGCACTCAACGATCATCGTGAGATATAAGTTGATTGATTGATCAATTGATTGGATTGATTGATTGATTGAGTGAGTGAGCGAGGCTCTTGGATGCCAGGATCCACCAATGGACGTCCATTGGTGCTGGACCAGGGTCGGGCCACCAACCCACCCACCCATTCGTAACGCCAAACTACGCCATCCTACTTCTTCCAACAACTACTCCATCTTCACTTAGCAATCAATCAATCAATCGAATCTGAATCGGCATCATCAAACAGATGGACGGATATAAACAAAACATACTTGTACACATTAACATTATACACATGCATGTCCTCCACCAAGTGTCACATGACTTTCTTTCTTATCTTGAGGACAAAGTGATGGTGATTCAAAGTTTCCAAGTGCATGCACTTGTGTTGTTTGTCAGCCACATGACGACTGATCAGTTTCTCCTTCTTAGATTGGTTGGATGGTAGTTGGGGTGGAAACACACACACTCTTGCTCAGAAGGTAAGTCCGTCACAACTGTTATCGTAAAACTTCCATTCAAGATATTTGTGGGGGTTTAGTTAGTTAGTGTGAATGTGTGATTGAGCGACCGGTCGCTCCAACACACACAAAATACACCACTTAGCTGGAATGAGTGTTTGCTTGTAGGCATCCTTTTGGGCCGAAAGGTGGTCCTAAAAAAAAATAATAAAATAAAATGATGGTGGTGTTGGTAATAAAAGTGATGATGGTTGAGTGAGAGAGACACCAAGAGAGAGAAATGATCAAAGACAGGGGCGAGTGTGTGATGGCGTGAGGCTTTTATGTATGTCAACAACACCTGAATGCGCTGATTGGACCTGCGTTGGATGGATTGATTGAGTGTTAGTGAGTGAGTGATTGAGTGATTGAGTGAATGTAGATACTTACCTTACAGACAAACAAGAGTGTTTACAACTATTACTACTACTTTATTTATCTACAAATATATAACAATTATACATACTTACAATCACTCATACATACACATATAAATAAACTAACATAATTTATTAGTCTTGGCGAAGAAGATTGTGTGTAGTGATAGATAGTGATAGTGAGAGTGAGTGGCACTACTAGTAGTTCGATCAGATCAATCAATTAGTTCAATCAATCAAGGCCCAGCCCCACCCACACATCGACCTCAAACCCCAATCCCGACCAACAATTCGACAACACAACAACAACAACAACCAACAACACATCTACAAAGGCGGCCCAAACGATGAATGTCACAAGGCCAGGAGCAAGTAACTTTGGTGCACAAGGTGCCAACAACAACAACATAAATAACATCAACAACAACAATACCAACAAGCAGCTGGGAATACTAAACAATGATACCTTCCTGTACAGAATCAATGAGCTCGAGGTAAGACACATGCGATCAATCAATGTCAATGTCAATCAATGTACTAATATTGGATGTCGAACATGATGTTAGGAGGAGAATGCAAGATTGAATAACAGGATAATTGAGTTGGAATCGATTAATGGCCGCTTGAAGGAGCAGTTGGAGTACTTCCAGACAAAGCTGTTGGAGAAGAGCCTCGAGGAGGACAGAGAACTTTCTGATTGTCTAGCGGATATCTATGAGAGTCTTACTGTCTCCCCGACACCACAGCAGCAGCAACAATTGCAGTTGTTGCAACAGCAGCAGCAGCAACATCATCATCACCAGCAGCAGCGTCCTGGTCAGTTCCATGGCAAGCCATCGGCGGCACCCCCTCCCAGCGCCATGAACAAGATCAATCTGAACAATGGCCACGGTGGCGGCCACAGCAATCCAGCGGCCAGCATATCACCACGTCCCGCGCCACCACCAGTCACTCAAAGAAAGCCTATACTCATCAGGAGCACGTCAGAGAGTCTCCTCCAGCAATCACCCGACACAGCAGAGAGTGGCGGTACGAACACAGCAGCTCAGCAGCAACATCAGCTACTACAACAGCAACAGCAGTTACTTCTACAGCAGCAGCAGCAACAGCAGCAGGCGCAGTTACTACAGCAACAACACGACGAAGAGAGGAGCAACTACTACAGCAACAACAATGGCAGCCAGCAGCAACAGCAGCAAAAGGTTAAGAACTGGTCGATCGCTGCGCCCAACCCAAAGGCACGCTCAGACACAGTGGCTGCCACGCCCAAGGAATCATTCATCCGACTGCCACCTCAGCAGTCGTCGCCACAGAACATGCCCGCCAACCGCATTGCACAGTCCAACTCCACATCATTCAATCAACTATCATCATCCACACCTGTATTTACAACCAACAACCAACACAACAACGGCAGCCACAGCAGTCCGATATCACTGTCGTCATCGATCAACAACACATCATCCTCGTCGTCGCTGTCGGGCTCGCCACCCAACGCCACCTCGTCGCTGCTCAAGGCCTTGCCGCCCGTGCCCGCCGAGCGCAAGACCGTCAAGATGTCGCCAGTCAACCCGGGCGGCTTGCCAAATGGCGGTAGCAATAACAATCCACTTACGAGATCGATGCCCACGACGGGCGCCAAGCCTTCCATCCCGCTGAGCAGCGGCCGTCCCTCAATGTCGTCTCTGCTGGGCGGCGAGGACGAGTTTGCCGAGGAGCCAGAGAACTTGGATGACCCCAACCTCGTGCTCACCAAGAGCGAGGACGGAACATACTTGGTCAAGGGAGGCACGCTCGACAAGCTAGTGCAACGTCTGAGCTACGACAAGTCGCACGACACTGACTTTGCCAGCGCCTTCCTGTTGACCTACCGCTCGTTCACAACGCCACTCGACCTACTGGACATGCTGATCCGATCGTACAATATCGAGGAGGACAGCCACCAGACACTGCCGCAGGCCATCTTTGAGAAGAAGTGTCGCATCGTGCGTCTGCGTGTGGCCAACGTCATCAAGAAGTGGCTGGACAAGCACTTCCACGACTTTAGCGAGGACGCTGCACTGGTTGCCAAGCTGGACCAGTTCATCAACAGCCAGATCATCGTCGACCTCGAGGGCATCGGCAAGAACCTCAAGAAGCTGCTGTACAACGAGCGCGCGGCGCCAATCCCCACGTTCACCGACGCGGCACCACCCGTCATTGCACCCAAGTCGCGCGACGCGCCCTTCCTCGAGCTCGACACGACCGAGGTGGCGCGCCAGCTCACTCTGATCGAGTCGGAGATGTACAGAAAGATCGAGTCGAAGGAGTGTCTCGGCCAGAGCTGGAACAAGCCCAACAAGGACGAGCTGGCGCCCAACATCGTGGCGTTCATTCGTCGCTTCAACGCCGTGTCCGTGTGGGTGGCCACAGAGATCGTGCGCACTGAGAAGCTCAAGGAGCGTGTTGGCGTCGTCAAGCGCTTCATCATCATCGCTCAGAAGTGTCGCGAGATGGGCAACTTCAACGGCTGCATGGAGATCCTCTCTGGTCTCCAGAACTCTGCCGTCTACCGTCTCAGCAAAACATGGGAGAAGATCGAGTCCAAGCCACTGATCAAGAATGTCTACGACGAGCTCATCGTCCTAATGGCTCAAAAGAACAACTTTAAGGACTACCGTGCTGCCCTACACTCTGTCCATCCACCATGCATACCATACCTTGTAAGTATCCTTCGTCTGGGCGTCAGCGATCACTCTCATTCCAACATACTCACTCAATCACTCAATCAATCGATCAATCAATGATAGGGAGTATACCTCACTGACTTGACGTTCATTGAGGATGGCACCAAGAATATGTTGAACAACAGGGACGACCTGATCAACTTTGAGAAGCGTCGTAAGATATCTGTGGTGATCCGTGAGATCAAGCAGTATCAGCAGACACCGTATCACTTCCGCGTCGAGGAGACTACGCAGCGATATGTTAAGAACATCCCAGGTCTGACGGAGAAGGCGCTCTACAAGTCCAGTCAGCTGTGTGAGCCCAAGGAGCAGCGCAGCTCCTCCGTCGAGTCGGTTGGTGGCGGTGGCAGCTCTGGCAGCTCCAACAGCAGCAGCAGTCTAAAGAAGGAGTTCTCCATATCGTCCATTATGAATGTATTAAAGCAATAAGAGAAGAAGTTAGTCCGTTCTGTCCCCTGTCCACTGTCCCCGGTGCTGTCCCTGTCCTTGGTACTTTGGGACACACTCGTAAGTTTCGTAGGTGGTCCATCAGGATGGACCTGGAAGAGTATCCAGCCTCATTCCATCCATCCATCGGCCACCAACATCCATCAATCCAAACACACCAGCTACATACCATCCAGCCATTATTTATTAAACACCTACATATATTTATCTGTTTATGACAATGACATTGGTATGATTGGTTGAATGATGAGTGAGTAGACCTAGTTAGTGAGTGTGCGGGGTGTCTGATCAGCCGACCGAGTGAACTTAGATTTACATTCTTCAGGCCAACGAGCCGACCACCAGCAAACAAGCCACATTTATTCACTTCACAAATCTAGCCCGGCCGATGATCGATCAAACAAAACACAACAACTAGACCCATTATTAATAAATAATTATTATTATTAGTGGCTTGGATACCACTGTGCCATTAGTCCATTTGTGTTAGTGTGGGTGTCCTCTCCAGATCTAGTCATTAGACACGAATGACCTTCGCTATCACTTTCACGATCATCTGCCCAGGCAGATCCCTTGTCTTGCAATTGTTTGCAGGGTTTATGTACCTTCAAATATCTCCAAGTATTATTCAAATGCTGCAAAAGTATACTTTTGATTGACTTTTTGATTCCAAGTGTGTTGTGTTTTGATCAAGGTGTGAGTAGCTTCAAGGTTGAGTGGTCGTTTTTGAAGCAGGAGATTGTTGAAGTGGTGTCTGAATGACAAGGTCCAAAGGTTCATTGGTCAATACATTGAATCATCACTTGTTTATTCAAAGTGCACTGTACATACATATACATATATACATATACATACTTCATACATAATTAGGAATGGACTTCTTTAGACTGTTTCAGAAGGATCCATCTCTGAATCAACGACCAAAGGATGAACTGAATGATCAGATTCGTTTCGTTGTATGTTTGATTGATTGAATGATTGAATGAATGAATGTATAAGACTGACTGAGCTCATCATAATATATACATAGGCATACCAGAACTCATGTACAGTACTGTTTGATACACTTCAGATCGATGCAGTAAAGACAAAACAGCAACAACAACAACAGCAGAGTAATAGTGGAAGTAAACAACAACAACAACAACAGCAACAACAACAACAGCAACAACAGGCTGCATTGTCAAAGTCATTGGGAAAGGTTGAGATGCTCAAGGAGATGATGTTTGGAACAGTGCCACTCAATATACAGGGCACCACATCAAAGATACACTATCTACCCGAGAGCCATCAGATGCTCTTGACCAAGTTGTTCACACTCAATCTCAGCAGGGACGAAGGGGCATCTTCATCAACCTCACCCTCACAGCTGACCGCCTCCACTACAGACGTCGCAGGCGAGCAGAACACCTCCGCCACAACTTCGCTCAAGAAGCTTCCTGCCACACATCAATCAACCACCGATCTGCCAACGCTCGAACATATCAGTAGCATTGGCAATGGTAATGGTAATGGCGGTTGCAATGGTATCAGTACGACTTCTACCACAGCAGCAGTGGCACAGACTGAGGAGAGTGATAGCAGTACGGGCAACAATAAGAGTGAGGGCGATCTCACTGGCGTCACTGGACAGAGCAAGCTGCCGCGCGGTGGCACGCTGGTGCCATCAAAGACAACGGACAACCTGCAGATACCACAGTTCTCTCAGTCGACTAGACATCGATCAAGTTCGACAATGGGACGCATGCGTCCACCCATGGCTGCCCCCAAGGTCAAGAAGATTACTTTGTCAATATGTGTCATCTTTGGACCTCGTGACAGTGCCATTGGCGCACCGGCAGTACCAGCTGGTTCCACGACCAGTGCTGGAGCCACACACTACGACAAGGACACAATATCTCGATTCCATCAGTTCATCATCACTCACTACATCCTGATCGACATGAGGATACAACCAATCATCAAGTTACTCAAGAATCAGATATACTCTCGTGTCACACAGATGGCTCATGCCTCAGTAAGTTCGAGTTGATGATTGATTGATCGATCACATGATCTAACACACACACAAACAGCTGTCTGGATATGGACTTAGCGAGATCAATCAGATATTCAAAGAGGTAGAAGGCTTTAGAGAATATATTAACAACCTGTACTATGCACCAAGACTTGAGGTAAGTTGGTTCGAGTGAGAGTTGCCGCCCAAGTCCTTCACATATACTCACACGATCACGATCCACATCCATCCATCCTTGACAGAAACCACTGTGGCTTGACACACTATGCTATCCAAGCACAAGAAGACAGACCTACGTAGTCCTCTTTGAGAACCTGCGAGAGTTACTACCATCACTAAACACAGCCAAGACCAAATAGTAAGTCTGATTGGACCTTGACACCATCTTACCCTCGCTCACTCACTCATTCAATCAATCAATCACTCGATCATGATCATGTAGCTTCTTATCCAACTTGATAACGGCAGTGTTGACATATAACATCACTTGGATGACGAATATCATTTCGTCACCAGAGTCAACATCATTCAGATGCTCAAACGAACGTTGTAACTCATTCATCAACTTTGAGAGTCAGTTCTTGAATCAACTGTCTGAACTCTATGGCTATGCAGGCTGTCTCAATCCAGGCTGCAAGAACAATAAGGCATCATACCGAATGACCAAGGCCATTATAGTATGTCCGCGTGAGGACGAGGCCAAGAAGCTGCTGCAGATCGTCAGCTACTTTTGGCGCTCTTTCGAGCTGATACTCAATCGTCAGAACATCGACTTTATTCCACAACTCTATCATCCAAGCGAGGATAACTCACGACCACCTCACTCACATGGTCAGGCGATACCAAATGGAACGCCTGGCAGTGGTGGCGAGCAGACGCTGTCCTCTTCCACATCGCCCAAGTTCGACTCACATCACAACAGCCATCATCACACATTCTCTACATCACCAACGACCGCCTCCATGCAGAATGGCAAGGCCAACACACTTATCCCTCCAAAGAACACATCATCAACTACTACCACCCATCAGAGCAAGTCAGCGACAACTGGCGGCAGCAACAACCCAACTACCAAGCAACAACAACAACAACAGCAAGGAGCAGCAGCCAACACGAACCTCTTTGAGTTTGGATCGATTGAACCAAGTCTGCCCGCACACTTCCAGAACCTATCTCGCTCATTGTTTGGAGCACATTCGAACAAGTACATCAGTGATATGGCAGTGATGTCAGTGCCCAAGTACGACTTCTTCCCCAAGCTCATCGATGATCTCAGACTTTGGAACGATCACAATCCATTCCCAACACGACCCAAAGAGACCATTGCAATCGTTGGTGATGTCTCCAAGTAGTATGTATATCACAATCAATCAATCACATCACATCGGATCACTGACTTGACATCATTCCATTCAGTTCATGTGATATAGTAGTTGTCAGTCGAGACAATATGATGAGTGATTCCAATCCAGTGGTGGTCAATGGTACAACGTACACTGATATTCAGATACTCAAGGGCAAGCATTCGGAATACGTCTCTGCCACTCTTACATCATTGGTCTACTTTTGGACAATTGGAATGCCTCCAGAGTCTGTAAGTTTGATTCTGATCAATCACACCATACTTTGATGTCACTAACAATCCAATCCAAACAAACGATTAGTGTATTGCATACTTGGAGGATAAGTTAGGAGAACTGTTCCTAAAGACATTGACATACCATGAGACACTCAGATACTATGTGACAATCAATCAACCAATTCCATCCAATATCAACCTGTTGCCAACTGGTGTCTCGCTGCCACCCTCTGCCACACCATTGGCAACACCCATTGCCTCTCCACATGCATCATTCCCCAACTACCAAGCACTGAAACAACAGTAAGTCCATGGACAACTAAGTCGCAAACAATCAGATAACTAACCACCTACATCTACATCATCAATCAATCAATAACAGAATAAGCGGAGATCAATTACTTTTTGAAAGTATCTACACCTATTTATGTGGATGTCAAAGAGCGGAGGTAGATAAAGCATAACGCGCGACTCACTTACACGATCGTCAATCGGTATTGTGGGCTCTACAAAGGTGATCAAAACTCTTTCCATTTTTGCAAATATCTTGGACCTTTTTTTGGGTCCACTTATCGCGGAGGGCTCGCGGGCCTAATGGGCGGGCGAGATCATTGAGGTCATCAATTTAAACGGAGTTTCAGGGATCGTCCTCAGATCTTTGCACACTTAATGGTGTTTGTACATGACATGTCTTCAACCATCACTTTGTTGACATCCGACGAGGACATGATGATGAATCATCATTAAACATCTTTCACTTTTATATATACATATACACAGATAATATAATGAAGAGTAACACAACAATATTACTTGTGTTATTTGTAGTAGGATGTATGGCGGTTGGATACGTCAATGGACAGTTGGTCGAATCAAGGATCAATGTGAATTACTTGAATGCAACAAGTTGTAATGTCAAGATTATGTTGTTGGTCAATCACACTGAAACAATAACAACACTTACTATCAATCGTAATAATGGTGCTGAAACTATTAATGTCGGTAGTAATAACTTTTTGTTGAATGGATTGCAACATATCAAATTCGTCGATCAAGTCCAAACATCACAATCACCAATCAATGCTGTTGGCACACTCGTCGACACACTTACAGTCGCCATCCCATGGTCCGCCTCCTATGACTGTCAACGTATGTGTATCAATGATCATAAAGCCTTGGATTGTTAGACTAACTCAATCGATCATTCACTGGAACTATTCCATCACTCCATCACTTAATAACACTCACTCACTCAATCACTCAAACAATAATGAAACAATCCTGGAATTCTTCCATTCACTCGATCACTCACTCAATCTATTTAATCAATCAATCGATCATTCACTGGAACAATTCCATCACTCAATCACTCAACCAATCACATATAAACAGAATTGCCACAAACACTATCAGTTAGCCAGTACACAGGACCCTTTGTTAGGAATAGAGTGGTACCTACTATATCACAAGAGATATCCACTTCTGATGTATTCCAGACAGTCGTGATGATCAATGATGTGTTTAGGAGCGCCAACAATGGAGATTACTATTGTTCCACCAATCTGTTTGCATGTGGAATCGCACCCCTTCGACCAGCCGGCCCCACCTCCTCCCTCTTCCAACTATTCGTCTATCCAAATCAACTGGGCAACAGTTATGACTACACCCAGCCCATCACAATCACCGTCACCAACAATGGCAGAGCAGCCAACGTTAACTTCCCACCACTAACCAACAATACCAGTAGCGCGACTCAGACCTGCTTACTATTCAACAACAACTTTGGTACAGGTGTTGTACCCACTCGATACAATCCAATCTACACGACAATGATCACATCACATCCCGGAGCCACCTACTTTCTCCAGCGCAACATCACCGGTGATCAATTTGGATTCTTCAAGGTCATCAAGCCAGTTCAAAACACTCAAGATGGTCTTATTCATACATTAGCACTTGCACAAGTTGATGAGAAGCAGGAGATAAGCCTCAAAGAGGCCCTCAGCTCTCAAACAGCGTCGGTCATGTCATATGACCAAGCAACTCGTAAGTGCATGCACTAGAGTCGACTCAAGTAGCATGATCCATAACTTACCAATCATTCAATCTTTCGATCAATCAGTCAATCCACCTCAACCAGTTGTCTCGACTTCGATGGGCGCCATTCTGACCTTGGACATTAGGTATAATATTATAATCACATTACCAAGCTATAGACAATGTACCTTTTCACCATTGAGCACTTATGGAATGGACACCAACTTCACCTATCCATTTGGTGTATCTCATGTTTCCAGTGGCGGCATAACCAAACTATCCTTCTCATTCTACGCCAGTAGATATATCCCCGACTCTGCGCCACCCAAACAACTCGACTGCTACTTTGGCAGTCCAAGTATACCATTCGTATCAGGTTCCACATTTAATCTTCGTAAGTACTATCATTCATTCAATCAATGATCACAATTATTCACTCATTCAATGACTAGCCGACACTACTCCACCATCAATTCAAACATTGGAATTGGTACCTGTTGGAGGAAATAAGTACTTGTTGCGATCCACTTTGGGCGATAATGAATCTGGATTCGTCAGGATGTTGTTGTTCTTCTCATCTGGTGAACTGTATAGTCTGGATCACACTGATCGTTATCAAGGTAGTTCACAACTGGGAAAGTATGAGAAGTTAGTTACACTGAACTGTCCATCTGGTGAGCAACCCAAGTACTCTGCCTTCATCTTTGACAAGAAACAAGCAGCCATCATGGATTTCGGATATAATGCTGGATCATTCGGACATCCATATGGGTTCACAACCTCTCAATGTATGTACATATTCCATCACTCACTTGGATGGATGACTAACCAACCAACTCACTCACCTACCCTAGTTGTGATTGGAGCTGAAGATCTGTCAGTGTTCTACTTTGATAATTATTTAATGAATGTTAGTTCAACTCACATGGTCAACACATTGTATCTCAACTCAACAAAGATTATACCATCATGGATAGTGACTTTGGTTTATGGTTCAATTGCAGAGAATCAATATTATGAAGCTGCAGCAACATATGATGTTAAGAGATCACTCTTTGTCATACAGTTCATGGTACCTGGCAAGACAATGACAAGACAAATGCAATACTACATCAGAGTACAATTGCCAGGTGACAACTTCTACCTCCCCTCAACCAATACCCAAGGTTTATTCGCCGCTAACCTAATCTCCAGTGACCTCATCATGAAGAAGTTCCCAACAACCTCTGTCATCAGCATCATCTCAACATGTAAGTACCATTCAATGAATCATTCATTGTGTTGGCGGCCACTCACTAACTCAGGCAAATCAAGATGGTGATGAGATGCCACCAATGATCACATCTTGTGTTGCCCACCCATCTAGGTCGGTCGCCGTAGTTACTGGATCAACGAGCATTGGTTGGAACATTACGATTGAGGACTCACCAAATGGATTCTCACGTGGAGTGATCAATGTTGTCAGTGACATTGATGGTCTTGAGAGAAGATTCGAGATCACACCAGCCAACAGGACAAGTGGCGACTTGTTCAAGGGCACCTACCAGATCCTGTTTGCAGTCGACTCCAACTTTGGCAATCAAACCTTCACATTCCTCGATATTGAACTGTTTGACACTTCGATGAATCGTGCACAATACCTCACATACTCGAGTGATCAAAGACTTGTCTCACCACTCTCATACCTCATGGAAGCGGACAAGATACTCGAGTTCAATATCCAGCTGACCACATCATCAACGGACATCACACCACCAACTGTGGTGACAATGGAGACACTCACACCGACTGTGGACGTTGGATCACATATGCGCCAGGTCCAAGTCAGATTCATGGTACGCGATACAGGAAGTGGAGTCAGCATGCGTCACATGCCCGCCATCTACATCACTGGATACTTGTTCGAGACATTCAAGTTAGATACAACATTCATCTCTCAATCGGGTACCGACTACTCATTCATGGCAACAGGCCAACTACCATATGGCTTTGCTGTCAGCACCATTGGCCCGAACGGTAACTCATCAACATTGGCATTTGTATCAATATATGGTCTTGTGGACAACAGCCAGAACTTGATTGGATACAGTACAGTTGATTTGGACGTTGGTATTCCCGATGTGAACAAGACCATTGCCATCAAGTACACTCACAACATACCAATAATTGAGGATTACTCGATTGATAATGGAGTGATCACAATATTTGGAAAGAACTTTGGTGATGACATTGCTTTGAGTGACTTAACCAAAGGAATGAGCTTCACAAAGACATTTGGATCAGTTGTGATTGCAGCGTTCAACATTACCGAGGTCGATACCACCAAGGTCAACATCACACTCCAACTCAGCACCAATCAATACTCTTCCAATATTGTTGTCATCCAATACCGTGTTCCACCCACAACACCCATAGTCATACCAACAGTCAGCTGTCCAGGCAACCCACCATGTTCCAACCATGGACTATGCTCGTCCACCTTTGGATGTCAATGTACTGGTTCATGGTATGGCCAAGATTGTTCATCAGGTATGTATTCCACACTTTTGCTCAAATCAATCAATCATTCACTCACTCACTTGCTCACTCCATCAATCAATCATTCCCAACAGAGTCGATACCTTCCACCCCAGTCATCAATGATGATACTCCAACAATTGTTTACGCGTATAATATCTCTGGTGAGACTATTATTGGTGACATTGAGATTGTTCGAGTGAGGATACTCAATACAGATGGTGCAGAGTTGGCATCATATCCATTGTCACAATGGAGTGTAACAAATCTATCCGCTCAATCACGTGACTACACCACCAGGTATGGACCAAGTGATAATATTGGAATGATCAAGGTCAATGTCAAATGGTTCACTGAAGACGAGGATGTCAAGTTCGCCGGCGACATTCTCCCAATCAAGAGGAACACCATCAAGTACACCATCACACTGTCCAACTACACATTCCCAAGTCAGTTGGATTCGATGCAAGTTGTGATGAGGGCTGCCATCAACACGACAGACTCCAACTCGTGCTCTGTCCAGCAATATGGCTATGTCAATGGATCACAAGACAACTTGTTCTGGATGCGAGTCAAGGTGCAGAGTTACAGTCTGTATGGTCACTTCATCCAGAAGGCATTGGTCGATGGACGAGTCAGCACTGTGACCAATGTACTCGTCTCTGATCAATCACAATCAGTGAATGACACACAGTCATCACAGACAATGATTGGATTCAATGTTCGCAGCTTTGAACAACAGGCCATTCTCGATCCAGACTTCCATTTATTGATGGATATCGATAATGCTGAATCGAATGATGGTGCTGTGTGTAATCACAGATCATCATCAAAGAAGTTATCAACACTGGCCATCGTTGGAATTGCTGTACTATGTGTTGTAGTTGTTGTTGCCATTATTGTATCTGTTCTAATATGGATATATAGAGAGAGAAAGGTTATATTTATATTTAAACTTATGCGATTGGGAAGGAAGTCAAACGTCAATCAAAAATAAATCATTAAAACATTGGTTGATTGATTGATTGATGGAATGGAAACATCACGTCATCATTTGTCTCCAATCACCAGACTTTTGAAAACCAAGTTGACAGGCCCCACCAAACTCAGAAAAAATGATCAAGTATTGGTCGAATACCAACTTCTTTTGGGGGTGACACATGTCTGATGGCCTCAAACGACATGTCGGGTTCACCTCGCAAAATATTCTCATTCATGATCAATGACTCTTTAGAGATATATAAATATAATTGAATAATATATATATATATAAATGAAGATATCATTACAAATATTTTTACTCTTAATAATATCACTTTCTTGTAATCTAATTGGACTTTCAAATAGTGAGTTGGTTGGATACAAGGTCTCAGTCAATTTAGTATCATCAACATGTAGGGCAAGGATTCTATTATTAGTCAATCATACACAACCTATCGTAACAGTCACTGTTTATGGAAATGGAAGTTCAACATCATATAATCCAACAAACAGTTTCTATATGAACGGTCTTCAATATGTTAACATAGTTACTAATGTTAATCCACAAGTTGGATTGATATCTCAGGATGGTCAGCTCATTGACTCACTTAATCAGCCTCTCCCATGGAGCGCATCATACCTATGTCAAAGTATGTTATTCTTATTATTTGGTTTGATTTGAATCAATCAATTACCACCAAATACTAACAATAATCATTCATTCTATTTGATTGAATAGAGCATCGAGATCTTTCAGTTAGAATGTATTCAGGTCCATTCGTGAGGAATAGAGTCATTCCCAACTTTTTATATTATAAGACGTCAGACACCTTTATGTCGGTTATACAGATCAATGACCCTATGTCTGATGACACCTTATATGAATGCCATGCTGATCTGTTTATGTGCACTTTGTCCCCTATTGGAGGGGTAGGCCCAACTGAGAGCATCTTCGCCATTCATATCTACCCATATGTACCCGATACTGGAGGTGACCTTACACAGCCAATCAATATTACCATAACCAACAATAATAGAAGTGCCAGCATCATATTCCCTCCTCTCTTTCAACAAACTACCAGCCCTTCAGATATGATTAATATCTTCAACAATAAGCTTGGAACAGGAATTGTACAGTCCTTTGTCAACCCATTCTTCTCCGCAACGATCAACTCCTCTGCCTCCTACTTTCTCCAAAGTAATTCAACGACATTTAATTTTTTGGCCACAGGTCTAGTTATTTTCAAACCAGTTCAGAACTTGCCATCAACTGGGTCCTCATCTCCAAGGACTCTGTCAATTGTACTGGATCGCTCAAATTGGTCTGATGAAATAAGCCTATTTGAGGCTACCACCAACCCAACAAAATACATAATATCATACACCTTCCCCTCAAGTAAGTCATTCCTCCTCCTCTTGTTATTAATAATCACTAACTTAATCAATCAATCAATACATCTTTCCTTTTGATCTTTTAAACCTCTAGGCTATAATCCATACTATACCACTGCTCTCTCAACAATTGAATCCAATACCACAATTGGAATTCAAAGCCATATTACGTTCAACTTACCAAGCTACAGACATTGTACTCTAGGAATTGCTCAATATAGAGGAAACAACTTCTCCTATCCCTTTGGAGTAACGAATGTAGCTAGAGGAGGTAACACCACAATGTCCATTTCATTCTTCTCCAACAATCTTCAAGAAATCTCTGGTCCTCAAATCAATTGTTACTTTAGAACTGTTGGTATTGGTCCTAACACCCCTCAAACAACCCGTAAGTAGATCAATTCATTAGTTGATAATCAAACATATTAATCAAAAGACTATTTTCCAGGTCCCTATCCTTCTATATCATTCCAAATCAGTCCAGTAGGAGGAAATAAGTACCTTTTGAGCACTTCTGTTTCCTCTTTATCTGGATTCTATCATATGGTGATATACTTCTCATCTGGTGACTTTTACATCGTGGACCACTTGGATCTCATTGGAGGTGATACATACAATGGACAATATCAGAAGCTACTGTTCCTTTATTCTTCATCAGGGGAGATACCAAAGTATTCACTCCAGATAATTGATAACTTTCTAAATGTTTATTCATATTATTTAGGAGATGAATCTATGAACTCTGGCACTCCAGTTGGATTCCAAACAGCTCAATGTAAGTAATACTCTCCAGAAGGTAGACTAAATATTAATATTCAAACTAACAATATACACTTTATTCATCAATAGATGTAATTGGCGCTGAAGATCTAAGTGTGTTCTACTTTAACAAATACTCAATGGATGTGAGCTCATCATCAATGACCAATTCTTTGTACCTCAACTCCTCCAAGATCCTGCCGACCTGGAGAGTGACACTTGTGTATGGTTCAAGAGATGAGAATCAATTCTATGAGGCAGAGGGAAAATATGAAGAGGACATGTCACTATTTGTTATCCCATTCACTGTTCCAGCAAGGACTATGACACGACAAATGCAGTACTATCTCAGATTGCGACCACCTGGCTCCAACTACTTCTCCAACGACAAGAGATATGGTGATTATTTTGGTGTCAGAGTTATTCATGGTGATCTAATATCGATGGTATATCCAAATACATCTGTCATTAACATCATTTCAATAAGTATGTTCAATCAAATCAAAATCAATCAAATCAAAATATGCAAGATTACTAATATACAACTAATCTCTACCCTTTGAATTCAACCAAGATGGTGATGAGATGCCACCAATGATTACATCATGCACTGCCTATCCATCAAGGTTTGTCAATTTGGCAGCTGATGGAAAAATGACAATTGGATGGAACATCACGATTGAGGACTCACTAAATGGATTCTCACGTGGAGTGATCAATGTTGTCAGTGACATTGATGGACTTGAGAGAAGATTCGAGATCACACCAGCCAACAGGACAAGTGGCGACATGTTCAAGGGCATCTACCAGATCCTGTTTACTGTCGATTCCAACTTTGGCAATCAGACCTTCACATTCCTCGACATTGAACTGTTTGACTCATCAATGAACCGTGCGCAATATATCACACACTCGAATGATCGGACTACCCTGTCACCTCTCTCATACCTCATGCAAGCGGACAAGATACTTGAGTTCAACATCCAGTTGACAACATCATCACAAGACCTCACACCACCATCTTTGGTGTCAATGGAGGTACTCACACCGACCGTGGACGTTGGATCACATATGCGCCAGGTCCAGATTAGATTGACTATTAGTGAGACTGGAACTGGATACAGTATTCGTCACACTCCTGCAGTTTATCTCACTGGATACTTGTTCGAGACCTTCAAGTTAGATACAACATTCATGGGAATGAGTGATGTTGGCGGCGCTTACTCTTTCATGGCAACTGGTCAACTACCTTTTGGATTTGCCTCCAACACCTTCACCAATGTGAGTTCATCTGTGGCTTTGGTATCTGTTTATGGCCTTGTGGACAACAGTCAGAACTTGATTGGATACAGTACAAATGATCTACCAACATCTCTACTCGATTTGAACAAGACCATTGCTATCAAGTACACTCACAACATACCAATAATTGATGATTACTCAATTGAGAATGGAATGATCACAATATTTGGAAAGAACTTTGGTGATGACATTGCATTGAATGATCTCACCCAAGGAATTAGAATAACCAAGACATATGGAGCAATTGTGATTGCTGCCTTCAACTTCAAAGTTCTTGACCCAAAGACAACCAACATCTCGATCCAACTCAGCTCCAATCAATACTCCTCCAACATTGTTGTTATTCAACTCCGGCAACCAACACAACCCATAGTCACACCAACAGTCATCTGTCCAGGCAACCCACCATGCTTCAACAATGGAGATTGCTCTTCCACCTTTGGATGTCAATGTTATGGCACGTGGTACGGCCAAGATTGCTCGTCAGGTAAGTAACTTATCACTTAGCATCCATTACCCTCTAACCAATCAATCATACTCAACAGAGTCGATACCTACAACTCCAACTATCATTGACCACTCTCCAACGACTGTGTACACCTATAACATCTCTGATGAGACTGTTGTTGGTGACATTGAGATTGTTCGAGTGAGGATACTCAATCAAGATGGTGCGGAGTTGGCTTCATATCCATTGTCACAATGGAATGTAACAAATCTATCCGCTCAATCACGTGACTACACCACCAAGTTTGGACCAAGTGATAATATTGGAATGATCAAGGTCAATGTCATATGGTTCACTGAAGACGAGGATGTCAAGTTCGCCGGTGACATTCTCCCAATCAAGAGGAACACCATCAAGTACACCATCACATTGTCAGACTACAGGTTCCCAAGTCAGTTGGATTCGATGCAAGTTGTGATGAGAGCGGCCATTAACACGACAGACTCCAACTCATGTTCAGTCCAACAACAAGGTTATGTCAATGGATCACAAGACAACTTGTTCTGGATGCGAGTCAAGGTGCAGAGCTACAGTCTGTATGGTCACTTCATCCAGAAGGCATTGGTCGATGGACGAGTCAGCACTGTGACCAACGTGCTTGTCTCTGATCAATCACAATCAGTGAATGACACACAGTCATCACAGACAATGATTGGATTCAATGTTCGCAGCTTTGAACAACAGGCCATTCTTGATCCAGACTTCCATCTATTGGTCGATATCGATAATGCTGAATCGAATGACGGTTCCATTTGCAATCACAAATCATCATCTTCGTCGTCGAAGAGGTTGTCTACATTGGCCATGATTGGAATTATTGTTGTGTGTGTTGTTGTGGTTGTTGCCATCATCACTGCCGCACTAATCTTGATCAGGAAAGAGAGAAGGGATCTCAAGATATTCAACCTCATCAAATTGAGAAGGAGGTCATTAGTTAAATAAATAAATAAATAATAACATGATTAATTGATTAATTGATTGAATGATTGACCAAGGTTACCCAAGTAGGTCATCATCATCAATGTTATGACAGATGATATTTGGATGAAGTGTTGGCCAACATAATACTTGAGTGATCGTCCATGAAGAACCCAACATATAGTTTGGATAATGATCAGTGATATTTCCAAGAGATGCATTACAATTCATATTCCAAGATCCAGAGGCATCTGTAATAGCCAATGTATCCAAACAATGATGTAACTTGAGATAGTTCACTAGATGAACTTCCATACAAGGTCTATCATCACAGTAATTCAGGTCCAAATGTAGTGTAGTTAGCAATGTCAATGATCTGAGCGCGACAAAAAACTCTAAACAATGTTCCAACAAGTACAACGATGAATGTGTTTATGTCTATGCCACGACCAACAAGTTTGAGTGATGTGATTGAGTTGAATGACTCTGAGAGTAGACATTGGAACAGGCCATGTCCCCGAGGTATATAATCTTGTCTCGAGTCATAACTATATTGTCATTCCATATTGAAAGATGCTTAAGACATCGTTTAATTGATAAATGATGCAATAGAAGTTGATTCTCGAGTCCCATCTCCTCCAACTCCTGTTATGTACTCATCCATTACACCTGGTTCAATCGTGTCTTGCTCCTCCAACTCCTTCCAATGATCATTGTCATAGTGATCAAAGTCCATTGACAGCCTTGCCATATCCTCCACCATGAGGTGTGAGGGATACATCTGCTAATCAAACAACGACATCGGCCGTCTCCACAGAGATACATGTTAACCATTGAAGATTGGTCAACATTCTTGAGAGACGCCTAATGTATATCATAGATAGAACTTCATCTCCATCTCTATACAAGTCAAAGTGTCCACAATGTCTGGTGAACTTCAGTTTGGTAAGTGATACAGGTATGGCACTATATGTTGATATTGTTGTTATAGTGTTGTTGTTGATGTTGATGTTGTCCAGGGCATCAATGTTTTGTATGGCAATGACCAGGTCCTTCTCTGATATAATCAATCCATGAGTATTAATATATGATGATGCTATTGAGTGAAACAACCAATTGACTCGTGCCAACTTGCACAACATTGGCCGTGATTCATCATTAAAGATCCATTATCTCAATAATACAATACATCCAATAATGTTCTAATTATTCTTACATTGGAATTCATTCATTCAATCACTCTACTGAGTAGCCAACAACATGCGAATGAATAGTAGGAAGAACAAGTATTAGAAGATGATAATTCACCAAATGAAAGGTAGTTGGCATATTCCATTGAACTTACTTATATATGTTTGATTGTATTACTAATTTATGTTAGAGAAGACTGATAATGATGTTGCCAAGAGTGTTGCAAAGATACAAAGTCTTGGGGGAAACACGAACATCACAAACAAGTTGTTCAAGAAAACGACCAAACACCAGTCCATTCAATCAATATCCAACAACATCACCAAACACTACTACATGTAAATAAAGAGATAATAGTTATTATATATATATATATATATAGGATAGGATAGGATAGTTAACAATAACCATGGCGATTAGAATGCAACACAAAGTGTTTGTGTTGACAATGCTCATTGCCTACGTGTTGACAATCTTGATCAGTGCCAACAAATACATTCAAAAGCATCCATGTAAAGATCAGACAAGTCTTTTGATTGAAAGGTATGTTACCCTTCATTCCTTCATTCATTCATTCATTCATTCAATCAATCATTTAATCAATCATACTAACCAACAACTAATTGATAGCAAACCAGAAAACAATGTAGTTGTATTGATATGGGAGACAGAGAATCATTGGACTGGATGGGGAAGGAATGGTTATATCAATTGGGCAGGATATACAGACTCCAATACATTGCGTTGTAGAGAGACGTGTGTATTCACCTCTGATCAGAGTCTGTATCAATCGTCTGATGTCGTCCTATTCGAACCACAACCTCATGGTAAGCGTGGCTTAGAGTATCCACCGAGAAAGATCTGTGGCCAAAAGTACATGATGTTCTCCTACGAGACATCAAAGTACTTTGAGATACAAGCCGATCCCAAATACCTGTCAAAGTATGTAGTTTGAATGATGACTTGTTGGACGCGACGACCATGAAACTAACCAACTGCGCCACACTTGTAGGATGGATTGGAAAATGACATTTGATGCAAAGGCAGAAGTACAGATTAGTCTTACATGTAGTTGGGGACAGGAGAATGGTATTGAGTCGTATAGGAGACGTATACCACCTTTGAAGGAGAAGAAGAAGTTTGCTGTGTTTGTTGCATCCAATTGTAAACGTGGAGGCGCTGACAAGAGAACGGCATACGTCAAGGAGCTGATGAAGTATATACAAGTGGACTCTTATGGCAAATGTTTGATGAACCAGCCTGCCGACGCACTCAATCGCAACACAGACCGTGATCGCTTCACCGCCAAGATGGAGCTATTCAAACAATACAAGTTCGTCCTGGCCTTTGAGAACAGTAATGAAACAGACTATGTTACGTAAGTCATTCAGTCAGTCCGAGGGCCATCCATGATCAATCAATCAATCACTCACACTCAATCAAACAAACAATGTAGGGAGAAGCTACCACATGCATACCTTGGACTATCATTACCAGTGTATATGGGCGCACCAAATGTAGAGGATTGGACAACTGGTGACAACTCAATCATTAGGACTGATCAGTTTGCATCACCAAAGGCATTGGGACAATACTTGGTCAAGGTGTCAAAGAACGAGACATTATACAACAGTTACTTCAAATGGAAGAATGCACCACTCAAAGAGAGCTTCCATCGACATTACAACAACTGTGTATTCTTGGCCGAATGCAACGTCTGTGATCGAGTCAGACAGGAACGTCTACATGCACAACAACAACATAGATTACAATTAGAGTTGTCCAATCGAACTGGAACAACAACAAGTGTTGCTAACAACAATAGTAATATTATAAGTATTGGTGGAAATGGAAACATGGATTCATCACCATCATTGATTGATGGATATATTATTGAAGATGAATTCTTCACCATTCATGATTATTTAGTTATAATAGTATTGATCACAACGGTAATATACCTAAGTATCACTACATTATATCCATTATACATATCACGAAGAACAAGGTTACACCAATAAATAATACATGTTGTACACAACATTGATTCCAGTTGAACTGGAAGTGATCATGTCTCATCCACAACACTGTGTGAATGAAAAACGTTACTTTAGAAGTTGGACTTGAAGGAATTAATTAAAAACAAATTAAAATTTGGATTGGATGTGGTGGGTGAGCGAGAGACACTCACACACAGACTCTGACTGACTCTCTCGCTTGCAGCTCAGCGGATACATGGTTAGCCATTGATAGTCAATAGTTACACAACACAGGTCTACAGCCCATCACGTATCATCAAGATAGAAAATGGTTCAACGTCTTACATACAGAAGAAGACTCTCATACCGCACTGAGTCCAACAAGGTTAGAGTGTATGTACATCGAATCTCTGAATGAACGATTGAACGATTGATTGAATGAATGGATAGAGTAACTAACCTTTGTAATCCAACCATATAGTGTCAAGACTCCAGGTATGATCACAGATGCGACAGATATTGGATACACCAATAGGATATAGGATATAGGTTATGCAGGATCTCTTACTTACACATCGTCATTGTCATTATATTATAGGTGGAAAGTTGGTCTACCAATACGTTGGAAAGAAGGGACAGATCCCACGTTGCAACGAATGTGGAACTGAGATCAACGGAGTAAATATCGCGATATGATGATTGAAACAGGTACAACAGCAACTAGCAGATGACTTACACATTACATTGAACAACAACAGATTAAGGCCATGAGACCACTCGAGTTGAAGAACGCCCCAAAGTGCCAGAGAACCGTCGCCAGAGCCTACGGTGGTGCTAAGTGCCACACCTGCGTTCGCACCAGGTATGTCTCTCTATCAATGATACTGCGCTCTTCACTTTACTAACATACTTGTCAATCAAACAATAATAGAATCATCCGTGCTTTCTTGATTGAGGAGCAGAAGACTGCCAAGCTCGTCTACAAGAAGCAACAGAAGGACAAGAAGGCATCCAAGTAAATGAATGTAGGATAATAAATCATTTCGATGGGCTAGATCAAACCAACCAACCAACCAACCAACCAATCAATCACATGACTACTACTGGACCTTGAACTTGAACTTGGCACAGCATGATAGAGATGATTATAATGATGACTCTTGATCATCCAACTCCAGATGATTTGTTAAAAGGTATAATAGCATTAACTTAAGTTTATTATTATCTTCTTCTGCCACCAGCATCTGAATCGCGACCACCTTTCTTGACTTGTGACAGGAACTCATCCATGCCGAATGGATCGGATGTGGCACCGCTGCCACCTCCATCCTTCTTCTTCTCCTGGTCAAACTTGACTGGTCCACTTCTCTCCCTGTTGTGATCGACACCGCTAAACTCCTTGTTGGGTTTGAACCTGCTGGTGGACAGCACATCCTCGATAGAGTTGTTGGTTTCGTCCTGCTTGATGCGTGGTCTGTAGATTGAGCTGGAAACGCTGTCGCCAAACAATGGCTTGGAGTAGACGCTGTAGGTCTCGTCGTCGCCACCGTTGAATCCAGACGACATGCCCTCGGATTGATTGAACAGTCGCTGATCGAATATTGAGTCCTCGCTACGCACGGCCTGCACCTGACCCAGAGCAATCTTCTCACTGATGTCACGGTCAGAGTCACGGTTGAACTTGGACTTCTTGCCCGAGGCTTCCAGCCTGTACTCTCTCTCCCTCTCTCTCTTTTTCTCGGCTCTAATGCGATCTCTATCCTTTCTTCCCTCATCCTCGCTGTCGCTACTGTCGCTGTCGCTGCTATCGCTACTGCTGCTTCTGCTTCTTCTACGGTTGCGCTCATTGCTTCTGCTTCTACTCCTTGTACGACGGGATGTTGTTGTGGTCTCGCGTCTTGAAGAGGTTGGTGGTGTACGGCCGCCATTCTCGTCATCAGAGGCCTCACGTTCAGTTGGCCTGCTGTGAATCTTGTTGATAACACTGGTTCGCTCATTCATTGCATCCTCGGCCATCTTGCGCAGCATCTCTTGCTTCTTCTCCTTCTCCTTTTGAGCGAGCTTCAACTCAAGCTCTGCACGCGCAGTCACCTCTTCACGAGCGTTATTCTCGGCAATGTACAGCGCCTGTGAGAAGTGAGCAAACTTGTCGTTGATCTCTGCCTTTTGCAGGTTGCGTCCGTCGGCTGCCAGTCTCTTGTCGAGTTCAATCGCGAAACCATTGGGATTCTTCCAGTTGGAGATGCAAGGTGGCACCTTCCACTCTTGCTGATCCTGTACGGTGGTCTTTCTGGGTGGTGAGTGCATGATGGTGGCGGGAGGCGAGGGCGGGCGCTTCACGTCCTTCTTGATCTTGAACTTTGGTGGCTCCATTGGGTCCTTGGCCACCTCGACCATACGTATTATACGTGAGCTTGCGTTTGAGTTGTGGCCACCGCCTTGTTGCGATGGAGTGTACTTGACGTACGCGACCGGTGCCTGCTTCTCGACGTATGATGTCGGCTGCGCGGCGGCGATCTTTACATTAACAATCTTCTCCAGTGCAGCCTTTGTCTTGTTTGTCGTCTCCACTGTGTCCTCGTCTGTTGGTCGCTCCATCTCGCTTTGACCAAACTCCTTTGGTATCAAGTCAGTGTATTGCGAATACAATATCTTGTTCTTATCAATGCCCAGCACATCCTCATACTTGACACGTCCACTACTATCTACACCCAGTTGTATAATCTCTTTACTTGTTGATGTTGGTTTGTTGTTGTTGGCGGCGCCAGCAGCACCCTTTGTACTCGATCCCTTCTTCCTTCCCATGTCGAGAGGGAATTGAGAGGTGTGTATCTCTGGGTATGCACCACCGTCGCCATAATCATCTACTGAAGTTGGTTTCCAACCTTTTCTCTGTCCATACGATGGTATACTAGCTCTTTTCGCTTCATTTGCCTTTATCTGTTGTTGTTGTTGTAGTTTCTCTTTTTGTTGTTGTTGTTGATTCGTTGTTGTGAACAAAGGATGTTCATCATTTGAATAATGTTGTCTTGGTACAGGCAATACACTTGACAATGATGACATTATTTAGTTATTAATGTGTGTGTGTGTATATATTAGTGTACAAATATATATATAAATATGTGTATGTTAGATAATTGAATGTAAGAATGAATGAGATTAGTTCGCGCGACAAAGTGTTTGTCAAACATTGAACACATGACTTGGTTTGTTTGACAAAATTGAGTCAAAAGGGGAGATGAGTTCATTCATTCAATCTCAATCAAGTTTGTCATTCGATCGCGATCTGAAGCCAACAACAACCGCGACAACAACATACTCCTGCGACAGCAACAACAACAACATCTTAGTATAACAACCAACATACATATACATACATACATACATATACACAAACATAATAATGGTAAGAATCAATCATTCAATCAATCAACTCTACATCATTGAATGACTGACACACTTGGCGACGTATTAGGCAAAGGAAGACGCTACACAACAACTCTATAAGGAGGCTTTCAATCTGTTTGATAGGGATAAGGATGGAAAGATTAGTACACAGGACTTGGGTACAGTGATGAGATCAGTTGGTTCAAATCCTACTCAGGCAGAGCTGCAGGATATGATCAAGGAGGTGGACGATGGCAATGGATTGGTGGACTTTCAACACTTTGCCATGTTGATGCAACGCAAGACTCAATACTCTGATGCCGATGCCGACATCAAACAAGCATTCAAAGTGTTTGACAAGAAGGGCAATGGATACGCAAGTGTCGCTGATCTCAAGCATACCTTGGTATCAATCGGTGAGAAGTTAACAAAGGAGGAGGTATGTATAGTGCGATTGATTGAATGATTGATTGAATGAGTAAGTGGACTGACGTTTGATACCTAATGTATGTTATATAGTTTGACAATGTATTGAAGGATGCCAAGATCGTCGATGGTCAGATCCATGTCGACGAGTTTATCAGGATAATCAAGTCAAGCAAGGCATTCATGTCCTAGTGTTGCCAACATTGATTGCATCACAGGTTGTACAATACAGTCAGTCAATACAGACAGGAACAATAATAAATACTCTTGACTAGTCAGCGAACATATTGGAGTGAATGGAGCGTTTATGGTATGATTGAGGTTGATTGATTAGATGTGAATGCACATTATTGATTCTGGGCCATGAACTCCTTCATAAAGGCCAACAGTACTTCGACACCTCTGACTGTGATGGCATTGTACAGGGAGACTCTTACGCCACCTACTGATCTGTGACCCTTTACATCTGTGATACCATGCTTCTCTGCAGCCTTAAAGAACTTCTCCTCCATGGCTTCATCGCCATCCTTAATCCTAATGCATGCATTCATTCTAGATCTATATTTCTTGTCAATGTAACAACTATGGATGATTGATTGATTGGCTGGATGTTAGTATTGGCTCATCCATGGATAATGATGAATATGGACACATACGTGTAGAATCCATTTGAGTTGTCTACAAAGTCGTATAACATATGAGACTTGGTCTGGCTCAGTCTGGACATCTCATCAAGTCCACCATTCTTCAACAGCCACTTGAGTACCAATCCCATAATATAGATGTTGAATGTTGGTGGAGTGTTATCCAGTGAGTTCTGTTGGCTCTTCTTCTGTTTGAGTTGCCAATCATGACCAAGTGATCAAGTAATTGAGTGAGGGATGGAGGCATTGTTAGGAATCATTCCATCAATCAATCAATCAATCAATCATATTCTGCTGGACATACCAAGAAGTTGAAGACGTTGGGAGTGTCTGGCTTTGACTTTTGGAGAAGGTCCTTGCGAATGATGACAATGGTGATACCGGCAATGCCAGCGTTCTTTTGTGCTCCGGCGTAGATGAGACCGAATTTGGAGACGTCAACGGGACGCGAGAGGAAGTTGGACGACATGTCGCAGAGAATGGGGATACTCGCTGGCACATTGTCATAGACCTGTTGCGAGGGCATTTCAACGCCATGCACAGTCTCATTGTCACAATAATAGAAATATGATGCGTTGTCTGATCTCTTCCAGTCCGATGGCTCGGCCACTGTTCTGAACTTTGTCGACTCCATATCAGCCACGGCATTGACCTTTGTATACATCTTGGCTTCATTGTACGCAGACTTTGACCATGCACCAGTGACCAAGTAATCAATCGTATCATTATTGCCATTGCACAGATTGATAGGTATGCCTGCAAACAATGAAGTAGCGCCACCCTGTAAGAACAATATATCATAGTTCTCTGGTATGTTGCTGGATTGTCATGATAAGACATGAGTGTGAGCATGATGTGATGTGTATCCGATCCACAAGAACTACACACACTTACAGTAGCAGTCTAAGGTTGGACTTGGCATCCTCGTGTACCTTTGAATACTCCTTGCCTCTGTGTGATAGCTCCATTATACTCTTGCCACTGCCTTGGAAGTTGAGCAACTCTTGTTGAGCCTCCAACAACACCTCCTCTGGCAAACAACCTGGTCCAGCACCAAAGTTAAGTACTCTACCATGAGTCAATCCATTATTATAATCAACTGTATTATTCGTCGAAGTCATTATATATCTCTAACTATCTATCTATCTGTACTTTATGAGTATCAAGAATGTTGTGAGTGTTGTGTTTGTCGTGTAGGTATGTTATGTGTATGTTCATTGACACATCTGCAACAAGCATAAAACGACATAATTTAAATTATGTTCCTCGTTTCGGAATTCCCAAAGCGGCAAAGATGTTCAGAGCACTCTCAGTCTATCATTCACAACAATGATTACCATGATGTCAATCATGTACATGTAATTATTTATTTATTTATTGCTTCAAATAAGTAAGATCTTTGACTAGTCATACATTATTTATGCATATTGAACATCATCATTATCATCATTATCACAGTCAGCCTGACAATTGACCGCGGTCCATCTTCAGACCTTACCCCAGGTCAATGTTGATGATGGACTGGTGTGAAGTCACTAACACAAGAATGGCTGACTCACACTCCTCGCGATTGGGGACTGCTCTTTGTTCAGAGGGGAAGCACCAACACTTTTCTCTTTTTCTGAAGAGTGCCGGTCAATTGTGTGTGTAGGCGTGGTCACTCCTGCTCCAAAATCAAGCATCATCACCATGATACTTTCTCCAAAGTGAGAGAGAGTAAGAGTGATTGATTGTTCTTTGTTGTGACAATAATTATCAATAATAACAATACTTTATAGTTGATACGATCAGGAATTATTTAACCATTATCAATCTAACAATCTAATTATTTATTATTTGTAATAACAAAAATATAATATCACTTTCTAAAATGTCCAAATTAAGAGCATTCTTCTCATTCAACAACTCATGGAAGTTGAACTTTGAGGGCAAGGAGATGACCATCGAGGTCACATGTCAGAAGAAGGTCTTGGTCAATGGCCAAGAAGTCACCTTCATCATCAACAAGAATTTCCTTCGTCTAGAGTAAGTGTTTGATCAAATGATACACTCACTCCTTTAATCAAACAATCAATCATAATAATATTAACATTTACCAATTTAAATTAATTATTATAAGGTTCGTTTATGAGGACCATGTATTCTATATTAGCCCAGGCAAGGCTTTGCCATTTTTGGGATTCAACTCACAATTATATATGGATCAGGTCAATGTGTTGAATGGAAAGCCATACACTATTACACCATTCAAACAAAGATTGGCCGTTGTGATCATTGCCTACTTGCTCGGTGCCATTATCTCATTCTGGGCACTCATCCCTATTTTTGTCTACTTGCTCGGTCTATTCCTCTTCTTTAGAAGACGTACATACACCGTTCACTCACTGCCCGCTCAACTCGTCAATGGTGGATCCGTTGAGGAGGGAGCTTCTACCGACGCCGCCGCTCCACTCGTCTCCAACTACACCGTATACAACCCAATCATGACCGACTATATCCTGCCATTGTGTGACAAGGTCAAGGGTCTGGCCAAGAAGAATGAGCAGCCACAGCAAGTCCAATACACCTACTCCACCAGCTCATACAACATGCCCGCTCAACAGCAGACTATGCAACCAATGCAGTCCATGCCACAGATGCAACAACAGCCAATGATGCAGCAAATGCCAGTCCAGCAGCAACAGATGCAGCAGCAGCAGCCAATGCAACAGATGCCAGTCCAGCAGCAGCAGCAGCAGCAGCAGCCAATGCAGCACATGCCACCAATGCAACAACTCCAACAGCCAACCCAGACACCAATGCAAACTGCCATGAACCAGTCCGGTCAGCCAAACTCTCCACAGATGCAACCAACCATCCAGCCAATCCAGACCATGTACCCAAGCTACCCACCAATCTACCAGCCAGCTCCATACCAATCATACATTCCCATGATGATCCCTCAGCAGAACCAACAAGTTCAGCAGCAACAGCAGCAGCAGCCACAGAAGTAGACATCCAATTGCCGGCTTCGTTTTTTTCTTTAACCTCTTGTAACTATTATTAAAATATCGTATTGATGATTATATCATCGATTATCACTACCAATCAATGTTTGAAAGGGTATCATTCCTCCTTAACTGTCACAAGTTTATTTGAATTTGAATTTTAAAATTAAACCGCTACTTTTTTTTGAAGTGTGGGGGTTTGCACTTGGAGATGAAGTTGACAAATGAATGAATACTTGCATTAATGAATGATAAAGAGATAAAGAGATAAAGAGATAAAGAGATAATATAAGATGGAGATAGATGATAAGAATGGCAATCACAAGAGAGACTTGGATGAGTCGATGAATGGTGATGATGATTCTTCACCTGTATCAAAGAACAAAGAGAAGAGATCAAAGCATAAGCATCATCGTCATCATGATGATGAAGAGTCATCACCAACTACATCTACAACAACGACAACTACAACAACTACTACAACTACATCAACTACATCACCTACACCTTCACCATCAATATCAATGTCAATGTCAACATCACCTCAGCTTGAGATTGATCAACCCAAGCTACACCAACAACCTCAACAACAACCTCTACAACCTCAACAACCTCCACAACAAATGATATTACAATCTGATTTCTCAACGATAACTGAATGTTCATGGTATAGACCTAACGAGATATCAGAGTTTGAGCGTAATAATATGGTCGAGTTCTTTAGAGGCGACTCACCAATCAAGACACCAGAGTCATACAAAGAGTACCGCGACTTTATGATCAGCACGTACAACCAGAACCCATACCAGTACCTCACGCTGACAGCCGTCCGTCGCAACATTGTCGGCGACGTCTGCTCAATAATGCGCGTTCACGCCTTCCTCGAGCAGTGGGGCCTCATCAACTACTACGTCAACCCAGACAGCGGCGCGCTCGTCCCCACACCGCTCTCAGTGGCCGTCGCCAACAAGAGGCCGGACGGCGCGGCCGGCGACGAGTGGTCCGATCAAGAGACCCTGCTCCTATTGGAGGCCATCGATACATTCGGCGACAGCTGGTCGGATGTGGCCAATCATGTGGTCACCAAGTCAAAGGAGCAGTGTCTGATGCACTTTCTGCGATTGCCCATCGAGGACACATTCCTTGAGGACAACTTCAATCGAGCCGTTGAGTATAGGAAGCAGCTGACGAACAATGAACAACAACAACAACAACACGACGTTGTCAAAACCATCGAGTTCTTGTCGCGATCAGTCAATGCCAATGTATGTCGCGCGGCAACAGACGCAGCTAACAAGGAGCTGAGCAAAACACACAAGATAGACGTTGAGTCATCCAAAGAGATTCAATCCCTTGTATTCCACGTCATCAATGATCAGGCCAAGAAGCTAGACACCAAGCTAAAGTACTACTCTGACCTGGAGGAATCTTTGGACAAGGATAGGATAATGGTATGTCATGTTGTTAGGCCCCTTGGATGAAGTTGACTTGTCTAACGCTCACTCAATCATTCAATCAATTAGTTGGAGAAATCACGTCTGGCGGTATTTGCAGAGAGACTACAGTTGTTGAAGGCAACCACACAGTCCAATCAATCAATGGATACAAGTGCTGTGGATAGTAGCAACGATGACATTTCAATGGACTTGACTGATATGCCATCGACAATGACAACATCATCGGAGCCCCCAATGACTACAGCGACAACAGCGACTACAACGACTACAACAGAGACACCAATCACAATGATACCAACAGACGCATCTATGTTAACAGCAGATGGCAATAACAATGCAATGAACGTGTAATCTCAGAAGTACTACTTTGTCGTTTTTTCATTCTTTATTGAGTATGACGATCACTCATTCATCGTCTTTTGACCAATGTGTGACGAGTCTTCATTATTGATGTTGTTGTAAATAGATAAGATAGATAGACATAGATATAATGGATAAATGTATTGATCAGTTTGTTGTTCCAGGTGATGTGATTGGTACAATCGTTGACCTAAAGGTTCGCATTGGACAAGGACTTCAACAAGTAAAAGACTCTGTCGTTGCCACCAAGTCTGGTGTGCTCCGCTTCAGCAAGCATCACAAGTTCTACTGGATAGAGAATGAACAGAAACGAGTATGTTATAGTATTGATTGAGTCATCGGATTGATCGATTCTAACAATCTATCAATCATATTCAAACAATCAAACATTAGTATGTACCTCAAGCAGAGGATATGGTCATTGGTATAATAACAGAGAAGCATGCAGAGTCATTCAAAGTTGATATTGGTAGTAGTTCACAGGCATTGTTATCAGCATACTCATTCGAAGGCGCAACAAAGAATAATAAGCCATTGTTATCAGTTGGTAACTTGGTATATTGTAGAGTATTGGTGGCCAATAAGGATATGGAGCCAGAGCTTGTGTGTACCTCTGCAAAGAACAAGGCTGAGGGCTTTGGTCAGTTGATTGGCGGACAGACATTCAACTGCTCGTTGGGCATGTCACACTACTTGCTGTCGGAGGAGTGCGAGACGCTCAAGGTGGTGGGCAAACACATTGCCTACGAGATTGCTGTCGGTGTGAATGGCCGCGTCTGGGTCAACTCAACCAGCAATCATCACACCATTGTCGTCACCAACACAATACTCAACTCACAGTTCATCGTGGACGACCAGCTTGAGCCCTTCATCCTTCGCATTCTCCAACAACAACAGCTCCAACAGACACAGCAACAGCAACAACAACTGTAAGGTGGGAGTATGTTTGTTCCTTCCTCATTCACATTACGAGCTAGCGTTAGTTCGTCATGGTCATAGCGAGCATATCCATGTCTTGTCTGCCTCTCAACAACAACCAACAACAACATGTCGTGACGTCCAGTCCAGTGCCGTGCCATGCCATGCCGCCCATAGTTCCCTTTGGGTCCAATACCATCTTCGCAGCCACTTATGTCCAATGTGTATTGGACAAACACAAACACCTAACTTATACAACACAAACAACATAACCTGGTGCCAAGCCAAGACAAGCACATGAATGTTGACACCCGTTCGCCATAACATCATCATTTGATTGTTTGTTTACGCCGCCACGCAATGACTCGTGCATGTCATTGTCAAACCGCGCCGGGCCATTCATTCGTCAGGCTCGCCCATTTCAAACAACAACACCCAGGCTACTGTGGTGTGGGGTAATAAATTATAACAAACAATGGTATTGTGATGATGATGAATAATAGCATTACGTGCGTGTGTGAAAGAGTAGTAGTGTTCAGTGTTGTTGACAAGGGGTAGTGGTAGGGGTGTCCATCCGGATGTCCCTATCTCACACACATTCATACATTCCATTCATTCCTTTCAAACACACTCTTAGATGCTTGACATTCCAGGTCAGACTGTGGTGTGTCAGTGTGTGGAGGGGGTTCCGAATGGAAGAGATTGACATCATCTGTTCACACTCTAATACTCTACATCCATCCATCCATCTCAAACAACACTCTTAGAAGTCAACGTTTCCCCTCTAGGTCTGGTCTTACACACACACACTATCCTCTCTCTCACCACCTTGACTCACTCACTCTGCACTACTCTTCATAATGTAGGAGGGAGGTAATGATTACTAATAACCTTTTAGTTTACCTTATCTTTGTTATTAGAGACAGAGTTATATAACATTATTCATAGATAGATAGATATTATTACATTGTTTATTTATAGATACTAATACCATCTTATAAGTTATAATACATTATATTATTATATTACCATTTCATTACGTTACTTATTTATCCAACAACAACAACAACAACAACAATGTCAACACATACACTCACACAAGTCATTCCAATGAATGCTGATACTTTCTATGCCATTACAGAGTCGACAGAGTTTGATCAGTTCCAGATACCTATGATGGGTCTAAACTCTATTGAATTAAAAGAGGAGAGAGAAGATGTAGGTATTTGGAATGATACAATTGAATGAATAGATGGCTAGTTTGTTAACAATATTTCCATTTCCATTTCTATCTGTATCTACCAATAATACAGGACAACTATATATCAAGAAAGGTGATTGTTAAACCAAAGACAAGCATTCCATCATTCTTGCTTAAGTTCTCCAGTGGTACATCAGAGATATCATACGTTGACACCCAGATCAAGTCAAAGCAAAAGAGAGAGATTATAATCAAGACCATCCCACCTTTAATGTCAGAGAATATTTGGTATGTTGTTAATGGAATGGATGGAGCAAACATATACTAACTTATTGTATATATTTTATAGTATTGAAGGAGTTATCAATGTAGAGCCACTGGATGACAATACATGCCTTAAGGTATTGCGTGTAACACTCAGTTTCTCTGGATCTCTTTATTGGATTTCATCCATTATCGAGAGTAATATCATTGCTGAGCTGAAGAAGTCTTTGGAGCAGCTTCCAAACGTTGTAAATGCCTACAAACGTCATATGGAGGAGAAGGGACTTCCCCTGCCAGTTTTCAAGCCAGCCGCACTCAAATCGTCGTACAGCAGCGGCAGCAGCGAACATAGAATCAACCAGAGCAGTGTTCTGGGTGATTCGGGTACGTCAACAGTGTTGACTGAGCCCATGGCCCAGTTGGTCTGACTTGGTTCAGCATCATCTTGAGGTCTAAATAAACAACCTACGTGTAGATTGATCAATACTTTTTGTATGAATGGCTGTGTTCATCAGAAAAACGAGAAGACGAATGTGATCACATTAGTCATTCATTACTTTGATCGACATGTTACGCAATGCTTGTGTATATGTATTACCTAGAGTGAGACGTCTAGTACAAGTAGGTGATCATCATCATTTGGGAACGTGTGCATATTCAAGTGGCAAGCCAAACAAGAGTGGCGGCAGCATTAGCTACAACACCTCTACAAAGAACTTGGACACAACAAGAGGTGTACTGCCAAAGTCCGTCTCGTTGAATCTTAAATCGTACGTATGTTGACCAGGCATGATCGCGAGACTTCTGTCTAATCACTCAATCAATCTATCATAGCAAGTCACAATGGCTTAAGAGACAACTTAGTGATCCTTATGTTAGACAGGCACATGCACAAGCGTATGTGTCGAGGGCTGCATTCAAGTTGGCTGAGATGGATGAGAAGTTGAAGATATTGAAGCCTGGCGCATTGGTTGTGGATCTTGGTGCAACACCCGGAGGTTGGACACAGGTCGCACAGCGCACTGTTGGTGACACAGGCGTTGTAATATCAGTGGACATCAATGAGGAAGGATTTGAACTGCCTCATTCTCACTTCATTGCTGGTGACTTTAGTCTGCCCGAGACCAAGTTGGCAATCAAGGCCAAGATTCAGGAGGCACAAGATGAGCGATCGCCAAAGAAGAAGTTGGTGTTGCCCACAAGCAGCGGCAACACTGTTGGATTCGTCGATGTAGTACTGAGCGACATGGCTCCACCATACTGTGGTGTCAGTAACATTGATCATGATCGTCTGATGGAGCTTGCCAATCAGGCGTTGCAGTTTGCAATCGAGACTCTCAAACCTGGTGGATCATTCATTTGCAAGGTGTCTAGAGGTGGAACAGAGTTGCGCATGCTCAAACATATGGAGCGATTCTTTGGCACAGTCAAATCAATGAAGCCCGATGCTTCAAGGCAAGAGTCAACAGAGATATACTACATTGGCCTCAAGTACAGGCCTGTCAAGGATACTTCACAATCAAGCGGGGACAACACTGGCAACAATTCTGGACAAAGTATATACGATGATTGATAAGTAAACTCATCACCTGAATCGATTGGTGACTCGGTCGTTTATTCAATCGGTCTTCCTCTTGTTGTGGCTGCCAGGCTGTTGTTTGACTGGCGTTGTGGATGTGCTCGAAAGGATCAATGAGAGGATGCGAGATGAGTGTGAAGGCGTTGGAGGCGAGGACGGAGTACGTTCTGGCATTGGGATTGTTGGAAGGTGGCTAGGACTAGAGTTGCCGGATGATGTCACTGGCGGTGTTGTTGCTGGATCAATTTGGTTTGCGCTAAGGATATGATGTCCTGATTGTGGTGGACATACTCCATTGGTAGTTGGTGACGATGATAATGATGATGATAATGATGAAGATGATGATGTTGATGTCGAAGTCATCGGGACTGTCGAGTTGGAGTTGGTGCTGTTGGATAATGTAGATGATGACTGTTGTTGAGGGTTGGAGTTGGTGTTGATGTTGGACGCATGTTGTTGTTGTAGCTTTGTTTGAGCTTGAGGCTTGTTGGACAAAGAGTGCAGGATGTAGTTGAGAGGCGATGTTTGTGACTTTGGAGAGATGAATGGCAGGTATGAATATACAAGGGCAGTGATGAATGCTATTCGTACGAATAAATGGAAGGTCTCGTTCTTCAGATAGAGAGTATGAGTGTATGATCCCATGAGGTCGAATCGACTGATCTCCAATGTCCTGACGACCACAGGAAATGATGAACTAATAAATAGAATGATGGCAGTGTTGATGATCAGTTTGCGAAGTGATGTCATCGACATCTTGGGTCGAACATTGGCAAACAATGAGAGATTGAAGAATCCAACAAAGGCTGATATCATAAGGTATCTGAAGGAGGAGGAGTTGGTTAGTGAGTGATTGGATGTGGCTGGATGGATGGCTTACATGACGACAGCTGTTTCAAAGAGTGATTGGAAGGATCCAAGCTTTGAGGAGTACTCTAGGAAGTTGTAGACATTGTCCACACCAGTGCTTGCAGCAGATGTCCAAGTGTAGAATGGTGTGATCTCAAAGATACTCTTGACGACGTGGATGAACACTTTTAATACGACCCATCCAGTAAAGATAAAGTTGATCACAGTGAGTATGGCCGAGACGATCCTATAAAAGACTTGATGTTTGAAACCACGCGGATGTGATGAAGCTTGAACGATCTGTGTCAGCTCCCTAAGCTTGGTCTCTGTCTGTATTCTTCTCTTCTCCTTTAATTGATCTATTGGGTTGTATATGTTCAAGTTAGTTCCATGTCCATTCATCCATTTATTCTTTAATTCATGCTCGCGTCAACATACTATTCTCCAAAGACTCTCGAAGTGTCGCCATCTCCAAGTTTGCCGCTATCAACTCATCCTCAGAGTGCGTCGCGCTATAGTTGATTGAATTTAGAGTGAGGGTATTGAATCCCTTTGGTATGCACACTAGTATGATTGATTGATTGAGTTAGTGATTGATTGGATATTTCCACTGGAACCATTCCAACAATACATACCCAACACAAACAATGTTCCCATGGTTGAAATTAGGGAGTATGAGAATGGAAGGTAGTCCTTGCTGATCTTCTGTCCATCGAACTCGAAAAAGATACTATATACAATGTAGACGAAGGCTGAATGGATGTGATGGACAATGAATGGGTCAGTCGTTGTGGGAGTACTATGGTGATGCAGTTGACAATTACCAATGAATATTGCAGAGACTAGAACTAATACATAGAGAGCGTCCTTGATACGCGACCTCCCTTTGATTGCATCCGCTTCGTAGTAGAAGTAAGCAAAGGGAAGGATGACAAACATAGATATGTTGGCTCCCCAGAATATCTTGTTCCAGAAAGCTGGGTGGAATAGTTCCGTTAGTGAATGAACGAGTATGAGACAGAGCAATCAATTCCAGTGTATACATACAGAAGATTAGTTCACGATTCAACCATTGAAGATAGTAGTTCGATGGGAATGTGGTCAATATCTCATTGCTGAGTATCGTGATGGGTATCAACATCATTGCTGCCAATGACACTGATAAACAGAATGTACAGAGTATACGTCTACAAGTGATTGTGATGATGTTCATTGTTAGTATCCAATGTTCAAAGTATGAGTATCTTGTACAATTACTACATACGGTAGATATAACTTGGTGTAGACTATAGTCGATTGATTGAATGATTGAATGATTGAATGATTGAGTGGAGAGAAGGATGAGGTAAGTGATATGAATGAATGAATGAATGTAATGGGATGTACATACCATCCTTCTTCCTGATGAACTTGTGAATGATAAAGTGAGATAGTATGAATAGGGTCAGGAGGAAGGTGAACGAGACGATGCCGTCTCTCATAAAGGTGAATATGGACTCGAGTCCACCCATTGTAGATGATGATATATTGCTCATTGTTGCTACTTCTGCTGCTGCTGTTTCTGATGTATCAAGAGGTGATTGCAGTGAATGTGATAGAGGCTTCTTAAACTTGACATTGTCAATGCCCTCCTCATTCATTCCAATTGCGCGCTTGAATGTCAAAGAGTTGCGCTGTTCCTTGATTGTTTGATTGATTGATTGATTGATGACCCAAGCAAATACTGTGACTTGAGTACTCAAGTGTCGCACTGTATCTAACAACAAGATGACTGATTGAATGATTGATGATGCTAATGCTTCAGATTGAGATTGACTAATGACTGGTTTTGGTTGAAGAATGAATGAATGTAGTAAATTATAGATAGGGATGATAATAGAGGTAGGTATCAATAAATAAGTAATGAGATAGATTCAAAGTATAATAAATAATAGATGGCGCGCGAAACAACTACATCCACAGCAATTGAAAATTGTTGGTGACGTGTTCACAAAGATTCACGAAGACTTGAACAAGTGAGACACCTTTAAGATATTGCTCAATGCGCTGAGTCACTAGGTCATCAATCAATCAATCAATCAATCAATCAATCAATCAATCAATCAATCAATCATATATATATATCCATTCCCTACCCTACTCAAACAAAGAAACAAACCCTCTAAAGAGAGGTGATGTCCTATCCCATCAATCATCAATAGTATACTCATTGGGTCCCGTTGACTTTATGTGTCTCTCTCTATTTATCTGTTTGTTGTAGATAAGGTATAGAGTGGATGTAGTTGACAAGACAGTGAGACAAGAGAGTTCAATCAAACAAGTCCATTTGGTGTCCCCACCACCAACATCCACAAATTTATGTGAATTTGAATGGTTGTGGATGGATGGCTGTTTGTTGGTTCTCCAAACCACACCCCTCTACCCCATCAATGAAGCGAAACCTTATTGGCAAAAGGTCCATCCATCCATCCATCTCTCTCTGTCTCTGTCTGGCTATATTGATATTTATGAATGAATGAAGGTGGTTGGTTTTAATTACAGGTGGTCAACCCAACAACTTACAACTACAACATACTTGATTGATTAGATTGATTGCAAGCAAGCATATATTCAATATATACATATATACATATATACAACAGTACAGTAATCATGGCATCTGTAAGGGTGGGTATCATTCAATCAATCAAACATATACATCCATCCATTGCTTGAACTGACACATATAATCAATCAATCAAACATATATATTTAGTCTTTGACAAACACATTTGAAACAGCAGATTCACCAACTGCAGTTAATAATAAGGCACCAGCATACCCAAACTCACCTTCAAGATCACCAGTGTTGGAACCAGTTGGTGGCGGAAAGGGAACGATCGATAGCAATCCAATTTCAAAGGAGAAGAGCTCCGATAAGATCGACCAATTCTTGAAGCATGAGGTGATTCCACGTGGAGGCTCACCGGGTGCCGTGCACAAGTCGGCACGCAACCAGCGACCACCCAACGAGCTGGACAACAAGGCCAAGGTGATCCCATCATTCGATGGCAACCCACACCCTGTGTACCATCTCATCCTGGAAGGCAAATCCTACGAGCAATCATCAGACAAGAAGAAGATTGTTATTCCACCTGCCAGTGCATACTGAGTACTCATCATATCCATGTCACCAATCATAATACGATCATTCATTCAAACATGTAATACTCAACAATCACATAATATTTATTTCCAACAACAAACAATAGAATTAGAACCCATCACTATTCATCCTCAGACGCCGCCAGGGCGAGCATCTGGAGACGACCCCAGAGGGATCAATCAACAAGATGAACATCATGGTGTCATCCATCAACCAACATTACAACAAATTATTATTAAATGTATACTATTATCCCCATCACTATATTCACATATATATATACTAATATTACCATGACGATGAATATCGCCAACATCACATCTGATTTAAGATTTATAATGTAGGTGTGTGCTATCGTTATGAGGAATAACCCCTTCCAGGGAAACATCGAAGGTCCGGAAAAGGAAATGGTGCGTAAGTGGTGTTGGAAGACGCGAGCCAAGGACATCCCACACACGCCCTGCGAGCTTCAACAATTATCCATTATGGATATGTTGGTGTCCATTTAAAACAGATAAACATACATAGGTATACATTTATTCATTCATACATATAATTATACAATGGAAGTAAATAAGGATAATTGTATTTGGGTATCAAATATCAATATAACAGCATCCGAAGATGATGTTACAAAGTTATTCAAGATGTGTGGAAAGATTAAATACTCTTCTTTAAAGGTATGTTTTAATTATAAATAATAACAAGATATTAACACTTGAATATAGACATTGAATACAAATAATTTTAAAGATGCTTTAATAGAGTTTGAGAACAACTTACCTGTTGATAGTTCATTACTTCTAAACGGAGTACTTATAAATAATACCCATATTATAGTATCAAAGGAGATACCAAAGGAGATATTCTCACAGTTGTATAAACAACAATTGGTAAATGAGGGCCAAGGAAGTGTGGACGATACCATCGAGACTAAAGAACAGGATAAAGTCAGTCTGGAGAAAGATGAAGAGAAGGATGAAGAAGACCCACTCGACGAGGAAAAGAGTGAAGAATCAGATGCCACTGTAGAGATGTTAGAAGACATCCTCTCGACTGGAATGGTAATATCTCAAGAGTTCCTAAGTCAGGCCAAAGAGTTGAATGGTATGTTATAACTTTGAATTGATGGGATGAGATAGTTTTATTGATGGATTGGACTAACATGTTGATGCTTCCACAGACAAGTATAAGTTCAAGGATAGGACATTAAAGTATATTGGCGGAATGATAACCAATTGGGGCAAGAAGGCCAATGATATAGTTACAAGAGGAGTAGATGTAGACTAATAATAATAAACAATGTATATAATCAATCACTAATATAATTTCATATAAATATGTAACAAGAGAACAAGAAAGTTCTCCGAGTCTATTTCTTCAACAAGTATTGGTTGCTGATTGATTTGAATGAGATTACATGTCCACGTCCACAAATGGTTGTGGACTTGAAGACAATACCCTCTCGCAACACCTTTGGTTTGGTGCCCTTGAGCACTGAGAATCCATTGGCCATCTCCAGAATCTCCTTGATTGATTTGACACTGGACATCTTGAACATGCCGATGAAGGGCACTCCATTGTTCTCCCAGGACAGACCGATCTGCTTCAGCACGTCAACTCGCTCTGAGTGCGTGGCGTAGCGGTTCTCATCGATGAACCACACGTCAAAGCATTTCCACTCCAACTCCTTGATGCCATAAATGTTGCCCTGGATCTTGGGTCCAATCATCTCGCCCTGCAAAGCCACGTTCAACTTGGCCGTATCCAGTCTCTCCAGTATCTTGAGCTCGTTGATCATGAGCTTGGCGATATCTGGTGCGCCACCATCGTCAAAGTTCATCTCATAGTTGCGAGAACAAACTCCACTGCGTCCATTGTAGTGGAAGGCCGTGATGGACGATCCCTCCAGCTTCTCTGTGATCTCAAATTCCATGTCTGCGTACTTTGTTGCGTAGTTTGGTTTGTTCTGGATTCTACTCTGATCTGTCTTGCGCAAGAAACTTGGGAATGGCTTCAGATGACCCATCAAAGCTCTAAAGATGCCCTGTCCACCATGTGCAGGATGGTCCACAATCTTTCTGATGCCAATCAATTGTGTGACATCACATCCAATCTCCATCTTAAACACCTCTGGTGTGTTGTCCTTCAGTCCAGGACCTGGCAACACGGCCACCTCCTTCAAACCAGATTCGACATCGTTGTCAACATTATATGTAGCCTGTATCTTCTTCTTTGGATGGTTCAATAACTCACGAACAGGAATACAATATCCTTTGTTTTGTTGAAGTAATATAAGTATGAATGTATAGTATGATTGATCAATGTTAGTACATACCCTGTGAGATCTGACCTCTCATCTTGATGGTCTTGATCTTGAAGTTGCACTTGTCCAATCGATCCTGAATGAAGTACGGCCAAGGTGGCAGAACTGAATCAATCTCTACATAAATGACCAGATCGCCTGGTTTATATAGTGCCTTCTTCACAATGACGTTCCAACCACGTACAGTCGCAGTCTCAATTGCATCTGCACCAGCAATAGGTGTAATAGCAACAATACGCTCGACATAAGCCAAAGGTCTATCAGATGTATCCAAATTGACTTCCTCATCCTCCTCTGCATTCTCTGTTTCATTTGATTCATTTGATTCATTTGTTTCATTTGTTGATGTTGATGGTGATGGTGATGGTGATGGAGATGATGTGGCACCAATGTTGTTGTTCTTGTTGTCTATATTGACATCTTTGACATCATTTGGTGTTGTTACCAACACTTTAGATACACGATCAACCAATGTATCTACTACTACCTCTTCTTTAACCTTATTATCAATCATTTCTTCTTATTAATTCTATATATATTATATTATTTATCTAAATGTACATCTATTTAATAACTTATTATTATACTAAAGTGATTGAATGATTGAATGAATGAATAGACGTTATTAATGACCCATCGATCTCAACCTTCACCCAATCTTGAGATATCCTTGAGAATCCCTTTTCACAAACTATTTCAGAAATTATTTGTAGGATGTGGACGATTCCATCCTAATATGGTTAATGAATGTACAAATAATTTCCTTCTTATTTAATTATAAATACTTATATATATATATTGATTGATTGATTGATTGATATTGTTTGTTTGAGTTTGCAACCAACTGGTCTTAGTTGGTACACCATTTTGATTCATTCTGTGTGTTGAGTGGAATGTTCACCTCGATGTAATTCCAAAAGTCTGCGGCGGTCTTCTTGGACATGCCATATTTATCCAGTTCACTGTATTTCGGGAGCGTGAGATCGACTTCGTCGTGCACCAGACCAAGGATATATTTTCCACGCTCAGTGCTATCGGACATCTCGTTATAGTACGTCTTGTTGTCGTCCCAGAACTTGGGATGCTTCTCTCTAATGTAGTAATGATAGCATAGATTGAGTGTGGGTCCGTAGAAACGGAAGCCAGCGGCCCACAGACGCGCCGAGTGCAAGATCTCCTCGCCCTCAAACATGTTGGGCAAGTGGGGATCGTATGGCACCGAGTCCATGATCTCTCCAGGCGCAAAGAAGAATCCGGCCGCAGCAAACGGACATTCCTTGGGTATTTTGGTCGCGGGGAGAATGAAAGAATTGAACGTGATGAGACCCTGATCGTGGAAGATCGCCTTGCACAGACGAGGCACCTGATGTTGGTCGTCACTGGGCAGGCCCGGGTTGCTTTCCTCCCACGGCATTGGATAGTGTGTGAGGATGGCCTTGGGCACACCATGCTTGCAAGTGGGCGCGATGCCACGCAGCGACCAATGATTGGACATGGCGAATGTGTCCCAACCCTTGATGAACCGCAAATGACTGTCTATCTGCATAAAGTACATCTCATTGCGATAGAGTGTCGATGCCAGGTGACGTGCCAGTGTTGGTCCGCGTGCCTTATCCTTCTCCAAAGTGACGCGTCTTACATTGCTCTTGATCAACTCTGGTGACACGGTTAGACCGCGATAACATAGTGAGTTGGGATATGATGGATGTTCGGGCTCGACCACCTCCAACAACTCTGAGCCCTGGTCGACCAGGCCGATAAATACGTTCTCTGGATGATCTGCATTCTTGAACAAGTAGTTAATGGTGTCTGAACACCAAACGTCTCTGTATGAGGCCAAAGATACAAAGATCGTTGGTTTGAACTCTGGTGTTGGTGTCGGCTGTATGTTCTTGTGATTGTTGTTGTGGTCATCGACTTCAACGTGTTTATCATTGTGATCATTCTTGTGTGTAGGTGTATTGGTGAAATGATCATTGATCCTATTATCTATTGTTGTTGTACCTGTTGATGATCTACCATGACTTGATCCAGTTGATGATGATGATGTCGCTGATGAACTACTTGATTGATAGTATGATAGATGACTTATTCCACCAAAGAAGAATAGTATTGTGGCCACTAATTAATAGTTCATTTGTTAGTTTGAGTTGGTTGTCATTGATTGATTGATGAATGAATGATGAATACATACATATTATGATCAACTTGAATCTCATTTTATTTACCTATGTATCATATATGTATGTATATATATATAAGATTGATTGATCACGCTGTTTGATTGATTGATTGGTCAACGCTTGGTCTTGTGGTGACGTGTCAAACAAGCTAGAGACCCTTTTGAAATTGTCTCTCAACACCTGGATTAAGTCTTATCAATTATTTGTTAAAAGATATATATATCTAGCTCTCTTCTAATTTATTTGTTATTATTACACACACATATTAATACTACATAATAATGAAACAAACAAATAAAACATGAAGCTGTGGTCTCTCTCTCAAACTCTAGAGATAGGAGTTTCATTACTCATCACCCCCACCTTTACCCAACGACCCCAACCTTAACACCTATGGGTGACCCAAACACGTTGCATCACCCCAACTTCGGACTTGGTTCATTTTTGGATGTTGGAGCTCCAAAACTAACTTCGTTGTCATTTCCCTCATCATTGACTATGAATACACATTTATATATATATGTAGTATCTGAATGTCCAATTTGTTTGGAGAAAGAATCTGGATATCCAGCTTATACTTAAATCTTTTGGAAACTAATTGGAAACCTCTTCGATTCATCACCAATGTGGCTCACTGATTGGTTGAATTATACCAAAGAATTCACAAAATGAGGGAAACAATTATGATGGAGGCCTAAACAAAACATAATAAGAAGATTATTACATTATTTACATTCACTATTACAGCAACAACAATAACAACTATTACTATTCCTATTATTATTATAGTCGACAGAGAATAATGGAAGATGAAGAAGAATCTACAATTGCCATATGGGCAGTCTTTAGGAACAAATATCTTGTCAAATATATTACAAAATATATACCAATAATATTCTCCATGTATCCTAAAAAGATGATAGGTAATGAAAAGTGCTTTAGATGGCATAAAAGACAGAGACTGGTGTTCACAAGTAATCTGATTCCAGGGCAGAACCCAAAAGCAATGGACACATGTTGGGGCTACCGCAGGATCAAACATCTTTCATCTGGATTCATTGCCAGCTTTATATTAAGGAGGGAGAGATACAGACAATTGCTTTGCCTTTGTAATTCATAACTCGAAACAAGAAATATTGGCAATCAAACCAGAATTCCAAAATAGAGGCGTAACTGGAATTGATAATAGTATATCATTTATTTTCAATTCACAGAGATCGGGAGATATCTTTTTTTTAATCTCTGTACAATATAATGTTGCAGACATCAATGACAAGAAATCATTTGGACAAGTCCGACCATACTCCAATTATTATCTCGATCACGTTTTAGTAACCTATAATCCATGTAAACAAGTTGAACAGTTGATTATTAACTATGGTGGTGTTGTTGACATTATCAAATGTAATGATTTCAACCTCGTCGACCTACTCAACCTCGAGAATAACAACGAACCATATGTTGGATTCGCCTCTTTAACTGGAAGACAGAATATAGTATACGATTGTCGGATCTTCAAGATACAATAAACCAAATAATAAAAACAATCCATCAACATCCATTCATTACTTTGACTTTATTCAAAAGAATATGGTAATATTGATTGTTAATAAAATGTTGTCTTTGAAGTACTTTGCTCATTCTTTCATTCATTCACTCTCACTTGGAAACATTCCTTCAATCATTCATTGATTACCTCCTCAGAGTATTGTGCAAGGGATAAAAATCTTGGTTTCCTTGTTACGAAGTCTGATTAATTCTTGGGTAAGCTCTTGGAATTTACGACTCTGTTCTCTCATCTCAGCATCCTTCTTTCTCAATCTCTCTGCTTGATTGATGTTTCCAACACATCCAGTACATCCAACACAGAATGGACAATAACATTCTCTTTCATCATTATGGTTGTTATTGTTCTTTACAACTTTATCAATATTAACATGTGTTTGTTGATGTTGTTCTAGTTGTTGTGATTCAGTATTTATAGATGTATTTGTAATACCAGTGTCTTCTTGATTGGAATTCATTCTTTTATGTATTTATTAAGTTATTTGTTTGAATGAGGAGGATAATAACTTTGTTGGACCTTATTTATAAATCCAAATAAGTTATAGATTAGATAGTAATCTAATATTATTATATTTTATTTAATTTATCAAATAATTTTATTATTCTTATCTCTACTCTCTCCCTTTCACAAGATCGATCTAATGCACTGATCTTGAAGTCTTGGAACCAAAATAACGTGGGTGATGAGGTCAACACACTAATTGGTTGATTGGCTGTTTTTACTCAGTGTCGGGATTGATCAATCTTTGCATTTGGCCCAACACACCACCACCATTTCAAGTGTATTTAGGATCTTTATCAAAAACGTTGTGTTTTTTGATTGATAGTACTCTTTTTTGATTTTGTGTGTATGTCTATGTTTCATTAATTGATAGTGAATGATGGGTATCTTGGGTCATTGGTGGTGTTTGAGGCCATTGCCTACAAATGAAGGGTAGGGGGTCCTATGAGTTAGTGATTGAGTGTCTAGATTGGTCTGGTTGGAGGTCACTGTCAACCTATCATTGTATAATCAACAACATACAATTAGTAGATAGATAAGATACACTCACGCATTTATATAAATATATACAAACACGAACAAATATAATATATATCAATCCATTCAATCAATCTAGATATGGATACAAAGGTTAGTTATAAATATATAAATTGCCCCTAAACATTCACTAACATTGGGCTGTATTGATCAATCAATCACTCATACATACTTGATGTGTAGGAGATCAAATGGACATTGAGTCTATTGCAGGAAAAAAGACAGTTAACATTCAATAGTTTGGATGATTGGAAGGATGGTGTGTTGCTGATAGTTACACTGGAGATCATTACAAACAAGCGTATCACTCGCTTCTACGCCAATCCAAAGAATAAGATCCAGATGATTGAGAATATCAACATTGCCATCACCTTTATGAACACAAACAATATATTCAATGCTAAATGTTCCCCTCAAGGTTGGTACTATTCCACTCACTCATTCACACATGATTGATCAATCGAACGACCGATCGATCGATTCGATCACACACTCAAACTCAAACTCACACATATTCATTTCAAACACAAAATAGACTTTATAGATGGCAATCAAAAGGCGATACATAGTATAATATATAGATTGTACTTGGTGGCTAATGGAAGGAATGTAGTACAACAGTATGCCACACCATTGTCACAACACAGTCATCATCAACAGCAACAACAGCCAAGGAAGAGTGGCGGATCATTCAATCAGTCCACTCCATCACATCAAATTCAATCAGAGCCTCATCATGGTCATCATCAACCACAACATAATCATATCCAACAACAACCACAACAACATGTACCAGCTCTACCAACATCACCATCACCATCATCTTCTTCATTGTTATCAATGTCACATGGTAGTGGAAGTGAGTCTCTCGTATCACCTCGTGGCTCATACCGTGAGCCAAGATATTCATACTCGAGTCCAGACAAAGGAAACTATTCCCACCAGCAGCAACAACCTGTGGCAGCACTGCCACAAGTCGAGGAAGAGGTAGTACAGCAACAGGAGCAACATATCGAGGAAGTGGATCAGACAGTTGATGTTGTGCAGCAACATGTTGATGAGCATCACACATTCGAGACATTGAACCATGTGGCGATAGTGCCACAAGTCGAAGATGAGGTAGTACAGCCATACTATGAGCAACATCAAAGTGTTGTCGTTGAGGAGTACATCCATCATGAGGAGGAGCAACACATTCAACCACATCCACAGCCATTGCCACAACAACCACAACCTGTAATATATCATCAGCCACAATATAGTTATGTGGCCCCGGTCGCTCCACTGAGCGCACCGGCATCACCAGAGCATGAAGAGTCTCTGGACGACTTGCTGTTGTACTTCAAGAAACAGGAGAACGTGATCAATGCTGCTGCCACTGCCACAGCTACTGCCACTACCTCCACGACCAGCGCTCAGCCAAACACGTCGGTGGCCGCAGCAGCGGCACAGCCACCAAGCCAAGACCCAGCAGATGTCAAGTGGAAGAGAAGACTTACCGAGCGACCCGCCTCGGGCACTGGCTTCAACATTGGCCGTGCAAGAATCAATACTTTGCGTGGCGTCGATGTGTCATCTAGCGCTGATAGCACACCGCCACCAGCGTCTCCCACCACTGTTGGCACTCCAATACCAGCGTCGGTCAAGACTCCCGTTGGACGCACCGACTCTAATGGCAGTATTGAATCACTGTCCTCCAGTCCAATGAAGGCGTGGTCCGTTGCCAAAGTGGTCAACGAGAATGACAAGAGAAAGAAGCCACTCTTGCTCAAGCCCATCCCCATAGACCTTGAGCGCTACAACAATCCCGAACTCCTTCCATCAATCATCAAGAGTCAAAGTTATGTCAGGCGTTGGATCGCCATGCATGCCCTTCATATAAGGAGTAAGACCAATCATATCTTGATCCTATATCTTGATCAATCTAACACAACCTCCAAACAGTCAAACAGAACAATCACAGGAACAAATGCTTTAAGGAGATATTGTCGACTGAGGAGAACTATGTGGCTGCAATAGAGATGATCGTCAATGTGTTCTACCAACAGATTCTATGGAACTCAAAGGTGTCGCCCAACCCTTACCTGACACAAGAGGACATCAGCACGATATTCTCAACGGTCAACGAGATCTACATATTCAACAAAGAGTTGCTTGCTCGTGTGAGGGAGCGCGCCAAGCAATGGAACTCGTACCAAAAGATCGGCGACATCTTTGTCGAGATGGCGCCCTACATGAAGGTGTTGTACAAGGCCTACTGTCTGAACTATGACACGGCCATCGAGTGTCTGCAGAAGGCCAAGAAGAATGAGATGTTCAACTTGTTCATCAAGGCATGTCTGGACCATCCCGAGAACCCCATGAAGCAGAGTTTGGAGACGCTGCTTATCACAATCGTACAGCGCATCCCGCGATACATCCTGTTGATCCAGGACATGAACTCCAACACATGGCACGATCACATCGATCGTGACAACCTCCGTGCCGCACTGAAGCTCATACAGTCGGCGGCGGGTGAGGTCAACACGTCGATCAAGATGGCCGAGTCGCAGTCCAAGGTGCTGGAGATCCAGCGATCGCTCATTGGCTGGGACGAGTCTACCGATCTTGTCAACCCATCTCGTCACTTTATCAAGCAAGGCATCATATACAAGTGCCAGTTGGACAGTCGTTTCGCCAAAGACCGTGAGGAGTTGGCCTACTTTGCCTTCAACGACTCACTCCTCGTCGTCGAGAAGCGTGACTCCACCAAGTACCAATTCAAATACTTCTTTGAGTTGGCCAAGACCAGGGTCAAGGATGTGGAGGACAGTCAAGGTATGTTATTGTTATTGTTATAGTGCCGTGTACATCGAACTAACATCAATCCAATGTGTAGTACTTCAAAATGCTATTCATATCATACATGGAGAGACAACAGCCATGTTTGCCTTTGATACACCAAGACTCAAGGGTGCCATCATTGAGTTTATCGAGAAGGGCAAGGTAAACAAGAGAATGACAACAGCTCTAGGACTGGCAGACTATGCCAGCACAAACAATCTGGTAAGTATTTCCACTCAATCATTCAATCAAACATGTTAACTAACATCCATGACCATCTTGATGTGATGTGTAGGACCCGGCACAAGTTGGTGAAGGACCATTCAATGTTCAGATCAAGAAGACAGAGAGCAAGAAGCTCCCTGGCAAGAAACCATTCACCGTAAGTCATCCACCACCAACAAGATGTTTGCTCTCCAACCATAGACTGACCCTCAATCACAACTTAACTTACTAGGTGTATATTATTGATATTGTTAACGAGGGCACTGGTGAGGTGTCGTCTCTATCCAAGCGTTACAGCGATTTCGATCACCTCCATAAGAAGCTCAAGAAGAAGTTCCCAGACACTGGCATTAGAGACCTGCCCAAGAAGCATCTGCTCAATAACTTGGGCACAAACACTGTGGAGTCAAGACGTGTGATGCTCGAAGTCTTCCTGCAGGACCTCTTCCAGAAGGAGCTGCTCAAGAACAGTGAGCTGCTGCTGAAATTCATTAGACCGACTGAGCCCGAGCTTCAAAAGTCCATGTCCAGCAGCTCTTTGAACGAGAGCATGGCAAACCTGGCCGACTCCCAGGTGCCCTCCAGTCCCGACGTGTCTGCCAAGGGTATAAGACAAAACGACTTTATTGACTACGACAGCGAGGAAGATAATTAAACGTTAACATCCTCTTTAACATGTTTGAGTGATTGATTCGGAATGAGTGATCACTTTATTATCTTGTACTGCCTGTACAATCTGTTACTCTTGATATACAATACAACTGCCACGACGATGGCTATTAAGGCAATGATTGAACAGATGATGATCAACATTTGCCAGCCTTCCAAAGGCATCAGAGATGCTTTCTTGGCATCCTCTTGACCAAAGAATAGGACGAGTTGGTTGGAGTCGGTCGTTAGATGATAGTCCTCGATATCTTCGTTGGAATTAACCTTTTGGAAGTTGCCCTGAATCATATCCTCACTCTCCACAATGATGTACTCTTCGTCGTACTGAATGGGATCGCCACTGGATGGCGGAAGAATGAAGAGTATGGCATCGGTCAGGTCTGCCTGTCCGCTGACCTTGATGAGACCAATCGATGGCTCAAGAAGCTGCACGTATAGTTCAGAGAGTGGCGACAGCATGAAGTCACCTCTGAGTTGAAGGTACGAGTCGGTCAGTTCCATTGATCCTGTCGAGGATATGGAAACATCGCCATCCATTGTCATTGATGTGTTGAAGAGGAGACTGCCTGCAAGAACATTCACATTTGCCTGCATGTATTGTGTTCCCACGACAAAGCTGGCATCCTCCGAGGTGACTGTTATGTCGTCATTGATGTACATTGAGGCATAAGATGTGAATGATCCAGTGCCAGAAACATTGATGTTACCCGCTCTGAATAGTCCACGTAGTGTTGTGTCTCCAGTGATGGATAGATCGACATTTCCTGGCTGTGCAGTAAAGTTTGTTGAGTAGATGTTGGATGTACCAGTCATTGTGAGTGTGACTGTCCTTGTTTGTGCAGGCTGGCCATCTGTATTGATGATTAAGTCGGTCAGGTTGGCATTGTTTAAGTTGACCTGGCACGGAGAAGCAGCAGTTGCTCCCAAGGGCGTCAACTGGACCGTGCCATATGTGTTGACATTATTAAGTACATCGATGCCAGCGACCAAGTATATAGAGATGGTACTGTTTGTTTGTGAGACGATGGAGTTGATTGTGACCTTTGACGAGGAGTTGATGACCATCTGTGAGTTGGACTGGATGGACAATGAACCAAATCGATTCAAGTTGGTAAAGAATGATTGGCCACTCTGAGCCAATGTTGTAATATTGTTGGCAACACTAAGTTGTCCATTGTTCGATGTAATGGAAGATATATTGGCCGAGGCAACAATCATTGAGTTCATCGAGAATGATGCGGATTGTCCAATCCAGATGTTTGAATGATCGAGCATCGTATCATTGTTGACAGTCATAGCCGATCCATTTTGAAGTGTGATTATAAAGTTGCCAATAACTTGAAGCGATCCAACTGTCATGTTGACATTGTCCGGTAGATATAAATATAAACTTGGTATTGGTGTCACATCAGCGGCAGTGCCATTTAAATATGCAACATCAGCAATTGATGGTAATTGCTGGTCTATCCAACTGGTTGAACTACTAATATCACATCCAGGTGATGTAGTTATACACGTTAATCCTACATTAATATAAATAACTAAATTCATTCATTCATACATGGTCAGTAAATTAGGCGCACTGACTTGAGATGATGATTGACGAACCTACCTTTTGCAAGTGATACATCAACAATTATAAGTTGTAACAACAAAAGTAGGATTGTGCTAAAGGTAATGATTGGCTGTTGCCGCGACCATTTGGATTGATGTTGATGATTGAATGTCATATTGATGACCTGTTCGTACACATCACCATTGAATGATTGAATGAATGAATATCAATACAAGTAGTAGTAAGTTTCGTCTATCTTTATATAAATACTAGTATAATAGTGCAATGACATGTCATAATGATAAACATGTTACATTGTTAGGTAACATTGCCAGGCAAAGGACACAACATGTGGTCCCCAAGGTGGCGAATTGTAATCAATCCATGTGTGTTGTGAAGGGTTGAACCAAACTTAGAGTGCAATAGTGAGTAAAGTAAGGTGCGCATAACCCACCCATTCACGATTTGATCAATCAATGTGATTCCCATAAACATACGCTTTTCATTTATAACAATGACATATTCTGTTTCCAACCAAATGAGGGAAGATAGAGAATCATTCCGATTGAATATATCTCAGTCGGTGACTGATTGACTGAGTAGTACATGAATATGAGTGAACTAAATAATAGTAGCAGTACAAAGAGAAAGAAGAAGAATCAAATGTCAAACAAAGAGTGTCACAAGAAGGAACGACTACATAATGACAATGAAGGTGATTATGACCAACAACATGTTGTTGTTGTTGTTGATGATGTAATAATACCAGCAACAACTACTACCACGACTACAACAACTACTACTACAACATCCACATTAGAGGAATCAAGCATACCTCCTCTTGAGGATCAACAAGCTGATGGAATCGCAGCCTACAATGTATTCTCAAACAAATTGTTGAGACAGAGGATACTGCACTACCTACCCATATTTACATTGAAGAGATCATTGATGACACCATGTGGTGATGCACAATGGATAGGTGATACAAGTGTACTACAACTCACTACTGATGAACCATATATCAACTCGGCATGTTGGAGCTCAAATAGAGTTAGACATCTGGCGCACGGATTCACCGCCACCTTTGGCTTCAGGATGGGCAAGCCCGTCCCATCTGGTCATGACCCACGCACGGCAGATGGCCTGGCCTTTGTAATCCAGAACTCCAGACAGGGCAAAGAGGCCATGTCCACAGGGGAGGGTGCTGGCATGGGCTATGGCGGCATCGCCAACAGTGTGGCCATTGAGTTTGACACGTGGAGAAACCGAGAGCATGGTGAACTGGACAACAGCCACATATCCATTCAGACCGGTGGCAGGAAGTCCAACTCACACAAGCAATCGTACTCAATCGGATATGCACCAGTGGTCAAGTTTCGAATGGACGACTACGCGCCACATAATGTTGTCATTGTCTACGACCCCGTGTCCACAGCCGCCAAACATATTACCGTGTCACTGGATGGTGTACAAATGTTAAAGATCAACCTCGACCTGCAAGTACTACTACGTCTGGAGAACAATGATGAGGCCCACATTGGATTCACGGCGGCAACTGGTCAGCTGCATCAAGAGCACATCATCGACTACTGCCACATCTATCGACTCAATACATCGTTCTAAGGATAACGACGACGACATCATCTTTATTTTAGATCGTCCGGGCGAATGAATCAACATTGCTAGGCGAGGCCAGCACTTGAACTTATCTCATGTGATACTCGATGGTGTCGGCAAACTTGCATTGGCTGCCAACAAAGTCGTAGGAGAACTTGATCTTGAGGTCGCGCTTGTTGGCCTGGAATGGGGCAACGTCGATCTCTCCGTTGATGAGCTCGCCCTTCTTGACGCGGATCACGTCGTCAATGTACATGATCGACTGCTTCCAGTGAGTGTACTTGGCGCGTGGACCAGTGGAGAAGAACACACTCTTGTGACCCTTGCTAAACTCAATGTCAAAGTAGACGACAAAGGCGTGGATAGAGTCGTCTCTGTCTGCTCTAAGCTTGAACTGCGACTTGAAAGGCAGCTGCTCCTTGGTCACTGTCATAATATCGATATTCTAAGTTGAGTTGCAAAGGTATCGTGTCAGATTGATTGATTGAATCCATGCCATCAATGTGATTGATTGATTGAGCGAATGAATGAAGTGGACTACATACTAAAATGTTGCAGTCGTTTGTAACGATCATGTTTGGCTTGACAACGTCGACCAATGGCTCAACGATGGCAATCTCTCTGATACAGCTCATGTCGTAACCATAGACGTTGTTCCAGTACTCGATCTTGTCCTCCTTGTACTCGGCATCCTCGATGGCGTTGATGTGCAGCGATGCTTTGTCGGGCATGATGATGCCACCTGGCACCAGATACTTGTCACGGGCAAACAGGACGGTGTCCAACATGCCCTCGTACAGCATGAAGTAGCCCATCCACTCGGAGATGATGATGTCGACCTTCTCGACGGGCAGCTTGACCTCCTCCATCTTGCCCTTTATCAGGACGATCCTGTCCTCATACTTGTTGGCCTTGATGATCTTCTGGGCAATTGGCAGAATCTCAGAGTTGTCGACACCGATAACCAGACGTGCTCCAGCATCAGCGGCAAACATACACAGAATACCAGTGCCACAGCCAACGTCCAATACAACCTTATCCTTGAACAAATGTCTGTTGTTCATAATAGCCTTTCGGTATGACATAGTTCTAACCTCATCCTTGAGCATTTCCTGTTTATATTATTTGATTGATTGAATGTGTTAGGGCATGTTGATACCCATGCATTGTTGTTGGTGATTGAGGTTGAGACATATACCTCATGGATGCCAAAGTGAGAGTATGAGTCAAAGTAGTAGTCGGAGGTTGTAAGCTCCTTAGTTCTATCAACAAGCTCTTGTTGAGTTGAATCAGACATAGATGAATCAGACATGATTAAATACTATGTTTTGTATATATGTATAGATGTATATGTATGTAATGTTATATATAAAGAAGTATGGGTAATCCAAAGTAATGAATGAAGTTTATTCTTGTCAAGTCGCAAGCGAAGAGAACGAAAGGTGTGAGAGAGACAAAAGCAAAAAAGGACTCGCGAGTCAAACTCAATAAATTAAAAAAATAAAGTGTTGACAAAAAAACGAACGACTCTTCACATCAATGTCAATGTCAGTTGTAATTGTAATGTATCTGGATATATCTACACTTTATATATATATATATATTTACATCCTTCAAAGGAATGTATGCCTAGCTAAGACTAATCATCTTCAGATCGTACATTCAGAATACATTGTGGATGTATCTCTGCCTCCTTAAGTGTAAGTTTGAAGTCCTGCTTGGTATAAACGCGCTTGGGGAACATTGTTATGAATTGATATGATCCAAACTCAACTCCACTTCCATCCAAATAGTTGGACAACTTAAGTTTGATTGATTGATTGATGTGTTAGTGAACACTCCTTGATTGAATGATTGAATGATCATTATAATATACATACAGTCTCTATGGTATCTGTTGAATTGAATCTTCTTTCCAATCTCTCATCATTTGGAAGTTTGAATACTACATGTGTGGAGTCTGGACCCTTGGCAGGCTCTTCTGGTACAAGTTTGCCATGGCTAAGTCTTTCATTCTTCTTCTCCTCTGCAGCCCACGCCTCTGCCTCCAACTTCTGCCTCTCCTCCTCTTGAATTCTCGCCTTTTCAATATCCGCCTTCAATGATTCCTCATAAGCAAGATCCTGCTCCTCCACCAACTTTCTCTTCTCTTGCTTCTCCTCCCTAAGATTGATTGATTAGTATGATTGGAATCATTCCCACCCAAGGCAATGGATGTTGATCTTTTGAACTTACTCTTCAATCATGACCTTGGTCAACTCGCGTTGGCTGGCATTGGATTGATTTGAAATTGACTCGTAGAACTTGGTGATGTCATTGATACCCTCGACGACCTCGAGTAGCTTGGGTATGCTTCCACGGAAGTTTCCAACAATTGCTACTATTGGATAGCTCTCGAAACGATCCTGTGACATGAGGAATGTCTCAATGCCAGCGTTGATAGTTCCGACCCAGAACACATAGTTGTCAGCAATATATTGTTTGATCTCCTCGGATTGAAGTATATCCCTGTTTGTGTAGTACATATTAGTATACTTGCGAGAATGAATGGGCGACTTCCACTACTACTTACAAACAGAAAGTATGCGCTAGGTCGCTGTCTGGGTTGTGGAGGTACGTGAGTATCAGCTTGCCAGTCTTTCTACCATGCGCCAATGCTTCTTTGAATGAGTGCTCGTAGGATGGTGGCACGATCAGACCCATGGCCTTGAGATCCTCGGCAAAGTTGTTGTGCGGCAGTTGATCGATGATATTCATCAGGTCATAAGCAGACATTGCATCACTGCTGGCAGCAGGCATAAAGTTTGTTGCGTATCCATTGCCTTGATATACCTCATAGTCTCCATCATCCTCATCAAACTCTTCCAAAATCTCATCAGATGTTGCTATTGGACGGTCGGCAGCGTTACCATCTTCATTGGCATTATCATTATCATTATTATTGTTGTTGTTGTTATCATTTCCATTTGTGTTGGCAACCTCTTCATTGGCGTTGGCGTTGGCATTGGCATTGTCTTCGGCATTAACATCCGCGTTATTGGCCTTTGTGTCAACTTCCTTTGCAGCCACTTCAACCATCTCTACATTATTCAACTCCATCGAAGCAAGTTGTGTATTATCCTTAACTATATACATTGTTGATATTGACAGTTAGTAGCCATTCATTCAATCGGTTCAATCGTTCAATGATTCAATCAATCACATAATCATACCATCAGTAAGATTCAGTATCAATTGTCTATCAATTGCTATACCAGTATATGCTTCCAATTGATTCTTCAAGTCAAGTACAGTAGCATTAAGCGGTAGTGTAACAGGCAATCCACTGCCACTAAACTGTACATCGAATGATATATGCTCATCCATTTCTCCAACAACCACAGATAGGTAATGTATTTACAAAAGTATAGTATTATATATTATATGTATAAGTAATTAATTATGTATGTATAAGTTCAAGTATTGAATAATGAATGAATGAATGAGAATGAGGATGAACAGCATCACTAACTAAACAACAACTTTAGGCGTTCAAGTGTTCTTCCCCTTCTTTCAGGAAGTGTGAGCAGTGTTTGATCAGCCAGTCAGATGCGTGGTGGGGGGATTGTCAGTCTCTGACCCATCGTGAGTCAACAAAGATTTGCACAGGCACCCAACCAATTCCAAGTTTTTTACAACCTTGAAACTGGAACTCTGATTCAATGAGTTGATCGATCAACTTGGCCCAACAACATCTGCTGCTGCTGAAGACGAAGAAGACGACGAGCTATTATTATTATCATCATTAACAATGACATCGGCATTGTTGTCGTCGTTGATTGGAACATCATTAACACCTTGGGTTTGGGTTGCCTCCAGTTGTGACTTGCGTTCTCTTTCTCTTTGTCTCTCTAGTTTTGCCACTTTGTTATTGTGTACTTTGGACTTGAGATGATTGCGCCACTGCAATGCACCATTCAACTCTTTGTTATCGCATACTTCACAATAGTGTTTCTCCCATTTGTCCAAAGATGATGATGACTTTGTCTTTTGTTTCTTGTTGTTGTTGTTTCCATTGCCATCACCACTGTCACCATCACCAAGTTGATGTTGTCTATTATATCTCTCTGATTCCTTGTTGTCTAAATATGTCTGTACAATGTCATGAGCGACATCTGATACTGATGTCTTCCAAGATGCCAAATCAGTGGTGTCCAATCGATGCAACACCAATTGATCATAGTCGGTCAACTTCTTGACCCACTTCCTCTGTTTGATTGCATACTGTCTGGTCCTTATCTTGATCTGTTGCACGCCCTTGTCCAACTCTGCCCGTTCCATCTGATTGTCGGCCTCGTCTCCATCGGTCCTCTTGACGCGCAGTTGATAATATGGGTACAACTCCTTGACACCGATCGCCTGTGTGATGCCCTTGGTGAAGTTCTCCGTGCTGTTCTGATTGATTATGTCGTCGCGTTGGAACACGTCAAAGATCTCTCGAACCATGCCTCGTGTGAGCATCGTATCGACACGATCATTCAATCGTTGTTCTAGTGCATCACCTGAGCAATCCAACCAAATCAAACATGAACGATATCTCTGTGTCTTCTTCTGTTCGAGGACCATGTCACTATGTCTCTTTCCAGTGTCATAATAAATATCCAGACTTCTCTTTATCTTCCTCGCGTCATTCTTGTGTAACTTCTTGGCCATCAACTCATCAACTTCTTTCAATTTATCATAAGTATATATCCTATCTTGTACAGGCAATGGTGTTGGTGATGTCGCCATTGTAGTAGTCGTTGTCGTTGTTGTCGTCGTTGATGTAGTTGATGTATTGGATGGTGTGGATGTTGGTGAAGTCGCGAATGCCATCGATTGAACATTCTGTGATGTATCCTCATCGAATGAAATGAGAGTATTACTCCAAAGTATTGATGTTGTATAATAATGTGTACCTCCAACAATGATTGGAAGTCTTCCTCTTGCAAGTATATCATCGATCTTCATTCAAGGAATGTCAGTCAGTGTCACTCATTCAATCAATCAATCAAGTCAATATAGATACATACTATTGGTATAACAGTTGCTATGAATGCGCCAACGTTATAATCCATTTGATTGATCTCTAGGATATCCATCATATGATGTGTAATACCTTCCATCTCTTCGTTTGTCACTTTGTTGGTAATGACATCAGCACCTTTATAAAGTTGCATTGAATCACTACTTATTATCTCTCCATTATACTTCTTAGCCAACTCTATTGCAAGCTTTGACTATATATATATAATGTCAAGGTAGTATGTCAGGTAACATGTCACTTCATTCATTCAATCAATCAATCAATCATACCTTGCCCACACCAGTCGTTCCCAAGATGAATACAACAAGCCTCTCATTATCCTTTGTATCCTGTTGTTGTTGTTGTTGTTGTTGTACTATGTCATTCATTGATGTTCAAGCATGTATATATATTAACAACATATTACCATCTTTGATGATGTTGAACACCAAGGGAATAAATCGGGTAACGTTTTGATTTGTATTTCAATTTAATTTTATTTTATTTTCACAATGAGGTTGTGGGATGGAGGAGACGAGGAGTGAGCTCTGCAGCGAGCCTCGTGGGATTGATATACCTTCATGAAGGCAACACGCACATCCTTTTCACATCCATCCGCAAACACTCACCATGGTATGTCTCTGTCTATACCTACAGCATCGCGATACTCTAGCGACAACTCCATCGACTATATCAACCATCAACACAGACTAGGATCATCTCGGATTGATCGATTGAATGATTGAATGATTGAATGGATATGATGATGATCATCAACCAAAGACAATGGACAGACTCATTAACAGATACCTCTACTCTCAATCTAATCTAATAGTCCAAGAAAGTCTCTGCCCCAAAGCAAGTTGAGAATCTTGCCAACAAGATCGGTAACAGACCAGGTGAAGAGGTCCTGGCCGTTGCTCACATTTTCGCCTCCTTCAACGATACCTTCGTTCATGTGACCGATCTCTCCTCAAAGGAGACCATCGTCCGTGTTACTGGTAAGTGATAAACTACACATCACAACAACACAACAGCACAACAACAATACAGGGGATGACAGGTCTCATGGACAATGACACACCCAACAGGATCGAACACAGATGTACCTAACAATCAATCAATCAATCAATCATTAATCAATCGACAATAATAGGTGGTATGAAGGTCAAGACTGATCGTGATGAGTCTTCCCCATACGCCGCCACCATGGCCGCTCAGGATGTCGCTGCCAGATGCAAGGAGCTCGGTATCACCGCTCTGCACATCAAGCTCAGAGCCACCGGAGGTAACGGTTCCAAGACCCCAGGTCCAGGTGCCCAATCCGCCCTCAGAGCTCTTGCCCGTTCGGGTATGAAGAATCGGTCGTATCGAGGATGTTACACCAATCCCAACCGACTCTACCAGAAGAAAGGGTGGTCACAGAGGTCGTCGTCTATAAGCAGCTAGTACAACTATTATTAAACTGGTTACCTTTGTTTCTTAAGCACTAAATTAATCAAGATCATGGATCTTGTAGTCCAACAACAACAGCTATTCAATCAATCAAACAATCAATCAAGGAATAAGAGTAGGTGGATAGTGTCTATGTTAAGTTAGTTAGTGATTACCAAGCATGCGCTACTTGGTATCGTTGTTATTGTTTGTTTAAGTTAAGTTATGTGTGTGTACAATGTCTGTTGTCTTAGTTTGATAATGGCATAGGGCTAGCCTTATGCTTGATACATGGTTATAATATATACATAGGTGTCTTATGATGAATGGACTACTGCTACACTCGTTGTTGGCATCGGCTGACATATTACAAGTGTAGTAGAGAGTACCTCTTCCACTGACTCATTCATTACGGCTCAACTATGTCATTGAAGTATGATTGTAAGTATGTATTCCTATTCCATTCAACCAATCAATCAATGACATTGACAGACAGACATACCTTCAATTGGAATTGGAACAACAATCTCTTGATCTGATCCACGTACTTTATACTTGACAACCAATGATCCTGATAGTTTATGATCACAAGCGTTATTGGATTGTGGTTGATAGGTTATATTGAAGTATCTATGCTCTTGAGGATTGAGTGGGATATGAGGTTCATTTGGACAATGCTTTGAATATACACCTCTGACATCTGGCAATTTAACACAATGTCCCAATTCCTCAATATGTACAATCATATCAACTAGATTGAATCCATTATTGCATACACTGAATGATAATCTCTTATTATCCTCTCCCTATTATTATTACAATATAATAATATTAATAATTTGTTCATTCATCCTTTAGACATGCATGTCCTCTTCATTTTGAATTATCACTTACATGTACATGTTTGAATCTCAATTGAGGTGGACTAATCTGAACAGACATTATTATTATATATTTGATAGAGTGTTCTGTCCTCAAAGGTATGACTATTGATGAATGACTGATCTAATAATTGAATCGTTGATGTATGTGTGTGTGTATGTGTTTGTGTGTATGTATGATGTTGTAATCTGTCTTTGTATTGTATTGTATGTTGAGTTGAGTTACATTGAGAGAGAGAGAGCGATACACAACAACTTATTTATTCTTATTAATAATAAACAACATCCACTCAAATTGAATCAAGTCATTCAAGTTGCAAAACTGCCCCAAGAGGTAATCAAGATCACCCGATTGGGTACAATGAATAGTTTTCCCCCTCTCAAACTCTCAAGGGCACAGTCTACCACCCATTCACTCATCGGCATAGACTGTTTTATTCAAACACAACCTTTTGTTAGCCCCATTCCCTCAAACACTTTCATTCATTCATTCATTCGTGTAACCAATAACAATGAAGTTAATTAATTATTTGTTTGATTGATCAACAACATCAACAACGTATTGCTTGAGGAATGGGAACCAAGCAGATGGTATAGGTGCATCCCATATACCAATGTTACTAATCTTTGCAGAGTTGATCATGTCGAATCTTGCTTGAAGCTCTGCATCGCTGAATGGTTCATTGTTATCACCTACTGTCATCAGTCCAATGGCCTAAAGTAAAGATGGAACAAATAGTCAGTCAGTCATTCATTCATTCAATCAGTCATTGGATAAGAGATAGTGGATTCACTTACAAGTTTGTTCAAAGGTATTGATTCGACAGAGAATTGGAATTGTTGAGTGAATGTTGTTAGGTTACTGGCGTAGGTGTTCATCGTGTAGATGAGATCGACTTGAGTGCGACCCAGTAATGTAAGATTCCAGAATGGATCGTATGTGGCAGCACAAACAGTGAGTATCTTTCCAAATGCATGTAGTTCATTTGCAAACATATCTACAAAGTTTGCATAGTCTTCTGCATCCTGTGCATTGCCGCCCACAGGTTCAATGTCCACACTGTATCCATTGAATCCTTCGTCAAGTGCACTTAGAGTATATGTCCATGTAAGCTTATATACTCAAGATGTGTATAGGGTAGTAAGACTTACTATTGAACTGCAGATGTGATGAATGGTTGTGGATTACGGAATAGTTCACGGGCGTATTCAATTACTTCTGGACGACCCCATGGACAACATGTTGATATCATTGGCAATGTTTGAAGACCGTATGATTTGATCGTTGGTATTACATCTGTAAAGTTATTAAGTATCAATGTTGAGTTTGGACCCAAGTTAAATCTTTCAAATGCCACCGCACTCAATAAGTTTGATATACTCTCTATTTCCTAAGATGATCAACTTAATGTAAGTGATTGATTGAGTGAATGAGTGAATGAATGGATTGTACATTACTTCCAAGTCTGAAGCGATTGATTCGTTTGTCCTTTGAAGGCCCATCCATGGCAATACACCATTCTTCTTCTGCTTTGAAGCATTGGCAAAGCAGATAGTGACCAATAATATGGTTATAACAATGATGGTAATAGTATATTTCTTCATCTTAACAATCTATTCTTTGTTTATTAAACATTATGATCATCTTACCATTGTATTGAATAACAATCAATCACAAGTCATTCAATCAATCAAATCAAATCCAGATATTTTCGTCAAGATGGAGACGTCTCAAGCAACACACAAATCACTAATTCTCTCTTTGAGCGAACAATGAATGAATGAATGAACGAATGAATGAGCTATGGATGAATGAATGAATGTAGTTAATAGGTGACCAACTAGATTGATTGATACAATCCAAAAGGGTATAGATCCAAACAAATAGGAGTAAGTCAAGTGTTTAAGGTTATGTTACCGATCGGTATTTTACCAGGTTGTTTAGGAATGAATGGGCGATCACTGATCAGTGAACGACGACGACGACTGGTCGTTCTAAATCTAAAACTGTTTAGAGATATATATCACGCTAAACAAAGAAAGATGCCGAAGAACTTTGCAACTACCACCAGACCGACTGACAAGATCCAAAGACTGGTCGTCTAGTCCAAACCATGTCTGGACGCATGTCATCGTGGATGTTATGAGGTTAGGGTTTGAGGTCTGTGGTCTGTGGTCTGGCGACCTGTCGTTACTGTTACTCATACATACATACATGACATCTGTTACCTTACTTACCCTAGGGTGACACTACTATCTGCCTATCGATCTCTTACTTTGCAAACATAGGCCACTTGGTATGAAAGCTTGTGGCTTATTCACACACACACAACAGACAAAGACACATACCGATCATTCAAGTTATTTGATTGGTTGGCAATAATAGTGTAGTCACTTACATAGTGACCAAATTAGAAGTCGACCAAAGGGGTGAATGCGTGATCTACTGGGTGATTGAGTGAACGACAGTGGAGTTAGTCCACCACACCCAAGCCAACCTTCTATCTCATCGTGAGCTCTCTTGTCTCAATGGGGCGGGCTGACGCCAATTTAACTGTTTATTGATGTCACCCCATTTCATTAACTTATATCTGGGGACAATCACCGGCACTTGAATAAGCAGCGTGTGAGATTAATTCAATGGTTGTCGTTCGTTGACACCCTACCCCAACACGTGCGCCACCCCCGTGATTGATTCGTTTGCAAGTTTGAATTGATGATAAATTTAAAGAGTCACCACACATGCGTGTGCTGAGCGAGTGAGTGACCGACGCGCCGCTTTGGTTTGGAAAAAAAAACTGGATATCACTCTGATCAGTGGCAGGGGTAGACAATGAGTGGCTGCATCTTGGAAAGTTGTTGTGGCTAACAGCAACGAAGGGTACACTGCCCAATAATATTTGATCGTTGGTCGAGTGATGGCGACCAAAGTTTACGTGAAGTGTTTTGTAGACAGATTGATGGTTGATGAATGAATGAATGGACCAACAGTCCATCATCATTCAATCACTCCCCTTCTGATCACTTCGGGCCACAATGGGCCAGTATCGAGCATTCATTCGATTGATTCACGTATCAAGAATATCCCCATTTTCCTTAGACTGTGACACCAAACAACGATCCGAGGTTATACATATCCAATTTAACAACTCATCAATCAAACAATCAATCACATAAACCATCTCCATCTTTAAACACACACACATATACATACATATACTTTATACTTATATATATATACTTATATATCACATTCGATTGATCGATCACATTGATTGATTGATTGATTCAAACTCACACTCACTCACTCACACACTCAAACACAAACACAAACATACAGATATGTCATCAAACATTATCCAACAAACAACTACATTGTTGTGGATTGTGATTGTTTGTTTGGCATGTTGGACAACAGTTATAGATGCCCAACATCCTTTTAAGATTGCTGTTGTGGCCAACGGAAAGATCAATGACTTTGGATTCAATGCAATGATCAATGAGGGTGTGATCAGCGCACAGAGACTTCTAAACTCTACAAACATCCACATCTATCCAGACATTGGCAGGGGCATCCTGAATGACACCATCGAGAGATTGATCAACGATGGCTACAACGGCATCATCACCACGTCCACCGAGATGACCGGCCCCACCATATTCTACGCCGGCATCCATCCCGAGATCCGTTTCCTGACGCGTGGACGTAACGCCAACACCACGGCCAACCTGTCGTTCTTCTCCTACAACATCGCCATCTGCAACTACATGATTGGCTACTTTGCCGGCCTTTGGACACAGACCAAGATGATCGGATACGTGGCGCCCGGCCTGCCCGACGTGGCCAACTACAATGCCAATGCACTGTTTGTTGGCGCACAGCGCGCCAGACCCGGCGAGAACGTCACCGTCACCGTGTGGAACACGGGCTCGTGGCACGCCGTTGACAATGCCACTGGCGCCACAAACGATATCATTGATCGTGGCATTGATATCATCAGTCAGAACCAGGACGATAACACTGTGGTCACTGCTGGACTCAAGCGAGGAGTGATTGGCATGGGTACCAATGGATATCCACAAAGCAGACTCTATGGTGAGAACATTGCATTTGGATTTGTCACCAACTGGGCTCCAGTATTCATCAACTTCACCCAATTGGTCATTACCAATTCCAGCTACTCCAGGAAGGACTGGGGAGACTTTAACAACAAATTCCTCGAGCTCTCAAAGTTCAGTTTCCAAGTATATATCCACATCCTCTCTTCGTGGCGCCAAACATGAACTAACAATGACTCAATCACTCAATCAATAGGTCAATGCAACCATCCGACAAAAGGTGAATGAAGAGGTCGAAAGATTGATTGGCATGCCATTCACATCACATCCATACTATTGTAATGAGTACAATCACTTTATCTTCCCCAATATGTCAGCAACCGTCAATAATTGTATGTCTGTGGCACAGTTCTTCTTTATGAATGATCCATACCCAGGCATCAATTATCTCGGCTACTACAAGGTTCCACTGACCAAGGTTGGCGTATCGATACCCGTGCTCATAGGTCTGACCACTGCCTCGGGCGTCATGATCCTCCTGGCCGTTGTCCTGATGATCCTCGTGTTTATTTACCGCAGCTCATCATCCATTCGTTCGGCCAGTCCATTCTTCTGCTACAACATCATCTTTGGAGGCATCCTCACATATGTGGGCGTGATCGTCTTCTCGCTCCCCAAGTCCGACGCCTCGTGTAACTTGCGCTTCTGGTTCCCAGCCGTCGGATACGCACTGCTCATTGGCAGTTTGGTCGTCAAGAACTTTAGAATCTGGCTCATCTTTGACAATCCACGTCTAAAGGTTGTCCGTGTGACCAACTCCCAGCTGTACCCATGGGTGATGGGACTCGTGGCCATCATCGTTGCGCTTCTCATTCTCATGGCCGTTGGCCCTATTGGCAACCTGCGCGCTGTCCAGTCGAATGCCGGCCTGTCCAAATATCAGTTCACTGACACCTGTGAGATGACCCGCGCAGGTTCCATCCTGCTCATCCTGGTACTGTGCGTCTTTGCCTTGCTGATCATGATTGGCAGTTTTGTCTCATGGAAGATCAGAATCGTGGACATCCTCGAGTTCAACGAGTGCAAGCCCATTGCCTATGTGCTCTACGCATGTCTCGTGACAATCTTCATTGTCGTGCCACTGATGGTGTCGCCACAGACCGACACATCACAGACAATCATCATTGGCTCAGCCGCCCTGTTCATCACCACCATCTCGCTGCTGATCCTGTTCATCCCCAAGTTCTTCCGTGTCTACAACCTGGACTCGTCGTCGAGCTCCATCTTTGAGAGCATGGGCAACACCAAGCTCTCTGGCATGAGTGGTCTGACCAGCATGGTGTCCGAGAATCCAGAGTCCAGAGCAGTGCCATCGTTCGTCGTTGGTGAGGAGGGCAATGTTACCGTGACCGTGACCCCTGAGCATGTGTCAGCATCGGCCTCGGGCACCACCTCGGCTTCCCTTTCAGGACCAGTACATGCCACATTCGATTCCGATGACGAAGACGACAGCAACGCATCCAAGCCCCCAACCGAAACGTCTGCATAAGGTGTACATCATTGGCACACAAGACCGATTGTTGTGTCCATATCTTCCTACCTTCCTTCCTCCCTTTTTTTTTTTCTTCCCGCCTATTTGTAGCATACGTACATACCTTCCTTCCTTCCTTCCTTCTTTCCTTCTCTGCAACGATCCAATCATCGCCTACTTTATAAAGTATCATATATAACATAATAATATAATATATAATTATATAATTGTATCCAATTAAAGGGTCGCGTCTACTTCATTGTTTATTCCTGTAGCTCCTGTTCATCCTCGACGGATGGATGGTAGGGCACACCACTGAGGATACGTCGGAAGTATGCTGATTCATTGTAGATATGATCAATTAGTTGGCCAAAGGGAATGGAGTCGACCAGTTTGGATGGTAGGTAGATGGTAGCTTGCTTCATTGATTGATCATGGTACTCGACAAACACATCCTTTGCACCAATGATAATATCAATGTTTGGTCCAATGGCTCGAAGTGCATTGGCCTCCTCATTGGATATTGACGCCATGTTGGCACGCAGTTGCTTCACAGCTTTGTACTGTAGTGGAAGTTTCTTGACGATTGCGCCATCAATCTTAACGCTGGAAAGTGCGTGTCTCTCTTTGATCGATTGCAACATGGACTCGACCAGCTGCATCTTGAGCACGAGGTCCGTCGACTCGAGCACGGGCGCATAGAACTCCTTCTGTATCGTTGATATCTTGTTGTAGTTGGCGTTCAGAAAGAGCAGTAGCTCTGTCTCTGTGAAGTTGATTGGGATGTAAATGTAGGCCATGTCATTCTCGGGTGACATGATGAACTGATAATGATCGGAGAGCACCAAGTGAAGATTAGCCCAACCAAAGTCTGCAAGTCTTTGTTTTGGCTGTGCTACTATCTTTGTTTCCTTGATTGTTGGTCGTTGTTGTTGTTGTTGTTGGCGTGATGATGATTGTTGTTTGGAAGTTGTCTTGACGTGTGATTGTTTTTGTTCTTGTTCTTGTTCTTGGGCTGTGGCGGATGGTTCAGGATTGTTGCCAAATACTGGCAATGTGAAGTTGCTCACTACATCAACAGTCATTGTTTGTGGGTTGTGATCTGCGTCCACAGAGGTCGCCAAGAGATCAGTCGGTTTGCGATGTCTAAGATATGCTGAACTTCCATTGCCATCGCTGTCGTCGTGCTCATATTCATCGACATTTGGATCGGGGAATGCCATTGGCACTCGATGTTCAGTGTTTACCATCTCTCTCAGTTTGGTGATGCACTCCATTGCTGATCCAATATGAGGTGCAGACTCCAAATAATTGAACGTATTTGGGTTGACAATTGTCAGAGGTTTGTATCTAAGGTCGAGAAAGTTATCATACTGTTGTTCTTGCAAGTCTGATGATGTCGATGGTGATGGCGGTGGCGTTGATGCTGAGCCGCTAGACTTGCTCTTGTCCGGCGCTGATTGGCGGCCGCCGTATTGAGCAATCAATGCATTCAAGTCGTGTAGCTTGGCACCTGATAATTTGAGTCGTCCAGGGACTTGACCCAACTTTGTCTCGGGCAATGAAGTCCATTGTTGAGCTCGCACCTCCTCTATCAGTTTGGTAACTGGGATACCCATTTGATCGAGAGCAGCCCTTGCCTTTGAGAACTTGAGCTTTGAACTCTTCATCGTCCTCTGATTCATTGAGTAAAGGTTCTCCACTGTTACACTGTTCGCACCCAACAAACTAAAGACATGATTGGATTGGATAAGTGAATGATTGATCGAGTGGGAGATGGTACCATAACCAACCTTTTAAGTTCATCAGCTGATCGTTCCAGGATTGATAGGTTGTTCTTTGAAACTGAGTATAGAGCCTTGAAGCCTTCCACCATATCTGGTACCTCCTCCTTGATGTATGATAGTGTTTCCACTGGATCAAAGTCACGTGGCAACACTACAAAGTTACTGGTGGCCAGTGATTGACGAAGTTGATCAACATACTGAGGCATCGCAATCAGTATCGGTAGTTGATGCCATGAACTAAACTCCAATTGCTCCAGATTGCCCTTGAGATGAAGTATCTGTAGCTCAGCGTCACGACGCTTACCAAGTGATCGCATCACATTCATATCGCCCTTGATCTGCTCGCCATAATAAAAGAATATCTTGTTCTCGTTGAACAGCTGAAGCAGAGTCGACTGCTCCAGACTGAGCTCAGCAGTGATACGACTCGTCGTCACATTATTCTGCATGATAAACTCGTCCATCAGCTGAGTGATGCTGAGACCGTCCTCGCCTTCCTGGATGGACGACTCAAAGGTCTCGTCCCAGGGGTCGTCGAACGACTCGGTGGCGGCGTCGCCCTCGTCCTCGGGGCGCAGCAGCTGGGCCAACTCCTGGAGCTCGTGCGGTGGGATGGTGATGTCGGCTTTTTGAAAGACGGCAAACATCTGTGCGTAGATGTCCAGCCGCAGTTTGAGGACGTAGTCGGCCAACGCCGACTTGGACGAGGCCAGATCGAGCGGCTGCACGTCAAACGTCATCTCGTGTTCAAAGTGGCCAATTTGAACAATCTGGCCAGGCGTCGTGGTCTGATGATGGAAGGAGAGGGAGATGGTCGTGGGGATGGCCTCCAGCTTCATCTCGGTGGTGCTGCCTTCGTGAACGCGTATATAGGCATCTCTATTGCGCAGCAGATTGTTGAGCAACGTCAATGACCTCTGATTGGTGTTGGCAAGATCAGGCTTATCGTGCAAGACATCGGGATGCACCTTGACCAAGAACTTCTTCATATGTCCCTTTAGCCATGTCTCCATCTCACGAGGAGGACTTCTATATCTTGTCTTCCTCGTCGTCTTCTCCTTCTCCTCCTTCTTTGATTCAGATCTTAACTTTGCTTTGAATTGTTGTTGATGTTGTTGTTTCTTCTTATTCTGTTGATCATTATCATCAACATCATAATCCTCTACATCTCCATATTCTAACTTCTTCTTATTATTATTATTATCATTACTCTTTGATGACGTTGATGAGGTTGAAGTGTAATGCCTGGCAATGACATCATTACTTGGTTTGATGAGACATGTTGTCGATTGTCTTATGAATGTAGTTCTTGTCAATGGTCTTACGACCAATAACAATCTATTCATCTTACTTCGTTCGTCTTTGACTCGCACATCAATGAATGAACAAAGTTAGATGAGTTTCGTTCGTGTTTGGCACACGCGCCCATTCAAGTCCACTTGTTGCCACCTCTCGCTCACGTCACCAACCTCACCAAGAACTCATCCATAACACAACACACTCGCGAGACATGACAAAGAAGATAGATAGATAGATAGATAGATACAATTACAATCGAAGTTGTTATTATATATTATATGATAAATAGGGTAGGTAGTATACTTGGTTAACCAGGGGAACATATGTTGGATGATTGACAAACTGCTACTTGGGCATCTTCTTCTTGAAGACCCATTGGATCTCTGAATCTTCGATGGAAGTCGATGGCTTTTTGAAGTTGTTGTGATGCTGTTGTTGTGATGATGGCGATGGTGGAGATGTCGCCTGTTGTTGTTGTTGTGGAGGTGGTACAATGATTGGTTGTTGATCCATCATTGCCATTGTAGCCGCTGCTGCTGCTGCCGCTGCCGCTGATGAAGATGAAGACGAAGACGAAGATTGATAAAGATTGTTGTTTGTGGCAATGGGTGCGGACAGCTTACGCTGTTGTTGTTGCTGTTGTTGTTGTTGTTGTACCAGCAACTGTTGCTGGTGATGATGTTGCTGCTGCTGTTGCTGAGCAGAATAAATTGAAGGTGGCGTTGGAATTGGTGCAGACTTTGACAACGGGTGACTGCTGCCCATGCCAATGTTCATTGCAGCTGTTGTTGTCGTGTTGCCAATGGTATTGGCACTCTGTGACTTTACAAGATCGAATGATGATGCGGTGGCCGAAGACGATGATGAGGTGGTCAGTGAGGAGGACTCGCTGCCACCACCAACACCACCACCGCCATAGTTTGTGAATCGTAGTAGACGCTCGAGAGCCTCGTTTGGCTCGAGGCCAGGTTGCTGCTGTGGTTGATGGTGTCGCGGAGGTGTATGAGACTGGTTGAATGACGATGAAATGCTCTCGTCGAATCCCTTGTGCTTTGAATGCACGGGGATTGGCGAAGCGGCGCCACTGTGATGCACATGTTGTCCATGTCCATGTCCAGATGGTGATAGTGTTGTTGTTGTTGTTGATACATTTGATGACGTTGATGGAGGAGGCACGACGATGGTTGGCGAGGAGGAGCCTTGATGGAAGTTGCTCAAATGTAGCAACTCTGATTTGATTTGGTCTCCTACCTTTTCGTGTTTGGCAACGTGTCGCGAGAAGTTGGTGATCATGTGCAGACTGCAACCCTGGAAGAAGCAGATGTACTTGCCCTCGCCATCCATGCGAAACAACTTCAGACCATACTTGATCATCTGCTCGCGAAGTTGCACACCGCGCGAGGAGTACCTTGTTGGAATGGCGTATTGCTCTGCATCGTCGTTGTTGCCGCCACCACCGCCTTCAGACATGCGGACATTGGGACTGGAGATTAGTTGGTCATTGTTGTTGTTGTGACTGTGGCTGTGGAGAGGAAGAGGGAGGGATGGGGGTGGGGGCAGGGGTGAGCCCACCATGGCGCCAGGCGAGAGTATCTTGGTACATGGCATTTGTTGCTGCTGGTCTAGCATCTGCTGGTCTGGCCTCCTCTGTTTCTTGATATGTGATGATGATGATGAGCTCGTGGTCATCATCTCGTCGCCACTACCATGGTAGTGGTGGTGTTGGTGGTGCTGGCTACTGCCGCCTCGCGGTGTCGTGGGGGATAGGGATATAGTCCACCGGGTGTGGTCGATACGGCAGAGACAACGGCTGGCATATCGTAGAAGGAGTAGAGCGATTGGAATCGAGCCATTGTCTCATGGGCGTAGGACATTGCATGGCGGAGGATGTGCTGGTCTGCATCAACGTCCTCCTCGGCCTGGCCGCCAAAGGCGCGATCAAACAGCATGTCCTCCATCAGCACATCCTTTTGTTCATCATGTACTTTCAAGTGAACAATGTACTGATGCAGTGACTTGGATCGAATTGGAAATTTACAGCCTTTTGTTTGATTATTTGATTGATTGATTGGAGGGGAGGGGGTGTCAGTGAGTGGAATTATTCCAATCTTTGATTGGAAACAATTATTTAATTAATTGTATAAACATACCTTTATATATACAAATGAAGTTTAAATATTGGTCTCGGGGAAAGCGGAGTTGAATGGCGCCACCGTCTCCGCCTAATGTGGCGCCACTATTCAGGAATTGTTCCATCATCTCTAAGATTTGATGGAGACCACCGGGCGGGGTTGACTCGGATCCCAATCCGAACCCATGACCATGGCCATGCCCCAGCCCACCACCACTGCCTGGTGTACCTCGAGGCGGTGATGAGGAGGTGGTGGAGGCTGCCCACGTTGGCTCTGGGGTCTTACGCTTGATGGCCGTCTGTGGGCTGGAGGCACCACGTGGGGATGGATCATGGACGATTGATGGGATGCGATCCAGCTGATTCAACAGACCTGGCGACAACATTCCAGACGACTGGTGTAGTTGGTGGCCATGTGATTGGCCTTGATTTTGAATTTGGTTGTGATTTTGGTTGTGATTATGATTATGGTGTTGCCTTGGGGAAGAGGATGGTGATCGTTTGGACTGTACATTGGCGGGACCATGGTCATGCACCTCACTATCAAGTGAAGGTGGACGTTGTCGTGGCGGAGAAGAATCAATCATTGTTTTATACGTTCTACCATGTGTGTTTGGATTGTGATTCGTGATGTGGATTCGATATGTTGTGGGGAGAGGGGAGGGGAGGGAGGAGGAGGAATGAGTGAGTGAGTGTGGATGGGAGGATTGGAGGAGGAGGAGGAGGAGGAGGAAGCTGTGGAGAGGGACGCTGTGGAGAGGAAGAGGAATAGGAGGAGGAAGAATCTGAATGAATTTGATATGTACCTGGATATTAATATCTGTTTTCCAGTAGTGATAATGATATAAATAATATATATTTGTTGTTGGAAGATTAATTAATTTGACTTATTGACTTATTGACTGATTGACTATATTGATCACTCGACTCGTCTGATGGATGATCAATTAATATGTGTGTGTGTGTGTTTGTTGTTTGTGTCTGTGTAAAAAAAAAAACAAACAAGGAGAGAGATGCAGCGGATATGAGATGTTGGTCGGTACTGATACTGGTGATGACATGACGTCCAGGGAGGACACAGAGTATGGGGGGGAGTTGGAGGATTGGATGGTCAAGTCTCAGTCAGTCAGTCGGTGTCTGATTCAAATATAGATGGATCACCAGAGTACAACGCTGATGATGAATAAGTGTGTGTGAGTGACAGTGTGTGTGATTTGATGGGATGAATCAAAAAAGAAAAAAACATTAATTAAAATAAAATAATACCAAAAGTAGGTAGTTGGATGTACAACATACATCAGAATAGGACATGACGACCACCTGACCAACTACAAAAGTGTTTGGGGATGCGATAGGTGCACACACCTCTCCCTCACGCACCCATGTTGGACTCGGGTCCATGATGACATGCGCGAGTGCTCTGCAAATGCTTTCGAAGCTTCGAAAACAAAAAGATCCCCCGCTACGCTGACTCGTTGTGGGGTTGGGGGGCTAGGTCGTCTTTGGAAATTTGGGAGAGCGGGGCGGGAGAGACATCCAGCAGCTGGGAGTTAAGAATCGGCGGCATCACCCCACACGTGACTGCGTGTCACAATGTTTGACGCGTCGTACCACCTTATGATGTTGTTGGATGGATGGACAAAGACTATCTATCTATCTATCGGTCTGGATGGATAGCATGGTCGTATCCTATATCGTGGTCGTCTACACCAATCATTCAAACAACGCAAATGAAGCATCGGCGTCTAAAATTGGTGTTGACAGGCATACACACAATGGGAAAATCTGGGTCTCTGAGTATAACCTGCGAGAATGAGAATGAAATGCGTGATGGGGGTGGATAGGACCCGGGTGGATCAGTGTGATGGAGGGTAGGCAGATCGTTTGCCAAATTGGAAGATTGGACAAGATGGTCCAACCATGGTTGTTTGTGATAATCATAATCCACCAGACAGGGGAGGGGCACGCACCGATGGTTTGCTGTGTTTTACTCTTTCGCGTCGCAACAACAAACAATCTATCTTGTTAATGATGATGATGCAGTTGGTAGTGGGTCGGTGAGAGAGACAGAGATAGCTCGGAATGAACATTCAGTGTTGTCCATAAGGGCTGGCTTTGTCTCGGATATTATTATTGGATTTCTTTTTGGATGTGGATGAGGATGGAATGGTCGAAGGAAAGTGGTAGGTCAGCAAAGGAACTCAAACACGTCGTTGGCATGCATTGACTTTGAAACAACTGTTCAAGACAAAGACAAAGATAGATAATATGATAATGATGATGATGATGATGATAGTATAGGTACCTTATTGTGTTGTGTTGTGTCATGACACCTATCACAATCATGTCCACAGGTCACATCAATCATGTCAATCAATCAATCAATCATGTCAACATGTCAATCAACCTATCATCGATCACATCATTCATTGACACTTACAACTATTTTACTGCTGCTCTGACTCTTTGGGGATGGATCGGATGCCACCAGCTTAGCACTATTCGTCCAAAAGCACAACTTGTTGTCCTCTCCAGCTGTCAATATCTCCTGTTTCTGGATTGATTTGATTGAAATATCCAAGGATGCAAATGATTGTGAAAGCGGGCCATGTGTGTGTCAGTTATTGGGGGCCTGGGATGGTGACATCTTTGCAATGCATGTCACACTTGTCACATGTTTGTGATGATGTTGAAGTTATCGGTGTAGACTTACATCCTTGTTCAAAATGGTACTGCGAATGATTTCCGTGTGACCACCGGCCAGCTTGGCAATGGGGACGACATTGTCGGCCTCAACACGAAAGACGAGACCATTGCCAGTGAAGTCTCCACCAAACAAGTATAATGTATTGTCATTGGCATCGTAATGACATGTGTTGAAATAGTTGACCTCCACCTGATACTTGTCCATCACAATCTGTCTCAAGTCTCCATACTCCTTTATCCTCGTTCCACTCTCCAAGTCCCAAACCGACAGTCTCTCCGTAGTTGACAATGACCACAAGTGCATATTCTTTGGTCCAAAGAATCCCATCGTTGATACAGAGTGTTCTCCATTCATTACTTCGATTGAGTATGATCGAGTATTAGTATGATTGATTGATTGAGTGAGTGAGTGATCATGAACATACCAAATGTAATGGCCTCGTCAGCATCTTGATTGGCAAGATCATATATACAGATGAGTCCATCGACACTACATGATAATAGTTTGGTACTGTCATTGGGATGGAATCTAACACGTGTCACATCTTCAGTATGACAATCATTGAATGATCGCACCTCCTTCAATGTCTTTGAATTGACCAACACCACGCCCGACCCAACAGCCAACGCCACCAAGTCTCCAACAATATCGAATGAGTATACCTCTTTCTTCTCTATTATGTCGTACTGGTGTAAGTATGATTGATTGATTGATTGAGCGATCATTCATTGACTTACGTTTGAGAGATGTAGTGAGTGATGCAGTCTTGCAATCATAGATGTTTAGTGAGCGGTCTGATGAGCAGGTGATGAGGATGGAGTCATTGATGAACTTTGCTTCGTGGATGGTGTCGGAATGACCTTGAAGTACATTGACAAGTTCATGTGTAGTATTATCATAGATCTTGATCATATTGTTTGAACCAACTGCAGCAATAAACATATTAGATTGTGCAATATATACAATATAATGTTCTTCATCCTTTATAGAATGCATCAATGATGATTGTAATGTATAATTTAAACTCATCTTCTTATATTCTTATCTATCTCTATCTCTATCTATATCTTTAGTCGAGTATCTCTTTGATGATTAATCTAAAGTTGTTTGTTTTTCGTTCATTTTTGAACTTTCGGTCGTTTTTCTAAAGTTTCATTTCAAAAGGTGTTGACAGATAAGCTTGGCAAGCACCAATATATGTTGGATACGGCCATACAAAGAATATAATACCTCATCTCGTCCGATCTGAGAAGTCAAGTTTCTTCTGGCCACCCCAGTACTCAAGTTGGAGACAATTGGGGAACATGTGGTGCTGTATCCTTTTATCACTTTTATCTTTATCTGGAATCATTCCACCTCAACTGCTGCGCCAACAGGTCTCAGGATCAAATGTCCTCTCTATGATAAAATTATGATGATCAGACTTCATTATCATTAAGTAGAGATTGAGACAATTTTGAAGAACATAGAGTTCAAATGACTTGACTTGATTGATTGATTGATTGATTGATCAACAAGTCAATTTAATATTCCAAAGAATGTTCAGTGACCCATTTTCAAACACTGTTTGGTTGTTGTGTGTTGGTGGGGTGATTGAAAGTGATTGCACTCGAGTGTTAGTGTGCAAAAGTAGTGGTCAGCTGATCAATCAATCAATCAATAACAGCGAGTTAGTGTCAATCAGTATAAAGTCTAAAGTATATATAATTAGAGATATATATAGTATAAATACTGTGTGTGACATACCAATGAATCATCAATCAACTAGGTTGTTGACATTGACCTTGTCAATCACTTTAGTATTAGCATTATTCATTGTAAAGACAACAAATGCAACTCTAGAAGTAGTAGATAACAATAACAATAATAGACATGGATCACAAGTATCTGGTTCAGTTGTAGTTGGTAAAACACATCCATCTACATCAATACCATCTGTTGACCAACTCGACTATGACCTTGCATGGGTCAGGATAGTGACCAACTTTACACCCTCAGACACAACTCCACTCTACGTCACCTACGTCTATGATGCATGCTACAACTGCATGTACCAACCTCTAGTAGTACTCACAAAGTATGTCCATTTGAACTTGATTGGTTGATTGATCGAGTGAGATGTAATGACTGACTGACACATTCATGATCAAGTTCATCATCATCATATATGCAACTATCAACAGCATTTGGATATAGCTTTAATACTACTATATATGACTTGAAGGGACAACAAAAGGCAACGGATATGTTTAGTTGTTCATTTGGTGAACGTGGAGTGTATGATGTACACGTACTATCATTACAGGATTCATCGAGTAGAGGCATTGCCAGCGGTGTGACAACGGTCGTTCAGCCCATAAACCCATTCATTCCAATAGCTGTGGCGTTTGCAATTGGTGGCGCACTTGCCATCATGTGGCCCATTGCCGTGCACTTTTATCAACGATCAAAGGCCGAGTCGTTGGAGTATCAGCTTCACATACTGGAATCGAACGATCCCAAGAAGGACAGACTCAAGTCGTTGGACGTGTTCCGCGGCTTCTCCATCACCATCATGATCTTTGTCAACTATGGTGGCGGCGGCTACTGGTTCTTCAATCACTCATACTGGAATGGCCTGACTGTGGCCGATCTGGTATTCCCCTGGTTCGTCTTTATAATGGGCATGGCCATGCCACTCAGCTTCAACGCACTAGAGATACGTGGCGTGCCCAAGAAGACCATCATACAAAAGTTGGTCAAGCGATCAATCATTCTATTCTGTTTGGGTCTGTTTATAAACAATGGATTCAATCTTGGACATTGGCGTATACTTGGTGTTCTGCAGCGATTTGGTGTCTCGTACCTAGTGACGGGACTCATCATGCAGTTTGTGCCACTCTGGCGCTACCGTCCACATCAAGAGGACCCTAGCGAGCAGCCACTATTCCACTCAAACTCGATCCAAGAGCGATTCAAATCACATACATCAAAGACATTTGCAGACATTATACCATACTGGATTCAATGGATATGCGCACTACTCATACTGTTGTTATGGTTCTTGCTCACATTCCTCATCGATGTACCAGGCTGTGGCCGTGGATACCTTGGACCAGGAGGCATCAGTGACAATGCACAATACTTTAACTGCACTGGAGGTGCAGCACGCTACGTCGACCTGAAGATCTTCACACTCAATCATATCTCCAGACACCAACCTGTCAGCCAATATATCAGACTGGTGCATATGATCCTGAAGGCACACTTGGCTACCTCACCTCGATCTTTATGTGCTGGTTGGGTGTTCAATGCGGACGCACCATCCTCGTGCACAAGAATCACAAGTCTAGAATGATCAGATGGGCAGTCTGGGGTATAGTCCTATGCGCCATTGCAGCAGGTCTATGTGGCATGTCTCAAAACAATGGATGGTTACCAATCAACAAGAATCTATGGACACCATCATTCGTAATCTTATTATCTGGTTTTGCGTAAGTAGTATTCCAAAGTCACAAGTGATCATTTATTCACTTCACTGACTCAATCATTCATTGAATCAATCAATCCAGATTCTTTGTCCTTATGATAATGTATATATTGGTCGATATTAAGAAGTATTGGAATGGTGCACCATTTATTTATGTTGGAATGAATCCAATAACTATATATTGTGGCCATGAAATACTACAGGGATACTTCCCATTCTCATTCTATATGTTCGTATCACATGTCCAAATCAATCAGTCCAATATGCTAACTTACATTATTAATCTCTCTCTCCAACTACGACCAGGAATCCACAAACACATACAATGCTACTGTTATCCAATTGCATTGGTGTATCGTGCTGGCTTCTAATAGCATTCACAATGTACTTGAACAAAGTATTTATTAACATTTAGGCTGATACCAATGTCATCCAATCCCCATCTCCATCCAAACCAACCATTCCATATCAATAAATCAATCAAACAATCAATCAATCAATCACATTGTTTATAGTATTACAACAACTTTATCGGTCTTGCTTTAAGTTTATTTGGTGTTGTCAACCAACATGTCTTCTTTATCTGGTTGATGGTTGGTGTTACTTGGACTGGCCTGTGGCTGATGTACCTAGGCCAACGTATGGTGTTACAAATACTGCCTCATAGTGTTGTACACAAAAGGCAAAGAGACCTGGAATCAGACCCTTGAGTGATTGTGCAAAGCATGTGGTCACGTTGACCAGAACCATCTTGTTGAGATCGCTCTGCTCGACCACTCGCTTGGCAAATCGGATCATATGCTTCAACAGGTTGAGCTCGTGCTTTGGCAACTGCTTGAAGAGCTCGACGACGCGAGCAACACGATCATCATCAGAGACGCTACGGTCGCCAATGATCTCGGCTGACATGATCCTTAGGTTCATGGGCACCAGGTTGTCGGGCAGCTCACGAAGGTAGAGCTTGAGGAGACCGGCTACGGCATTTGGATCGCGGTGCGCCACCTTGTAGTCGATGTTGTCGCCCTTTTGAAGGGTGGCTCTCATCTCTTGTATCTCTGTCGTGCTGCCACTGATACGGAGGATGCCCTCCTCTTGTATGTTGCGCTCGAGGAAGTTGACCATCTTTGTGACAAACGATGGTATCTCAGAGTTGGGGTTCTCGCGCGCCATCACATCCTCCAACTTGATACCAAACACTCCTGGGAATGGTGCAGCCTTCATGCCACTGCTAGTGTTGCGCCATGTCTCGTTGACTGATCGATCGACAGACTTCTGTTTCTGATGTTTCTTTGCGTCGACCAATCCCTTTGGCTTTGATATCTCGTTGGGCTTCCTCTCGTACCATGGGATAGAGGCCTCGAGCACTCCATACCATGCTTCCATATCCTTCTGGTTCTCAAATGCTAATATACACCACAAAGTGGACTCCTTGGTAGCGGCGGCACCAGCGGCAGTGGTGGCGGTGGCAGAGGATGAAGTGGGGGCACCAGTTGATGGTGCTGTGGCCACACCCTGCGGCACATCTGTAGTGAGCTCTGCCTCACCAGTGATGCTTGTACCAATGGAGATGTAGAATGACTTCTTCTTGGACGAGTCGGACATTGAGCTAGAGACACTGATTGACTTTTTGTCGTTGAGATACACAACGTCCAGTGGCTCTTTGGACTTGTCATTCTTGAACAAGAACAAGAAGCTGTCCTTGAGTGTACCCAATGCCTTTTTCTCCTGTCCCTTCTTCCACACCTTTGAGCCCAGCTGATAGACTACAGGTGCTGCCAGTGTTGGGTTCAACAGGTTCTCGAATGATATCTTGTGCTTGTACACGACGCTTGCCAACTTCTTGGCGCAGTCATCCTTATCCTTTGTCAATAAATAATCTTCCAATCTCTTAATATTCATCTTGAAGTGTTCATTCTTCTTTGTCAATTCAGAGGCCATCTAAAAGATTGAATAGTAATTGATTAGTTCGATGATCATTCAATCACAATCAATCAACCAAACTAAAACTTACTTGATTTGTCCTCTTTAACAAAGAATTACTATGAGCTGATACTCTTGCACTGGTCTTGTTCTGATCTAGTATCTCTTGCATCTTTGCCTTCATCTGTACTTGTAGACTGTAGCCATTGGTCTGCTCACTCTCGAGTTGTGACACTGCCTCCTTGAGGAACGTTGTGATTGAGTGATTGTAGTCGATGATCTTTTGAAGTTGCTCAACCTGTGCCGGTGGTGCCAATCCCTTGTCCATGTGAGTTGTGTAGTGCTGTACCTCGATCGACTGAGCATTGACAATGTTATTGGGCATTGGTGTCATTGCTCCAATGTCCTGTTCATTCTTTTCAATCTGAGAGAACAGGTCCACTGAGAAGTTCTCTGAGCGTGGCTTGATAGCGTCTGAGCTGAGGTTGAAGCTGCTGGTGGCGGCGGCAGTGGCACCGACTGGCTTGGCCATTGGAGTCTGTCCCATCATCGCAAGGAATGAGTCTGTAGACGATGAGTTGGCTGATGCTGCTGCTACCAACCATGGATGTTTGATCAATTGCTCAGCTGATGATCTTTGAGATGGTACTCGCACTAGACAACTCTGAAGGAAACTGGTCAACTCCTTACTGATGTCCTTGGGCAGGTCGATCGGCTTGCGTTCATCAACGATATTCACCAACGCCTCCATTGGTGACAGGTTGTAGAATGGTGGCTTGCCAGTCAGCAACTCGATCACTGTGCATCCCAACGACCAAATATCAATCTTGCTATTAAAGTCTCGCATCATCAATAGCTCTGGCGCCATCCAGTATGGCTCACCCAACAGCGCCGTTCGGTAAGAGTTGCCCAGTGTGCATCCTACTCCAAAGTCTGACAGCTTGCATCTTCCACCTCTGGCCAGCAACAGGTTGTTGGCCTTTAGATTACGATGGATAATCTCTTGTTGATGTAGGTAGTGCAATGTCTCGAGAACCTGTGTGACGTAGCGCGCAAGGATGGCTTCGGGGAATGGACCCAATCGTTTGTAGATATCGGCGAATGATCCATTGTCTACAAACTCCTGAACGATTGCCACGCGGTTATGTTGATCCGTCACCAGACCTGTATAGTTTACAATGTTCTGATTGATTGCCAACGAGCGCAATATCTCATATTCCCTTCCTTATGATTGATTGGACACTTTGGCTGATCCTATTAATGTCCACAATCTTTAGAGCCACGTACTCTGAAGAGTCTGGAGGTATTGCCGAGAATGTATTACCAAGGTATCCATTACCAATGTGATGTAATAGTTGCTAATTTCATGTTTGAATGAGTAAGTATGTGATCATTCAAACATCACTCAATCCACTACAACATACATATTGACCAAGTGTACCCTTTAGATCATCAAGTGGCATTAGACCGGGTGAGTGGATGTTGAAGTGATGTATTGAGTGTCCGGTTGAGGATGGTGAGTTGAAAGCGGCAGGCGAGGGCGAGCCAGGTGACATGGGATAGGAAGATGTGGGTGGTGTCTTGCTGTTGGGTGAGGCAGCTGATCTAGGTGATATATTACTGCCGCCAGACAGTGATGACTTGCCTGAAGACGATGAAGTGTTCATAGTGGACAACTCTGCACCGATACTGCCATGACCACTACCACCACTTATCTGTATTGGCATTACAAACTTGCGTCTATTACTCCTTTTACTGAGTTGAGCAATATCATCATCGGTCGTATTGTTGTTATTGTTGTCCTCCGATGATAATGAAGTGTCTAATACTTGTTGTTGTTGGACAACAACATCATCATCAGCATCAACATTATCATCTTCATTGTCATAGATAACATCACCATCTTTAACTATCCTATTATTATTATCCTTGAGGAACTGTCTGACCTGATCCTGCAATGCCGATAGGTCTTCGACAGGGTATGTCTGTTCCTCCATCTCTATTCTATTCTATTTATATCTTTTATATATTATATATATCTCTTTATAAATATCAATGCTTTATAAATGAATGAATGTGTTGTGAACGTAGTTTGAACTTGGATGAATTGAAGAGTGTTGTTTGAATGTTGTGTTTTGTTGAGTGGTTGATCTGACATGAGATTTATGACTTCATTCAACTTGTCCCAATGTTATAAAAATTATAATTGTAAAATGGGTTTTTTGTTTGTTTTTGGTCCAAAAAAGATCCGCCATTTTCAAACCCAACAATCAAAAATATCAACAACAAAAAATTTATTATCTGTACAGATTATAGATAGAAACAACATAAATGTTTACAAAAGATATATAAAATAATAATGAATTCATTATTATTTTGAGAACTATTTTTATTTATTTTGATATCCAATTGACTTGAAAGTGATGCCCATAAATTTAATATAGTGTATTGATCACGTGACTAAAAAATACCGGAGAAAGTTTTGATGATTGTCGGACCACACGGTGAGGGTCTGTCGCTCCAAATCTCCGGGAGGACGCTAAAGATATGGATGGAGAGGACTGCTGACAATGCCTGGATCAATAGATCACAAACCTCGGCCCTAGCCAAGTCACTGACCGACATGGCCAGGTCTCGGAGGAGACCTACACCAGGTCGCTAAATACACAGAGACGGACGCAGGCAGGCAACTGAACAATCAAACTCTGAGAGCCGGTGATAGTGGAAGGATCGTCGAGGGATATCTACTGGGCGGCGTCAGAAGTCTAAACTCCAGACTCTTTTTTTTTTTTTCTACTTGTAGTTGGAATTCCTGAAGTCGGTGTGGAAACAGTAGTCGCAAGGTCACTCCAGGAGGAGAGATAAAAGATGAAGTGGATGTCTCAACTGGAGTGAGTCCAGCCAATGTCCAGTCAACTCCATGTCCTCGTGATACCAAGTGAGCAGACCTGGGTGGACCAACGTATCCATCCATGGTCACGCAGGTCTAATCAATCAAATGACTATAGTCGACATCCATCACATAGCTAGCAACTGTGATGATGGGTACCATGTGTTCTTGTCCAAGATGAGTAATGGGTCAATTAATAATAATAATAATAATAAGACGACGCAACTCGCGTGATCGTTTAATTTCTGCTGCTGCGGCTGGTGTGGTAGTCTCTGTCGCGGTCACCGCCACGTCCGTGGTCACGGTCAGCGCCACGTGGGGCATCGCGTGTGTCGTATGGTTCGCGACTGCTGTGAGTCCTTGATGAACCGTTGGTGTCATATCGCATGTACGGAGAATATCTGCTCTCGTATGGGCTGCTCTTGGGAGCGGGTGGTGGAGGTGGTGGCGCACCATAGCCTGGTGCTGGTGGGTATTGGTAGGGGAAGGCGCCGTAGCCATAATATCCACCGTAGGGTGGTGGATATGGTGGATACTTTGTTGCCGCTGCGGCGGCCGCAGGGTATGGGTATGGAGGGTAGGGGCTAAACACTGATCTAGGTGGACCGCCTGGGCCACCACCACCGCCGCCACCTGGGCCACCAATGCCTCCACCTCTCCTCTTCTTATCGTAACCCATATATGAACCTGGTGTTGATTCTCTTGGTCTTGATCTTCTTGACTATATCATTATTGTTATATTGTTGTTGGTTAGTTGGTACATTCATTCATTCGTCATCACGCGATCACATGATTGACTGATTGATTGATCGATAAAAGTTGATTGATTGATACCTTTGAAACTTTGATCACATTGCCATCTATCTTTGTACCATCCATTATCCTAATGGCTTCATCAGCCTCATCTGCCATCTCGAATGTAAGAAAGGCAAAGCCACGTGATATCTTTGTATTTGGGTCGACCATTATAACACATTCCAATATCTATGATTGATTGATTGAGCATGTTACATTGAGTTAGTATGATTGATCGAATGAATCTAACTTCAATCAAACATATACCTTTCCAAAGGAAACAAACTTCTCTCTTAGCTCCTCATCCTTCAAGGACAATGAGAATCCTGTTATATGTAATGCGTTGCCATTGTTCCTCTCCTCTGCAGAGATTACACCACCTCTGCTACTGCCACCTCCATCACTATGACCACCTCCTCTACCATATGAGTCTTCCTTTCGATCGACATCGCTTGGAGATCTATTCCTATCACTAAATGCAAATATATATTAGTTCATTCATTCATTCATTGTTCATTCATTATTGATTGATTGACATTGACAATGAAACATACATATCGTAATCGTCCATATGTTTATCTGTGTGTATATATGAATAATAAATATATATATATATATTAATTAAAGAATAGATAGACTTAAGTATCTGTAGTTGCACTCTCGTCAAGTTCACCAGGTGTGCCCCTCGTTGCTGGAGACCTACTTTCTCGTTTCTTTGTGTTTTGGCATCACTGACTGAAAATTAATCAAACGCTGGAAGTTCAACAAATATTTGTTTATTATCTTGACCAAAGAAGGAAGTAGTAAGACTTGACTTTGATTGATTGTATATTAATAGTAATAACACYTTCCAAAGGCAATATATATTGTGCATTTATCGGAGTATCATATTCGTAAATTTATTCGAAGATTGTAACATAAACGAATACAATGAAGATTGATGGAAGTTGGATTACTTGTACGATATGGACAAGCTTGTAAAAAAAGAATAGTATATATATATATATGTATGTATGATTATGATTAATTGTTGGTTGTCTTTCTCTCCACTGAAGCAACTGATGCCAAAGAATCCAGGTTGAAGAAATCGATTGATGAATTTCTCAACTTTTGGATCGTTGAGGTTGGGGTAGTTGAACGTGATGGTGAGGAGAATGGAGAGGAGGATGGAGAGCAGGCGACGTTGGGTGTCGAGGTCGAGGATGTTGATGATGATGTAGTTGCAAAGGTACCACTGTTGGAAAGACCCTTGGCACTCTGACCAAGTGCAGAGGTAGATGGAAGCAAGATAGACTTGGGCAGGTCATCACTAAGGGCCAATGGTTGAAGTTTGAAACTTGAGCTAAAGTAGTCGTCCACACGATGCTTCTTTGATGGTGATTGAATGGCAGAAGCATCATCCAGGATATGATTGAGGCTGAATGTCTTTTGTGTTGTTGATGGAGATGGTGCACATGTTGGTGTGGTGATTGGTGATTGATTGAGTATGCTTCTAAAGTTGTTTGGAAGTAGACTGGTGCTGGTTGGTGTGATTGACATTGGGTTGTAGATGGAGTCGGTGGACTTGGCGATTGACTTTAGGAATGGTGAGGTGGGTGGCGACTGCTGGACGGGGGACCAGACAACCTCTCTGCGGACTGTGGGTGGTGTGTAGGTGACTGGCTGCAGCTTGGTTGCGGTAAACTCAAACTGGCTGTCAGAGAATGGAGATGATGGGGAGGTGGATGTAGATGAACTGTTCATCGACATGATTGGCGAAGACATGCTTCCCATCGAGTTCAGTCTGTTGCCGGTCAGTTGGAGGTAGCGCGCCTTGCACTCGAGAGCAGTGCGCAGAGTGTTGGTGTGCTTCAGCTTGGCCAAATAGTCAGAGACCTCAAGCCAGGTCAGAGTCTGATCGAGTTCAACAACCTTCTTGACTAGTGCCTCATCCTCCTTGGGTATCCAGGTGATCTCACGTGATTGCAGGGCCTTGAGGTATTGGTAGCGACATTGGATATCTGTGCGACGACATATTCTCTTGGCGATCTTCTTCCATGATGAACCATGCTGGGCGACTAGCTTGAGCAGGGTCTCCTCCTCGTCCTCGTCCCAGGGGCCCTTACGGATCTCTGGCGAGAGGACACGCTTCCAATGTTGGGCGCACTGGGCGCCAGTTTTCTGGCCACCCATCTCGGATGAGATTCTCTTCCATTTCTTCTCACCATAGAGGCCGACCAGCTCTGTCAGACGCTTGTTCTCCTCCTTGGTCCACTTGTTTGGTGAGCGTCTAATACCATTCTGTATTGGCATTCTTGATCTCTTGAGTGAGTCCTCCTTGGACTCATACTCCTCAGAGTAATATTCATTATCATCTGATTGTTGTTGTTGTTGTTGTTGTTGATGATATTGATGGTACTGTGGATATTGGAGTGGTTGTTGATGTTGGAATGGAATTGATTGTCTATATTGTGGCTGTGGAGTTTGATGTTGGACAAACATTTGATGTGGTTGAAAGGCAGATACTTTGGCCATTGTTGTATGTGGATATGATTGATTGATAAATGTTGTATGTTGTTGATGATTGTGGTTGTTCATTTGGAACATAATGTGTGGGTAAGTATATATTTGATTGGTTGGATAAATATATATAAATAGTCTGGAAAATTATCCAAACTAAACTATATTATTATAATTATAATTATTATTATTGGATGAATATGATTATGAAGTCAATTTGAATATATAAGGATATGATTGGATCAGTGATGGAATGTATTGATCAAGTTGTGATTGAGTGATCGTTGAGAGTGACTGTGTGAAGTGTGGATCGAAGTTGTATAGTATAGTATTAGATATTATAATATTGAAGTTGTGTATGTGTGCTGGGTGTGAGTATGTGGACAAGTATTCAGCAGAATAAACAGAGAGAGAGACTTGATTGTTGGTGAAGCAACAGCAGTGGATGGCAACAGCGACAACAACTTAGTAGTGATAGATAGTGGGTGTTGGAAGTAGTTGTAGTAGTAGTAGTAGAATATGATGATGAGTATGATTGATTGATGGATTGATTGATTGATTGATTGGTGGTAGTCGGAGTTGAGAAGAGAGAGGTAATGGTACAGAATGTACTTTTACTATCTATATGTTTAAGTTTGATGGATGCGAGTTAGTTAGTATGGATGGTTGCATATGTGATTGATTGACAGTGCTGTGTATGTGTGTGGCGGTGGTTGATGGTCAGACCATGAGCGATGAATGAATGATTGAATGTATGAATACATGAGTGCGGAGAGCGAAAGAGAGAGAGCTAGGACAACGCCATTGATTCCATACATCGATCACACAAACACTCTTAGGTGTGTGTCCATCACTTTTAAAATACGAATATGTGATTGGTGGTAACCATAAGATGGGTTTGATTTTAAAGGTGTGATTGTATGTGGGGTGTGTTTGGAAAGAACATACTACAATACTGATCATCAGGTGATCAGTCATAATATTATGAATGTATAAAATTGTGTGGAGTGAGTGAGGGTGATGGATGTGGAGGTGTAGTGTATAAATGATTGATTGTTAAGACAATGTCCTCTTATGGCAACAATAATCAATTCACTTGTACATTTATAAAGAGGTATAAACACTTCTTTATCGGGATTTGAGTATGTGTAGAGACGGACATCAAATATATATTATAATGTTATTATTATTAATATTATTTTGATGGTGATGTTGATGACTTCAAATGCGGAGTGGTGATAGTTGTTAAATGATTGAATGAGTGATTGTCTATTGTGGTTATTATCCATCACCGATCTGTGTGGATGGCTGTGGTGGTCCACAGCACTTAATTAACCATGACCTTAGTCTGACGACAGTTATTGATATTTGTTGATGATAATGATGGACATGGATGGAAATAATTATACATTACATTTTAAAACTAGGGGAAAATTATTAAACAGATATATATTGATATTAAAAATATTTACAACAAAGTTAATTAATTATATGATATGATAATAATAATAATAATGATTATGTAAGAATTAATTCTATAAATACTAAAGGTGTTTTTAAAGTAGTACCTTTGGTGATTGTCCAATAGGACGATGGAAGGACACACACACTTCTCTTAAGATGGTTGTCCTCTCAGTTTGTAAGGGATGGACCTTTGTTTGTTGGTAATTAATTGTGTGTGTTGGGGTGGGGAGCTATTTTAAGGAGCTGCGGATTAAATGAAATGGTTGATCAATATTGGATCGAACCGAGTCCTCACTGTTTTACTGTGATGTGGGTACCGGTGACGTGGTCGTGATAATGATGTTGATGATGATGTTATAATATAGTTGATAAATTAGACACTATTATAAGGTGTCAATATGAATGAAGTTGGTCGGTTACCCTTTAACAACAAGGTAAGGCAAGGTCAATATGAAGTAGTAGTGGAAGTTGATAATGTCTTTAGAGACAAAGAGTACGTGTCTGGTGGATGGTGATGATTGATGCTGCTAAGTCTGGCATCAAATTAAAGTGTGTGTGAATTATAATGGTTGGTTGACCAAATGAATGAACTGTCCTCCTCTTATTAATTAACAAATGGTTTTGTGATAACAATAGATCCTCCATCCCCTTTGGACTAAAGAATGAAAAAACGATCTTGAGGCATCCCACACAGAATGATCTTGAACAACTAGTTGTTGGTTCTGTGTGGTGAATGTGGGGGTGGGGGGGTTGTGGATGTTGGTGAAAGAGTGGGGGGTGGATGGGAGAATGTGGTGTGGTGGAAGTTGGGGACCAAATTGGACCTTGTCGATCTTATGGACCCAGTAAAAACTTATAAAACAAGACTAATAAAAATCAAATGACGATCTAACAAATATCTCCAAATTGGCTAATTAGGTATATTATATAGATATTCTGGTCCAACTGACATAATGTCGATATCTATCCAACACACAATTGCAAGATGAAAATAGGCTATTTTTGTTTAAACCCGTGAGTAGCTTCACTTGACCAATGTCTGAATAGAATCAGAACAAACAAACACACATAGATATTACACAAACAAGGTCATCGAGAATATTGATTATTATGGATTAGGTCTTTAGAACAAAGCGACAATATGATGGTTTGATCGTTGTCTGTATGTGTCCAGTGAGGCTGTGTGTCTGTTACCTTTAAGGACTAGAGAATAGAAGTCTTCGTAATGGTGATGATAAAATGTATGATCAACTGAATAAATAAATAAATAAATAAATATATATATATTTGGACTTTAATCTAGGTTTTGGAATATTTAGAAATAGTAAGTTATTCGAAGTAATAATAATTGAGATGATATAAATAATTATTCAAGTTGTTGAGCTTTGCAAAATTATTTAATTGATATATCCAAGATAATTATAAAATATATATAAATGTTATAAAGTTGAGATGGTCTTGAAAGTGGAAGTCAAGGCGGTCGACGAGTTGTGTTGAGTAGAGAGAGAAGTTGATGTTGGAGATGATGTTGTTGTTGTGGTCGTGGTCGTGGTGTTGGGTCCCAACATTCCGCACCACTTGCCTTCTCAGAGTAAACGGTCAAAAATATCTAGTGGGCCTTTACTTCCCAATTAAGACCAATGCCATATTCCATCCATTCACCAATCAATCAATCCTACTATCCAATTCAGTCAATAATCGTCACTTTTGGACGTTGTGATGTGTATGAGTGTGTTGACGCTAGTGAGGAAATGTAGAAGGAATCTAAATATCCATTCATACAATACAATACAATACATTCATGCATTCATTCATTTTTATTGTAGACAATCTTATTAATAACTCTGGTTCTGATTATGATGTGTGGGGTGGGTGGAACTGATTGATTGTGATTGTTTGCTGCATCTGGAGATTATTGGTCGTTTATAGTTGTTTTGTGTGTTTTGCTTCATGGTAGACCCAAAATTGATGAATGAAAGGACCCTGGGGGAAGGATATCATGAGGTGCACGTGGAGTCTTGGTGGTATTTGCATCTTGAGGGTCCAGACGATAATTGGTCAACTACCCCGACTCTCACTCATTGCCTACCTCCGAGTCAAATGGCGAAGTAGTGTCGTTGTTTAACTATGTTTAATGGGGGCACGCTCTTCCATCTCTGAATGAATATTATTATTGATCATGGTTCAACCCGCACACCTCCGCGAACCTCTTCAATCTGATGCGGCGCCGTGTCGCTCTAAACAAACACTTACTCAGACAGAGACACACCTTTGGAAATATCTTTGGTTCCTCATTTATTTATCATGATCACTTTGGTTGGGTCACCGGGCCCCAGAGATGCCGCGGGCACGGACACGCCCATCTTAATTTGGCGAGCAGAGGCCTGTGATCAAAGTACCAAATATCTTGTTTCGTTGCAAGTGTTCTTTGACATTCTATGATGATGTGTAAGGCAATGTATTGGGGCGTGTATATACTTCAAATAGATGTTTGAGCTTCCCCGACATGAGCGGGTGAGCATTGGCGAGCACAAGGAGTAACAGAGGGTAGGTAGTAACTACACTCCACATGATTGAAGGGCCTCGAGGTACGGGTATCCCTGCCCCGTAATCAAGATCCAGTCATGTGGAATGATCCAACGACAAAGCGATTTAAGAGTTGGGTTTTGTTTGGATGTAGGTTGGTTGTTGGATATGGTCGCACGCACTAACAGCTCAACTCATATTGACAAAGTAGTTGCTTGAGCCTGGAGCCTGTGATGAAGCCACCTTTACATTTGTTAGTCATTGAGAATATTGTGCCATTGTCATCAATGAAGCGTATACTCTGGATGTGATCAGGGAGTGATAGATCACAATTGATTCGATGCTCAATGATTGAGTCAACCAGATACCCATCCATTAAGACTTGAGGGAACAATGTACCCTTGAACTCAATATATGGGCGTTGATTGAGTAGCTCACTAGAGAGGCTCTGATATGTACTATTTACATCTTTGTTAGAACAAAGTGATAGTCTGGAGAGAGTGAGTGGTAGGTCTGACAATGATTGGCAATACTCCAATCCAAGCACCAATGACTGTAATGAAGAGGGGAGAATGTGTTGGTCAAATGTTTGATTGAACATGTCTCCAAAAGTCAGTGTGATCAAACATGCTAAAGATTGTAATGTTCCAACGAGTGATTGATTGAATAGATAACCAAATGTAATGTGTTCAACAAACTGAGGGATAACACCTGTTGGTAACAACTGATTATAATCATCACCGAATGAGAGGTGTCGCACAGAGTCAGGGATGACACCTTTTTCCAAAGGTTGATTGAAGTTTGGTCCAAGTGTTAGACTTGTGATTGAGTTTGGTAGACATCCACTACCAATGACCAGTGATTGAGGTTTCTTTGATAATGACTGTCCCAACCATAGAGCATTAACACCAAGTGGTATCAGACCTTTGAATGTAAGAAGCGATGTGATTCTTAGTGATCTTACTGAGTGAGGAATGGTGCCGATCTCAATAGTAGCTTTATCTCTGTTGTGAAGCGTGAGATTGGTCACAGAATCTGGGATGCATCTTGTTGTCAATGATTGAACGAAATGTCTGCCAAACCAAAGTGACTTCAATGAGCTTGGAAGTATACCTGGTGAGATTGGTTGATTAAAGTACGTTCCCAAAGCCAGACTGGTTAGTGATGTAGGCAAGCATCCATGTGTCAAAGGTTGATTGAACTCTGTAAAGCTCAACTCTGTAAGACTACTGGGCAAGAGTCCTGGAATAAGTGGTTGTTCCATTTTATAAAGTCTCAACCATGTGACTGACTCTGGTATGTCGCCAGGTGTGATGTGCGTCCCAAGTTTGGAGATGTAGAGCTTTGTGAGTGATGGCGGCAGATGCTTGGCCATCAGATGATCCAACAAGCCAATCCTCAATGTCTTTAGTGATGAAGGTAGGTCTTCTGGCATTAGCTCACCAAGTGTATTGCTTGTATATTTAAGACTTGTTAGTGAATTTGTTTGAGTGAACAAGCCTTTGAGAGGCCTTGGCAACATTAGATCAGSCCTCAATTTCTAGTTCTGTCACGGAATGAGGTATAAAGTTGGATGGTATGATTGTTGGCTCAGACACCCATGCAATCTTTAGTCGAGTGACAGTGTCTGGTAGTCTGTATGTATCAGGTATTCGTCTGATGATAGTTGCCTCTCTAAGTCTACATGTCTGACCATGTATTATTTGTGTCTCTGGTATGAAGGCAATGTCTTCACAGAATGAATCAGCACGTAATGGTATGAGTGCAAGACCATTGTTGTTATCATTGTTGTTATCATTGTTGCTATCAGCAGTATATAGAAATACTGTTTCATTGATACCAAAGACTTTAGGAGGAGTGATCAATGTCATCGATCTTTGTCTCTGTTCAAACCATTGTCTACACACCAACACCAATGCAATCCTATCAACATTGTCTTCAACATAGTTTACAATATGTGACAGTATCAAATGACTAAACTTCAATGCCATCCTATAAACTATTTTAATTATTACTATGATCTATGTTATTATTTGATTGAATGAATGTGAATGAATGGAGGTGGACATGCACATCTTTTCAAAAACAGATGCAAAACCAACACATGTATTGTAACAAGGGATGAATCCAAACAATCAATATTATGTTGGTATCGATCTCAAATATTTGTATATATATCTATGTACCTATTAATATTAATATTGAGTGTCTGACAAAATGAGTGAGATTGTCTGTCACATTCATTCTTGAACCAAAGAACGAACGAACGAATGATTGAATGATTGAATGAAGGAATGACCGAATGAAAGAACGATTGGATTAATCTCATATTAACCTCCCGATTTACATCGAAGTTGAGATATTTAATTAAGACAATTTCGAAAATGATGAATCAATCTAAATCTAATTACTGCCCATTATATGATTGATCGAAGCAGTATTGAGTAAGATATCTTGAGATGGTAATGCGCAAGGGGAAAAAACCATGCCGTATTTAATATTAATAGATATCTATAGTTGTTATTTGAATGTAAGTTGGGAGGAACCAAAATTACAATTAATAACAATGCAAAGTATGTGTGATTTGACCTTTGATTGTTTGATCGTTTGATGGTTTTGCAGGTGGTTCAGCCACTCGGTTATTAATTTGGGTCACAAGTCAAAAAAATAATAATGTAGACACGACGCGGGACACGCCAATGATCGGGGAGTGGCTGCCCCCTGGAATTTGAATTGGTTTGGTGATCAAAACCAGAAGTGATCAGGTGACAATCTTTGAAAAACACTGACATTGATGACACTTGGTGCCATATACAGGAGCATGGTTGTCGCAATTATGTAACTGAGTGGACTTGGTAGTGGTAATCACCCATTATACAATTGATGGGTGGATGGGAGGGCAGATGGTGGTTCAGGGTTCAGCTTACTCTTTACCCCTTTGAATGAAAAGGATTGATGGCCATTCATTCCCAATGGTCTCCAATATATGACAAAATTGTATCCAGAGAGTCTCCTATGTATCATATGTCTCCAATGTCGGGACGATCATGGGTAAACCCAATTCTTAAATCTTCTATCCAATCCTTTCTCAATCGTCCTTGGCACTCTACTATTTAAACGATCACTCCAACATTCAGACTTAATATCAAATTATAACTAACTAAATATATATTTATATTATCTGTATAACTACTAAATTATTTGTATCATTATTCGAATCAATCAATTAAACTTGACAATGAAATTTTTAATATCATTATTAATTACATTGGTTACTGTGGCCGCAGTAGTCAATGGACATGGTTATGCCATCTTCCCAGTCGCCAGACAACAGGTGTGTAATCAAAACAGTGCCAACAACATCTACTACCCTGAGGACGGTTCTGGTATTGTCGATGCTCCATGCCGCGCTGCCTTCAAACATGTTGCCGCCAAGAGTGGTAACTCTGCCGCCCAAATCCAATTCATCCAGACCCAAGAGTACGCCGTCATGATCCCCGCCTATGCCCAGGGATACTCTGCTCTCACTGCCGCCGTCCCCAACAACATCTGTTCTGCCCACGCCATCAATGCCGGAGCTGGATTTGGTGACAAGTCTGGAATGTCAATCGCCAACACCTGGAAGCCCAACTTGATCTCAGTCGCCTCCACCTCTGAAACATCCAAGACCATCGACTTCCAATGGTGTGCCACCGCCGCTCACGACCCAAGCCACTGGGACTTCTACGTCTCGAACCCAGGGTATGCCTTAATCCTGGAACCATTCCAGCCCCAGAACCAACCCCTCACACTCATACTAACACTCACTCTCAATCAATCACAACTTTAGTTATGACTACACCAACTCTGAGCTCTCATGGGATGACCTCACTTTGTTGACTTCGATCGGTGATGTTCCAACTATTGACGGCCAGATCCCAGGCTGTTCCGCTTCCAAGTACTATGAGATGAGCATTACCCTCCCAGCTCGCTTCGACCCAGCCACTTTGGTTGTCAGATGGCAGAGAGACGACCCAGCTGGAGAGTGTTTCATCAACTGTGTCGACTACAAGTTCACAGCCAACGGTGGTGCAGATACTACCACATCCACTACCAGTAAGCCAACATCCACATCCACATCCACCACCCAGAACCCAACCACCACCTCCACCACCTCGACCACTTCGACCACCTCGACTACCAAGGCTGCCACCACCTCATCGACCACCTCGGCTAACCCAACTACCACCTCCACCACCTCAGCTAAGCCAACTACCACCTCCACCACCTCGACCACCTCGACTACCAAAGCCCCAACTACCACCTCCACCACAAAGGCAGCTACTACTAGCTCGACCACCACCACCTCGACCACATCATCGACCACCAAGGCCTCCACAACCACTTCATCAACGACTGACCAGACTCCACAAACCACTGTACCATCAACCACTGTCCACGATACAACAACCAACCCAGAGCCATCTAGTGCTGTTGTCCTCGTCCCAGGTTCAACCATGTTGCTCTTGATCGTCATTGCCATCTTCAATGCCTTGCTCTAAGCACCAAGTTCTTACTTACTTCTCATGAGTGTTAGTCAATCGATTGATTAACCATGAGTGATATATACATATATACTTATATACTATCTTATCTATATTATTTATTAGTTGTTGTTTCCAAACAGAGACAATAAATGAATAAACACCCTTTCCAACTTCAACAAATATCTTGCTCAAAGTGTGTGGATGAATGAAACACAACTGACACCAAACACACTGACTTGCATTGAGATCTCTGAATGTATCCAATGATTGGATGACCTTTAGGTCTCATGCCTTCATTCAGTTGATTGATTGAAAGGATAGAGATATAGAGATATATAACAACTATAGCATATCATAGCATAATCATAGCATGCTTAGATATATAAACATTGTATTGTTATATATTTATACTTTATTTATTACTTGTCTTACTACTTTATATAATATAATATCAATTGCATTAGGAATGAATACTATTACTACTACTACTACAGCTGATACAACAGCTTCATCATCATCAAGTACAACAACATCTACAACAACAACTACATCAACAACAACAAATGGACCATTAAGTAACTATCACATTGAATCTGGGGGATTGTTCACAATCAAAGAGTACAACACTCTATCAATCTTGTGTGATACATTGATACCAAAGGATACTGTATCCGATGAGTTCTTGGAACAACTACAACTCAAGGATGAACAGTCAATCCAAAAATTCAGAGAGTTCTTTGCTCGGTATGTCCAATGCTCACTCATTCATTCATTCAATCAAACATGACTGACTGACTGACACCAACTCACTATCTAGCTCTGCCAATGAAATGGACTTGGCAACACAGTTCTTAAAGTTGATCTCTGGAACAAAGAGCAATGATCAGATTAAGGACTTGAAGACCTTGCTCTATTTGTTCTCATCTCCAGCTGGAATCATACTCACTGGCACTCTGACTAGCTTTGTTAATCTGCCATTGGAGAGAAGACAAAAGTTGTTTGCTGGACTCAAGACATCGTCCAATCCTATCAGACGCCAGGCGTTCAAGGCCATCGCACCACTCACCTTCTCATTGTTCTTCACAGTACTCAATCAACAGACCGGTCTCAATCCAAACTGGGACGTCGTCAACTACCAACTTCCACCACCCCTCGAGCATCTGCCGGACGCTGACCGCGAGAGCCTCAGCTTCATCAACATCAACAGTGAGCGCTCGCTAAAGACTGACGTGGTGATTGTCGGCAGTGGAGCAGGTGGTGGCATCACCGCCGCCATGCTCTCGGCCGCCGGCTACAAGGTGATCGTCTTGGAGAAGGGCAGCTATGTGTCACCGAGCGAGATGACCTGGAAAGAGGCCGAGGCCTTCCCGCTGATGTACGAGCAGGGTGGAGCAATGACCACCGACGATCTTGGTATGAATATCTTTGCCGGCAGCTGTCTGGGCGGTGGTACCACAGTCAATTGGGCGGCATCCATTAGAACACCAGAGCCTGTGTTGGAAGAATGGCGACGCGATTGTCCAAACACCTATGGAGATGTATATAAGCAGGCGTTGGATAGTGTCTGCCAACGACTCAGTGTAAACGTAGACAGTGCACACAACGTCGCCAACACTGACCTCAAGAAGGCACTTGAGGACTTGGGCATGGACTGTTCAATCATCCCTCGTAACGTAAAGGACTGTGACACAACACAATGTGGCTACTGTTCAATGGGATGTCGATCAAAGTCCAAACAAAGTTCGGTAAGCAATCAAACATCTACGAGCGAGAGTGGACCATCACTTGATGTACCTAACACATCTCACTCAATAGATGGTATCATACTTGGAGGATGCATGCTCAAAGGGTGCACAGATCATTACAAACTGCTTCGCAGAGCATATAACAACGGTTAACACTCCAAAGGGACCATGTGCACATGGTGTGGTGGCAAGTGTCGTCCATCCAGATGGCATGAAGTTCAGAGTGTTCATAAAGGCATCGATTGTGATTGCCTCGGCAGGTGCCATCCACACACCCGCATTGCTCCTGCGCAGTGGCCTGCGCAATCCAATGATTGGCAAGAGACTGCATCTTCACCCCGTCGTCCCCGTACTTGGAGTATTTGACAAAGAGGTCGAGGTGTGGAAGGGTGTGCCAATGTCAGTGATCAGCAAGCAATATGTAAATAAGAATGGTGATGGTGCGATCATTGAGGTGCCAAGTGCACACCTTGGAGTAGCGGCCTCACTGGGCAGCTTCCTCTATCAAGACTCCAAGAGTGCTCGCGAGAAGCTACTCACACTTGGCAATTGGAACTGCTTCATCAGCATCCTCCGCGACAGACATCCCGGCCAGATCAAGCTGGACAAGGATGGACGCACACCAAGAATCAAATACACCGTCAACGACGAGGATTGGAAGGGATTCCTGCCAAGTCTCGAAGGATCAATCCGAGCAATGGTCGAAGCTGGTGCCAAACAAGTTGGTATCCCTCTGGCAGGTTCTCAATTGTACGATCGTGACAATATGGAAGAACTTATCAAGTTGGTCAAAGGTCTAAAGTATAAGGTATGTTATGTTTGTGTCCAGAGTATGGAAGTATGCCAACTAACTTGTATCACGCGCACGCTCCCATAGACCAACATGGTGACAGTATTCTCTGCACATCAGATGGGAAGTTGTAGAATGGGATCGAACCGTAGCAACTCTGTGGTGAGAGAGACTGGTGAGAGTTGGGACTTTTCAAGATTGTTTGTTGCCGATGGTTCAGTATTGCCATCAGCAGTTGGTGTCAATCCAATGGTGACAATCTATTCTACAGCCTACATGATTGCAAACTCTATAATGGCATTGTATCCCGTCAGCAGTCTAGAACTTGAACGAGCTGCTTAATCATTTAATTAATTAATTAAATGGTATAGATATTGATTGATTTGCAAACATGCATCTCCGAATGCCAAATTGAATCCAAAAAGGCGGCCCATCAGCAAATTAAATCAGGTGCCCGTGTGTGGGGCGTGCTTCGGCTCAAAAACGCAATTATTTGATATTTTGACGAAGGAGGACCATGAGCTTCTCACTCTGCTCTCGGTGACGTGAATGTAGACGAATCAAATAATGATGCGCAGTTTAGTCATCCATCCTACACACATACAAACACAACATACATACATAATAACATCATCACTTATATTATTACAATCATCAGTCTTACTATCATCAGTGTAACATCATACATAACCCCCAATCAATCTCCCATCTGATCAATCATACTACCTACTTGCCCCTGGGGCTTTGACATCATCACCTATTTAAACGACACAAAACATTCACATTCTCTCATACCTAATACTGAGATACAAACGACATAAACAATCAACATAACAACATATATTTATAATTATAATGGAGTCAGCAGCAGCAGCAGCACATCCAACTAATAGATGGATACCATTCCTGGCGGGTGGTATTGCAGGTGTCACTGCAAAGTCAGCAGTGGCACCTTTAGAGCGTGTAAAGATACTTTATCAAATCAGAAGTGACAAGTATGGTACAGGTTCAATCACTGGTTCCATCTCAAAGATCAAACAACTCGAGGGCATCAAGGGTCTGTGGCGCGGTAACACTGCCACCATCACACGAGTGTTCCCCTATGCCGCCGTTCAATTCTTTACATTCGAGACAATCAAACGTGTATGTTCGCGAGGACCCTAAACATGTTGTCGAGACACTAACCCATCCCATCCCATCCCATTCAATCAATCAATCAATCATACATAGAGCTTCCATTCAGATGATCGTCCATTCTCATCATTCAATATGTTTATCGCTGGAAGTTTGGCAGGTGGCGTGGCGGTATTGGCAACTTACCCACTGGACTTGTTGAGAGCGCGACTGGCAATAGAGGTCACGGAAAAGCAGACAGGCATGGCAAACTTATTCTTTGACATTGTTAAGAGGGATGGAATAAGAGGAGTGTATCGTGGCATTGAGTCGACAATCATTGGTATTCTGCCTTATGCAGGCATCAGTTTCTCAACGTTCGAGACACTCAAGGCAATGGCACCAAACTGGGCCAGAGACGACGAGGGCAAGCTACATCCAACCTACAAGCTGTTCTCTGGTGGAATGGCCGGTGGCATTGCACAGACTGTAGCATATCCATTCGATGTCGTTCGTCGGCGCATGCAAACTCATGGATTTGGTGATGGCAGAGTACACATAGACGTCAAGCATTCTTCATTCCGATCGATATACAGGATACTGACACAAGAAGGCGTGAAGAACTTATATAAGGGATTAAGCATCAATTACATCAAGGTTATTCCAACATCGGCCATTGCATTCTATACATATGAACTGAGTACACAGATACTGAGTAGACTGTCAAACTAATAAATCATTGTTATTTATCAGTAGTAAAAGATGATTGATTGTCCACATGTGTGCACAATGATTGACAACTTGAAGGTAGAGTTCATACACTTGGGACCGTCAACGCCAACTTGGTTGGTGATTGTGATGGAACTGCCACTGTAACCTTGATCCAAACCAGTTAGCCTGTCCATGATGGACATCCATGGATGGACAAAAGTGAAGACCATCAATGACCATGCTCTGTTTGATTGATCGTGATGCATCAGGTATCCAGTGAGCTTGGAGATTGATTGTGTACACCTGGCATTCATGCCAGACCATTGTCCAAGACACTAAGTCTTCTTGGATGTCGTAGTTGATGTAACTTTCTTCTGTTGTTGTTGAAGTAGACGTTGCTTGAGCATTGCTTGTTTCTTCAATGTCTCAATCTGTTTCAGTCGTTCCTGATTCTGTTGTTCAGACTTTGTCTTTGTATCCTGATGTTTCTCTCTTTGTAATTTAGTTGCCTCTGCAGTCTGCTTCATATCCTGTATCTTTTCATCCTTGGCCTGTTGCTCCTTGAACTCTTGTTCCTCTTGTTCCGCTGTAGATGACTCCCACATCCTTCTCATTCTCTCCCTCTCAAAGTCTGGATGATGCATGTGCTCTGGCAGTCTAAACCCACCATCTCTATCTCTTTCTCCACGGTCTCTATCTCTATCTCTACTGTCTCTGTCTCTGTCTCTGTCTCTATCTCTATCTCTGTCATTATATCGATATTGTTCATCCTCACGATCAACAACCTTTTGATAAAAGTCCACTACTACATTGTCATCACGGTCATCTCCATGCATGTTCATAAAGTCCAATGGTCTCTCGTGAACTCCATTGACTAGTTGTTGATACACCTTTGCCTTCTCCACCATTATCCTCTGTATGCTCTCGTATGATTGCTGTTCTCCCTCCTTCTTCAACTCATCCAAGTCCTTCTGATTCCTTTGATCAACTCCATAGTTTGAAGTGCCAGCTACAGTATTATCCTTGTCTTTGCTTCCACTCTTATCTTTACTCTCCAATATAGCCTTTATACTCTTTGATGATCTCTCATCTGGGTCTCTTGCACTCAACTGAGCATTCCTTTCTTCATTCAATACAGTTGATTTCAACGCTACTATCTAGTGTGTACATGAAGTCAGTCAGTCAGGTGAGCCGGTGAGATCATACCATTCGATTGACAACACTTACACTTGCGCTTGAGACACCTTCAATGTCTCTCTTTCTCTTCCACATGTTGGATGAATGAATGAATGGTACCCCCCTTCAAGATTGTACTTCAAAAGAAGGGTGCACTCCTTTGATCTTTGGCAACTTTCGTCAATCAATAGACTTTAGATATTTTCATACAGATAGAGATAGAGATAGAGGATGGATACCAACTCATTGTTGTCAATAGTATTGATCGTTGTCGCAGTGTATATTGTAAAGAATTATATACTGTCATCTGCAGTTCCTCCACCTAAACCTTCGGCCAAGTCATCAGCCGCTCGTGCCAAGGCCGCAAAGGATGCCCCAAAGAAGTACTACACGGCAGAGGAGGTGTCTGTACATGACAAGGAAGATGATCTTTGGTTGATCATCGATGGAAAGGTAGGTCACAGCATGTTCACTATTCATGTACCCTTACTCATCATCACACGATCGTGATCACCTCACTCGCATCCTACAGGTCTACGATGTTACACCATACGTTGACAAGCATATGGGAGGTTTGGCCATTATGAGGAACGCTGGTAAGGACTCTTCAAAGGGATTCCATGGCGATCAGCATCCAGTCAAGGTGGCACAGATCCTCGAGGACTTCTACATTGGCGAGCTGAAAGTTTAGACAATGCCTCATCAACATCATAGCGAGTCAGCCTCACTCACAACCATCTCGAGGTATGAGACATGTCCTCGTACCTTCATGCAATACGATGCAACATAAATGAATGAATGAGAGAGCTGGCATTGAATACTACATGTAATGTTGTTTGTTGTCTTTGGTTTATGATACAAAGGATGATTGGATGAATGAATGAATGAATGATGCCAGTGATGATGTACTGTACTAATACATTAGGCAATCTTTGTGATTGAGTCGCCTCTTAGCATTGTCCTAAAGGTGTAAACAAACATGAACAATGTGATCAATATTGCTGGAACGATGGCGCCTGCACAGCTGCCACCTTGAAGGTTTAACATAGTCTATGTTTGTGTTATCATGATGTTGAGGTTAGTGACAGGACTGTCATTGAGCGAGAGGGATGGACGGACGACTTACAAAGTATGAAATGGCAATATGAGAGACAAGGACGATGCCAACATCGATGCGATTCTTTGTTCTGTATCCTTGGAATGCAGTGACATTCCACAGTATATGAAGGAGGCTGAAACACAATGCATAGATGGCTGACAACATAAACAGACTGACATCAGGACAAGCTGGGGAGAACAAGTCGCCCGGTCCCTGTGACTCCCACATGATTGTACCATACATCACAAAGGCATAAGTGATGCCGCTACCTGTTCCAATAGCTATATCATTGATTGATTAAGTATGAGTGAGTGAGTATGATTGATTGAATGAATGATTGAGTGCGAGAGTGAGACATACCTGCAGATGATAGAGTATGATTGGGTCGCGCTGATAGTGTCTCTAAACGAGTGTTGATCACACTGTCTGTACCTGGTTGCTGCTGCTGTTGTTGTAGTTGATCAGCCTTCATTGATTTCATTTGATTGATCTTTGATTGTATCTGTGCGAGTGATGGACGATCGTTGAATCCCCAGCTGTACAGACGGAAGAAGAGATAGCGGAATGCCTCCTGGAAGGCGATGGTGAACGGGATGACGAACCAGAACTGTGTACGCATCGGTGGTATTATATACCACCAGATCGATGCCAACAGCATCGATAGTAGCCAAAAGAATGATCCTCCAATCGACATGATCACCAACTGACTATTACGTGCTATCACCATCAAGAAGAATACTATAGTAGGTGAATAAGCAAAGAACAGACATCCATAGAATAGTAATTGTGTCATTGTTTATGTATATATATATATATTTATGTATGTATTATTTGTTCTCTCTATCTAACTTTGAGAGTGTGAATGAATGAATGAGTGAGTGAAGTGATAGATAATGTGACCCAATGATTGATTGTGATAATGAATGTGTGCTTTCAATTTAGTTCAATCACACACACACTCAGATTGGACATGATTGATGTCTTTGGACAAGTATCTAAACAATGATGTTGGGATTGGAATTATCCCAATCATTCTAAGACACAATCACATTGTCAATCAATCAATCAAAATTGCAACAATGTATGATTGGTTGGGTGATCAACCATCATCATTTTTGTTTGTTCAAATGATTGATTATTATTATTATGATTACAATTAAACAAATAATAATAATAGTTAGTAAATTGGCAACTTTAAAGTTGTTCTTTGCATGAAAGGTTACAGTGGGAGGGCAAACCAACCCATTTTTGGGACAAAACTTCAAAAGAGGTCCACCTTCAAAGAACAAGTCAAACTATGCTTGATTGTTTGGGACAACCACCAATCAATCATAACAACAATAACTACACACTTGCACTTGCTCATATTCACATACAGATATATATATTTAACTTATCTTTATTTATTTATTTATACATTCATTCTGAGAGAGAGAGAGATGTTGACTACACCATCATCAGGTTCAAATAACCCATCACCGGCATTGACACCGGTGGCAACCAACCCACCGGGTTCACCTGCGATGTTCAGTGACAAGAAGTTCTGGAGACCATTATGGATACCTGATGATCAAGAGGATAGATGTCTAAACTGTAGCAATCAATTCAATACTCTATTGAGAAGGCATCATTGTAGACAATGTGGTATGTTAGGACTTGGACTTGGACTCTGACTTGATTGATTGATTGGTTCACTCATTCATTCGTTCATTCATTCATTCATTCATTCATTCATTCAACAGGTAACATATTTTGTAACAACTGTAGCAGTAAGAGACAATCATTACCACAGCTGCACTATGATAAACCTGTTAGGATATGTAATCGATGCTCGGATTTGGCCAACTTCTCAAAGCTGGCCACATCTGATGATGTTGCCCAACGTGTGGAGGCCTCAAAGGGCTTTTGTAATCTGACGTTGGATGCACTGGGCCGCAAACTAATAGTCAACAGCTTCTTAGGAGTGATGTTCTCGCTGCTGGACAACAGACTGGACACGTCCGTCTACCGACATGTGACACGTGCCGTCGCCAACCTGGCCGAGAACGAGATCAATCGCACCTATATCATCGAGTCGGAGCTGTTTGACGCTCTGGTTCACTATCTATTGACACCGCACGACGATGACAATGAGACACGATTGAACGTCTGCATCTGTTTCGAGTACTTGGCATGCGAGGAGAACATATTGGTCAAGACACAGTTGGCTGAGCAGTGTTTGCCCATTCTCATGGAGCTGTCTCGATCATACAATGGTCAGCTGAAACATTCATCATCGATCATCCTGCTTAATCTCACCAAGAACCCTATCACACGCGATCAAGTTGTCAAAGCTGGCGTCACTCAGTCCTTCATTGCCATGGCACTCTGCGATGAGGTCTCCCTGCAGGCAGCTGCCACGCAGGCCATCTCAATTCTATCTCTTAACCGTATGTAGCCTTTGTTCATTCATTCAATTCATTCTTGAGGTCATGCTCACACTTTGCCCTTGCCCCTCGCGCGACACAGCCAAGAATCAAAGGAAGATCGTGGAAGGCGGTGCTCTGCCACCTCTGATCCTTATGATCAACTCTCCAGTCGAAAAGATCATACTATATACAGTGGCCTCGCTGGCAAGTCTATCAGAGAATTGTAAATACGATCTGTTTGCACACTGCTCTTAACCGGGCGACATAGCGGATACTAACCTACCTAAACCATCTTCATTCAGCTGATAATCAACTGGCGATTGGACAGGTTGGAGGTGTCAAACCAATGATCAATATATTACATTACTCCAACGACGACAAGATACCATTACATGCTGCTACTACACTGTACCACCTTTCATTATGTCGTAAGTGATGCCAACCGTCAGACTGGCGCGAACCTCTAACTTCCATAACTAATCAATCACACAACTATATAGCCTCCAACCATGCACTACTGATGCAACAGGACCTGTTTGATATATTATCCAAAGTCATCATTGTTAATTATGCCAACACATCCAGCGAACTCTTATTCCTCTCCATCAAGATATTGAGCAACTTGTCAAATGGTATGAAGATGAAGAACACTATCATTCTCATATTCTTGGGATTGGACCATCTAACGCAATCAATATCAATCATACATACATAGTCAAAGAAGGGAAACAGGTCATAAGGAAGAACCAGGCACTGATGAATGTACTTAGGATAATGGTACATACTACCAACAAGCTGCAACCATTCTCATTGATCATCTTTAACAACTGCGAATCCAATTGAACAACTGGATGATCATATACTGCTGCTGTTGTACAATCAATACTATATAGCAACCTTACCAACCAACTTCCACCTCATCCATCAATACGCAACAACAACAACCATAATGCCCTTCCATAACGCAATATTTATCATCCTGCTGGCCTATCTTGCCCATCCACCAACTTGTATTGGCAAAGCAAAGCAGCGACCTTACCGTACTACAACTACAATCCAGGGCAGCACTGTAACAAAGAGTATCTCAATAATTAAAGATCACCTATCTTATTTATTCACAACAACTTGGTGAGGCTACAAACCATAACAGGCATTATGTACCAACCATCAATGCATTTGACCGAATGGAACGATGTGATTGAACATAGACGAAAGGATATTGAGTTGATTTTGGTTTGTTTATTGATTGGACTAAAGGTAAAGAAACAAAGCAAAAGGGTTTACTTCTTCTTGGCTGGGGCAGCAGCGGCGGCCTTCTTGTCACCTGGCTTTCCGGCAACCTTCTTGGTCACACCCTTGATGACACCGACAGCGACGGTTTGTCTCATGTCACGGACGGCGAAACGACCCAAAGGTGGGTAGTCAGTGAAGGTCTCAACGCACATTGGCTTGGATGGGGTAAGCTCAACCATGGCGGCATCTCCGTTCTTCAAGATGATCTCACCAGTTCCCTCCTTGGCAATGACGGCACCAGAACGACGGTCAACCTTGTCGAGGATGGTGGAGAACTTGCAGGCAATATGGGCAGTGTGGCAATCGAGGACGGGGGCATATCCAGCGTGGATCTGACCTGGATGGTTCAAGATGATGACCTGAGCAGTGAACTTCTCAGTCTCGATGGGTGGGTCGTTCTTGGAGTCACCAGCGACCATACCACGCTTGATATCCTTGACGGAAAGGTTCTTAACGTTGAAACCAACGTTGTCACCTGGGGTGGCTTGGGTGAGCTGCTCGTGATGCATCTCGACGGACTTGACCTCAGTGGAGAGACCAGCTGGGGCGAAGGTGACGACCATACCGGGCTTCAAGACTCCGGTCTCGACACGACCGACTGGAACGGTTCCGATACCTCCGATCTTGTAGACATCCTGGAGTGGGATACGGAGTGGCTTGTCAGACGGTCTCTTTGGCTCAACGATGGCGTCGAGGGCCTCGAGCAAAGTTGGTCCCTTGTACCAGCCCATGTTTGGAGACTTCTCCAACATGTTGTCACCGTTCCAACCGGAGATTGGGACGAAGGCAACCTTCTCTGGGTTGTAACCGATCTTCTTGATGAAGGAAGAGGTCTCCTTGACGATCTCGGTGTAACGGGCCTCAGAGTAGTTGGTGGACTTCTCGTCCATCTTGTTGATGGCGACGATCATCTGCTTGACACCGAGGGTGTAGGCGAGGAGAGCGTGCTCACGGGTCTGACCGTTCTTGGCAATACCAGCCTCGAACTCTCCAGTTGGGGAGGCAATGACGAGGACAGCACAATCGGCCTGGGAGGTACCAGTAATCATGTTCTTGATGAAATCTCTGTGGCCTGGGGCATCAATGATGGTGAAGTAGTACTTGCTGGTCTCGAACTTCCAGAGGGCGATATCGATGGTGATACCTCTCTCACGCTCGGCCTTCAACTTGTCCATGACCCAAGCGTACTTGAAGGACTGCTTGCCCATCTCGGCAGCCTCCTTCTCGTACTTCTCGATGACACGCTTGTCGATACCTCCACACTTGTAGATCAAATGACCGGTGGTAGTGGACTTTCCGGCATCGACGTGACCAATGACGACGATGTTAATGTGAGTCTTCTCTTTTCCCATTGTGGATACGTGTGTTGTAAATAGACTAGTTTAAATTAGCTAGTTATATTTTTGTTTTGGTTTGTTAGAGAAGGAAGTAGGGGATGAGAGAATAAAGAATGTTATAATGTTAGTATCACATTATATCATTATGTAGTTGTGTTGAAGTATGATAACAATATAATATATTATATTGACAACAACATAGACATAGTCATAGTCATAGTAATAATATTATATTGTATGTGTATTTGAACATACCTTTGATGTGAGGAGCGGAAGCAACAAAGAGAGTGAAACGAAGTGAGTGTTCACCTTATCGTTCACGATGCTGCTGACACTCTCTCAGTGCAACCAACTACACCATCTCACTATTGGTGTGTTAAACTTTTATTTTGATTTAAATTAAATCAAATTCAAAAAGCAAAAAGTGGAAAGAACCACTCTCGCAGATCTCTATCACATCAAAATTTACATAACAATGTAAATACATTGTAAAAGACATCTGTAAAATTTCTCACTCACTTCACCATCTCTGCAGATCTTGAACAAAGTGTGGTTGGTCATGATTCATGAACCTCGAACATGACTTGAATGGATGAGTTGGCTGACGACTTTGGTCAGTTAACTGGCTAGTTGATCAATAATTATTGATTGATTGACTGATTGGGACGTAGATGTCGATGATGCACTGAGTCCATGATCAAACATGGTTGAACCCAAGGATTGTCATTTACTTAAAGTCAATGGACCAACTACTTTCCAACTTCAAGTTCACACTTTTTTCGCAGTCTTGTGGTTGTCGTAGTTCTGTTTGTTGACTTGTTGCCAACTTCACTCTTCTGTTTAAGCAACCACTTTCCGTTCATTATTCAATCAACTATCATACATATATTTTATAATACTAATACTACTTTACTTGTAAATAATATGTCACAACAACAACAACAAGATACGACTACTACTACTTCAACAACTGTTGATGAACAACAGCAACAGGAAGATGAACAGTTGGTTACACCTTGGGAGGTATCATCAAAGGGTGGAATCGATTATAACAAATTGATTGATAAGTTTGGTTCGACAAAGATTGAACCAGCGTTGATTGAGAGATTCGAACGTGTCACTGGCAAGCGTGCACATCACTTTTTGAGAAGAGGCATCTTCTTCTCTCATAGAGACTTGGTGGAGATATTGGACGCATACGAAGCTGGCAAGCCATTCTATCTGTACACTGGACGTGGACCATCGTCAGGCTCACTGCACTTTGGTCACTTGGTGCCATTCATCTTCACCAAGTACCTCCAGGACGTCTTTAACGTGCCCCTCGTCATTCAGATGACCAACGACGAGAAGTACTTATGGAAGGATATCACCCTCGATGAGGCCTTGCAGTTCACCATCAACAACGTCAAGGATATCATTGCACTTGGTTTCGATATTGAAAAGACCTTCATCTTCTCAAACGTCGAGTACATCGGTCATCTCTATCCAAACGTCATCAAGATTGGCAAGCATGTTACATTGAATCAAGTAAGGATCACGAGTCAATCATTCATTCATTCACACCCTCGCGGACATAATACTCATTCATTCATTCACTTATAGATTAAGGGTATCTTTGGCTTTGGTGACTCTGATGCATGTGGCAAGTTTGCCTTCCCTCCAGTCCAGGCAGCACCAGCTTTCGCAGACTCGTTCCCTCATATCTTCTCACCAACAGACCCCGCCACAAAGTCCATCAGATGTTTGATTCCCTGTGCAATCGATCAGGATCCATACTTTAGAATGACACGTGATATTGCGCCAAGACTCGGCTATCCCAAGCCCAGTTTGATACACAGCAAGTTCTTCCCCGCTTTGCAAGGACACAACACCAAGATGAGTGCATCTGATGCCAATAGCGCAGTCTATCTCTCAGACACACCACAACAGGTCAAGGACAAGGTCACCAAGCATGCCTTCTCCGGTGGTCGTGACACCAAGGAGGAGCAAGAGAAATATGGTGCCAACCTCGAGGTCGACGTCTCTTACGAGTATCTAAACTACTTCCTCGAAGACGATGAGCTGTTGAAGGACATTGGAGAGGTATGTAGTTCCACTCATTCACTCAATCCAATCAATCAATTAACTTATTATTGACATCCTTGCCTCTTCATCCACAAACAGAAATATGCTTCTGGCAAGTTGTTGACATCACAGGTCAAGCAAAGATTGGTGGAGATCATGGTTGAGATCAATCGTAGACATCAAGAGGCGAGAGCAAAGGTGACTGATGACATTGTAAAGGCATTCATGACTGTCAGGAAGCTGAACTTCTAGAATAGTCCTCAATAATACATCATCATTATCATCATCAATATGTTGTTGGTAGTTGGAGATCACATTGCTTTGGTGAGGCGTGCGCGCCACCAATATGGTTTATTCAATCAATCAATGGCGTGGCAATCACATGTGTTGTTAGCTATGTGGATATCCATATCAATCTGGCTTGTGTACAGCGGCGGTGGCGTGCGACTCGCTCGCGCCTTCGAGTGTTGGTGTGATGGATGGAAGTTGGGGATGTATGTGGAAGATCATTGTGGCAGCTGCTGCGACTCTTGCTGGCTGTTGTCAATGTCCAGGAATGACAGGATCCAGTTGTACTCCTCGGCACCTCCGTTGTTTACAGGTGGCGCGTATCCACCTGACAGCAGAGGTGTCAGGAACTGGTGCTGGCCAGGTTGGGACTGTCCATTGCCATGCTGTTGTTGAGTCTGATGATTGGCAGCAGATTGTTGATGCTGGGCAGAGGTTAGATTGGATGGCGAGTGGTTGACAGCCAGTTGATCGTGGTTAGCAGCGGCCAGCTCCTGTTCCAGCGGATCTTTACAAGGCTGCTGCTTGGGGGATGGCACCTGTTGGGAGTCAGATTCCAAGGCGCCATCCGCGCTATGCTTCCTGCCACTACCCTCATCGTTACAAGCGTACTGATGATGCTGATGTTGGTGTTGTTGAGGGGATGGAGAGGGGACATGGTTGGCAGCAGCATGGTCGACAAATGGTTGAGGAGGGGTTTGCTCCAACTTGGGAGTAGTTGTCTTTGGAGACATTGAATGAAGTTGTTGTTGTTGCTGTTGCTGTTGTTGTTGTTGCTGTTGTTGCTGTTGCTGGTATAGTTGTATGTACTGTTGTTGTTGTGCCAGCTGCATGTGATGTTGTGGTACCTCATAGCTGTTGAGGGACATGTGCCTCTTTGGCATTTGTTGTTGTTGTTGAAGTTGTTGGTGATGTTGATCCTTCTGTTGTTGGGTACCATCACCTCCTTGATAAGGATTGTAAGAGTGTCTCCTTTGATCTTGATGTTGCTGTTGCTGCTGTTGTTGTTGCTGCTGCTGGAGTTGATGATGCTGCTGTTGCTGCTGTTGTTGTTGCTGTTGCATTTGGAGATGGAGGGTATCATAGTGCTGTTGGTACAACGCCATGTTCATTGGCATACCATAAACATTCTGTTGATGCTCTGGCATTCCATTGGCCATCATCTCAAATGGATGCATTGTGTTGTTTGGAGTGACATTCATGTCCTTTCCACCAGCCGCAGTAGCGGCGGTCATGTGCCTCTTTACACCAGCATGATCATTCTTCATCGATCTTGCATTATCATCCGGTAAATACATTGATGCCGAGTGCTTCATCTGTGGACTAGTGACTGGGTGGGGCAGACGCAATGAATCCTCCACTGATGACGAGCGTGCAATGTTGATCTTGATCTTGCTCTTGGCATTGTTGGACGAGACAGTGTTGCCAGGCATACCATTACGCAGAGGTGACTGCAATGAGAGCGATGTGATATTGGGCGTCAGGTGGATACCAGTATCCACCTCGTCCAGGGACTCGGTACGACGCACCTTCTTGTTGGGAGATTGAATTGCCGCCTGTTGGCCATTGACGGGTGGAGACACCTGAAGCTTGAACGAGCTGAAGGCGGGCTGTGTAGAGTTGGCACCAGCTATGATGCCAGGTGAATGGTTGGTGAGTGTGGGCAGTCCGGCGCCTGACGAGGTCAGCAGCTCGCCATCGGATTCGGTCAGCATCATCTCGATGCACTTGAGCACCTGTTTGACACGCATCTCGCAGTCCAAGTCAGAGAGGATCTTTGGCAGACACTTATTATAAGTTGGATTATAAGTCATCACCGAAGGATTGTTATTATTATTATTATTGTTGTTGCCATTGATCGAACCAGCCAAGTTGGGCGTTTGTTGGCCCTGAGCTGATGGTGATATCATCTTTCAAATGATTGTTTGATTGATTGAAATAGAGTGATGAATGAGTGATGTATGATATGAGTACACCTAGATGAGGTCTATTTGATGCTAGATTGGTTGGGACTCGTCAGTATTCTATTCATGATGATCTTCACCTCGGGACAAGGGGTGTCTTTTTGTGGGCTTGATAAAGCACACCTCTGGAAAATGATTGATTGGTGGAATGATTCCTTTGGTGTTTGATGATGATACTCACAAAGATAATATACTATTACTAACTTGATAAGTTAGTTTAATCAATCAATCAAGATAGAGGTACTTGTACAATATTGAATGAATGAAAGACGTTAGGTCAATTTCTTTGTCCTAGAGTAAAAGATGGAAGGTAGGAAGGTAGGAAGGTAGGAGGGAGGATCAAGGGAAAGTTGGAAGATGGTTTGGATAGGATAGGATGAGGGATTCTGCTTGCTTGGAACAGGGACGGATGATGGTATGCATTGATGTAATATCATCGTGTGCAATCAATCACAGCAGCCCAACTAACTAGTACTCAACATGTAATTATGTTATATTTGTTTGCCAGAGATACATACTCACACACACACACTTACACACATACTGAACCAAACACAACCAACACATCAATCAATCAATCAACCCCCAGGTTGTCTCACACTCACTCAATTCATAAACACACACACATCATTAAATAATAATACATGTGTATTTGTTTGTTTGTTATGAGAGTGTAATTATTAATACATACTTACCCCTCATCATCCAGAGGGTATATGAATGACACCTGATGATGATATATAATAAGTGTGTGTTTGTTTGTCAAACAGACATATATCTCTCTCCCTCATCAATCAATGTTGTCCTTCATTCATTAACACCTACCCACACTCACACATATATATGTTCTGATTGATTGATTGATTGATTGATTGGTTGATGAGTGCTAAGGTGTGTCCTATTTCAAACCCTAACCATCCATCTTCTCAACCCTCGCCTCAGACAGCATGTACATCCCCACCACCAACCACAGTTCATTATTACTTGGTCACCCTTCCTCATTATGCCGTGAGAAGTGTGATTGATTGATTGATTGATTAAGTAAAGATATGGATAGCGGATGTCGGAGTGTCACACACACAGCTTGAATTGATTAATACCAAGAGTCATCCTTGTCCATCATTATTATTTATTGCCTTTATTGATACAATCCCCATCAATGATGATGTTGGTATTCGTTCCAACCAAGCCGGAGAGATTAATCCTGTTTGAGTGAGTAAGAGTATGGTATAGTGTTGATGTCTGATTGATCATTCATAACACTAGTGCCTTCATTCTTCGGGTTTATTATTTCCCTACACAACCACAATCAATCAATCAACCAATCACACTCTGTATCAGACGGCCCCTATTGATGTAACATTGTCCAAACACACCCACAGAGAGTTAATTAATTCCAAAGGTGGACTTGGGTATATCGCTCATCAATCAGGTGATCGTAATCACATACCATCATTGGCAACCCTAGTAGTGATTGAGTGATTGATTGGAATGATTGATAGAGTTAATCATGGATAAATGAAGGGGGAGGGTGCTTCGAAGAAGAATGAACATTCATTCGAATGTCAAGTTAATTAGTCGCGTCTGCCGATATACCAACTCGCCCACCACACTCTCCATCAATCACAATCAATCATTCAATCACACAATCACTCGTTGCTGGCAATCATGTCAAGTCAATAATCCATCGGGTTGAATCCCAGCTGGTTTAATTAATTAAACACACGTACCTAGATACGATGCGAGTGATTGGTCATTATTGACTAATATGGTAAATTGATTGAATGGATTGATACCAAAGTAGTTTAATTAATTAACTCAACACCCATTCAATCAATCAGTAATTGGATTCCATTATCCTCGTAGTTGTAGTATTGGACAGTAATTCATGAATGAGATGATCTAGATCAGCGCGTCATTAATTCATCAACTTTACAAACTCGTTTGGCGAATTAGACTGATCCGTATCATTTACCAAAGTAATGATCATCCTTGGAAAATATATATAAATTAATTGATTGATTGATTAACCTTGTGCCTCATAGGCGTTGGAGTTGTGCTTGGGAATGAATGAATAGTCTTGGGGAACAGGTCCGAGGAACATCTCAGAGATCTTGATCCAATCAGTCACGGCATTGCTGGCCAACAGTGTTTCCAGATCGGAGCGACCAAAGTATCCTGGTGGACGTTCGTTGATCTTGGAGTACGAAGTCTCCAAAATGCCAACGGGCACGTATCTGTGCGTGAACGACATCCAGTTGAGCAAGAAATGTCTGGTGTTCTCGACTCCCTGCTTGTCCGAGCCCCAATGATCCAGACCATAGTTGGCAAACTGCTTCACCAAGTCCAGACGCTCTGACGCCGTGATGTCCCAATCTCTCCTCTCCTTGATCTCTGTAAAGATCCATGGCTTGATCAATGCTCCTCTTGCAACCATCAGTGATGAGATAGAGTCTGATGACTTTTCAATCTATGATTGATTGATTGAATGATTGATTGAGGGTTGAGGGTTAGTCTCCGCGTCGCGCCAATATATCCAAGCTCGCCACACTCAACTTACATCTCTCCAGTTGTAAATGTCACCATTGCCAATGACTGGAATAGGGGATATCTCGGCACATTGCTTGATGTACTCCCAGTTGGCAAGACGTGTGTATCGCTGTGTTCTGGAACGACCGTGAACGGTGACGGCCGCAGCACCCCACTTGCCAAGGTTGGGAATGATCTTGTGAGCGTTGGGATTCTCCTCTGTGCGTCCAACTCTAAGCTTGATGGTGAGTGGACAGGTGAGAACTGAGGACATGCCGCGCAGGATCAGCTCCATGCGGTTCTGGCGGTCCATCATGGCTGCGCCTGCACCCATGTTGCAGATCAAATCGATGGGACAGCCGCTGTTCACGTCGACAAAGTCCACGTTGAGGTTGTCTTCGATGAGCTCGGCGCTGGACATCATCGAGTCCAGATGAGGGCCACACAGTTGCACGCCAAACTTGTCCTCGCTGGGATGACGCTTGAGCAAAGCCAACTCACTCTTCTGGCCCTGTACAATGTTTGAGGCCAGTGCCATCTCACCGCATGTAATATCGCAGCCCAATGTCTTGCAAATGCGTCTGAATGGCAGGTTGCCAACGGTTGTCAATGGTGCCAAATAGAGCTGATTTCTAAAGTCGAGTCTCTTCTTCTCGCATGCACGCAATGGTATCTCCACTTCAATCTCTGTTCCTTCATGTGATTGCTTTGTTGCCTTCAATGTAGTAGTGGTGGTGGTCGATGTTGTTGGCTCATCATCCTTCTTCTCTGTAACTACCTCAGTAGTTGTTGTTGTTGTAGTTGATGTAGTTGGTGTTGTTGCTGGTGTTGTCAACTCCTCAACAGGTGTCGTAGAAGCAGTTGTGGTTGTCGCGCTGTCAGTGGCAGTAGTCTCTGTCGCAGGCTTAACTGCTGCTTGTTCATCTCCCTTTTCCTTTTGTGGCTTCTTCGATGGTCTTCTAAGTTGCAGATTGTTCTTACTTGAAGTGTTTGATTGAACAAGTGAGTATGTTGGAATGATCCCTATTCATTCATTCATGATACATACATGAAGTAGTCCTCAGTCTTCTTGAACTCATATTGATTTCTACGCAGCTTGTTGATCATGTCATGGGTGACATCGTTCAGTATTCTATACTCGCAATCTTCACCGCATTGTTCCTTCTTGTTGGTGTCAACGATCGACTCGTTGTTCACGATGTGGTCCTGGCCATACAGACAGGAGATACCAAATCTACATGAGCCGTACTTCTCAAACAAGTAGCACTTGCCAATCGATGGTGGCTTGCTTGCCAAGTACTTGGACACATCATGACTGAACTTGCATGTATCGCCAAATGGGCATGTCCTTTCCTTAAGGTATGCTGGGCATATCTGTACATCGTTGATTGATTGATTGATTGATTGATTGATTGTATGAGTGATGTGAGTGAGTGATGTGAGCACATAGATAAGGAACATTCATGAACATACTTTATCAGAGTTGGGTATGTACTCCCTCTTTTGTTTCTTGACTTTGGTGGCTGGACGACTGTTACCTCTGTTGTCGCTTCGGTTGTCGCGGCGATCGGCAGTGGAGGCCTCTGCATCGTCATCGCCATCTGTTGAGGCCATCTCGTCATTGGACCTCTTCTTGAGAAGGTATTCAACCTTTATAGGTGCTTCACCTGGTCTACGATTCGAGTTTGACACAGGTACAATAGGTTGTTGTTGTTGATCTGATGATGTCATCGTTGTAGTTGTAGTTGTAGTATTAGTATTAGTTGTACTATCAACTGGTGTGGCAGCATCGGCAGTAGTGGTAGTGGTAGTAGTAGTATCCATTTCCAAGTTATAACTATCTCTCTCCCTTGCTATCAATAATTGAATGAACAACAAATCCAACATGTTTCGACCCAAGCGAAAGACTCGTTTTTCAACCATTTTGTCCACCACTTTGTTTGGGAGTCAACATGAGAAAGATATAACAAAGAAAGATTATGGATGGATAGATTTATACCCTTTTTTTTTATTCTGATTGGCTTGAAAAAAAAGCTGAAGAGTCTTGGTTGATGGGATAGTAGTTCTGATATCGATTGCCATAATTGAAGTTTCCATATTTTGATTGTTTACCATAGTTACAGGATGTTGATTATTATACCAAGGGGCAAATTTCTCTAGTTTATCGGTATTGGTATTGTAACTAAAAATATCTTTATCATTATTATTACTACTCTTTGATCCTCTTCTTTCATTTTAATTGCCTCTTTTTCCATTAATAAACGAGTTTAAGATTAATAAAAATATTACAAAATAAACAATTAATTTCATATTATTATAAATGATATCAATAAAAATAATAATAATAATAAATAATGATATAAATGAACCTTACTGTTATATAATTGATTTTGGTCCAATGTACAATACTAGATTGTTATGATTACAACTAAAAAAATTATGTTTGTGAGAGATAAAGGGTTGGATGAATGTAAACAGGGTTTATTGAAACTCCGAACAATATAAAGTTTCAATCTACTACCAACTTAGGTACAAATATCATCACCCTCGTATTTGCAGTGCTGATCGACATTGGAATCATTACAAAGAATTTAATTGAAATAATCTATCGACTTTCTTAATATCTATTATTAATATTTGTAGGTCCGATCATCTAATAAATCTGTGTGGAGGGAAGAAAAGAATCGGAGTTAGATCATAGGCAAAATCGCATCATATTGTTGACTAATCTTAGGATGGTGATAGCCCTGGTCAAGGGCAAACCTAGACTATTTTGGGAGATAACTTTACCTTGTTGTGTCAAAGACAAATGTCATGAGCACTGCTCCATGGTTCTAGAGGGTGGGATGAATGTGGTGATTTGTCGTTTGGGGTCAAAGGCACATTAACCCTTTGTAAGTTCATTGAGTCCTTTACAAAGTGATATCATAACCAAATTAGGAAAGGAATATTGTCCAATTATCTTCGTTCTAGATACTAATAGAAACAAGAAAAACACACAGAATTGATACACTTAAATCTTAATAGAATCACACAATTCACTAACTTGTGTTTGTAAATCGATACTTACAAATACAACTATTTCCAACAATTTCTTATTATTAATATTTATAACTTTAATTAATTTATTATTAGTTCAATCAATTATTAATATATTATTCAATCAAATATTTAAAGATAATTTATTTATATATTATTTATTATATTTAAAAAAGACAATGGCAACTTCACCTCAACCATTAGTATTGGTCTGGTACATTACAGGATGCAGTACAGGTATTGGAAGATGTATGGTACAAACATTATTACAACAGGGACAAAAGGTGGCGGCAACATCAAGATGTAGAAAGACTTTAAATGATATATTCGGACCAGACAGTGATAAATTCTTGGCATTGGAGGTGTCCCTCACAGATGATCTTAGTATCCAGCGATCGGTTCTAGAAGCCACCATCAAGTTTGGTACATTGGACGTCGTGATCAACAATGCCGGTTACGCTTTGGCCGGAGTCGTCGAGGAGTTGGCCATGGATGAGATCAGGAAACAGTTTGAAGTCAATTATTTTGCACCACCAGTGAAACCATTTGGTATTAAGGTGCTGTCGATCAATCCAGGCTCGTTCAAGACCGATGTATACTCACCATCCAAGCACATCAAGACACCATGCACTCTGCCCGACTATGAGAGTATGCATCATGAGATGGACCCTGTCCAGATCGATGCCATGCAGAGGGGTGATCCAATGAAGTTGGCTAAGATACTGTTCCAGTTGGTAGTGTCATTGGAGACGCTTCCAGTACACATGTACATAGGAGAGGATTCGAATAAGATGGCAAAGACCAAAGCAGAGACATGGCTGAAGGAATTGGAAACTTGGAGATCAATCACATCATCGACGAATCTCGATAAGTTCATCCAAGATGAGGTGCACCAAACAAGTCCAGCTACGCAATAATAAATATATAACTTAATCATGATTGGGACCATTCCATTATTGATTGGGTGAGTGATGGGAGTGATGGGAGTGAGCTCAAATCAATCAATAATGCTTTTGTATATATTCATCGAATCTGAATGAATGGATTGGAAGAGACGATGAAACATTTTGTCGTCTTTTGAGTGGGATTATTCCACCAGTGATTTTGCTAGTAAAGATTAGGATATGTTTCATATCATCTAGTATACGGAATTGAATATTCTTGAGTGGTACAGTTGGTTGATCAGTGAATGATATTGAGAATGTAGACAGTTGATCCAGTGGATAATCGCTGTAATCTAGGATACTATAGAGGTAGTCGCGGTAAWTCTTTTGGTGAGTTTGATTCTGCTCGGCATCCTCCAACGAGACTGAAATGTTTGATTGATTTGGGAAGAGGCACACGGGGGCCGAATGACCTGGCCAGCGTAAGATCCGTGATGGACTCTGGAAGTTGGGATGGTGGACGTATTCCATGAATGTGAAGACGAGTCACTGATGGCGGGATACTACCATCATTCAATTTATGTTTGTAAGGTTCCCACAGTGTAAGTGATGTTAGGCCTTCAGGGAGCACGCCAGGAAGTATAGGACAACTGTACTTGGCTCCCAGGTTCAATGATCTGAGTGTGGACGGGAGTGAGCCGATTGCCAAAGGTTGATTGAAGTAACACAATGACAAAAAGTCATAGTTCTCAGAGTATCCGAATTTTAGTGATGTCAAGCTGGTTGGTAGTGATCCGATAGCAAAGGGATGATTGAAATCATGGCCAAACTGAAGTGATGTAATACTATTTGGAAGTGATCCAATGATTATGGGATGATTGAACAAGTATTCCAAAGCCAGTGTTCGAAGTCCAGATGGGAGCAGGCCGATCTGGATTGAATGATCGTATCGATAAAACTTGAGTGATGTCAAGCTGACTGGAAGTACACCGATATCCAATCGTTGATGAAAGTTTGATGTGAACATGATTGATGTGATACTGTTTGGAAGTGATCCAATCAAAAGTGGAGAGTTCATTTTAAAACTAAACATTAGAGTTCTTAAACTATTAGGTAGTGATCCAACTGCTGGTGCAACATCCAAATCATAATTCATCCATGTCGTATCCTTTGGTATATCATCAATCGAGTTTATATATTGAGCTTGTTGAAGTTTTGGTGATGATCTAATCTTATTGTTTAGATTATCATAATCTATTGTTATAAATGTTGGTTCTGATAGTATTGGTAACCATAGGAAACGAATAAATGTCTTTCTATTCCTATACCAATGTTTACAAATGAATGCCATTTGATATCTATCCAAGTTATCAATCATATACTCAACTATATAACCAAGTATGAGTATTGGGAAGTAACGAGGTTTCTCAACCAAATAACAAACATTATTATTATTATTATCATGATGACCTTCCATTTGTTGTTAATATATATTGAACAAATAATAATGTATTATTACTTTATTTATATTTATATTTATTATTATCTCTTTGAATGAATAATTTGAGAAACTAAACAAGCTCTTTTTATAAATACACAAAATTGAAAGTTGCGCCTTTATTTGATGAATTCTCGAGAATGATGAGTTGTAATAAATAATAAATAATATATATATTAAATGAAGAGAAGAGCACAATCAACAAATAATAATAGTAGAGGAGGTAGTAAGACAGCATCTACAACATTAAAGAACAACAACAACAGTAATAATAATAATAATAATGTACAGATACATAAATGTGTGAGCGATAAACAGTTTCCTTCGTTTGAAGGTCGTCAAGCTACGATGTTGGAGTTCTTCCCAAAGAAGTCTACAAAGACTATAACTCAATCGGAGGAATCTGTACAGTTGGTTAAGGATCAGTCGGGTGCAATGATGACCACAACAACAACGACAATCACCAAAGTCACCAAAGTCACATACACGCCATCACCTCAACGCAAAGATGGCACATCACCATCGCCATCTCAGTCACTGTCACTATCACAACAATCATCGTCGCAACAGCCCATCCCATTCGACCTCTCACCCGCGCACTCACAGTCATCACAAAGATCACAGGTCATCGTCCTTGATGAAGAACATGTTGAACTCGATGGGAAAGATGATAAGGATGATGATGATGATGATGATGTGCTTGTGTTCAAGAAGCAGCGACTATCAAATGGTGGCTCATCGACTCCCACTTCAAGCCAAGCTGTCACTCAGTCCTCTCAATCACTCGTCGATGACGAAGATGATGTTCAGCTCCTAACAAGCCGACCCTCGACCACTCCAACAAGCACGACCACGACTACGACTACAACCACAAGCCCGACAAGCAACAAGGATGACAACTCTGACGACGCCGAATCAATCAATGGCAACAACTATAATGGAGTGAGATACTACGTAAACGACTTCACCACCGTCACCACGACGGTATATAACCGCGACATGCATCTGTTTGAGAAGGATGAGCTGGACTTGATTGATCGATTCCTCAATGTACTTAGCGACGATGCCAAGCACCTCTTTGTCAGACTGTACAATCGCAAGGGTCCATGGTTCCTCGTCGGATCAATCTCGTACAGGGAGATCAAGGACTTCCGGTCTAGCATCGAAGAGTTGGTCGACTGTCAGTTGTTTGTCGAGTACAACTCTGCCGTACACGACTATAACGAGATCAGTCCATTGCTGCCCGTTGCAGCCATTCGCAAGATCATCGGCGTCACATGTCCCTCCAACGCAGGCAAACCCGAGCTGGTTGAGCTGTTGCGAGGCAAGAGTCCTGCACGCGGCCAGTCCACACTCTTCCAGACGACGTCATCATCAGCAGGGCAAGGTCAGCAGTCGACCATTCAGCGTTACAAACGATTGGTCGAGAGCAATGTTGGCCGATGCGTCCGCATCCCCGACTCCACCATATCACTCTGGCGAATGATACATCATCTCTTCTTCTTCAACTGGCAGCAACACAACTCCACGTCAATGATTGTGAACAACATCATGGGCATACGCTTCCCTGACTACCAGATATGGACGGGTGGCATGGCGCGCGACGGCAAGAGCATCTTTGAGACGCGTGAGTCGCTGCTACAGTATGAGCAGGTCAAGGAGGTCGAAGAGCGATTCGACTTCTTCTACGACAGCAAGGAGGAGAACAATGTTGTGCCAATCATCGAAGAGTGCGCTCGCAATCTATCAACAATGACCAGTACACAACAAGAGTATACATTTGCGCTCAAGTTCACACCTGGTTGGGTGTGGACACGAGTACTCTCATCAGGTGTATCAATCTTGGAGAGGGCCAAGCAATATGAGCAGGCTATATTCCACTTGATGCAATTGATTGATCTGCCCTTCTGTGCAGGCAAGCGTGGACATTGGTGGCAACGACTAGTGATCAACATGAAGCATCTTGGAAAGATGGACGATGCACTAATCATCTGTGAGCGATCATTGAATGATCCACAAGTCAAAAGTGGTGATCGAATAGCTCTGGAGAATCACTATCTAATGTTGGCTAAGTATGTTTATACAGCAATCAATCATGGTCGAAACCATTCCAATCAATCATGCTAACATCCATATCACACAGACATAGAGGAAAGAACTTGATACCTCCAGGACTGATCAAGTTGTCACAGAACATCAAACAACCAAAGCCTTTGACGATATATTATCAAAAGGTTGAACTTGGATTGCCAGGAAGAAAGAGTAGATACTATATAGGCGATGTTGATGACGATATAGATGCCGATGATGAGGATGCCGATCATGGAGATGGTCGCCAGATAGTCACTGTAGAGGGTGCCGCACTGGATCATTACCAGAATCACACGGTGGAGAAGTGGACTGGCATTCATTGTGAGACCACCATCTTCTTGAATCTGTTTGTTGTCTTCTTCTGGGACATCATATTCTCCTCGGACATTCCTCATGTGTTCCAGTCACCATTCCAAGACGCACCACTCGACTTTGGCAGTGATGAGTTCTACTTTGTACGAAAGGAGCAGATAGATGCGAGAATCCAGCAACTCACACTCAGCACATGGCAAGAGAGGGAAGAGATGTTGGAGACCGTCTGGAACAAGAACAATGGATGTATAGCCAGATGTGTAAACTGGGACAAGTGGCCCTTAGAGTAAGTCTCCCTCACTCAATCAAACTAGTTCAACTCACTAACGATCAATCACCGCACATCCACAGTGAACTCAAAGGACTATCTAAATACATTGGTGGTGGACTGATAGCGTATTGCTCGAAGCTGATGGCTGAGGACTTTGGTTGCTTCTCAAAGGGCATGCCAGACTTGTTGCTCTGGCGTAGGAATACAGAGGACCTACTTGAGGAGAAGTACTTTATCAAGTTTGTAGAGGTCAAGGGTGCTGGAGACAGCGTGCGCAATCATCAAAAGGTCTGGATGGACATGCTGCTATCATTTGGCTGCGATGTTGACATCTGCCACGTCAAGAATAAATAATGAATGAGTGGACATGTCGTTAGGCGCGACATGGACATTCGAGGGTCAGCCCAATGTAAGAGCAGGACTGAGTTTATTAGTTGATTGGTATTGGGTGATCATGGAGTCACATGTGACTTGACAAATGTGATGATTGATTGATCACTTCGGTCTCCGGTGTATGGTATTGGAACAGAGTTACCGCTGACGAATAGGGTAATGTAGGGATATCCATCGATGATTGGCAACACTACCTCTGGAACAGTGTTCTCGCTGCAGTCATAGTCGACCACTTGCACACTGGTGTCCTTGAGCTGCTCGGCGGCCTTCTCAATGTACAATCCCATCGTCTTGCAGAATCCACACCAAGGCTGATTGAAGTAGACTAGTGAATGCTTGTTGGACTTGAGCACCTGCTGATCGAACGTGTCGTAGACCACCTGTAGAGTGTTGGGGATTGCTGGCTTGATTGCCAAGGTTTGTGAAGCAACCACAGGCGACAGCTTGCCATGAGTGAAGCCATCCAAGAATGATTTGAGTGTATCCACTGTTAACTCATTCTCCTGCGAGTATAGGTAATGTGCCTCTTTCTTCAGATCCACAATGACCAATCCTCCATTGATTGATTGAGTAGAGTCGCTGCCTCCAAGTCTAATGTAAAAGTCATGGTAGGTTTGTCTAAGCGAGCGTTAGATCGATACTTAGGGCGAGATAAGGGCGAGGGTGGTGAACATACTTGTCAATGAAGAATAGTTGGATGCTCTGGCGATACTTGGATGCAACTTTGTGGAGTGCGGCAACGGATGGGGAGAAAGGTAGACCATGCTGCTCGACGTTGTAGGGTGTCTCTGATGAGTAGTTCACAAACAGGAGTGCGGATGGCTTGGCCTTGTTCTTGGTCATCCTGTGTAACGATGATCCAGTTAGCTCCATCACTGCAGGCTGTGTCTCGGCCATCCATTTGTAGAGTGATTTGGCCGATGCCGATGATGTCTTGCCCATGTCGTTGAACTGATAGACGCCCTCCTGTGGGATGGCAATCAGCACGCCCTGCTTGACATCGCTGTGATCCTTGAGGAATGGTTGTTGCGCCAACACATCGATCAATTGCTGATTGCCCACCAGTGCCAACTGGACCTTGCCACTGATCTTCTGGGCGACCTTTTGGAAGGCGGCATACTCTGGCGTCTCCTTGTTGGCAAACATTCCAATGATGGTATGAGGTGATCTGAGCAACAGTTGATCAAACTGCTGCTTTGTCTCAATCGTCTCCATGGCGGCCAGCGTATTGGTCGAGAGGAAGGCGGCCAAGGCATGTGGCTGCGTTGGTCCATTGTGTGTGAGGACTGGACGCTGCTTGCGATACAACTGCAACAGCGGATAGGACTTGATCTTTAGACGGTCGCGCAGCTCGGCCTGAGCCTGTCCATTGACCTTGGCAATGAGCACCGGCTGCTGTTGTTCATTGTTGTACAACTTGCGGGCGGCACGCAACTCCTTCAGCAAGGCGATAGAGCGAGCGCACCAAGGTGCATAGAACATCACCAACACATTCTCATTCTCTGCAATGGCTCTGTTGAAGTTGGTGCTATTCAAATCTATCACCTTGGCAAAGTTGAGTTCATATCGTGAGCGTAGCTCCTCGTCGATTGCCCTCTGTGCCGCCTCCTTCTCAGTCTCTTTGTTGTTGTTATTGGTGGTGGCGGTAGTGGCAGCCTTTGATTGTTGCTCCTCCAACATTGCCTGTTGTCTTTGTCTCTCTTGTTCAATCAAGGTGTCTCTCTGCTCCTGTATCTTTTGTTGTAGCAATTCATTCTGTCTTGTTGTTACCAAGTAGTCATTATAAAGGTATGCCACTGCGAGTCCAACAATGAACACTATCGCAATGTTCACAGTCCTTGACATTATATATATGTATGTGTAGGTGGATGGATGGGAGTTGAATGATTGATCTGCAGAATTGTGAAGATCTACTTTGTCATTTCAAATCACGCCACGTGTCACTTAAACAAGTCAGATCAATCATTCATATCTCATTTCAATCCAATCTAGCAAGTCCAGTGTATACTAGTAACATGTACAACAATATAGTAGTTACACCAAGAACAAAGGTACTTGCAATAGTTGCATGTTACTCATTGTTCATTTGTGTTGCATTGGCTGCACCACAAACAGTTCAACAACCAGGATCAATCAACTACTCTACATTGCCAGCACAGTTACCAATCGATGAGTTGAAGGCTATTCTAAAGTATGTAGTCATATATACTAGTTCTCGATCAAACAACTACTAATACCCAATCATATTACAGGAATGACATTAAGGACATGTTCTATCATGGCTACGACTGCTACATGAAGTATGCATTCCCAATGGATGAGTTGAAGTCACTCTCATGTAAAGGATCAGATACATTTGGAAAGTATGTACATCAAGTCAAGAGCCTGAGTAGTACTCAATCTACATCATACTAACTCAATCAATCAATCAAACTCAAAGGTATGCATTGACTTACATTGATACACTGGTAACACTATTGGTGGTCGGTGGCAATACAACAGAGTTTGAGAAGGGCGTCAAATGGTTGAGTGAGAGCTTGACATTCGATAAGGATATGACAGTGTCAGTGTTTGAGACCAACATTAGAATCCTTGGTGGTCTGCTCTCAGCTCATCTCTACGCAGAGAAGGTCTTGCCAGACTACAAGGGCGTACTTCTGCCACGTGCACTGGACATTGGCGAGCGTCTGTTGGTGGCCTTTGACACACCCACCGGCATCCCATACGGAAGTGTCAATCTGCGCAAGGGAGTCTCGCCCGACGAGTCCAAGATCACATGCACAGCCGGTGGTGGCACGTTTGCCCTGGAGTTTGGCATCCTCAGTCGACTGACTGGCCGTCCCGAGTTTGACAAGGCTGCAAAGCGTGCGGCCAAGGCACTCTGGAAGTACAGGTCCATGACTAGTAATCTGTTTGGCAACCACATCAACGTGTTCACGGGCCAGTGGGAGAGCTGGGGACAGGAAGCCAGCATTGGCAATCAGATCGACTCGTACTTTGAGTACATGCTCAAGGCGGCGCTCTACTTTGACGATCAGGAGTACATGGACATCTTTGTCGACTCGTACAAGGCCATCATCCAGCACACCAAGAAGGACGACTGGTACGTCCTGGCTCACATGAACAACCCCAAGAATGTACAGCACATCTACAGCAGTCTGCAGGCATTCTGGCCCGGACTCCAAGTGCTGGCCGGCCAGCTGGAGGACGCCTACGGCACCACCAAGGTCTTCCATTCAGTGTGGCGCAAGTATGGCTTCACTCCCGAGTCCTACAATCACAACACTCAAAGAATCAACCAGAAGCACTATCCACTGAGACCAGAGTTGGCAGAGTCAATCTACTACATGTACACTGCCACCAAGGACCCACTCTACATCAACATGATCAGAGACCTTGTCTGGACACTAAAGAGTGTTACAAGGACTGTAAGTATACTCTCGCGACCCTTCCATCCATCCACTCACTCACTCTCTCAATCACTCAATCAATCAATTATAGAAATGTGGACATGCAGGTGTATTGGATGTTGAGGCTCATACTCTGGATGATAAGATGGAGTCTTTCTTCTTGGCAGAGCTGTGCAAGTACTTGTATCTTACAGTGGATGATAACAATATGGTTGGAAATGAGACTATTGTGTTCACGACAGAGGCACATGTATTCCCAATGCAACATAGATTCCTCTCTAACAAGTCAACTGGCAAGCAACACCGTCCAACGTCCAAGGGCAAGTCAAAGGAGACGGACATCTTCTCCAAGGAGTTCAACTGGAAGTGTAAGCCTGAATCGTACCTACGCGATATCTCTGCTGGACCAATGCAGCTGGCCGACAAGACATTGGCACAGTCTGCGCCCGAATGGTTCGAAGATCAGAATATTTTGGCATCATTATAATGGTTTTGATGACAATTTCAATAAATTAATATTAATATTTTTTATCCTGAATCAACCCAGGTTTGATTGATTTTCTGATTGATGGAGAAAGAGCACTTTCCAAAAATTATTTTATAAATTGTCTTCCAATCCCTCATTTCATTTCATCAATCCAAATAGAGATAATACTAATAGTAAGAGATAATAATAATAATAATAATAATAATAATAATAATAATAATAATAATAATAATAATAATGAGTAGGAGATCAAATGAGAATAATCATAATAATAATGATCGAGTTCCAACCGATAAGAAGAAGTTCAAGCCAAGACGTCTTAAAGGCAAGGCCAATCCATTTTATTGGCTCACTCAGCTTGGTTTACCCGAGCCAAACACAAATACTCCCTTGCCATCATCAACCCCAACACCAACAACAACAACATCAACATCAACATCAACATTAACAACTGGAAATCATTCAATCACATTCGTGGTTGATTCAATGGTGCAGCCTACATCTTTTGGCCCAAGACCATTCACTCATGCAAGCCTCATTAAAGATCCAGAGATTGAGATCAAGAAACCAAAGGTGCTCAGGTCAAGCATTGAAAGTGACTCGAATCTTTTTGATCTTGGCAACAACTCATTCGTTCAATCAGCATTCTATGCATATAGTCACCACCTACATCTTGTGATTCGACCAGATGATGTGTGGCTGGCGCTGATCACTCAGTTCTCAATCTATGTCAATGCCAACTCTGACCAGTTAAGGTCAAAGTTAGTACCATTCGATGACAAGCGTGAACTTATAGTTCTTATTGAAGGCATATCCACTGAGCCAATAGATAGATTAGCAGCACAATTTAGTGATAGAATCGCAGAGAATATCAAGGATCCATCAATCAGAGAATGGGTGATGCCTGCCTTCACAACGACAACCAACAATGATCGTGTTGTTGGTGCATTCGCATTGATGTCCTCGATGAAGAATTACTTTAATTACACAGTGAGGACTCAATGTGGACTGCCCAAAGTCACCATGTTGGGCACTGTGGACGACTGGAAACAAGTTCGCCAGCGTGCTGAAAGATTGATTGAGTTCGATCTCAAGGACAAGCTGATGTCCAGGTGGCTCGACATCCTACTTCCTGTGTTGGACAACTTGGTCATGTCAGCCGAGGGCAAGCCCGACACTGATTGGTGGAACAGGATAGCCAACAAGGTTGGACGTGGGTCAGGAGTATCCAATCTATCAGGCTGGATCACAACGTTCATTCCATTCACAAACAAAGGTAAATGGAATGCTGATAAGAAATATTACCAAGACAGGGGAGGTAAGGTAGCAACTACATGGCCTGTGATCGACACTGCAATGATACCTTGTGGATATCTAACATGTCCACTCAGGGTGGAGGATATGCGTGGAGTCTTGCAATATCAAACTGATATCTATGCAGGACATATAGTGTCAAAGCTGCCCAATGATGACAATACAATCATTCCACAATTGGATTGGTGTATATTGGTGAAATAAAGTATCTGCATCTTGTGATCATACAGTCGATTTTATTGTATAAGGACTTTCTTTAGCCTCTTGATGAATGTGTCAACATCGTCCTTGGTGATACCAATGGCACAGGCCACTGTTAGATAGTTTGAATGGTAATGGTCAATGTGTGAGCCATAAGCTTCAAACTCAATGCCTGCCACTGTCTTCTTGCCACCCTTCAAATCAATCACTCTTGCGCCAGAACATGATCGCATGAATAACTTTGATCCAATCATTGAAACACTTTGTGATGGTGATACTGATGATGAAGCCGATGGTTCGGGGTCAGTGTCCGAGTGTGCCTTTTGAAGTGTGACACCAAAGGATATTGTGTTGCCAGGAGTGTGCAACAGTCTGTATCCAAACTCCTTAGCAACCTTGTCCAACTCATGGGTGAAGTATGGTATTAGACTCTTCCTTTCATCGAGCAATGCCTTGTAACCTTGCTTGCCCATCGATAGGAGAGTGATGAACATGTCGAGGATGGGCGCACCACTGGCACGACCCGGATAGTTCTTGGCCAACGTGTCGATTAATTTCTCGTTGGGACTGGCCACGATGGCGCCACCAACTGGCACCATAAAGTTCTTGTCCGTGCTCTGAATGATGGCGTCAACGCGACCCAATCTACATGATTGAGATATCTGATGTGTGATCTTTGTGCACTGCAGTCCATAGGCATTGTTGATCACATGTCCAATGTTGAATCGTTTGCACATCTGACTGATCTCGATGATCTTGTCGGGGATGCGTGGCGCGAAGCAACTAGTCGTGCTCATCACACAGACGATTGACTCTGGACCGAGCTTAACAATAGTCTCTTCGAGCAATGCCAGGTTGGTCGTGATCACATCGCCCTGCAACACATTGTCTATTACTACAGGGATCAATCCACTGGTGGCAATCGATTTGAGACATGACTTTTGATCGATACGTGGCCACAACACATACTTGGCGGTTGGTGGACAGAAGTTGTTCTTTAGCGTCATCAATGAGAGTGCGATTGACATGCCCGTGGCCATAGGCAGCACCAGACAATGATCGACCTTCTCAATGCCCGCGATGGACATGGCATCCAACACAAAGTATGTTGTGAGCTTTTGTATGAGTGATGAGCCAGCAGCCTTGGGCTGTTGTTCATTGATATCACCACTGCGTCCAATACCATGTGCAAAGCCAAAGTGACGTCTTGACACAATATCAGAGTAGAGTCGGCCTTCTCTCTCACCAACGCCAGCATTCTCAATAAAGTTGTTTGAATCCATCATTGCCAATTGAGCCAAGAACCATTCAATCGTCTTATCATCCCATCCTTTCTCTGGAAGTCTTCTCTACACATAATGTATTGTACTAAGTCAGTTCAGTTGATTGAATGCAATTGTGTTGTGATCATGATCAAAGGGACAGGTTAATGTACCTGTGACAATATCTGGGTCACTAAAGAGTTGAACTGAGCGATGGCTTGTGAAGCCTGGTCTACATAAGTCTTCTTGATCAACTCTTTGGTCAACTCTATGTTCTTTGGATTCATTGTGTTGTGTTAGGGTTGAGGGTTGAGGGTTGAGGGTAAAGGTTTGTATAACAAGGGGAGGGGGGTTTGAACAAAGAATAATGACACTCAATGACTCATTTCCAAACAATGATTGTGTGTCATTTCGAATGACTTGTGTCATAAAGAACACGACAAATTATTTAATATCTAAACTAATTAGCTAACAAAGAAGAAGACATATAGAAGAAAAGAGATAGATATGTCTAACAATCAATCAATACATAACATTATAAATGGAATGCCCATACCTGCAAACTTGGTGACAGAGGCAGATGGTCATGATGTGGACATTGAACGAATCAAGTTTATATTGAAGCAGTATGTTGTTGTTGTTTGTTGTAAACAGCAGTGGGGTAGTGCATAGTCTTGCAAGGCATACTGACACGTCAGACGCGCATTAAAGTACACCTACACCACCTGTATCAGATTATATGTTTCAAGAGATAACAGAAGAGGTCATAATAACAAAGAGGAATAAGGAAAGAATAGGTGATTGTACAATCTGTGTAACAGAGTTCCCTTTAGATACTGAAGCAATTAAGTTACCATGTAAACATTATTATCATTTCGGTATGTTTATGGTTATGTTGTTCGTGAATGATGAATGAACATGATGACTGACAACATCAACATATTGACAATGAACATGATGGCAACAATAGATTGTATAACTGAATGGCTAAAGATGCACTCATCTTGTCCAAACTGTAGAACACAACTACCAACAAACAATAGTGAATATGATTCAATGAGAAGGATTGTGGACGAATACGAGCAGCGACAAAAGAGAGAAGATGACGACCAGGACCGATCTACAAAGCGATCGACCTCATCGACAAGTAGCAGCATGTTCTCCTAATCATCAATCGATTGAACAACATCAACTTTGGTGTGTTATAAATGTAAATTGGTACAATATTAAAATATATTATATATAACTCTGGGTAACAGGTATTCATGGATACAACTATAAATTCAGAGTTGGGTCATGGAATTGTCAATAAATATCAATCAAGTAAAGATAAATATTAAAGATTTATTAATTAAATATGAAGATAATTATTTTATTATTAATAGTATTGTTGGCATCCACTACATTATTAATAAGTGCTCAAGAACAGTATGTTTATTTAATTATTCCCAACATGAATTGATTTATTAAGATCTAACTAATTGTTTCTTTTGATTGCTTCGGACAGGGCTGGAATTAGACCATCAGTTAAACCAAAATTTTAATTAAATTAATTCTTTAGCTATCAAACTCTATTTCTCATTAAATTCAAGAATAGCAAACTTACTACATCCTCAAATAAATAACTGGAATGTTTATGAAGTGAATGGGCGACAATGATATAGTTTATTTCGAATCGTGATCCAGTCAGTCTGGATGACTGGATATGATGATGGACAGCACCTCTGTTTGTGAAGAATCGTCTCTGCTAAGGTTGGTTAGGGGGTTTTATATATATATATATAATAGTGTATCAGGAGATTGAATGTAATGGAATGGATGATGTGCTGGGATGGGTGATTGAATTATATCAACAAGCTGGTGATAGTTAACTGCTGACCTCCGGATGTTGGTGGCGCGGGGTTGGAGGCCGAAGAGGCGGTGGCCGCCGCAGCCGGGTTGGATGTGGTCGTGGTTGATGTTGACGGCTCACTGCTGCTGCTTTGTCCGTTCAGCAGGGCTGATGCTGAGGGTGGAGTAGTAGTGTCGCTTAAACTATGTACATTGGACTTGGTCGTAGTAGTCGCTAAAGTGGGTTGATGCTGTTGCTCCATTGTCGATGTTGTTGTCGTAGATGATTTTGTTGACTCCTTGTCTCCACTACCGTGGCCGCCACTGCTCGCTCCAGTGGCTGGTGTTGGAAGAGCCTGCATTTGAGTTCCATCCGATTGGCTTGGTGCGTCGGCGGGTGGACTGGATGGCGGTGTGGGCGCCTGCTTGATGCTCTCCAGATAGTCTCTGGCGATGTTGTTGTAAATTGTGATGTTCTCAATATCTCCTTGCTTGTTTGGATCTCTGATCGTGCTGTTTGCCACGCCATTGTAGATCTTCTTGACGAGGCCAAAGTCGCCAGCGCCCACCTGCGAATAGAGTATCTCGTTGTTGGAGTCCTCGACCAGTGCCTTCAAATGTGCGTTCACACATCGCTGAAGTGAGTTGCTGCGCTCGATGCCATAGCCACCCTCCAGCACAGAGATGATGCGACCTCTGGCGTACTTGGCCGCCACGGCCTTGATCATCTTGGTGACTGTGTAGTAGTCCTCCTCGGTGAGCTTGAGAGCGTTGGTTGGGTCGTCCTTGTGGCCGTCAAAGCCGGCGCTAAGGAAGATCAGCTGGGGCTTGTAGGCCTCAAGACGGGGGATGATCTTCTTGGTCCACGCCTGGATGAATGCGGACGATGAGGCAAAGCGCTTCAAGCCGATGTTGAGCACGTTGCTATCGTAGGTGCCATCTTCGCGTGGCGTGTCGCCCTGGTCACGTCCAGTGCCTGGGTAGAAGTAGCGCTTCTCGTCGATCACATGAATCGACACAAAGAGGAAGTTGTCGTCGCCACTCAGGATCTCTTGTGTGCCGTTGCCGTGATGTACGTCAAAGTCGACGACGGCAATTCTTGAGTAGCCGGCAGTCAGCGAGGCGTACTTGGCGCCAATGGCCACGTTGTTGATCAGACAGTAGCCTTGGGAGGGGGCGTCACTCGTGCGGCCAAAGCGGCCGGCGTGATGGCCGGGTGGACGGATGGCGCAGAATGTGCGGTGGTAGCCGAGCTTGGTGACAGCGTCGACGGCAGCGCACACTGAGCCGGCAGCGCGCAAAGCCGCCTTCATCGAACGGTTGCTGACGAATGTGTCGTAGAGCGTCTCGTCGTCGCTCCTCTGTGTGCGCATGACCATAGCGCCGCTGTTGTCAGACTCAAGGTGAGTCTCGTAGTCGCTGTTCTCGGGCGGAAGCTGAGTCTCGAGCTTCTTGATGTAGTGGGCGTCGTGAACGGCCATCACATAGCGCAGGTCGACCTCGGCTGGGGTGTTGAACACCTCGACGATGCCGGGGTACTTGCTGGAGAACTCGTTGATGATGCCGATGGCAATGCGGATTCGGTCTGGCTTCTCCAGATGGAAGTTGGGCACATTGTGCTCCATGCATGCTGTGTGATAGATGCACAGCGTCTTGAATGGGTTGAGGAAGGATATGGACTCGTCGTCCTTGTTGACTGTGACGACAGTCTCGCTGCCATCGTCCTCTGTGATCTGCTCGCGAATGGTGGCGGGGCGCAGGCTGTAGGCCAGTGGGATGTCGTTGCGCGTCAAGTCCATGCGCTGGTTGATCTGGGTCAGTCGCTCGCTGATGGCCTTCTCGCACGAGCCTATCTCGGTGCCGTAGAAGTACTCGTGGCCCCAGTACACGCCCTCGATAAGATTGATCAGCGCGTTGAGTGCGCCAATCTCGTTCTCCAGGGTGACCTGCTTGACGCGGATGTCGGTCTCGCGCTCCGAGATCGTGTTCTTGGAGAGCAGCGTCTCGATCTTGAGGTCGCTGCAACGCTTGGTGAGCGAGTCGCGGATGGCCTCGAGGTTGGAGATGGAGGTGCGCACGGTGGTCAGCTGGCCAACCAACTCCTCCTCGTGGGTCTTGAGCTGGCGATGGTCGACCATCGTCTTCTTCATCTGGTCCTCCAGCTGCGCCAGCTCGTTGTTGATGCGCTGCTCGTTGACCTTGTCGTGTTGCACGTCCTTCTCAAAGTTCTTGTGGATCTCCTCGATGGTCTTTTGCGCGTTGTCTATGGAGATGACGAGGACGTTGCGGGCCGATGTGCACTCCTTCTCGATCATGTTGGACAGCTGGTGGTGCTCATAGACACGCGATATGGCGCGCTCCAGTGGCTGGTTGCGCGTGATGTTGTTGGACGACTTGATCTTGTCGTCGTCCAGCGCCTTCATCTCCTGTTGCATCGAGAGGATCGTCTGGGATGACTCGAGGTTGCGCTTGAAGAGCAGCGCCAGCTCCTCAATTGAGCGCCACACCATAGTGTACTCGTTGGACCAGCGGATCATACGCAGGCTGTTCATTGTGCTGACCAGCGTCTTGAACTGCGCCAGCATCTCGGCTGAGGGATTCTCGAGCAGGTTGTTGAAGAACTTGATCGAGTTGAACGATTGATCGATGAAGAAGTCGACCGGTGTGATGGGCTTGCGCTCGGGCGACATGATCGAGTGATACTGGACGGCGCTTGGCGATGCGTCCGAGGCGGGTGAGCCTGGCGCCGAGATCAACTCCTCGCCCTCCAGCGTCCTCTTCTTGCCACGTACCTCTGGCGTGGAAGATGACTTCTTCTTTCTCTTGCCTGGACCAAAGGCGTCCTCGCCCTGCTGTGATTGCTGCTGTGTGCCTTGGAGCTGCAGTTGCTGCTGCTGAAGCTGCGACTGAAGGTTGGGCGTGACCGGCGTCAGATTGGGCGTGGCCGTGGTCGACGAGGTCTTTGGGGTGCGCACCTTGCGCGGTTGTTGCTGGTAGGAGCTTGGATGGACCATCTCGCGGACCCATCTCGTTCTCTCACGCTCCTTGCCTCTGACCTTGATGGCGTTGCACACCCAGCACTGCCACTTGTCGTCTACCGGTTTGTTATCGTACTTGGCCATCACAAAGTCGATGCATGGCTCGCAGAAGCCAAAGGCGCACTCCTCATTCGCGCAATGAGTCAATCTCTTTGTAGACTCTCCACAGATACCACAAACAGTATCCTTATTTCCCTTCTCCTCGACCCAGAACTAAATGGAGTGTTGATGATCATAATGTTAGTCGCGTGTTGTGGAATGATTCCTTGTGATCACGTTTGAACTTACACCTTTGCCAAGCATCTCGTGAAGTCTGGACTCGGACTTGATGGCATGGGTCTTGCATGTTGGCACGAGACTAGGTCGCAGCAGCTTGAGTGAACGGTCTGCCTTGGTACAGGTGCCGTACCAGCATGGACGGATGTCCAGGGCGTTGGGCTGCGACTTTTTGGTCTTGCTGCCCTTGCCCTTCTTGTCGCCATCGCCAGCTTGCTCGCCGCCACTCTCATCGTCGGCTGGCTGCGCGGCCTTCTTGGGCGGACGACCTGGCTTCCTTGCCTGTGGCGTGGACGATGACGTGTCCATTGGTGTGGCGCTGCTGGTGTTGTTGGTATCCTCTCCATCGTTATATTTCTTTGGCTTCTTGGACAGTCTCTTGGACTGTGGTGACTCGATGTCTGCCGTCGTCTGATCGGTCGTTGTATTCGTACTTGTTGTTGTTGTGCTCGTAGTGCTAGTAGTTGGTGCATCACCATCTTGTTGTGCGGCCGTCAAGTCATCCACACTATCATCTTGTTCTGGGTTCTCGGTATCATTCTTCTTCTTCATATTTCTAAGTCTTCTCTGCTGTGTATGTGTACATTGTTAGTCATGGTCATGGGCATGGCATAGGCATGGTTATGGTCGACGCGCGATACATACAGCTCCTCTCTTTGATAGAGGGTTGAACTCTGATGCGGTCATCTCTGTGTCACCACCAGCTTTGGCGTCGTCGTCCATTGGGTCCGAGTCTGGATCGGACATGGCATCACCGGTGCCTGACTCGCTCAGCTCGACAGCAGTCATACCTCTACGATTACGTTTGTTTGGATTGTTGGAGAATGGTGTGAAACTATTGTTGTTGCCTTGTTGTAATGTGTTTGGTGATGCTTCGTCAGAGAGCATGCGGGCAATGTTGATTGGTGTCATGTCATCGATGCTACTGTCCATTGACACGCTGGAGATTGGTGTCAAGTCACCTGGTGTTGCTGTGCCAGGTGTTGGTGTAGCATTGTTTGGCGTCGAAGGGTTTGGTGTTGACACCTCACCAGGCTTCATCCTTCTGACAAACTTTATAGTCGTCTTTGGCTTTGGCGTTGTTTCCATTGATTGATGGATAACCTACGCTATATCTATATATATGTGTTTGGTTTATATGTATATGTATGTATATATATTTATGAAGTACTGGATGTAATGTAATGTTAGTTAAGATCAATCAATGAATGAGTTGATGTATATGTTTGATGTTGTAATAATGGATACACCAATTAGTTGTAGTTGTAGTTGTAAAGGAATGGAATGAAGACGATGAAACCGGAAAAGCTTGGACATCCAGTTGAATGAGAGTGAAGGAATAAGCAGCGCCAAACCAAACCAAACATTCGCTTGTGTCACGAGAATTATTGGACGACGAGTCACGCATCCAGGTTGTGTTTGTTGGAACGCGGGTGGTGGCAAGCTTCCTTCCCTCTCTTCCAACGACCAACCAACCCCCACCAACAAACAGAAAAATAAAAATAATGGACGGCAAAGGTGGACTGGAAGGAAGTTCCTTTTGAAGGGTGGTGTGTTTTGTGGGGTTGACGTGGTCCAGCTGAAGCGCAGAGATGATTACGCTCAGGCTATGTGTCACATGACAGCCATGCTTGTAAAGCATGTGCACATGATACGATCATGTTGACTGACAGACTGTGCAATATCACATTGATGCATGCATGCCATAGCCACCATCACAGTGACCATGCCAGTCAATCAGTGAATGAGTGACCTTGTCCAAGATGTTAACATGACTCGGTGGGATTGTATGATTGGGCAAGACATGGAAGTTGAAGGTCAATGGTGATCACATGACCAACCGAGTATGTCCATTGCCGACATCATGTTCATGTGATTGTTACATCATATGAATGAATGAATGGATGAATGAATGATTGAACGAACAAAAGAGTGAATGAGCGAATGAGCGAATGTGAAAGATGGCTGGACATCAACAACATGGTGGATGTTGGAGTATGTTGATACCAAAGCCATGATAGGGAAGTGTGGTATGGTATGTATGGCAGTGGCAACAACAATGGATTGACAATAGTATATGTTGGAACAAGGAATGTGTACATGACATTGTGGAACAAGTGAATGATGAATGAATGAATGACGACACAAAGTACACACACACCCAATGTGATGACATACCAAGTCATACTAGTATACAATGACGTGGATATGGATGTGGATGTGGATGATATACCAACCTATAATGCTTACTACTACTTGGAGACTACTACTCAGTTAGATAGATAGATAGATAATGATTATGTTCTTGTAGAGATAAGTTATCCAGGTTGGGTAATGTGGGTGGTTATTGAATGAGTTGTGTGAATGGAAGCGAGTGGGCTTGTTTTCTTTTTTCATCTCACTCCTAGCTTGTTGTTTGATGTGCATGGAGAGAGTGAGATGAGGATGGTAGGTCACTGGTCAGTCAGTCACATGTTGACTCAATGTCTTCCAATATATCATCCATCCATCCATCCATGATCTTTGGACATTACAACATAATATAAATATATTAATTTATTATTTGGAGTCGTCGACTTCGACGACAACTGAGGGTACCTGATCTGATGATAGGTTGGAGTATTGGTTGGGTATGGCATCCATCATGATCTCATTGCTGGATGCTATTGATGAGGAGACCGATGCATCGTCAACGTCAACGTCAAGACTGACATTCGATACGTCAGCTGTTTGCGTTGCAGCCTGTTCACGTTTGTTACGGAAGTATGATGCTACTGTGACCATTCCACAACCGGCCACTACAATGGGTCCTCCAATATATGTGAATATGCCTGGTATCTCTCCCTCGCCAACGAAATAGCCCATCACTGTGCCAATTGGTGGTTCGAGTAGTAGTGTCACTGATATCTGTTGTGTAGTTGTTGGGAGGGAATGTGTCAGTCACCAATTGATTAGTTTGATTGATTGAATGGGATGGGATGGTCCATATTCATCCATCCATCCATCCATCTGTGGATGGTGATACTTACAACTACAGGTTCAACATATTTGATAATGGCATTCACTCCAGTGTGACCAACTATTCCTGGGACTACATTAATTGAATGATTGTTAATATATGGGATGATTCCAATCCATGTCACACAACAACTTACAGAATGCAACATATAGTGCAAGCCAGACAAATGCTGGACTTGCCCATCCGAATACTCCAAAGTTCTGTCCTTCCTATATTAGTGAATGAACGTGTATATAACATTAGTGGGATAGTTCCAGAGATATACGATCAAGATATATGATCAATCATACCTTGGCAACTGGCATTGTCTCAAAGATTAGAGAACTAAATGTTAATACTAGTGACGCAATGAATGTCACTGGGAATGCATATAAGTACAAGGACATCCATGTCCTCAGATTAGATCCAGCGAATAAATAAAAGACGATGCATACTGCAGCCATCAGTGCGAGGAAGTCACCATATACTGTTGGCTAACAATGATTGAATGAATGAGTGAGTGAGTGAATGGAATGCATGTCCGGGGATGATGATACATACTCGGATACCATTGACAGGTCCAGACGTAAGGAAGAGTGAATCAAACATTGTGATGACGAGGCCAATGAATCCTATGAGACAGCCAAAGATCTCACCTTTGGAGATTGGCTTGCGCATTACAACCATGACAATGACGATCATGATTGGGTTGGACGTGACAAAGAGTAGACTGTGTGAGAGTGATGTCTTGTTGAGACTGCTGATCCACATGCCAAAGTGACCGGCCAGCACACAGCCAGTGCCCGTGAGGATGACCCACGTCTTCCACGAGAGGAATCGCGCGCGACATTCGGACTGCTCGGTGCGACGTTCATCAATCGATGCAAACTTGGTCTGGCGCACGTTGATCAGCACCGTCTGCCAGGAGATGGGCAGCGACGACACGAGTCCAGCGGGCAGCACGCCGACAAAGGACTTTGCCAAGTGTATTTCAAACAGGGGGTAGAGTGTGTGCAGGTCGACGAGGAAGCCAATCAAGAGCATGATCGATGTCACCTGAAGACGCCAGCTTGCCTTGCGCAATGGTGGCACGTCCATCTTTTTCAATGCGGGTCCACTAGATGACATGGCCAGTAGTGCGGCCACCAATATCACATAGCACCATAATGGTACTTTCTTCTTGCCTCCCTGTTGTTGTTGTTGCTGTGTTTGTTTCTGTTCCTGTTGTAGGTTGGTGTCGTCTCTGAACTGTATATCCTCGAGTATTAGTGCACTTTCATCGGGATGTGCACCTACTCCATCAATGTCGGCTATTGTTGGTGAGGTCAACAATGGACGGTCCAACTCTATATCTTGTTCTCCGCCATTGCCACCACCGACACCATTGTGGTTTGTAATGATAGTTCCAGTCTCTGTTGTCCTCGACCTATCATCTTCATCACTCGAATCATTGAGCAACTGGAAGTTGGAAGACATGATTGGACTTGTATGTCTGTATGTCTGTGTGTGATTGTGATTGTGATTGATTGATTGATTGATTGAATTGAGTGTGTCTTTGCAACAAGCTATGCAACCGTTGTACCCTTACAACAACAATGTTTGCTGTGCACGCCTCCCAGTCCTTGTTATCAATCCACTCTGAGGAGTCGTTTATTTAATCAAAAAAATCGGGTGCAAGGCCAGGGCCTCACCCCTCGTCACGACCGATCGTTGGAATGTCCGGGTTTGGGTACCAAATTTTTCGAAGTGATGTTGCTATCGCTACACCATAGGTTGTTGATGTTGTTCCGAACCCAATTCTGACTCAATGCGTTGTTGTTGGATGCCATGGCACTGACACATATCTCTCATTCATTCAATCGATCAATCATTCAACTTAAGTTGACCTTTGATGAATATGATGTACTCTGGTAGACACTTGCCTGCTTGCTGGACGTGTGTGAGGACTTTATCACAACGTTCAGGATGTTGTCGGTGTAGTAGTTTGATGATTGATAGGTTGCCACGTGATGCCGCTCTGGATATTGCTAGATCAGTCCAGGACGCTTCCTCCAAGACTCGATTGTCCAGGAGGAACTTTACAATTGGTGTGTGTCCATTGAGTGCTGCCGTATCAATGGCACTGGCGGTGCAGCCCTCTGTTCGATTGTAATGTAAGAACTGAACGACGTCCAAGAATCCATTGCCTGCTGCCAGGTCCATGGCTTCGGTCGTGCAGCCCTCGGTACGATTGTAATGCAAGAACTGAACGATTGGAAGGCTGCCTATCGATGCAGCCATGTTCATCGCAGCCTCGGAGCAGCCCTCTGTTCGAATGCTATGAAGGTACTGGACTACGTCCAAATGGCCATCCTCGCAGGCATAGTCCATGGCAGCCATGGTGCAGCCTTCAGTGCGGTGGTCATTGAGATACTTGGCAACGGAGAGGTGGCCACACAGAGCAGCCCTGTCCATGGCCTCGGTCGTGCAACCCTCAGTACGGTGCTCGTCAAGATACTGAACGACAGAGAGGTGGCCACACAGGGCGGCTTTGTCCATGGCCTCGATCGAGCAGCCCTCTGTGCGGTGCTCGTTAAGATATATCACTATTTCGAGATGGCCGTTCTCAGCTGCCATGTCCATCGCGCGTATTGTGCATCCCTCAGTGCGATGCTCATGAAGGTACTGAACGACCTCGAGATGGCCATTCTCCGCAGCCATGTTCATCGCGCGGTATGAGCATCCCTCAGTTCGATTCTCATGAAGATACTTTAACATCAACAAATGGCCATTACTCGCGGCATAGTCCATCGCATTGATAGTGCAGCCAACCTTGTCCATGTGCCGGTCCAGATGTAGAACAATGTTATAGTGGCCATTTCCTGCTGCGTCGTCTATCGCATTGGTCGTGCACTTTGCACCGCAATGGGATTGCAGGTAATCAATAATTGAGAGGTGCCCTTGTTGTGCTGCATGGTCCATGGCATCGGTGGTGCATTCGGCATTGCAGTGTTCTCTCAGATATTGAATGATTGAGAGGTGGCCATTACCAGCGGCGCAATCCATTGCCTTGGTCGTGAAGCCCTCAGTGCGGTGCTCATTGAGAAACTTGACGACATCCAGGTGTCCGTTGCCAGCGGCTTTATTCATCGCCCTCACGGTGCAGCCCTCGGTTCGATGTTGGTGAAGGAACTGGACGGTGGGCAGATCCCCACGTGCCGCTGCCTCTGACAATGCAATGATTTTACAGCCCTCGGTGCGATGTTGATGAAGGAACTCCACGAGGGGCAATGATGCAGCATAGTTCATGGCAAGCTTAGTGGCCGATGATCCATTTTGATGTAGATATGTGACCATGTCCAATCTATTAATTCTTGACATTATATCAATGATAGGCATTGCTCTAAATACATCAGGATACATCGTTAAAAGGTATTTGAGTACATATTGATGAGCATGGAAGTTGGCAAATGATGTAGAGTCTATGAATGCTCGATTATGTAATGCAACTAATAATGGTCCACTATTGTTATTATAATAAATGCAGACCTTTAACAACCATTTAGCAACTACATCATCCCATTTTAATGCTTGTATTGTAACATTGCTGTTTGTCTTTATAGTTGTCTTTGTCTCTGTTGGTCGTTTGTTCAAGTCTGTTACACATTTGAACAAATAATGTGACAACCATCTATCATTGAATACTTGTTTGAATAAACAATCATTCATCTATATCTCTTTATCTCTATCTCGATACTCGATTTCTGAACTTGAACTTCTTATTATATCATTTATCATGATACTTTGAAATGGATTCTTGGATGATGTAGGTCAGGAATGATGCTTGAGTGGTCCTTCTGAAACAAAAGCACTCAGACTGCTAGGAATGTAGTATCTGCTCGACTCAAAAACACAACTCATCTCTGGGGTGTCCACCATTCATTCCCCCACCCGGGTCAAGCAACAACAACAGTTCATTCACAATCCACGTGTTCATTCTCACTCATTCATTCATTTCAAACAAGATACAAAGATAGACAGATAGATAGATAGTACTAATACTAATACTAATTATTATTATTATTTATATCTCTAAATCATAAACATCATTATTAATATTATATTTATTATAAAGGTGTATTAATAAGAATAGCGCTATTCCAGGTTGTTGTTAATACCAAAAGATCAGTCAGACAGACACACTCACATAACATAAAGACATAGATAAATATGACTATATTATATGCTTCAGTTGGATATAAAGGAAGCGTACTAGTTGAATACGCTGTTGATAATGGAAACTTTGTAGAGACTGCTAGAACGTATGAATCAATCAAACTAAAAGACAAGTAGAAGTGAATGATTGAACGAATGAATGAATACTAACAATGATGATCACACTTACTTAGACTGCTTACAAAGATACCACCATATGCAAAGAAGGTAGGTAGTACCTTTGATTGATTGATTGATTGATTGATCGATCGAATGATGATTGACACGATAACTTTTTACTTACTTACTGACACGACTCATCGGCAAAATTTATAGAGTTACTCAGTGAATGGACATAACTTCCACTACATATCAGAGAATGAACTGGTGTTCCTGTGCTTCTGTCATGAGAAGCTTGGATTCTCCACACCATTCGACTTCCTAATGGACGTGCAGTCTCGATTCATTGCCGCCTACGGACATAACCTACCATTCAACGCACCACCAGCAACCTATGATCCATTTGGAAGAGTTCTAGAGGATAGGATGGTATGTGTTTCCAATCCCAATCATTCAATCACAATCCAATCACATCAACCTAACCTCCATCCAATCAATCATTCAATCAAAAGAAATATTACTCGAATCCACAATCAAACAAGATAAACATGATCAAGGAACAGGTGTCAGTGGTGAAGGATGAGTTGTCCACAACATTGGAGAAGACATTGAACAGAGGAGAGAAGATTGAGATCATTGTAGATAAGACAGAGAAGTTACAGGCAGAGTCCTTCCATTTCAAATCAAACTCCACTCAGCTCAAGAGGAAGCTATGGTGGGAGAACAAGAAGATGTTGCTCATCATCCTCGTCGTTGTATTTGTAAGTTTGGCGAGTCATTATAATGGTGGATTATGGATGAAGTACTGACATCGACCAACCATCATATTATAGATCATATTAGCACTGATTACCATTGGTATCCTCAAGTTTGTTCACGTTATTTAAATGTCATAGTAAAAGATGTCATTGATATCCCCTCTACCTTCGTCGCCTCTCTCTTGGCATCAGTCAACTCATTCATTCATATCATTGATCAACATGGACACAGCACAGGTAACTAACCAAAGGATGAATGGTTTAATAAGATATTGTTGTTATGTTTAGAAGAGTACAAAGGTTTGGTTGGTAGGTAGGTAGCAGGGACGACAGCATCAATGAATGCCAACGTGATTGATTGAATGATTGAATGATTGATCGAACGATTGAATGAATGATTTGGCTACTCAGTATTTTCCATCCATGTGTCCATAGACATGCGCCTCGATCTCGTTCATAGGGAACTTCTTTGTACAGAATGGACAATCGGCAGTGGTAGTAGCACTGTTTCCAGAAGAAGCGGCGGCAGCTTGTTTGTTCTGTGCTGTCTGTGGCTGAGCTGGCGAGGGTGATTGGGCGGGAGGTGGCTGAGCAGCAGAGACAATTGGAGGATAGAATCCATATGCGTTGCCTGGGGCGGCGACGACGCCTGGTGTGTACTTGGGTGGCGCTGCGGCGGTGGTGGGCACGGCAGGTGGCTGGTACATCTGCTGCTGCTGCAACATCTTTTGTTGGAAGCTGAGTGGAGCTGTCGAGTTGGCGTCTTTACCACCGGCTGTGCCAGCGGTGGCTGGAAGTGCGATGGTGCCATGTGGAGGATATGGTAGAGTCGACTTCATCGTGTACATTGGAGTGGCGTCTGGCATGGGGATGGCAGGTGGCATGTTTGGCTGAGCGATCAGCACGGCGCCAGGGAACTGTTGCTGGATCTGTTGTTGAGGGGTCATTGGTTGCAACCAAGGTGGTGGCTGAGACGCTGCTGTGCTCTGATGTGTCTTAATCTGTTCACACTTCTGATCGAGATCCTTTATCTGTTGTTCCATTGCGATCACCTTCTCGTTGGTCTTGTTAACAACGTCCATCACCAGCTCAAACTTTGATTCCTGTTTGTGTCATCGCGATGTTAGTAGTTGCCGGGCTTGACCATTGGGCACATGTACAAGACACATACCATTGTCTTCATTATTTGAGCCAACAGATCATTAATAGACTGCTGCTGTGAGGCCTGTTGTTGTTGCTGTTGTTGCTTCATCTGTAGAGTCTGCATGAAGCTGGGTGCCTGAGGTTGAGCTTGGGGTTGGGCTTGTGGCTGTTGCTGTGGCTGTGGTGGTTGCTGCTGCACCTGGGTAGGTGGCATGTATTGAGGTGAAGAATGTTGTTGTTGATCCAAAACAGGTGAGGCTACACTTGCTGGTGGGGATGATGTTGTTGTTGCTGCTGTTGGTACATTATTGGAAGGCAACAGATAGTCGACATTGGATATTGATGATTTAATATTGTGTGATATGACTGGTGACACTGCTGGTGGTGACGGTGCCTTGATTGAGGAGGCATGGTAAGTTGTTGGAGCATGTATTCCACTGTTGTTGTATAGGTTGCTATTATTATTATTATTGGTGTTATTTCTACTATTGTTATTTACAAGTGAATCGAAATCAATATTCTGTTGTTGTTGTAGTTGTTGTTGATTGAGTTGAGTTGCAGAGACATGTTCAAATGTGAATCCTACATCATCATCACCTCCTTGTTGCTGTTGTTGTTGTGGCTGAGGTGGCTGATGTGACTGCTGTTGTGGCTGCTGTGAATAATGTGGAGGATACATTCTTTTTTTGGTATTATTATTATGACTTATCTATATGTATGTATAAATATATTTGATTGATTGATTGATTGAATGAATGATTGAATGAATAAGTGAAGTGAAGTGAGAGCTAGAGAGATGATTGATTGATTGAATGATTGAATTATTGAGTGTGTTCCACCAACCAACACACTTCACTTTCAATCTTCATTATTACTCCCTCATCTCCACCACCAACACCAATTTCACTCACTTTCAACACACTAAAGCCTGGGTTTAGTGCATTCCTCGATTCACGGGACTAGTGCATTGTGTTGCGCTGGACATCATCATAGCTCTTCCCTCAAGGAGAAGACAAGTCGTGTCATATCAAGAGAGATAGTTTGATAGTTTGATGACTCATAGTTGCGACCTCAGAGACACTCTTTATTTACAAAGCAAGGACTTAACTCTTGTTGTTATTGTTATTGTTGTTGTAGTTGTTGCTGATAGTCTGCTTGATCTCTAAATGTAATGAATGACATTGGTTGTTAGGATGGTAAGATCATGATAATGAAGATGCAGTGATTAAGGTTACATACTTTCGAAAATGATTCGATATTGCTTGGTCGCTTCAGAGTCTGGATAGGTGGTCAGGTAACTCTTGCCTTCGTCGCATGATCTGGCAATGAGTGGATCAATTGGTATTCTTCCAAGGAATGGAACATTCATCTCTCTTGCCATCACCTCTGCGCCACCACTTGTTGGTATGAATATCTGTGATTCTTTCTGTTCATAGTTGAGTTGAATGCGTGAGTAAGTACCATTGATCGAATATATGAATGAATGAATGAATGAACTTACAGTGCACTTGGGACAGACAAAGCCAGACATGTTCTCAACGACACCGATGATGTTGACACCAACCTTCTTGCAGAAGTTGATCTCCTTTCTTACATCGATGAGTGAGACGTCTTGAGGTGAGGTGATGATGACTGCTCCATCAATGTTGGAAGTCTTGAGGTATTGTACGATGGAGAGATGCTCGTCTGAGGTGCCAGGCGGTGTGTCCACAACCAGGTAGTCAAGCTCGCCCCAGAACACATCCTTCAAGAACTGTTTGATCAGACCATTCTTCTTTGGTCCACGCCAGATGACTGCCTCCTCCTCGCTGTCCAGCAGGAAGCCCACGGACATGACGGCGAGGTTGTCCTCGACGTAGACTGGGTCCCAACCCTGGTTGCTTGTGTGTATCTGCTCGCCCTCGAGTCCCATGATCTTGGGTATGGATGGGCCGCATATGTCAATGTCGAGCAGGCCGACCTGCGTATCCTGTTGCGCAGCCAATGCAAAGCTGAGCTGCGATGAGAATGTGCTCTTGCCGACGCCACCCTTTCCCGAGAGTACCAACACCTTGTGCTTGACCGATGCCATCCTCTCCTCTATCGCGACAATGTCAGGGTCTGGACCCTTTGGGCCATCTGCACATATCTGTTGGTTTGGGCAACCCTTGCAAGCATCTGATTTGCCAGCTGATGCCGACTCTGTTCCTGGGCAATGTTCAGGAGGAGGTTGTACCAATTCCTTTGTTGTTCCACTCATTGTATCTCTATGTATTTGTATATGTGTAATTAGTTATCTGTATGAGTTTGAAGAAATGAGATAGCATAATGTGAAACTTCAAGATATATCAAATTCTCGAAGAATCTTCGAAACGATCATTCGGCCCCCAAAGGCCATCTTAACTTGAACGTTGTCAATCGACATCGACATGGACATAATAGTTTATTGCTTCTGTTGTATGGTCGTAATGAAGTGATTGATACCTTGTAGCTCAAAGGAGTCACCACGATCCCTTGATCGTATTATCTTTGCTCGAATGATGATTGTTAGGTAGATGGCGAGCGCTATGGCACAGCTGAATAGTACGACCCATGGCAGTATCTTTTGGGACAGGTGATGCTGAGCAACACCTATCAACCAAGGAATGGTGATCTCGCCAGCCGTCGCACCAATCACCATGTATGATGTTGCTTCGCCTGTGATTGGCATGTTCAAATTCGCCGGCAACGATATACACGTTGGGAAGATGCTTGCCAAACTGATGCCCAGTCCACCCGTGGCAATCCAAAGCATGGCCTTTGAGTGCGGCACTGCAATCAGCAATGATGAGAAGAAGAAACATCCAATCATATCTAGAATGATCATTTGCTATTTTGATTGATTGATTGAGTTAGTCAAAGGGCCATGCATGCCGCGAGGTCCTGGATGTTGTCCTTGGAACATACATTTGGAGTTAAATACAATGATATTACAACACCAGCAAGCCTGGCCAGTGTAAATGTCGTCCAGAATAATGAGTTGAGTAGGCCAGCGTTGAGGTCGTCCAGGTGAAGGTTTGTCTGTGCATAGGTGAAGATCCATCCTCCATATCCAGCCTCTGCACCAACGTAGACAAAGAGGAATAGTGCCACGGCAAAGATCACCTCTATTCTAAGTCGCTTCTCATTCTTTGTCAAGCTGTCTGTTACACTCTCGTCCTCCTTGTATGGAGGCACAGGCTTGACCAGCATCATGGGGATGAATGACAATGCCATGATAATAGCCAACACCACATACTTGTCAAACAATGATGAGCCTCCCATCATAGAGACGACGAATGGTGCAAGTAGTGCTCCAAGTCCAAATGTAACTAAAGTTATGTCAGGTCAGTTAGTCACGTGATCCGCGGGTCCATTTGGGCCGGTGATGACCTACAATGTAACAGCTGCATGAATGGATTGACAGCTTCCTTCCAGACCCAGACGATCATTGTGTTCAGACCCGAGTCAATTAAGCCAGATCCGATTCCATTGAAGAAGAATACAACGCCTGCTCCCCAAAGCTATATGTTGTGATCGATCATCGAGTGTCAGTCTATGATTGAATCATTGGATTGGACTGGATTTGATTGGACTCCAACAACTTACATTATGTATTAGAGGGATGACAATCAGAGTGACTGTCATGAGAAGTATGGCTGCTGCTATTACATGGTTGCCATTGTTTATCTTGTCATAGAACTAGAGATGGTAGAGTGGTGTGTCAGTCAATCAATCACTTGACAAGATCCAGGAGTCCTGGAGGAACAACATACTCTGCCAGAGAATGAGCCAATGAAGTAGCCTAGACCTCTTGTTGTGAAGAATAGACCAACGTTGGCTGTTGTAGTATATGTGTTGGCGGCCAGTGCGGGTAGGGTTGGTCCAAGACTTCCAGAGTTGATACCAAGTGAGATGAACACCGCCAGGTATGCCGCCGTCAGTTTGAGTTCCTTTGTATGTATCGATGCCTTGAATCTACAAAATGAGAGCAAGTCAGTCGTCAGCCAGCCATTGCCATCACACTCACTCACTCAAACATACTTTAGTGTTGCCGCAGTTGTTAAGATTCGCTCGTATATATTGTTTGGCGTTCTGAACTTGTAGGCCTCGTCGCTGACAAAGTCATCTTCATTCAGACTGCTACTACTCGAGTCTGATTGCTCGTCGTCCGCCTCATAGTATTGACCAATGTTGCTATCGGTATATTGGATCACTGTGTCATTGAAGTGAACATGTGCCTCTTCCTCTGTCTCCTCCGATGCCACTTTCTCTGTTGTTGTCACAGCAGCAGTCACAGCAGGTGATGTCTTCTTCTCCTTGATATGTATATTGTTGTTGTTGTCGATGTTGTGATCGTCATTGTCAATGCCATTACTTAGTAGTGGCTTGTATGATGGTGACTGACCACCATCGTCGTCATTGTGTCCATTATCAGCATCTATTGTTGTTAATATTGCATTGTTGTTGTGATTGTTCTTTAACAGTAGTGTACTCTGTTCGTTTGAATCTGTTGTGTAGTTGACGACGTCGTCTTTGATGCCATTATCCTCTTCATGCTGGTCGTCATTCAGAGGTCTATCGACCACCAGACGTTGATTTTCATTCATATCACTTGTCAACAATGTTGTGGTCGTCGTTGATTCATCATCATCAATACTACTATTACTATTGCTATTATCCATTCTCAACAACAGTTGAACATGTTACTATAACTATATATATTATATTATATATTTCGAGAATTCGTACGAATGATTCACCCAGAGATACACGAGTCGCTTCCAATAATGACTCGACAAACACATTCAAACACACACATTGTTTGGATCTTTGTTTTCGCCCCTCAATGTCCTTGGTTCACGTGTTGAACACAAGACAACATCTTAGTTGTTAGTTATATTAGTATTTGTTCAACATTACAACATTCAATTGATTGGTTGATTGGTTAGTTGGTTGACTGGGTTGATTGATCGATTGATTGAACGATTGGTTGAATGAGTCAGTGAGTAAATGTTCAATGTTTCTTGCTACAGAAGAGAACAGAAGAGAACAGAATAGTTACAATATTGGAGAAAGACCTTCCTTCTTGAATAACAACTACAATAACCACATGTACATAGTATTCTAGAGTGGATGTTTGAAGGGTCACTCTCATGTGACCCCCCTTTTCAGACAGCATGGCCCTGGACAAGTGAGTTGACTTCTACAACTTTATTTCGTCAATGTCCGGAGTTGTCGATGAAATAATATCTGATTGATGAGAGTCCATCGCGACCTCATCCATCCACTTTAATAGTTTAGTTTATAAATAGATTGAGACATTATAGTACCAAGTCAAGTCATAGTAATAATAATAATATTAATAATAATGGGTAGGTCAATAACAACAGAGATAACAATTAATAAGAATCCAGAGGATGTTTGGAGAGTGTTGATTGATGGTCAACAATATAATCAATGGAACCCATTCATGATCAATATGGAGGGTCTCAATGATCAGACCAAACCAGGTGATACGGTATCAGTGACGTTCAATAATAAGATGGTGATCAAACCTGTAGTGGCAGTAGTTGAACCCAATCATCAACTTAGATGGCGTGGCAAGCTATGGTTCACTGGACTATTCGATGGAGAGCACTTCTTCCAAGCCGTCAACAACAATGATGGCTCCACCAAGTTTGTCCATGGCGAGAACTTCTCTGGCATCCTCGTGCCACTCCTCGGATCGCTCATCACCAAGACCGAAGGAGACTTCAACAAGATGAACGAAGAGTTGAAGAAACGTGTAGAGGCACCCGCCGTCGACGTAGCTGCCGAGTAACTTGATTGTGAGTGATCCATCCATGGACGTCCACGCACAAGCATACTCCCCCACGACTGATCAACTGCTCAGCTGATCAGTGTTTTATTATAACACTCCAGTATCATCAATCTCCTTGCCAACGTGATGTCCTTTTGAGTAAAGTCTAGTGGCACACCTCTGGACACAAAATCGGCAAACTTGCACATAAACACTCCACAATCATAGCCATTGTTCTGCACGGGTGTATCCTTTGGCGTGTAATCCTTGAACTCTGACAACTTAACTGCGCCCAACTTTGACTTATCCTTCATCTCATCCTCGATATACTGTCTCAGTTTCTAAAGGGGGGTAGGGATGAGGATGGGATTAGTCCATGATCACTAACCAATCAACCAATCAATCAATCAATGTCACATACCTTCAAACATGCTGGATTGTCACCAGACAAAGAGTCATAGTATTCGAATCGTTTGTCGATAAAGTTGATGACTGCACAACACCAATGATTGCCAAGATGCACGGGGATCACTACCTTGTCCAGGGCAAAGATGTCAAACTTGTTGGTCCACTTCTTGACGCGCTGATAAGAGTATGTGCCATTGTTGTTGCACAGCATTTGATAGAAGAACGAGTTGAAGAAGTGACACTTGAGGTATTGGTTGGGGAGGGCGCCCTCCTGTCGCTTCTTGAGCACCTCCATGTAGAAGTTGATGATCTCGTCGTTGAGCCACTGGCCCGGCGCCAGCTTTCGCAGGTCGTATCTGGTGAGTGGCACCGAGTTCAACTCGGATAGTAGTTCGCGGTCTGCGCCCCTTGAGAGCATGGTGCGAATGAACTCGTCCTCCTCCTCGGTGACCTTGCGCAGCACTGGCTTCTTTGCCTTTTGCTCCTTTATCCTGCTCTCCAACTGTTTGATCAAGCTCCAGCTGTGTGTCTGGGAGATGGACTGCAGTTTAGCCAGCAGGGAGCTGATGTCCTCTGAGCGGGACTCCTGTCTCGATGCACTGAGCCGATCATGGAAGTTATCATTCTCATTGGCGTTGGTCTCGACGAATGAATCGACGTACTTGGGTCGGAGACTATATACATAATGTAGGTTGTTAGTTCAACTTGTGTGTCTGAAGAATGGGATAGTCCCTGTACTTACCTTGATATGAGACTTCTGGCCTTTGTAGATGCTGAGAGACTGTTGTTGTTGGTGGTGCTCAGTGTACCTTGATCATTGTTATAGAGTGAGAGTGATGATGATGATGATGGCTTGTAGGGCAATGAGGAAGAGGAGTCAAGGTCATCAATGTGTAATATTGACTTTTGATGTGATTCATCCTCTCTTGTGCGAGGGCCACCAGTTTGCTCAACATATGTTGATGACATGAGAGAGTGATTTGGTAGCATTGGCATTGTCGTGTATGTGTTTGTTGTTGTTGTCTTTGGCGGTGACATCAGACTGGATGATGGTCGAGATATTGATGTGGACAGACCATGACGTGTCGTTGTCATCGATTGATGATGAACAGGTGAATGTGTTGCCATCATGCTTAATGGTCTTGTGTCAACTGGATGATCCATGCCCATTGTCAATGATTGCTGTTGGTGCTGTTGTTGTTGATCAACAACATCGATCGAGAGACCATCTTGGGTCTGTTGTATAAGTTGTTGTATGTCCTCTCTTGTCTCTCTTATCTCTTGGTTGTGTCTCTATCAGTCGATCAATCATTCGTTAGTATATCATCAGGCATGCATCAGTCTCTCAATCATCTCTTACCAGTGAGTCCATAAAGGAAAGCTTTGACTTTGGTCTGTATGTGGATTGAGTAATATTGTTGTTGTTATTGTTGTTGTTTGATGCAGTAGTTGTAGTCGTTGTTGTTGAAGTTGAAGGTGAGATTGATGGTGATGCATCACCACTGCTTGCATCATCTGATTGATTGATTATGTGTTGTGTCTGTGGATCTTCTGCAGACGATGGGAATGATGACATCTGATCATCATCGTCATCACGACAAATGTCAGCATCTGAACGCTCCATATTACTGTTGTTGCTTGATAGAAGGTATTGATTGGCCGAGCTGGCGTCGTTGTTCATGCGCTCAAGTGCACTTTGATAAAGACTATTCTGTTGTTGTTGTTGCTCAAACTGATACTGCTGTTGTTGCTGCTGATATTGATGTTGTTGTTGATGATGCTGAGGCAACTGTGTCGTATGTGTTGTTGATGTGTATTGGAACTTCTTAAATGGATTGTCTTGTTTCTTGTACTTGTAGTTGTTTGTTGCTACTTGACGTCTGTTGTTGGTTCCAACGTTAAATGTTGCTGTTGTTGTGTTATTGCTATCACTTGATGATATTGAGTGATATCCTATTTGATTGTTGTTATTGCTGTTGTTGTTGTTGGAGGTTGACTGTGATGATGGTGATGATGATGAAGTTGATGACTGTGATGAGAAGACTGATGGAATAGACAACAGACTCTTACTCAGGTAGTTGCGAAGAGTATGTTTAGTCTGTGTTATGTACTCTGTTTGATTGTTTGTTTGTTAGCAATTGATTGATTGATCGATTGAATGAATGAATGACTGGATCACATACCTATTGGATTAGAGAAGAATGTTCTTTGGACTGGTTGATAGTAATACTTGTTACGCTTCCTCTTTGATGGATGCTCAGTGTTTGTGTTGTTGTTGTTGTTATCAGTGACACTGTTGATGATTGTACTATTGTTGTTATTGTTATTGTTGTTATTGTTGTTATTACTACTATCTATACTATTTATTGAACTACTCTTTCGTTTCAGTGTATTTGATTGTGTTGTTGTTGTAGATGTTGATGATGACGATGATGATGAAGAAGATGGTGTATTATTTGTTTCGAATAGATTGATGAATGACTCAAATGACTTTGATACTACTCTAGACATAGCTTCATGTGTGTATATATTTATATTTATAAGTTGAGTATCTGTTATCTATCTTGTATCTATTTTGGTTTGGGTTCAGATTGAACAACAATACTTCATTTTATCATTGATTTTGCGCCACTTTCGAAATTTTCACAAGATGTATCTCACTATTCGGGATTCGTCATCCAATTGATCAAACAACTCAATTCCAATAAATACAATCATATTTTATAATTTAAGTATTAGATACATTGTATTTATTTATTATTAAGACACTACCAAAGTAATTATCTCAATTGAGTGCTCAACTTCATTCATCACTTGTGATGTTTGAGCTATCAAATCAAAACTTGTTATTTATTTTGTTTTTTTCATTGTTTTTCGAATTGAACGAAACGAACGAAACATTTTTCACTTTGATGCATTTCAACTTATTATTACTCATTGTACTTGTTTAAGTGTTTATCTGTATCACATACATATAATATATATATATATATATGTAATCACATTCATTGTGACAACAAGAACAACATCAACAACATACAGATAAACAGAGATAGATAGATACACAGATAAACAGATAAACAAACAATGACAACAACTCTACCAAGTGAAGAACTTAGAAGATTGGTTGCACCACATATCGACTCGTTCGATTTCTTTACGGAGCAATCATTGGACTTGATCGTCAAGAACTTGCCACCAGTCTACTTTATAAAGGACGCAGAACACACATGGATGCTCAAGTTCAAGAATGTTAGAGTGAACCAGCCCACCAAGCAGGAGGGCCTGCCACTGTACCCCTTCGAGACGCGTCAGGCAGGCACTACATACAACGCCGCATTGGTCGGCACCGTGCAGCTCTACAAGGACCCCCTGTCGAACGAGGCCCACGAGTTCCCCGTCGAGCTGGGTCACATCCCAATCATCGTCAACTCACTGCGTTGCCATCTGCGCGGCCTCAACCCCGAGCAGCTGGTCGAGCGCCACGAGGAGGCTCTCGAGGTCGGCGGCTACTTCATCGTCAATGGCAATGAAAAGGTGATGCGTATGCTCGTCGCCACCAAGGGCAACCACCCGATCGCCCTCACGCGTATGGGCTGGACCAGCCGTGGCCCCGGCTACACCAAGTACGGTGTGACCATCCGTTGCGTGCGCTCCGACCGCTCGTCGATGACCAACAACCTGCACTACATCTCAGACGGCCAGATCACCTTCCGTTTCTACTTTGGCCGCCAGGAGTACTTCATCCCAGTGACGCTGCTGCTCAAGGCGCTGATCGAGACCACCGACAAGGAGATCTTCTCGCTGATCGTCCAGGGCAACACCGAGAACACCTTCCTCACCGATCGTGTCGAGCTTACACTGCGCGAGCAGAAGATCGCCGGACTCAACCATCAGAATGAGATATTGGACTACATTGGCGCACGTTATCGCGTCAAGAGCAGACTGCCCAACTTCTTCACCAACATCGATATCGCCAAGTACTTCATCGAGAACTACTTCCTCGTCCATCTTCCAAACTATCGTGACAAGTTTAACATGTTGATGTATGTATCGATCACGATCATTCAGTGCACTCAATCAATCAATCACTCACTAACTCACTCAATCAATCATACTCGTACAGTCTGATGATCCAGAAGTTGTACTCTGTCGTTCAGGGTAATCATGGTACAGACAGCATTGATGCCACTTCATTCCATGAGGTGTTGCTGCCAGGTCATCTGTTCGCCACTATTATGAGGGAGCGTCTGACAGAGTACTTGGAGATTGCTGGTTCACTCTTCAAGAAGCTACAGCTAGGCAAGAATGTCTCGGAGGAGAACTCTTTCAAGAAGGCCCTAGACCGATCGATAAACATTGGAGACAAGTTTAACTACTTCCTGGCCACCGGTAACCTGGTGTCAAGCACAGGACTTGATCTGCAGCAGGTATGTCCTGGTCATGGTCCTGGTCCTGGGATACGACTCATCCTAACCCAACCATACCCTACCCATCAATCAATCAATCATAACAGAGAACTGGATTTGCTATCATTGCTGATAAGCTTAACTACATTCGTTATATCTCTCATTTCAGATCTATTCACAGAGGAGCTTTCTTCGCCACGATGAAGACAACTAGCATTCGTAAGCTGATGCCAGAGTCATTTGGATTCCTGTGTCCAGTTCACACTCCTGATGGAGCACCATGTGGTCTATTGAACCATTTGTCAGCCAACTGTGTCGTAAGTCTCATCCACTCCTCCCGTTCAACTCGCGCACACAAACGTACTCATACATCAACCAAACCAAACAGATCACAAAGGACCCATTGCAAGATGATCAGACTGCTGCAGCTAACAAGCTGTTGGCACCATTCTTGGTAACACATGGAGTCACAAGTGTAGAGACTTCATCAACATTCATGGCCAACTCTATACCTGTGGTGTTCAATGGTAGAGTGCTGGGTCGCATTGAGAGTGGATTGGCACCAGAGTTGGTCACTCTGTTGAGATATCTCAAGTCTACGGGCGACGAGCCCGCCATCCCATTGTCCATGGAGGTGGCATACGTGCCAGTCGACACGGCCAAGGGTGGCCAGTACCCAGGCATCTACCTTTTCTCGACCGGTGCCAGATTCATGCGTACAGTCATCAACCTCAAGACTGGCAAGCGCGAGCTTATCGGACCACAGGAGCAGCTGTACATGGACATCTCAATTCTGCCCGAGGACGTGCGCGAGCACACCACTCATTGCGAGATCTCCCCAACGGCAATGCTCTCAGTCGAGGCCAACCTCACACCATTCTCTGACTACAACCAATCACCCAGAAACATGTATCAATGTCAGATGGCCAAGCAGACAATGGGTACACCACTGCACTCCTACAAGTACCGCGCTGATAACAAGCTCTACAAGATCCAGAACATCCAGCAGCCAATCGTGCGCACAGAGAACCAGACCAAGTACCGCATCAACGACTACCCTCACGGATGTAACGCAGTTATCGCCGTCATTTCCAACACTGGCTACGACATGGAGGACGCTATGATTATCAACAAGTCGGCATACGAGCGTGGATTTGGTCATGGATCAGTGTACAAGAATGAGTACGTCGACATTGACGAGGGCAAGCCCCGTCTGGAGATGGGTAAGAGCAGCGTGTCCCGTCCCAACGCCCTCTCGGACGGCCTGGACGAGTACATCGACACGGACGGCTTCCCCTATGTCGGCCGTCTGGTCAAGTTTGGTGAGCCCCTCTACACTACACTGTCGACCATCGACAACAAGCAATTCCTCGTCAAGTACAAGGGCAAGGAGGATGCCTACATTGAGGAGATCACAATCATTGGCACGACGCCACACACACAGACCAAGCCCATGACGATGATTAGCAAGTTCGTCATTCGCTACCGTTACAACCGTAACCCAGTCATTGGAGACAAGTTCGCATCGCGTCACGGTCAGAAGGGAGTACTGAGTCAGCTGTGGCCAGAGGTCAACATGCCATTCACCGAGTCGGGTATGAAGCCCGACGTCATTATCAACCCCAACGCCTTCCCCTCACGTATGACCATTGGTATGTTGGTTGAGATCATGGCAGCCAAGGCCGGTGCCATCCACGGCAAATTCCAGGACGCCACGGCGTTCCGCTTCAACGACAAGAGCACAGCCGTCGAGTACTTTGGCGAGCAGCTCAAGAAGGCTGGCTACAACTACTACGGCAACGAGCCAATGTACAGTGGCACGACAGGCGAGGAGTTCCACGCCAACATCTTCTTTGGCGTGTGCTACTACCAACGTCTGCGTCACATGGTCAAGGACAAGTACCAGGTGCGTGCCACGGGTCGCGTCAACAACATCACGCACCAGCCCATCAAGGGTCGTAAGGTGGGAGGAGGTATTCGTTTCGGAGAGATGGAGCGTGACTCGATGCTGGCGCACGGCACGTCGTTCTGTCTCAACGATCGTTTGATGAAGTCGTCCGACTACTGCAAACTGATGGTGTGCAAGCAGTGTGGCAGCACCACATCGATCGCTTCACAAAAGTCCAAATATGACAACAGTGTCGCCAGGAGCTGCACAACCTGCAAGACTGACAGTCATCTCGTCAACATTGCCGTTCCATACGTATTCACCTATCTCATTGCTGAGCTGGCCTCTGTCAACATTGCACTGAAATTGCAAATCAAGTAAGCGATATTCCCCTTCATTTATTCATACATTCAATCATTCATTCAATATCAATAAACTCAAACTCTGTCAATGGTGCCTATATATCTGGCATACAATACCAATCACATGTCAGTCGTTGGACTTGTAGCCCAACCCTGATATAGGATGGGCCAATTTGATTGATCGTGGGGTCCAGAAGCGACAACTTTTGGGGTTTGATTGCGCCAGACGCAAAACAAAAGGTGCGTCTGCATTCTAATAATAAAACACAATCAATCACTTGCTTATCTCTCAAGAGATACATAACATACATATACTTATATATATAACTTGTACATTAGTATCATGATAGAGGACCATAACCATCAATCACTGATTGGTCACTCATCATCTGCTGTTCCCATCACACCTTTATCAAGAAAGCAACTACATCTTAATAACGACAATAACAATAGTAATAATAATGATATGGATAGTATGATACAATCATTAAAGGAGGATAGAGAAAGATTCGAAAGAGAGAAGGAGAGATTCGAAGAGGAGCGGAAGATCATCTTTGATTCGTTGGCAAAGTGTGTAGGATCAGGCAGCTCAAACATTGGCAAGAATGTGACAAAGGCACTGAAGAAGGCCGAGAAGTTACAGCGCGAGAAGGATAAAGGTCGTGAGAAGGAGAGGAAGTTGCATCAGAGTGGCAGTGGCGTACAACAATCGAACCATCATCAGGTGCCCGATCACCGATCGGACGCAGATGGTCCGGCCGTCGTGGTCGGCACTCCGTTCAACGTCAAGCACAAGGTGCACGTCGACCTGGACTACAAATGGACGGGCGAGGAGGTGGACAAGGACTTTGTGTTCCAGGAGCTGCTGGGCACGGGCTCCTACGGCACTGTGCATCGGGCCATCCATCGCGACAATCACAGCGCCATGATGGCCGTCAAGGTCATCCCCCTGCAGGACTCGTCTGAGATTGCCAAGGAGATCGCCATTCTCAAGAAGTGCAAAAACAACAACATTGTCAGCTACTATGGCTGCTGCAACTCTGGTGACAACCTCTGGATCTTGATGGACTACTGCAGCCTGGGTTCGATACGCGATATGCTGGAGCTCACCGAGAGAACCCTGAGCGAGAAGCAGATCGCAGTCATAGTGTGTCAAGCTTTGAAAGGTCTACACTACCTACACTCAAACAACATCATTCATCGAGATATCAAGGCTGCCAACATCCTACTCAACGAGGACTCTGTCGTCAAGCTTGCCGACTTTGGTGTGAGTGCACAACTCGAAGACGAGTTGCTCAAGTCCACAGAATTCATTGGAACACGTAAGTCTACCACGCGACATCTTTGATCACACAAGCTCTTTCACTCACTCAATCAATCATTCATATTCCGCCAACTCGATCAGCATTGTGGATGCCTCCAGAGATCATTCAGAAGAAGCCATATGACAACAAGTGCGATATATGGAGCTTGGGAATCACATTGATTGAGATGGCTGAGGGCGAGCCACCTTATTGTAATATGCCTCCAACACGTGCCATGCTCATGATACCAAACAAGAACCCTCCAACACTCTCAAAGCAACATCACTTTAGCAAGGAGCTGAATGACTTTATCGCACTGTGTTGCCAGAAGGACCCAGAGAAGCGTCCACCAGCAATTGAATTGCTTGCTGTATGTTTGATTGATTGATTGATCACATGGCATCCCATCCCTCGACTAACAAACAACCAAAACACCAGCACCCATTCATTCAGAGCTCTGCAGGACAGCAAGACGCTTTGAAGCCACTCATTGAGGAGTGTTTGAAGAAGCGTGCTTCGGTGTTGAAGAAGCGCAAGGCAACAGCGGACAAGAATGAGAATTTGTTGAGGAAGTCGCGAGACTCAAAGAGCGAGACATCGGGAAGTGGTGGAGACATGGGCACCATCATTATCAAAGAGGACGATGAGCTGCGGTCGTCAAGTGGCAGTGGCTTTGGTTCTACCATCATCGTGCACGACTCCTCAGACGATGATGAGTACAATGCAGGCGGCACCATGTTGGTCCGTAGCCACGACTCCTCCACCTCCACAATCATACCAGACTTCATCGCGGCACTCACTCGATCAATGACCTCGACGAAAGAACAACAACAACCTCAGGCCACAACCACCTCCACAGCCACCAACAAAATCAAGACAAACGGTGTTGGTAGTGGTGTCAATCACAATGATGTCGATGAGCTCAAGAGCACCATTCATTCTTTGGAGGACACTGTGACCCAGCTCAAGAGGGACATATCAGGGATGCAAGAGACATTGTTGGAGAGGATATCAAGCGAGATGGCATTGATGCGCAAAGAACTGTTGACACAGATTGGCAACATCATGACAGAGAGGTCGATCAATGACCTGCCAACTCCACCAACCACATCAATGACACCAAAGACATCGACACCATCATCATCAAGCAAGGTGGCATCAACATTTGGTATCAATCTAAAGAAGACTCCACATTCGTCAGGTCTTGGTGTTGGATCATCATCATCACCATCAACTGGATCGTCGTCCTCAAAGCCCATGATCACACCAAGGAGCAGTAATGTTGGAGTTGGAAGCAGTAACAACAACAGGCTATCACAACAACTCAATAGACCACAAACACCATCAAGCAACAGACCACAAACACCATCATCAAACAAGAACACAAATAGACTATCAACCCAGATATCATCGGCCAACAAGGTCAGACCAACATCTCCACAACCAACAACTTCCACAACAACAACATCAACACCATCAGCACAGAATGACCCAACATCAACATCATCAACGACGACTACAACCACGACAACAACATCAGTTGACCCACCAAGATCATATCCAAGGCCTCCAAGTCGGCCTACACCACCTCCACCTAAGCTCCTGTCAACGACAAAGAATGTACCATCACCTGTTAATAGGAGGCCGTTGTCACCTCGTCCACCATTGCCACATCCACCCAACAGGAACCTTCCTCCAACACCCACGACATCACCAATGACACCATCCAACCGAGTAGCACCATCATCAGGTTCACCATCATCACCCTACATTCCTCCTCAGCCAAAGTCCACCACACAGCCCAACCGAAGATCAGTCACAGTGACACGAACACCTGGTTCAATGCAACCGCCAGCCATCAACCCAACTACTCCAACATCCTCTTCATCCTCATCATCATCATCGTCCACACCATCAACAAAGACCAACATTACTCGCAGTCCATCCAGTCGCTCACTATCAAGCACATCATCATCACCAGCGATCGACAAGCAATCAACATCAACACCATCCAGTCTACGACTCAAGACCAAGCAGATCAAAGAGACTGCCATGTCCTTGTTCTCATCCTCCTCAAGCAAGAGCAAGTAATCCATTAGGTTGCTTGATTGACAGATGATTGGCCGCCAATATGTATTATAACAACCCATATATAAACCCTTCCATCCATTCATTCATTCATCCTTGATCACTTGTTGACCATGGTCAATGTTGATCACGAGTGTGGTGACCTCGTCCTTGATTCGGCAAAAGCAACGGAAGTGAGTTGCCCGCAGGTCAACTTCAATTGCCGAACAAACTCACACAAAGCAAAGGTGTGTTCTTGCTTTGTGACTCATCATTTATAGATAGAGATAAATAGATAAAGATACATATAATATACATATATATATAATACTACATAATAATAATGAGTGACTTAGATATAAATAGTGATGATAATAGTGGAGGCAGAAGATTCGAATGGATGTGCGACCCACCTTGCGACGAGGGTCATTCAATCGAGTTGTATCGCAATGGATATCACGCTGAACTGGACAGTGGCTCAACATTCTATCAGATATTCGAACCACAGACATCAGAGAATGATAACACAGCAGTACAACCTCGACTCATACAGCATCTAGACCACGGTCGACGTCTCAATCGTGACAAGATAGTACTATGCATGCATGGCATCTCATGGTGGTCCTTCTCCTATCACAGATCAGTACAGCCACTCGTTCAACAAGGCTACACCGTCATCCTGTTCGGTATGTAATGTCCGGCCTCGTGCATGCACGCAGTGAGCATTGACACTCACACTCGCCTCCCACTCACTCCCGCGACCGCGACCATCCCCAAAGACTTCTACGGAAGAGGAAGGAGCCAGATGAATGACGTGGACGCAGTATGCAACTTGGAGTACTTTTGCAATCAAGCGTATGAGTTGTTGAACTATTTGAATGTGGACAGGGTACATTTGGTTGGATACTCGATGGGTGGCGCAGTAGCCACACGCTTCACAGTGGTGCACTCTGCAAGAGTGGCTCAACTCTGTCTTGTTGGACCTGCCATCGTACCCGTACCCATGCCCCTAGTTGCCAAGCTAATGGTTCTCCCGTACATTGGTCGATTCCTATTCAATCTATTTGGAGCAAGAGCAATGGTTGCCAAGTTAGAGTGAGTGTTCCATCACCTCATTCATTCGCTAGTTCATTCGCTCATTCATTCAATCACCCAATCAATCTAGCACTGAACGATTCAAGTTTGATATTGCACAGCCAGAGAATGTTGATCCTTTACTCATTGATGACCTTATTGCCAAGGTTAAATGGCAGATATTGCTCAAGCCATCATTCCTCCCAGCCTTCTACAGTACAATTTATAACATACCATTCGCTTACGGTCTACTCCATCTTCTGCCTCTAATCCAAGATGATATACCTGTTGGTGTAGTACTTGTATGTATCCCCAGGCCAACCTACCCATCATCCTCAACCTCATTCACTAATTCAATCATTCAATCAATCAATCATAGGGTAAACGTGATGTAGTTGTACCATATGAGTTGGCCAAGTCTTTGATCACACATCATCTGCCACGATCTAGAATGATATCGGTGGACTGTGGACATGCCTTCACAGTGGAGGCACCAGAACAATTCGCCACGAGCATCATCAAACTGTTGGACAACAGGTCAGATGATGAGTAATTCAACTGGATAATTGTATTAATATTATTATTATTTTTAATTATAAGGTAGTAGTAACGACGAATAGATAGATATTGCTAGTAATAAATTGGATTGTATAGTGGATATGATATTAATGTGTTCTGACTGTAGAACTGACTTCCATGTTGTCTTGCCGCTTTTGAATTGCCAAAGAATGGTCCAGTGATATCACCAACACCTGATAAATGATTTGATGATTGAGATGATGATATTGAATTGTAGTTGGAACTCGATTGTCCACTAGAATTTGATAATATAATACTTCCAAATGGATTACCAATATTACTTAAAGAGTCTAAGTTCCATGTTAGTATTAATATTCATTCTTGTCCCAGTCGTATATACTTACTGATCAATGTCATTGGTTATATGGATTAATTAGGAATATGGAATTTGAAATGGAATTGGAAATTGATATTATGAAGAGGAAGAATGAATATATTGATTGATTAATAGAACAATCAAGGATGAGGATGATGATGATGATGATGTACGCATTGATTCATTCATTCATTCATTCATACATTCATAGCCTATTAATAACCAGTAACTTACTTGATGAGAGAGATCCAACAACACTCCATCATCTAATTGATAACAATGGTTTGCAATTGATGATGGTGGTAGTGGGTAGAGGGTGAGTGTGAAGATGGATACTTGTCCACAACTTACAAGTTGTCTTTTTACCACCATCACATATATCCTCAAAGCCACTTACTTACTTACTCTGGCTCTATCAATCTCTTTACTTGTTTTGTCGACAATGCTCAAGATAAATATAGATGGAATGGATGATGATAAGAGAGATACAAATGAATCAATATCAAGTTAATAGTAATCAATGTATGATGGATTCAATTTGAATTGAGAGAATCTCTATCCACCATCATTGATTGATATCTTTGATATTAATGATCCTTATTATTGTTATGATTATTAATTATTATTATCTGTTATAGTAGTACACAGGATGTGTCTCTTACTTGAGTTGTTTGATGATCAACTTTGAATTTGAAGCAGAAAGTCAATAAAGTGAATGATTGTGTGTTAGTTCATAACATTGTTGTACCTGTACAGATAATATATACATATATAGAGTGTGAGATAGATAGATATTGTTAAGGAAAAGAGAGAAGATCAGATACTCCTTCTCATTGTAAATACCAAGATATACTTGACATTATTATTCACACTATAATTAAGAACAACATCCATTACACTCAAGCAATCAGTCAATCAGTCAATCAGTCATCATCTATCTAGCATCAACAACAACAATAACAACAATAACAGACAACAAAGAACATCAATATCAAACAAACACTTTAGAAAGAGCGCAGAAGAAGAAGCAATACATAATGTCAACACATTCAAAGGATGTGTCAATGGTCGATTCATTGATGACCGATGATGATGATCAACAGCGTAATACATGTGCCGCTTACTATGGTCCTTTTATGCACTTACTTGAACTGCCCACAAGTTGGAGTCCAAAGGAGAAGGAGAAGTCTACACATCTCGAGCTGAACAGCAGTCTACTGCGCGTCACCTATCGTCCCACGAGCAAGGATGGCAATGAAGCGGGACTTGTGCGATCGAACCGGCCCATCCCCTCTGCATGTGGCATCTTCTATTTCGAGACCAAAGTCATTAGCAAGGGCAAAGATGGATACATAGGCATTGGAGTATGTCCACAGAACATGTTACTATCAAGGCTTCCAGGTTGGGAGAAGAACTCTTATGGGTAAGATGAGCCAAGATGGACATTGGCGCGACACGACACACTCACTAACAGACGCACGCACTGACCCGATGACTTAGATATCATGGGGACGATGGCAACTTATTCAAGGGCGCAGGCGCAGGCAAGGCATATGGACCAACATACACGACCAACGATATAGTTGGATGCTGCGTCAACTTTATCAACAACACTATATTCTTTACAAAGAATGGAGTGCCTCTGGCAGAGGCAGCAAACGATATCAAGGGCCTGACATTATATCCGTGCGTTGGACTGCGCACATCGGGCGAATCAATCGAGGTCAACTTTGGTCAGAAGCCCTTCGTCTTTGAGATTAGCCAAGTGTTCAAAGAGGAGAAGCTAAAGATATTCAAGAGCCTTCAGGCGACGCCCACCATCAACGAGGAGATGACCTCATCTCAGCTCGTACTAGGCTATCTCATGCATCATGGCTATCCCGAGACCGTCAAGCTCTTTGCCAAGGCCACAGGTACCAACGACAACAACCTTGACCTACAACTAGATGATATAAAGAACAGGCAGAGTAAGGATCATTCAATCATCCGATCAATCAATCAAACATGTACTTACCCTCAATGACAATCAATCAATCAATGAACATATAGGGATATCAGAACTATTACTCAAAGGCGATATTGACAAGGTGACGGCAGAGTTGAATAGATTGTATCCAGACTTTTTGAATAAGAGGCGGGATATACTCTTTAAACTACATTGCCAGAAGTTTATAGAGATGATCAAGTCGGAGCCAATCGAGGACACGATGGCATTCGGCCAGAAGGAGTTGTACAGGTTCGCTCAGGAGTCGGAGGAGTATGAAAGCAGTCTGAGGGAAGTGTTCTCTCTCATCGCCTACCAGGATCCCTACACCAGTCCCGTGTCGCATCTGCTGCACATCGAACGAAGAGAACCAATTGTAAACGATCTAAACTGTGCCCTACTAGGTAAGTGTGGATCGTGATTGTGATGATGGACCTTACCCTTGGCCTCGTACTAACAATGCTCTCCCCAACCCATCAGTCCATTGTAATAAGCCCTCAACACCTGTCTTGGAGAAGATAGTCAGACAGGTAAAGGTTGTCGTCAACGAAGTCATTGTGAACAATGCTGGCCCACCTGCTGTATTCATGAACCTCAATGAGTTCATTGAGCAAGAGGATTCATAGTTCATTCATTCATTCATTCATTGCAAGATTGGAATGGAGTGGAATGGTTCTATCTCAGAATGACTTTTATGACGATCATCGACCACATACCCAAGACTTGACTTGGATGATCAATCCATGTCCACTCGCCTCTCCTCCCTCGTCTCCACTCTCGCGACCAGCCCATTGTTGTCAATTTAAAAAGTTGAACTTCCCTTCAAATTAATCAACCCACGATCGCACACGACTTCACCAGGGTTCACCATGATCGATGCATTATTTGAATTAGTTTAGTTTTAGTTTATTACTTCATATTGATATATACATATAAGTTATATATATATATTGTAAGAGAGAGAGAGAGAGATGCAAAGGGGAGCATCAGGCCTATTCAAGGCCGCTAATAAAGATACTATAAAGATACAGTATCAGATAAAGATTGGTAAACTTGAAGGTTTGCCAAAGACAACAACAGGAAGTGTATTTGTATCATGGAAGAGAGGCAAGAAGAGTGAGAACCATGGCGATTCAAACAAGATCCCAGTGAGCAACGGTTCGGCAGTCTTTGATCAAAGCTTCACATTGGATGCCTCGCTAGTCAAAGACAAGAAGGGAGTCTATCAATCAAAGAAGATCAAGTTCACTGTGTCTGAGGTATGTTTGATTGATTGATTGATGAGTACTTTCAATCACTCACTAATGCTCAATCAATCAATCAAATGAATTATAGGAGAAGGAAGAGAAGAAGGGAAAGAAGCATGTGTCTAGCATAAGCTCATTCGAGGTGGACTTGGCTCATTATGCTGAAGCCAAGACTGAGCGATCAAAGCCTTTCCCCATCAATGAGAAGTCAAAGTCATCACCAATGTTGACTGTAAGTACCAGAGAGTGATGACTTGATACCAGGCAGGTCCAACAACTCACTCACTCAATCATGAACTTTAGATATCATTCCAAGCTACATTACTTAAGATGAATGGCAAGACTGTTGTCAAGGCCAACGATCCAAACCATAAGGAGATCCTTGAACAACTTGGCAAGAAGGCTGTACAATTGGATGGACAGGAGTACTTCCTCCAAACAGAGACTGATCACAGTGATCCCGATGAGACCGACCTCAATCCAACAAGTGAACATGACTCTGATGTATGTGCTCCAATGTTATCGACAGGTACTAGCTAGGTAACACGACTAACCATTAATATAATGTAGGGAGAGGAGGAGGTCAGCTTTGAAGAGGACACTGTTACATCCACATCAGGAGTATCGACGCTTAAGCCATCAGATGCTGCTACTCTGAGCAGGAGGGAGAGCAATCTGTCTTCGTCGGATAGTGCTGGTTCATTGACGCCCAGACAATCCATTCCAGCAACTCCAGCCACCAGCACAACCACCACGACCACAGCTGCGACCGCACCATCACCATCACCAATACCAATAATCACAACAACAACAATAACACCAATTGCCACACCAACCAAGGAGTCAAAGGGCGACGTCTCTGCTGACGCCAAACTCAAGAAGTACAAGAAGAAGGTCAAGTCACTAAAGGGTGACCTCGCAAAGGTGACCAAGGAACGCGATGACAAGGTGGAGGAGCTCAAGAAGGCCGCTGCAGTCAAACCTCAGCCACAACAGCAGCAACCAGACAACAGCAAGGAGATAGAGCAGCTCCACATGCAGATCGACAGGCTCGAGAAGGACAAGAAGGCCGTCGAAGATAACTTGGAGATGGAGAAGAATCAGAATGCCAAGGGCATGAACGATCTGACCATGCTGCAGGAACAGATTCTCACCCTCAAGTCTAATGTTGAACGCGAGCAGGGCGAGAAGAAGACACTCGAGTCACGTGTACATGAGCTGGAGACTGCCGCGGAGCAAGCCACAGCACAACACGATGCGGCCAAGCAACAGCATGATGACGAGGCCAAGGCTGCCATTTCAAAACTCGAGGAGGAACTCACCGCCGCCAAACAGAGCGCCGATCGTCTGCAAGATGAGGGCAGGAGCACTTTCTTGCTACTGGAAGAGGAGAGACTCAAGTCCAACGCGCTCTCTGGCGAGGTCACCCGTCAGAACCAGGACATCAGCAACTTTGAGGAGCAGATCAAGCATCTGGAGAAACAGCTTCTCGTCAATGCTGAGGAGGTCGGCAAGTTCAACTCGCAGGAGGCTGACTACCTGGCATTGCGCGACAAGGTCAAGGACATTGAGGTCGAGCGCCAGCAGTCAGTGGACCAATGCGAGTCGCTCAAGAAGGAGGTGAACGACCTCACCGAGAAGCTCAGCGAGCTCAACGATACACAGGCCCGACGACAAACAGAGACCAACGCCGCTGAGGATGAGGTCGAGTTGCTCAATCAAAGGCTGGAGGTGCAGAAGGATGAGATCGCCAAGTTGGCCACCGAACATGCCAACCGCGAGAAGGAGCTGCAGAGCCAGATCGACGAGCTCAGCACCAAGTCGGCTAACGAACAAAGCGAGGCAGAGAGCAGGCACAAGGAGGAGCTTACTGAGATGAGCGAACAGAACAGGAAGCTAAAGAATGAGAATGAGGAGATGGAGAAGTCAATCGAGACCCTCAACATGAAGCTGAACAATGCGTCAAGCGAGCAGACTGGCGAGTTGAGTGAGCTCAACGAGAGGATTGAGGTCCTGACCGAGGAGCTCGAGACCTCCAAGCGACAAAAGGACAAGTACTTTGAGGAGCTCAACACCATCAAGGACAAGAACGACGAGCTCGAGGTCGACTATGCCACGCTCAAGGAGGACCTGGAGCGCAGGAAGCAGCAGGATCTCCAGAGTGACAAGGACCAGACCATCGAGGACCAGGCAGCCAGGATCCAGGAGCTCAAGAAGAAGGTGGAGCTGCTGCAGCAAGAGACCGTCATCTACAAGGAGGAGATTGATGGATTCAAGGAGCAGATCGAGGACTACAAGAAGGACACGTCAAAGAAGGAGGAGGTCGTGCATGACTATCAATCATTGATGGAGCAACTGCAAAAGAATGTGGATGCACTCACCATCGAGAGGGATGCCACCGAGGAGAAGTTAAGCCAAGCCACCGACACCATCGCCAGTCTGGAGGAGCAGTTGGAGGCCGCCAACGACAAGAGCGAGAAGCATCACGACAGCGACAGCGATGAGGAGGACGTCGAGGAGCTCAAGGCCAAGATCGACAAGTACAAGGAGAAGATCAGAGATCTGAAGGAGGAGCTCGAGTCCAAGGATGACGAGCATATCGAGGAAAAGGTCAAACTGGAGGAGTCTGTTCAATCACTTGAGCAAGAAAACAAGGATCTCAGTGAGAAGCTACAAGCTGCAACTGCCGCTGCTGCAACGGCCACGGCTGCTGCTGCTGCTGCTGCCGCTGTAGTCGCGCCAACATCACCAGTGATCAACACGGGCGAGTTGGACAACCTTAAGGAGCAAGTCAAGATACTAAAGAATGAGAGAGACAGCGAGCGCAAGAGCAACATCGATTTGAAGGAGCAGATCGACACTGTTGGCCATAAGTACAGCGAGTTGATCAAGGACTCTGACCAGTTGAAGCAGCAACTGCAGCAGGCCAAGGCAGAGGCCGCAGAGGCTGTGGCAGCAGCGTCTTCGGTTGCTGTGGCCGCCACAGTGACACCATCATCACCCAAGCTCAATGGCGTCGACGACAGCACTCGCAAGGATTTGGAGGATTTGAGGAACATTGAGAGTTGCATCTACTGGCCCGAGCTGGACTTTGATCGCAACAATGTACCATACTGTGGTGCCAGTGTCTGGCAAATGATCGACTCGATCGGTGGCGTGTCCAACGTTGACAATCATAAGATGCTCTCTAAGATTGTCCATGCACTGGAGAAGTCATTCCTGAGGTCAGGCAGCGATTGCAAGGTCATCTGTTATTGGTTCTCAACAGTAGTGCACATACTTCAAAAGCTACACCAGAATGCGTTGTGTCCACAATCAGCCGATCCAACCATCTCTGGCATTGAGATCTATGTATCATCATTCGCAGCTCCCTCCACAGAGTCAGGAGGCTCATTCGTCAGGGATCTTCAATCGCTTGTACTCAACATCTATGGCAAGCTGATATCAATTATCGAGTCTGTATGTATATGCATTGATCGATGGCCTGGCCTGTCGTTCCAAACAATTACTAATCACTTCTACTACTTCCAGAAAATCGAGAAGATATTGATACCATCGATCTTTAGTCCAGACAGCATCATCTTGGATCAGAAGTCATTGCACAAGACAACAATGGGAACAACCAAATCCAACGCCATCACCATCAACAACCTGTTTATGATCCTGGATTCAATTCTCTTCTTCTTGGATGAGGGCAAGGTATGCCAGAAGCTCTCCAACCAACTCCTAAAGTATGTGTACAATTTAACGACCCAACCATTGCTGGCTCGAGCCCGAATGACTGAATGACTGACCTAACTCCGATGACACCTCAGCCAAACATTCTACTTTATCAACGCACAGATCACCAATCACTTCTTGCAGACACAAAGTGTTTGTAGAGCGACGATGGGATTCAAGGTTAAGATGGGCGTGTCACGTCTAAAGGAGTGGTGCTCGCAGACCAGCTTCAAGACTGTCAGTGAACAGCTAGACTCTTCATTGGAGGTGTCCAACCTGTTTGTCATTGACAAGGCCGTGTTTGTGGACATTGAGGCCATCAAGCCTATCTTCCAACGCCTCAACCTGGCACAGATCAAGAAGTTGCTCGAGTCGTTCGAGCCAGACGACTTGTCTCCCGACCCCCTGCCTTCGCAGCTGCAGAAAGCAATGAACGGCTACGTATGGAAACAACAAGCCGAGTCCAGCAACCTTCCGCTTCTCATCGACCCATCGAAGAAACTAAAGGCGTAACCCAAACACACACATAATACACTACATACATTACATAACATTATCACAACAACAGGCCCTGCAAGGTGGGTACCGCCAAGAGGTGCTAGTTTGTGATGATCAAAAAACCCCCCGATTGTCCTTTTGTTGGGCAACACAACAACATCAATCTACTTTTATGGGCATGCGACCCTTCCACACACTCCACTCAGTTCTGATCATCGATTTAAACCCGAGTTGATTTTGATTGACTAATCATACTTCTTTGCTTGATTTGGCGTTCTATTATCCCAATACTTTGCTCCATATTGGGTTGAGTGTCACACTTGATTGACCAATGTCTTGGTTAGCCTTGTTTTATACTTATGAGCCACATTCATGTGTAGCTGCATTCATTCACTCCATCACCACTATCTCTTCAACCAAACATAGAGATAATCAAACAATCAGATAGAATATGGAACCTATAACAACAGCCAACCAACAAGTTGTTGAGACACCTTCAAGTGGTCATGCTGGTGCCACACCTGTTACCAACCAAGCCAAGCCAAAGATGAACAATGGAGTGTTGGCTAAGGAGCTGGAAATAGAGCGTGTTAGGAATAGATTCATCTCGCACGAGGTTAAAAAGATGGATCGCAATCAATCAAGAATCAATGCGCCACAGCGTTCAACCTCGGATACCGAGTCCGAGTCTGACTCTGAGTTCTTCTTGAAGAAGCCAACGAACTCGACCACAACAACACACTACCATATAAGACCAACTGTTCGAGTATCTGACAACAACAATACCAAGATTGGAACCACTCAGGTTGCTCAACCTCAACTACAAGCTCAAGTGACCAAGCCTGTCGTTGCCACACCAGTTGCCACTGGCAGGGGTACTACAGCATCCCTTCCCAGAGAGGCTGGACTTTACGCTCTTAGGCCATCCCTCCTGAGCAGTGAATCTACTGGTGCCAGCTATAGAGGATTCTTCAACTTGATGGTTCTTCTCCTAGTATGTTAATCCATCATCCACTCGACCCATTAACAAACCAACTAACATTCATCCCAACCTAGATACTTACAAGCTTCAGACTGGTGATACTCAATCATCTGACATATGGCATCAGGATAGACCTTGGATTGCTACAGATATCGGAATGGCATAGATGGCCAGGCTTAGTCATTGCACTAAGTAAGTGATGATTGAGTTGTGATTAGTGTCCAGGATACCCGCTAACATGAGGCACACACGCATATACACAGGTATGAACATCTATATACTGTTGGCATACTTTGTGGAGAAGGGCGCAGCCAATAAGATGCTACCACCTTCCTTCTTTGTGATGATGAGGATCATCAATTGCACCGGATTGATCACTATTCCAACTGCATCAATAGTATACCTGACACCAAATCCAGTGTCTGGCATCATTGTGATGATTACCGTCTGCATACTAAGCATGAAGATAGTATCCTATCACTATGAGAACAACAAACAACGACATTTGCATCCAGACAACAAGAAGTTCGATGGTGTCACCGATCCCGAGCAATACCCAAACAACATCACTCTAACAAGTAAGTTGTCGAGACTTGATCGATGTGTATGTCTGGCACCAAACACTAACAAACTACCTCCTTTACGCAGACATCTACTGGTACATGTTCGTACCAACATTGGTCTATCAGCTAAGCTACCCAAGATCGCCACGCATCAGAAAGCTGTTTATGTTGAGGAGAATCATTGAGGCTGTATTCTTGTCTGCACTAATCTTCTGGATGGTCGAGCAGTACATGGTGCCACTGGTGGAGAACAGTGTCAAGCCAATGGAGCAGTATGACTTTGTCCGAATTGTCGAGCGAGTTATGAAACTCTCGGTATGTTGTTGAAGCCCGTCCTACTGATTGGTCGACCAACTGCTGACTCAATCAATCACATCCACTACATTAGCTTCCCAATTTATACGTATGGCTGCTGGGCTTCTACGTGTTCTTCCATCTCTATCTTAACATTTGCGCAGAGTTGACGAGGTTTGGAGACCGCGAGTTCTACAGGGACTGGTGGAACAGCACTGGTTTGGACTACTTCTGGCGCACTTGGAACATGCCAGTGCATCACTGGATGGTGGTGATCATCTACACACCAATGCGCAGAAGGGGCTGGTCCAAGCACTGGGGCTACTTCATGTGCTTCTTTGTGTCGGCCGTCTTCCATGAGCTGGTCATCAGTGTGCCCTTCCAGACGATCAAGTTGTGGGGCTTCCTGGGCATTGCCAGCCAGATGATCCTTATCGTGTTGACCAAGAACTTGATGAATGGCAAGACCATTGGCAACGTCGTCTTTTGGTTCAGCATCGTGTTGGGTCAGCCCTTGATCGTCCTACTCTACTATCGCAACTTCATCGTCGAGCATCCACATCTCTATCCAAAGATCAGTGGCGTGCTCTCCGAATCCAACTAAACTAAACTAAAGTAAAGTAAACTACGATGCTACAATCGTATCTATTCGCAGTAAAGTTATGCATGACTCGATGACAGTGTTGATGATCGACCTCTTGAGAACTACTGGCTCAACTATGCCCATGAGCTCCATGTCAGCGGGCTTTCCAGTCCATCCATTCACGCCCCATTTGGTAGACTCGACAGCATAGTCGTTGGCTGAATGTAGGAATGTGAGCTGAGCAATGACCTCGAGTGGATCCAGTCCTTGACAGTTGGCAACAAGTATCGAGGGTATGGATGTGAGTGTCTCGGCAAGTGCGAGACAAACATCACGCTTCCAACCAACAAGGTTGTTGGACGTGGCATGTCTTGTGAGCCGTGTTGACAGGGCCATCTCACAAGCTCCACCTCCATACACAACCCGTGGTGGAGCTTCCACCGATGACTTTAGCAAGAACAAAGCATCGATCATTCCAATCTCCAAATCGTCAACAATATCCAAAGATGGTCCTCTAAGTACAATTGTTGAGTAGATTGTATCGTCAGTGCTATTCAAAGGGAGACGAGTTAGTAATGAACGGTTGACACTCTTTAGGACAATCCATCAACATACCTCAAATGTACATAATATGATGGCTCATGTCTTGCTAGCAAGGATATTGATTGGACACTTCCTTGCAATGACTTGTCCATTTCTTCAATCTTTGATTGATTGAGTGAGTGAGAGTAAGTGGAATGCAATGTGATTGGTTGATTTGGTTGACCTACACTTTGGAACACCATTGAGTTGGTGATTGTGGATATCCTATCAATGTCTTTGGTGTCCAGGTTGTGAATGAATCCAATGTTGGACATTATTAATAGTTGTTGGAGGTAATCTGGAATGGGCTGGGGATGGAGGATGTGTAAGTTGAGGAAGAAAGACGCTGGAGATGTTTGGATCAAGCCAAACTGATCCAAAGACATACCTTGCTAAAGAATACCAAGTTGACACCCAAATGTTGTATCTTTTGAAAGAGTTGTCTAACCATGTTATCCTTGCGGGCATCATATCGTTCAATGTCCGCCTCACTTGTAAGTGTCAGTGTTGACCTTGACCTGGACGACTTTGATGAGTTGTTGGACATAAGATCAATAGAGACGATGCAGCATGATATTGGTGCCGTTGAGGCCTGTCCGGATTGAGGAATATGAGGTTGATTGCTTGTAATTACAACAATGCCCTTGAGGTACTCGCTCTGTTCAATGGCTTGCGTGCTATCAGTTGTGGCCTGTAGCTTGACAATGGATATATGACTGTGAACGTCGACCATGACTTGGTGTCCATGTTGATATTGTAGGTCCACGGTAACAGTGGATGTTGAGTTCCTGACTGCTGCCATTGCAATATTGATCAAACTCTTTGTCCAATATGAGTAGTGCTTGGTGCCCAATGATACACCGGCTATCTTACATAGGACTTGGTCGTCCGCAGCCACATAGGGTATGGCTATCGAATCCAATATTGTCAAACAAAGTTGACCAACTTCATACAACATAGATGCCAATGTAGTTAAATGTATAGATGGGTTGTTACCAATCAATATCGCTAAATTAGATAACAATGCACATGATAGCAACACAACAGATGTAGTACCATCACCAACTACCAATGTATGAATAGAGTGATTGATTGATTAAGTGAGTGAATGAGTGAGTGAGTGATGTAGCCAATCAATCAATCAAACATACCATCCCTATCTTGTGATAGTGCTACATCGACTAGTAATGAAGCGGCAGGATGAGCCACTTGTATATTCTTCAATATTGATGCTCCATCATTTGTTAAAATACACTTTTGTGTATGTGTCTGTGGGGAGGACTGGGGCGGCAGTAACTGTTGAGGCTGTTGCTTAACTGGCGATGGCCATCAAATGGTGTCAATCAATCAATGTACCAACTCAATGATATATTCATTCCCAAATCAATCATACTTATTATAAGTTTACTCATACTACGAGGACCAAGAGATGATCGCAACAGAGAATGAACAGATGCTGTTGCCAACACAGATGATCTAAGTGCAGCAATAGCACCATCACCAATGACTTTTACACCATCCCTGAACAACTCTGGTTGTCTCTGTCGTTGCTGCTGTTGCTGTTCCTTCTTCTGTTGTGATTGCATGAATGTATCAAATGAATGAACCAAGATCAACCCTTGCCCTTGACCCCAACTTCATTGGTTTTGAAGAAGTCGGACTTCGTCAAGTTTGTATGAAATGTATTTTTTTAATTTAAATTATCTTTGTGATGAAAAACAAACACACAATGTTGGAGCGAGGTGTGTGGGAGTGGAGGATGCACTCGCGACTGGGATGCATGAGCTCGTTTGATTGACGCATCCTGTATCTTTTAAGTTCTTACGCCCCTCTCTTCCCATTTACACGTTAGTTAGAAAGACAGACACAAACGATGCAAAAGTTCATTAAGCAAGGCAGATTGGTCATCCTCTTGAACGGAAAGTACGCCGGCCGCAAGGCTGTTGTTGTAAAGACCTTCGATGAGCCAAACAAGGAGCGTCCATATGGCCACTGTCTGGTTGCCGGTATCGAGAAGTACCCACGCAGAGTCATCAGAAGAATGAACAGGAAGACCATCTTGAAGAGAATCTCCATCACCCCATTCGTCAAGGTCGTCAACTACAACCACATCATGCCAACTCGGTAAGTCTCTCTCTCTCTCTAGGATACAGGATATACAGGATATATGTGCGATACAGGAGATCATTCAACAGAGCGACTAACAAGTATATATGATCATATTCACAATATTACAGTTACAACTTCGAGACTCGTGAGGAAAGCGCCTTCAACGGTATCAAGGACTCTGTCACCATGGAGTCTGCCAAGCCAGCCAAGCGCGTCTCCACCAAGCACGCTGTAAAGAAGATTTTCCAAGACAAGTATGTATACTTCAACTCCCCTCGACTCTAGACATGTTGTTGTCGCCACACTTACTAACCATCACAACTCAAACAACTCAACTTCAAATCACAATAGGTACAAGGCCGGCAAGTCCAAGTGGTTCTTCTCGAGATTGAGATTCTAAATCGTTTACATAATTAGAATTATCTAGCGCGCATGCATGTTAGAGGATCATCTAATAAATGTGTCTCTGTCTTCCTAAATTACAATACAAATACACCTCCAAATCAATCAATCTGCCCTTTCATCATGTCACTTATCTAATCAATCAATCAATCAATCAAACTATCTTCATCATGTCATCTTCTTCTCCCTGATATTATCACCCATTTGAATTGAATTGACATGATCATGTCCTCCAGCCCAGCCCAACCTTAGACACCTCATTCTCCAGCTTCTTGACAAACAAGGACAATGGACAAGGTCGTGTTGTGTCGGAGTGTTTGTGTATCTGGCGCGCAGATTGGAGGCTGTGCGGAATTGTGTGGTGAATGATGGGGAATGTTATTGGTCGCTTGATGGTCATTTGGTGGCAAATGACCATCWCAAGCGACCACCAGATACTTTTCTAAAATAAATATAGATGTAATCATTCCACCTTTGACCAGGTGCCCATTGAAATATAAATAACAACCTTTGGTTTATGAACGACATACTTTTGTTTAGTGATCACCAATCACAAACACTTCAAGAAGTCATTTATAACAACCTTGTAAATAGATTAATATATATATTAATAGTAATAGATAATAATGAAGATCACAATAATGTTGATGACGATGATGATAATGATGATATCAACATCAGTAGTTCAAGGTTTTGAATATGGATGTTGTGTAGGCAATAATTATAATTGTACATCACCTCCAATTTATGAGACAACAGGTGGTCCAATTATAACATGTGTAGGATACCATGGAATAACATATGATTATATTCCATTTGTTAAAATCTGTGATAAATGCGATAATAATAATTCACCAAACTACAATGAAGATAGTACATTCCCATTATGGGCGATAATATTAGTGGCAGTATTATTACCTTTTGTACTAGTTATATTTGTAACAGTAGTAATGTGTATAAAGAAAAGAAGACAACATCAGACCCAACCTACAGTATTTTTGGACCCAATATCATCATCATCTGGAAATGTCATGGATGATCAATTTGTAAACTCAACACCTGGAATGGATTCTCAATATTCATCACCAGAGTACTCAGTTCAAATTGATAAAGTTAATGATCAAACTCATACATCAGCTGGATCAGAAGAATATACACGTCCACAATCAGAATATAATCAATATGGATAATAATCAACAACACTAAAGTGTTGATGAAGATGAATTTAATTGGATGGGATAGTCCTACAACCTCGTGATCTTCTCAAGGAATTGTTCCTCTTGGACCTCAGATATATCACAACCTTGGACCTCAGTTTGGATACCAACCAATGCCTTGCGAAGTGCATCCTTTGAAGCAGTATATATCATTCTACTTCTAATACTTGATGTACCTGGACACCTAGAAATATGTTGTAATAATAAAATAATTAATATTAATATAATTAATTAATTAATAATATATAAAGCACTTACCATGAGACGAACACCAATCTCTTCTTGGAGGTTGACTCTTCGGTGTAGGCAAAGTCAACTAAGACGTATCTACATTCAGTGGGAGGTAGCTCGGTGAGGAAAGTAGTGAATGGTGATCCATATGGTAAAGTCTTCTCGACCACAATCTGAGTATTGTCATCGTTCAACTTATAAAAGACTATTCCATATTGACGACGAATCTTCATCTGATCGAAAATCTCCATACAATTGTTTGCAAGTTTGACTCCAGTTGACTAAATTTCAATTATCATTAGTATTATTATTATTATTATTATTATTCGTTCATAAATTTATTTCACATACCATTGTTAAATTTCTGGTTTGATTTATATAATAAATTGATAAAGTTGATTAGATAATATATTTGTATTAGTATTATTTGTTGTATTTGTTGATGATGATATTAGGTTGGACATTATTGATGTATTTATAACTTTTGAATAATGATCAAAGTTGTAGTTGGTCTATTGATCAACATGTAATTGAGTTGGAATTGAATCCAAAGACACACAATGGTTGCCAAAGCCAAACAAACCCATGACTTGGACACCCACACCACCAATCTTTGAATTTTCGAATCATTCGGCACACTCGTAGAATCAAGAGTCATCTTGAGATATTGACACGCATCTTGGTAGGTGAAGTTATACATTTATATGTAGTACTATGGACTGTACTAGTAGTAGTAGTATATATCAATATGAATCATTCATTGATGCCTTTGATAAAGTAGTCAAACAGGTGCCAAATACTCATGCACTTGAGTTGGCAAAAGGTGTAATAACAACAACAACAACAACAACATCGACGACAACGAAGACAGATCAACAACAACAAGTAGTACAATGCTTTGATAATAGTTTGTTCAAAAGAGATTATTTAACATTCTCACAACTTGATACTATATCAAATTGTATTGCCAATAGTATCAATGATGTAGTTAATGTTACTACACATCATAAGAAGAATGATAATGAGATGGTTGTTGGTGTACTTGCACAACACTCTTTCCAATTGGTCATATCATTGATTGCTACACTAAAGTCTGGTCATGTCTATCTGCCACTGGATGCATCATTCCCTATCGAACGATTGAACTACATGCTCAACCATGCATCTTGCAACACACTACTCATTCAACATTCACATCATAATCATCCCCTCCTCACTCACCTCACCAAAAATGCACCATCAACCAACATACTATGTGTTGATTGCTGTCTCCGATCCAGAGATGACTATGTCCCAGCGCCAATCGCTCACTCGCCTCAACCCAATGACACCGCGTAAGTACAGCGACTCCCTCCCATCCCACCACAGCATACTCATACACGAAATCTTAGATACCTTATATACACTTCTGGAAGCACTGGCGAGCCAAAGGGCGTGTTGGTCGCGCATAGGGGCATTACAAACTTCTTAAAGGCCCAGATTGAATCGTTTGGATTCAAGACGTCACATAGCAGACTGCTTCAATCACTTCCGGTATGCTTTGATGCATGTTTGAGTGAGATTGGTACATCACTACTTGGTGGCTGCACACTAGTTGTTCCAGAGAGTAGTGAGCAAGCTGCAATCGCACGTGGATCATCTTCAACATTCTTCAACTATCTTTGTGTGAACAATATCACGGCGGCGATGTTGGCACCTTCATTCCTGGCTCAGCTATCACTCGTCGAGTACAATGTTCCATCATTGGAGACCGTGGTCATTGGTGGCGAGGTATGTCCACAGCATGTCATTGATGCATGGACCCAACACATCAGACTTGTGAGCGTATATGGCCCTACCGAGGCTACTGTGTGCACCTCGCTCCTGCCATTCCCCAAGCGAACAGCAACACCACCCCTCATCAGCATTGGGCGTCCAGTACCCCACATGCAACTACACCTCTTGGACTCAGCCACCTTGGTCCCATTGACTCAACCAGGGACCGAAGGTGAGATATACATTGGGGGAGTAGGTGTCGCACTTGGATACCACATGCGTGATGATCTCACCATTGCCGCGTTTGTCCCCGACCCATTTATCAACTCGGAGGACAGCGCCACATCGCCCAAAATGTTTAAGACAGGCGACTGGGGTCGAATGTTGGATGATGGATGCATAGAGTTCAGAGGAAGGATTGACAACCAGGTGAAGATCAATGGACAGCGAATAGAGTTGGACGAAATATCCAAGGTGATCGAAAAGCATCCACTCGTTCAACAGGCAGTGGTCGATGCAAAGTTAATACATGATGTCAAGACACTGGTTGGATACGTTGCACTCAGACAGGCTACACCAAGCATCATGGTATCACCGTGCATTGTTCAACCACGTCACGACAATGGTGATCGCGATGAATCAGCCAACAACATCACAACATATGTGGCGCATCTCATCACAAACTACTTGTCGACCAAACTTCCAGCATTCATGATACCAAGACATTATGTTGTGATGGCCAATGGTCTGTTCCCATTGAATAGCAATGAGAAGATTGATCGTAGTCGTCTGCCACTTCCAGAGTCGGTGCCCGAGCCAGCATGGTCCACACTGTCCTACACGCTAGAGTTGGAGAAGAAGTTACAATCAATCATATCAACCGTATTACTACGTCATGTATCAACGGATGATGATCTCATTGGACAGTGCGGTCTAAACTCAATTGGATCAATCAGATTCATACAACTCTGTCGAACACATGGCATTGGCAACATCACACCAAAGGTCGTGTACTCTGCCAGAACAATCACACGCATTGCCAATGAGCTAAGGACAGTCCAGCCGGGCACAGAGTCATCAATCATCGAGGAGGAGAGGAGCAAGACTGTTCGGAAGTTGAAAGAGCGCGCGGACCATCTGATTGACACACAAATGGCTCACACTGGATCTGGGTCCATACCAGATGGGGTCGTCCATTTCCCTATTGGCAAGACTATACTCATCACTGGAGGAACAGGATTCCTTGGCTCACACATATTGAATGCACTCATTCAAATTGATGATATTGACAATGATCATAATCAAAAGATAGTGTTACTTGTGAGGAATCCAGACTCTGCAATGGCATCAATCAATGATCAATTGTCTGGCACTGGGTTGGAACCAAGTCATCAGATGAGTACACTCAATAGGATAAAGGAAAGAGTTATATTTGTTAAAGGAGACATCACACTTGATCGACTTGGCTTGTCACATGACGATTGGACAGCATTGGCAACACAAGTCACATCGATCATTCATGCTGCTGCGCGTGTAAATATGAGCATGACCTTCAACGAGATGGAGTTGGACAATGTAGTTGGCATGATCAACGTACTCAAACTATGCAACCATCGCAAACAAGTGACACTTCACTACATATCCACATTGTCAGTGTTACTATCGACCTCATCAAAGTGGAGTTCAACAACCTCAGCCAACAATCATGTATCTATCAAGATTGATGAAACAATCAATTTAATGGACGAGGATGCATTGGTTTATGGGTCTTATGCACAGACCAAATGGATGTGTGAGTACATCCTTCTCCAGAAGTACACCGAATTGCAACTGTCTGGTATAACCCAACACATTCACAGACCGGCAATGATATGCTCAATGGCACGATCATCAACGGCTCACAACTACCTCGACTCACTGATACGTTCATCACTGGCATTGGGTTGCTTCCCAGATGTCCACGAGAGGATACACACGGATATCACTTCGATCGATCAATTCATCAAACCATTCATTCAAACTGTGATGGCACCTGGTTCAAGAACATCACCAAGCTACTACCTGTATCACAACGAGTCCATCTCATTACCAACACTATTCAAAATGATTGCGCCTCGACATCCACTTGTCCCAGTCCCTGAATGGAAAAGACTACTAATGAGCAAGATTGATGGTGATCAAACATCCAGTTTCCTTCCACTACTCGATCTTATTGATGATGAAGCAGACTATGTAAGTACAATTCCAGAGGTGCACTCACTGGATTTGATTGATTGATATGTTACTGATCAGTGCCATACACATCCAAAGACTTTGTTTGAGCGTGTATTATTTCCAGGTCGATTCATAGTAGATCAAGAGAGTTCCACATTACAATCCAATGTGATCAAGGAGTATATTACATCATTTCAAACATATGTTTGAACATTACCAAAAAAGGATATTTGTTTTGGAAACCTGGGGGCAAGCCCTGACCTCACTCCGACTCCTCCCTCATTTCTGTAGTCTCTCCTAAAGTGTTACTTCAGTTTGATTTCAATCATAAACATTAAACACTACATATAAACATACATGGAGAGGACACAATACACAAAAGACACTCTTCAAGAGGAGTCATCTACATCAACCACACAATCATCAACATCAACTGCATCATCAAACACATCAATGGTTGTTGTTGAGGGCCCTGCATCAGAGGTTGCCACCAAAGTCTTCAAGAACAAATACCTCTTCAAACTGATTCTCAAACATATGCCAATCTTTAGTTTGAAAGGGTCAAAGCTGACCACTGGCTGGGGCGTTGGATGGCGTGATGCTTTCATACTCATGCTCACGGCGGACTCGGGTAGTAGACAGGGCACTTGCTGGAGTTTCACAAGGATCAAGCATCTTTCGACAGGTTTCATCGCTCGATTTGGAATCAGAATGGGAAAGAACACATCTACGCCCAACTATAGTGTTAGTGCCGATGGTATGGCCTTTGTCATCCAGAACTCAAAGTATGGACCAGGCGCATATCAAACCGAGAGTGGTGGTGCTCATTGTGGTTATGGAGGCATCGATAACAGTATCGCCATCGAGTTCAACACATACTACAACCAGGATTGTAACGATCCCAATGGCAACCATATATCTTTACACACCAATGGAACTCAGCCCAACTCTGCCCATCACGATTACTCACTGGGTCACGCTACACCATCAGTCCAGATGAATGATTATAGATTACATCATGTGATACTAACATATAATCCACACGTAGAAGGAGGAGGAGAGATGTCTGTGAACTTTGATGGTGCAGACCTACTCAAAGTCAAAGTCAACATTGCCGAATTACTCAGACTGGAAAACAACGATGAGGCCTATGTTGGATTCACCGCTGCCACTGGATACTATCATCAAGAGCATCTTGTACACTATTGTATCATGCATAGGCTGACATAAATATTATTTTTAATTTAAAGACCAAGACTTTGGAATAGTTCCATTTTACTTGGTCCTGTTTTGTGTTCCCCCCACTTGGAAACGAATGTCACTTTTTCCCTCAAACGAAATGAGGGAAAAAGTTCGGGTTGAACCAAAGATCGTATTATATTCATTGATTAAGGTCACATGAATAGATAAGATACATGGAGAAGATTAAATACACTAAGCAAAGTCTGGAAGCAGAGTCGATCAATCGTATTAGACAAATTTGTGTTGGTCTTGGAATAAAAGCCAAAGGTACCAAAGATAGTATGATCAATCTAATACTAAATAATACCTCACAACTTGTCGAGTCGACTCCAACAACAACATCAACTACATCAACAACAACAACAACAACTAGGACAAATGTTGAAGGCAATAGGAACACATCAGCCATATTATCAGTCTTGAAGAACAAATACCTTGTCAAACAAATATCTAAGTATTGGCCAATGTTCACATTGATACCTAGACAGATGACTCCTGGCAAGACTGTTGGATGGCGTGAAAAGAGTATACTTGTGCTCACCGAGAATAGAGGTGGCGCAAATGCAACCTGCTGGAGCTACCGAAGGATCAAACAWTCTCTCAACTGGTTTCATTGCTCGATTTGGCATCAAGTTGGGCACTTCTGGGGGTTGGGGCGGCGGTGCCGATGGCATGGCCTTTGTCATCCAGAACTCAGAGCAAGGACCAAAGGCATTCCGACCCGAAAGTGCTGGATGTTATCTTGGCTATCATGGCATCGATAATAGCATAGCCATCGAGTTTGACACATACCAACATGGACACTTTGGCGAAGTCAATAGCAATCACATCTCAGTACAGTCCAATGGAACCAAGCCCAATTCTGCCGATCATAAGTACTCACTCGGCCAGGCAACGCCACTGGCTAGGTTAAACGACTATCAGTTGCATCATGTTGTGGTCACCTACAATCCTTATGTTCCTGAAAATGAACATCAGATGACAGTGGGCTTTGATGGAATTGACATTATCAAGTGCAAGGTGAACCTAGCAGAGCTACTCAATCTGGAGAATAACGATGAGGCATATGTTGGATTCACAGCTGCAACAGGTATGTGTCATCAAGAGCATCTTGTATACTATTGTAACATTGACAGGTTACTACCTTGAACGTAATAAACACATAACATTATTCAAGTTCTTTACTTGTTACTCCTTGTGGAGATGGTACCCGTCCCACCTACATGGTATGGGTTCATAAGTAGTTCGCTTACACTAGATGAAGTCGATATATATTGTTGTTGATGATGTTGTTGATGCTGGTGTTGTTGATGATGTTCATGTTGTTGTTGATGTTGTTTGAGTACATTTGAGTTGGCAGAGTCGATGAATGGAGGTGAGGAGTTGCCAGGTGGAGATGAGGATGAACCACGAACATCTTCCATACTACTGCCAGCACTAATATTGTTGCCAAAGCCATTCTTTAGTAACTCTTCCTTCTCCTTGGCAGTGAGGAATCGGCCACCATTTCCACGAAGTCTTCTCAAAGCATGTTGGTGTCTACTCTCATGTTGGTAGGGCTTGCGAACCTTTAACAATTTGCTCTCTGATTCAATCTTTGCTCTTGCAATCCTCCTCTTCAATATCCTTGCATATTGTTTAGCATTAACATATAATGGTTGTTCTTCAATCATTTGTTGTTGTTGTTGTTGCTGTTGTAATAATAATTGTTGTTGTTGTTGTTGTTGTTGTTGTTGTTGTTGATGTTGGAGTTGTTGTTGATGTCGAACAATTGGAGGTAACTTATGTCAATGATGAAGTATCAGTAAGTTACATTTTAATCAATAGTATTTATATATTTACTTACATATTTAGAGAATGGTATTGTTTGTTTATCAATGTCGATGTTAGGATTATGATGTTGATGATGATGATGATTATTGTTCATCATTTCATTGTGATTGTGCTCAGGCATTGATGTAGACACGGAAGAGGCGGAGGAACCAGATGACCCAATGGGGTAACCAGAGGCAATTTGGTAGTTGCTTGGTATTGATTTGTCAGATGATGTCCCTGGTCCGTGGACATGTCCAATAGAAGTAGAGGCGGTTGACAATGTCATTGTTGATGATGATGATGTATTGTTATTATTATTGTACGAACTATTATGATGATTTGTTGACATAGGTTAGGTAAGGATGATGGTTAAAAACTCTAAAGATAGTATGTTCCCTATTGTAGGTTGATGATGGTTGATAATTAATAAATATTATATAATATCTGTCCAGTTAGATTAAACAACAAGGTCCAAGGAAGTAAGTTGGTAGATATCTACTGTGTCCTGTATTTATAAATAAACCAAAGGATCGAGGAAGTTAGTTGGTGCACTTGTTGTTGTTGTAGTTGGTTGGGTTGGGTTGGTGGGACGAGGGGATGAAAGGATGGATGAAAGGATGATAGGATGGGAAGAAAGAAAGACTTGTCAGGGCAGGTTTGTGTTAAGCAGGATGATGTAGTAGAGCGAGCAGTTATTGTTTTGTTTGGTTCAGCCCTCTCTACATTTTGGGACCAAACCCACCACCAACATGTGATCACTGGTAGTGTCTTCAATCATATATTATTCATTCATTGCAGCACCACCATTGCTACAACCAACAACAAATGGGTTGGGAAAATCCATCATCTTAATCATCATGATCGTTTGGTGTACGAATGGACATGTTGGTGCCTTGCATGCTTGAACTACTATCACTACAACTACATTGATACCATTGATGGGGTGGGTAGCTGAGGTGGATGGATGATATGGACTATACCGGTGTTGTCTCTACTTGTAAGGGTATGTGATCGTTTATGGTCAATGTCAATTTTGATTGGTCGACTCTTTAGCCCCCACCCCCCCCCCACTAAATCAGGCAAGAAACACACCATGGTGGTGTGTTGTTAGTTTGGTGAAGGTTGTTGTTGTTGGCAACACATTGTTTGTTTGCTTGTTCGTGGTGGGTTGAGTCAGGGTTGTTGTTGTTCTTATCGCCCACTCAAGTCTAAAATATCGATGAAGAGAGATAATTATTATTATTTCGTAAGAAGACTCGATCAAACAAATAAGTAAGTATAGTGAAAATTATAACATATAATATGAAATGAATGAATATATATGTTCTTGGACTGCAATGAACCAAAGACAGACAACATTCAGCCCCGACATGTGTCTGTGAGAATTAGAATTACTTCCTTCCTATCATCAACATGCTTGCTTGATTAGGTAATGAATAATCCTTATTCTTTGCAGCTTTGAGCATAAACAATTGCTTTGTTTGTGTCTTCTTCTCTCGGTTTTGTGTGTGAGGAAATTTGAATTCCGATATTAAATATGGTTTAATTTGATAAGAGGGGTGTGGGAACTCAAGGGAAGGAAGATGAGCTTCACCTGTCTGGTGTGAACAACACATACATTCGTGTGTTGTGTGAGTGAGGATCTGAAGTGAACATGCTTCCTCTCACTCACGCCACTATCTCATTCAATGTTTTTGGTCCAACCAATCAATCATACATACACATAATAAGATATCAATAATATTAATAAGTTATATATTTCTATTACTTACTTACATAAACATATACATATACATATAAAATGGTCGTCCCAGTTGGAATTAATGGTTTTGGTCGTATCGGTCGTTTGGTCCTCCGTGCTTCAATTGAGAACCCTGCTTGTCAAGTCGTCGCTGTCAACGAGCCATTCATGGATGTTGACTACATGATCTACATGTTCCACTACGACTCTGTCCACGGACGTTTCAAGGGTACCGTCGACAAGGATGCCGAGGGACACCTCGTTGTTAACGGAAAGAAGATCCACGTCTTTGCCGAGTATGTAAACATACAATTCAATCATTCAATCGATACTTGATCACTAACGACAATCTTACTCATTATCAATCAACTATTATAGGAAGGACCCAGCTAACATTAAGTGGGGATCTGTTGGTGCTCACTACATTGTTGAGTCCACTGGTATCTTCTTGACCACCGAGAAGGCTGGTGCTCATTTGAAGGGAGGTGCCAAGAAGGTTATTATCTCTGCCCCATCTGCTGATGCCCCAATGTACGTCATGGGTGTCAACGAGGAGACCTACGTAAACTCTGTCGATGTGCTGTCCAACGCCTCATGCACCACCAACTGTCTCGCCCCATTGGCCAAGATCATCCACGAGAACTTTGGCATTGCTGAGGGTCTCATGACCACCGTCCACGCCGTCACCGCCACCCAAAAGACCGTCGATGGTCCATCTGGAAAGGACTGGAGAGCCGGCAGAGCCGCCAACTGCAACATTATCCCCGCCTCCACCGGTGCCGCTAAGGCCGTCGGTAAGGTCATCCCAGCCCTCAACGGAAAGCTCACTGGTATGGCTTTCCGTGTTCCAAACGCCGACGTCTCTGTCGTCGATCTCACCGTCAGATTGGAGAAGGGTGCCACCTACGATCAGATCAAGCAGGTCCTCAAGGCTGCCTCCCAGTCCGACAAGTACAAGAGATTCTTTGGCTACACCGAGGATGAGGTCGTCTCCTCAGACTTCATTGGTGACACCCACTCCTGCATCTTTGACGCCAAGGCTGGTATCTCCTTGAACGACAACTTTGTTAAGCTGGTTGCCTGGGTAAGTCAAGTCATCTTTCCTGTCAAAGAACCATCCATCATTACTAACATGTCCTCTCCTATCTACTCTCCTCTCTTCTTCCAATCAATCAATCATTAGTACGACAACGAGATGGGTTACTCCAACCGTGTTGTTGACCTCATCTGCTACATTGCCGGCAAGCAATAAGCGGCGTCCACACTCTCCCACCCAGTACTGTCAAAGATTCATCTTGTCTACAGCATTGGTTTCACGTTAAGCGTGATGATGCATTGTTTAATAAATTAGAGTCATCATCTATCCCCTACCTACTTCTCTCCATTGTGTCTGAACGCCTTCCTCCCAACTTCCGGAAGTGCGCACCTTTGTGTTTTGATTGAATGAATCGACCTGCGCACTTAGTCAAGTCACATCATAATAACATACAGATAGATAGATAGACATGCTCAAGATTCAATCATTCATTGTTCAGCATGGTAGTAGTTGTAGAGGTATTGCACGAGCAACCTCCACTTCACACTTCCTCACATCGATATCATCTTCATCACACTTGAGAGCTGCAACCTTTGCCTCCAAGAAGCCAAACAAAGACACCTTTGGCAAACAAGAGGTCATCGAGACTCCATCATTGTTGACCATAAGTTCATACTATAGGTATGTACCTATGCTAGTTAGATGACGACGCGACAAGAATGCTGTACTTACATCATTATGTATGAATGATACACATCAGATATCCAGAGTTTGGAGTCAACAACTATGTTAACTTGACTAGGGAGACTGTGTTGATGGTGAAGAAGCCAAGTGATAGTCTATTCAACTCAACAACCAAAGCAGTATATGGTGTTGGTTGTGCACATGTCACACATCCATTCCTCTATCCCTATCTTTACAGTGAAGATCGACATCAACTATTGCTCGCACTAGGTGAATCAAACATAAAGACACAGTTAGAGTATAGAGATGTATGTTACAAGTGGCCGACATCAATCATTCGATCAATCAATCGCTCACTCACTCATTCAATCAATGAACAGCAAAAGACAGGTAGGGTACTACAGACAGTACCATTACATCGACCATTCTACCTTCATCCAACACTAGATCTAGTCTGCTTCAAGATGAACATTGATGACTTGTTGAAGAGTAACCTACCCTTCAAGCCATCGATACTAGAGTTGGAGAAATATGAAGAGCCACGCAAAGGACATGTATGTGATTCATCACGATGGACCTGGCACGTGACTAACACTCACTCACTCAATCACTCAATCAATCAATCAATCAATCATGATCAATGAATGATAGACTGGTAAACTATTTGGATATCAAATGATTAGTGATAAGGATGATATTATGACACCTGTTGAGAGCGAGTATAGATTCAATGTGGCAGAGCCAGCCAATCACTTTGTTCAAACAAAGTCTGTGATGGCACCAAGTATAAGAGGAGGACCCGCTGTCAACTTTGACAATGAGGTGGTTGGTATGATCGTTGCCATGGTCAAGCTGGATCCCAAGGCAATCGAAGAGCACGAAGATGAGAACAGAAGGATATTCCTTAATTCACTCAATTCCAACACAGTATATCTACCATCTGAAGTGATCAATCAATTCATCTCTGTAAGTTAAGTTATAAGACATGTCTTGCTTGGCATGCATGAATTATTGTATTAACACATCACATCACATCAATCAGGAAATTGACAGCAGCTGAATCTAAGAATAAAGGTTTGGTCATTCATTCATTCATTCATTCATTCTGGAAGTCCAGTCCAATCCAGTCCAATCCAGTCCAATCCAGTCTCATCACACACTCACACGAGTTGGAGTCAGATTGTGGATGTGTGTGGGTGTGTGATCGATTGTCCTCCACTTCCATTATTCCGATACTCACACACACCCTCACACACACAACGAGGCTGACGAACAACATGGCCATGTCCTACTCCCTCTACATATATTGGGAGTGGTAGGTACTCCAACAGCATGTCCTTGGTACTCATCCTGTATCGATCGTGTTCTAACTCACTCACTCACTCTGGCGTGAGCGCCAAAGAGAGAGTTAGAGAGTAAGTGGAACAGCGCTCCAATGGTTCTCCATGTTTAAAGGGTTGTGCCGATGTGTGCTACCATGAACTGCGACTTATCAATCCAATCCATTCTCCTTAAAGGTAAACCCCGAGCGAAAGGGCTATCCGGCTCGCGAATGTCGGGCATGAATAATGGGGGAAGAGCACAGCGACAATCCCCACACTACTTCATGAGTGTCAATACCCAGCCTGGTAGTATGTCTATTTAAAGATACAACTCATTACTTAAAATATCCACAGTAGTAGATAGTTGTAGTGCAGCCTTCCTTCCACCTTTCTACATAACCAAGTTACCAACTTCCAGATTCATAAAGATATTAATATTCCCATCAACATATCAATCCAGTAACAATCAAAAATGATTAGAGTTGGATATATTATAGCGATTGCATTGCTATTGATGAGTGTTGTACACTCTTATCAAGAGATGACATTGACTGTTACACCAAGAGGGTAAGTTTTTCTCAATCAAATCCAACTTTGGAAAGAAAATATTAATATTATTATTATCCAGAGGTAACTTTGGAGCCACTCCAGTTGGTGATCACTTCTATAAATTGAATAGATCCACTCGGTCCAGAAATAGTATGTTCATTCATCCACATCAATCACTCAATCAATCAAAATATTAATATTAATCTTATTATTTCCAGGACATAGACGCAAGGATACCAATGTTGATGACCATTTAAATGGTAATTTATTTCAAGTGAATACTTTGGTGACGGTGGCCAATAGATCATTTATTGTTCAAGTGGATACTGGTTCAACTTTGATGGCTATTCCATTGGTAAACTGTAGTTCATGCGAGGATCGCCCTGCAGATCGTATGATTTACGATCCATCCGCGTCAAGGTTCTCAAAGTTGGTCAAGTGTAACAGTGAGAATTGTTTGAGCTCTGGTTCGTCAAGACCAAGATGCAGCATGCAACTCAAGGAAACATGTGACTTCCGTATCTCATACGGTGATGGATCATCAGTGTCTGGACAACTCTACGAAGATATGGTCACATTGGCTGGACTTTCATCCATCGCACACTTTGGAGCCAACGAGTATGAGAGTGATCATTTCGAATATCCTGACGCCGATGGTATCTTGGGACTTGGTCGATCATGCAAGACATGTGTTCAAACTGTATTCGAATCAATTGTCAAGAATACTGGTGTTAAGAGTATGGGTGACTGGAATCATTCCAATCAATCAATCAAATCAATCAAACTAACATAATGTCCATGGAACACAATAGATATATTCTCAATGGTATTGAACAATGAAGGTAGTGGAGCAATGTCAATGGGCGATATCAATCCACATTTCTATTCTGGACCAGTACTTTATACACCAATCCGTGCATTTGGACCATTCTACACAATTGGTTTAACATCATTCAAGATTGGCAAGACCTCAATCGACCCAAGATTATTTGGAAATGTTATTGTTGATAGTGGAAGCACTGCATTGACCCTCGCCAGTGGAGCCTACGACGCCCTCATCAAATACTTCATGACCAACCTCTGCAATATCCCAGGTGTCTGTGGATATCCAAACATTTTCGATGGTGTATGTATATCACTCAGCGACTCCTTGTACCAATACTAATCATTCAATCACAAACATAGTCCATCTGTTTTAGGGAGGATACATTGATCAACTCATTCCCTATATTGTACTTCACATTTGCAGGAGGTGTCGTGGTACCAGTTTACCCGATTAACTATCTTATCCGTGTGCCATTGACATCGGATGAGGTTGGTTATTGTTGGATGATTGATAATGGTGACTCGGATATGACAATCCTCGGTGATGTCTTTATGCGTGGTCTACATATTATATTCGATAACGAGAGCAATCAAGTTGGTTTCAGCATTGGAAAGTATAACAACAAGGTCATCAATCCACGTATGACCATATCAAAGTCACGTGATGTTGATATCAATCTCAACGTTGATGATGCTGTCAACCTGGATGTTGGTCTCAATCTCGAAATGGATGAACAAGATCTTTAACTTGATTATCATATGACACTCGCTCGCCAATCACGAACATGGAAATAAAATTACAAGTTTCCGCCCTCATTTGATCATTTGTTCTCATTCATTCAATCTTACATGTATAGATATATATAATATGTGATTGGCCGAACGAACAATATATCCATGGATAGAAGGACTCAACATAAGTCCATCCCATCACTTGGACACTACACATCAAGAAGGATCGAACGACAATCTCGTCAGAGATCAACTCTGTTACACCAATCACTTGCAGAACTGCGAACCTTTGCTTGGGTCCTAGATGACATTGCCAAGATACAAGATACAATCAAGGTATGTATGATTGCGACAAGATCAAGCACATGATCACTATCACTATCAGCTGACTCACTCACTCATTGATCAATCACAAGAATGGTACAAAGAGCAATGCTATTACAAAGCTAAGATGCCTACTGTCTAATCATAACATGACGAGTGTAGATTATATAATTGATCATGTGATTTCTAGTGTGGATATGATGACATTGATCAATGATACGTTGTCAGACTCATCCAATGATACCAATCAATCAGAGGCAGCATGGTGTATTACAAACATTGCAGCGGGTACACACGAGCAGACTGCAACAATCATTCATTGTACACCATTGCTGATCTCCTATCTATCAATTGAGAACACAGTACTTCAAGAACAATGTACATGGGCACTACTCAACATTGCCATCGATTGCCCCGAATACAAAGAGATGTTAATCGCACAGGGCATCGTCCATCCACTCATCAGACTCTTCTCCAGCACGTCGTCAAGTGTGACAACATTCAACTGTTGTTGTCTGATTGTGTCACTGATCACAACATCCCAACACCAACAACAACTAGTTGGCATGGGACTGATAGCATGTCTAAAGGAGAGGATAACAAGGTTCCAAAGCGCATCAAGCATTGACACACTATGCGAGTTGTTATGGCTACTCAATGACATTGTATCAATGGACACTACAATGTTAACATTGCATAGTGTAGTCAATCAAGGCTACTTTATAACATTGGAAGGTGTACTACTCGATGATACACCTGCACACATTGTACTTCCAATCATTCGTACACTTGGTCTACTGTTCACCGACACCAGATGTGCATCATACATCATGCACAATAACAATACTTCGTTGAAGTCATTGCTCGCCAAGCTCATTGCCAGGTTGAGTAATACTACTACCACTGGTCAACCACCGAGGATCATCAAAGAGATAATATATCTCCTAAGCAACATATCAGCGATTGATCCAACACCTGTCGATGGCCATTCCAACAACATATCAATGATATTGGTACAAGCTGGATGTCTTCCAATGTTTGACTCTTGTCTCTATCAGCTCGATCCTCTCACTGCTCCCAAGGTAAAGGTAGAGCTAATCTATCTCATTCACAATCTATCACTGGATCCATCTGTTCGCGATACAATCAAACAATACTTCAAGCATATTGTCATCGCCGTTTCTGCAGTCGACTCCCAACTTCTTTCATTTCCCGAATCGATACGTCTCAATATACAATCGTTGTCAATGTAACACTGCCAATCGTTGCAGTTCGTCCTACTATATATATTACTATTACTATACAATAATTCCCTTATTCGTCCTCCTGTATACATCTATCTACAAGTTCTGATATCTCTGGTGTCTCCAACGCAGCCATGTATCGTTCTTTATCATTGATCTGCTTGTTGACTGAGTGAGTGTTAGTGAGTGAGCGACTATGTCGTCTATGTCATCAACATACTCTCATCTTCAGTTTGATGAGTGCCTGGCTTAATGTAGATGGTAACCTTTGAGGGCTTGGGAAGTTGCTTTTCAATCTTTTGCCGTAGACATAGGGCAATGGTTGGAGCAAGGTGGCAATGTGGCACTGTTGGCTTGAACAGTATAGTAATCGAACAGTGATCGCATGACGTATCATCTTCAACCTCGATGTTGTCCTCCTGAACTACATTCAACTCTTCCAATGTGTTGGGGAGTTCGGGATCTGATTGAAATGGTCAGTTATGTTAGATATGAACCTTTTATATATGTATATTAATCTCTCTCATTATCTACCTACCTTTGATCGATCTTATGATATCTGTTTAATCGATTGATTGATTGATAGACGGAAGAATTGGAGTGCACATTGATTATTAGTTCTTCTGATCTCTTATGATTGATCTGTTAATGCAAATGCATACCATATATATCGACAGAGTCTACTTTGTTATAATAGCGGCTATTCATTATTCATTGTTGAAACTTGTTGTAATTCTAACAAACAGAAATGAAATTTCCTATCCCGATAGGGGGAAATGTTGGTTTTTGAAAATTTGGGTTCCCAAATTTTGAAAACTATAAAACTAGTGATTCCAGATGTCCAGACATCAATTCCCCTTTGGTCTAGTGGTGAGGATTTTCGCCTGTCACGCGAAAGGCCCGGGTTCAATTCCCGGAAGGGGAGGAAACCTTTTGCCTCACTTAAAAAATCTGTTTCTCTCAAAAGGTCGCAAAAAAAAACAATAAAAAAGGCCTCCCCGTTCGGGAATCGAACCCGAGGTATCAGTGTGAGAGACTGAGGTGTTACCAACTACACCAACGAGGATATTTTTGATTAAAACACTATTTTGCTTTTGAGTCAAAATTTTTTGCATTTTTTCCCTTAATGTCTGGCATGCCAGACAATTGCCATTGATTATCCTTTCGGATAAGTGAATAGCCATTGAATATATATATATGATTAGCAAGCGAATTGCAATTGAATAGAACAATTACAATCTTTAATTTTAATATTTAAAACATGTGTCGATCAAGGATAATAAACGGCGATTTGAAAGTGTGAGCACTCCATGAAGGTTGGATATAAACAATCTGGGGGGTTTATTGAAGAACACAACGAAGCAGGAGGGGATTTACACGTTGGGCTTGTCCTTCTTTCCACGATAGATGGCAAGCAGAGCAACAGATGAGACCTTGACAATCTTGAATCTGACACCTGGAATATCTCCGACGGCATGGCCAGAACGACCGAAACCAGCGACCAAGACCTTGTCGTTCTCCTGAATGTAGTTGAGACAACCGTCGTTGGGAACAAAGGCAGTGACCTTCTTACCGTTCTTCTTGAGCTGCACTCTAACACACTTACGAATGGCAGAGTTTGGCTGCTTGGACTCAATACCCAAACGCTGAACAACGATACCAGAGGCGTGGGAGGCACCTCCGAATGGGTTAGCCTTCAAGGCAGTTCCAAAATGTGCCTTCTTGTAGGTCTTGTCGTGCCATCTCTGAACGCGACGATGGTTTCTGAGCTTTCTAGCCGTTCTCAATCCCTGTGGTTTACTACATTGTGAGATTGATCATCATTTCGATTGTATTAATACATCTGTAATCCCTATCACCAATCTATCCAATCTAGATCAAGTCAAGGTATCCATCGACACACACTGCGCTGTTCATTCATTCATCACTCAAGAAGTCGAGTCATCAATCCCTCAAAGATCATTGAGGATATCGCAATCCCGATGTGTATCCTGTATATGGTCCATCCATCTATTCTGTCGACTGATTGTGAGAGGATACACTACCCCATGGTTGTATCGTGATCGTGTAAGAAGCGAAAAGGATGAGCTTGATGCTGAGCACCAACCCTTGACCCTCACTGACACACACACACAGACTTGATGCCCTTTGTATTTGTTTCAATTTAATTTTTGATGAGAAATCACTGGAATTTATGCCCGATTTGATAGAAACTGGATGATTGGTTGATTGATTAAATAAATAAATAGATAGGTATGTTTATTATGTAATATAAATATATATATAAAGTTATGTATGTAATTGAATAAACAATGTTATGTTTGATCCAAGATTACACTTGTTGTGGTAACTGAGGTGGAGTGGAAAAAAAGTATGGAGCGATTGATCGAGATGGAGTGATTGATTGGTGATAATAATAATAATAAGTAGTAGTATGTAAGTGATTAGCGTCTGGGTGGTGGAACTGGTTTCATCGTTGGTGGTGGAGCATTGGATAATGGTTTGGCTGTTGATATGGACGGAGACGTGTGGTGTTGGACGACCACTTGTGAAGTTGTTGATTGTTTGATTTGGTTTGTTGATACTGGAATTGGCAATGGTCTAGATGATGATGATGATAATGATGGTTGATCAATGTTGCTGTGATTATTGTTGTTGTTGTTGTAGTCTGTTGCTGATTGAATTGATTTCCTTGGTGCAACTGGTGGTGCTTGTTTCTTGACTGATGCTGATAATGATATGTCGCTGACAGTGGGAGATTGAGCAAGTTCGACTGATGGTGGTCGAGAGGAAGGCCTTGGTAGTAAAACTGGACGATTCGAAGTGTCCATCATCATTGGTATTGGTTGTGACAACTTGCGAGGTACAACAGGTGGGGGCATTTGATTGACTTGTGAGGGACTGTTGTTCGATATTGGTATTGGTGTCGACTTTCTTTGAGCAGTTGGTGGCTTGGATTTGGTGATGAATGGAAGATTAGGTGATACATTTGTCAGCTGGATTGATGGTGGTTCCTGGATGCAGGCCGTTGGCTGTGGTGTCATTGTCCTCGGACTGATGTGTGGAGGTGTCGTCATTGTCCGCACAGGAGGCAGTGGTACCTTGAATGTACCAGATGTCCTTCTTGGACTGGCTGGAGGAGTAGTAAAGTCATTGGTGGTGGTGGGAGGTGGCATCCTTCCAGGTGAAGAACTTGTCAATGTAAGTGATGCTCTTGGGCTGGAGGATGTGGAAGTTGGGGCCGATGATGTCTTGGCGGCGGCATCGTTCAGCATTGATGACAAGTTGGACAGTGATTTGGATGTTGTGTGTGATGGAGCAGGAGGCAGTGGCTTGGATGGGATTGTGAAGCTCTTGCTGGTGGTCAGAGCTGCAGTGGAGGTGGCCGATCGTGCCAATGACTTTGCCATTGGATCACTTGGGGAGGATGGATTACCAGTGGCAATGGTGTTCCTCTTGATCGTTGGATCAACATCATGGTCCAGCATCTTCTCGTACTCTCTTGCCGACTCCTCTTTGAACGGCTTGGACAGTTGTTCAATCTCATTCATCCACTCCATCTTTTGCTCGTAAGTGTCAAAGAGCAGTGTGAGTTTGCGTCCATCGCGACCAATCTGTCCCAGCTCGCATGTGTTGCAGAATGTGCCTCCAGTCTTTTGCTCATTGTCCACAATCGTAATGCAGCCAATAACAAAGAGAGTCTCTAGTTTGATGGACTTCTTCTCTTTCTTTGTTCGCATGATAATGTCGTTGAACAGGTAGTAGGTGCACTTGCCAGAGATCTTGTCCCTCTCATCGGTCAACTCTTTGATCGTATCCTCTCGTATAAAGTATCTGGTTGGTGATAGGAGTTCGAACTTCTACATGTATGTATGAGCGTGGCGTCAGTGAGACCTTCCAGGATGTCCGCGACACTGACAGACACAAGTGTCTACTTACCTCCGTGGACTCTAGTTGCTCATGTATTTGGAACATCTTCTGCTGTGCATCAGCTCGTCGTTTGTCCTCATTGATAGAGGCTACGACCGCCTCGATCTTTGCATAGGCATCATTGAGCGAAGGTATGTCCGGATGGCTTTTGTCGCTGTTCTTGATCAACTCGCGTAGTAGCAGTGGGTATTTACACAGACGTTGGATGGGTTTGATGAGCATGCTCTCCAGGTGGATCATGCGACACTCGGGCAGCGCCTGCTTCTCCTCGAGATACTGCTTAAAGTGCGCGTGCTTCTTGATACACGCGGCCAGATGCTGGGTGGAGTTCTGGTGATTGGAGCAGTATGTCGAGTAGACCTTTAGGAAGTCGGCCAGCAGGTTGAAGCAGGGGCCCATGGAGATTCCATCGTTGACCTTGGCGGTCTTGACTAGGTTTTCCAGCATGGCCTGGTTGACACCGAGTAGCACTTGGATGTTGGAAAAGATGATGTTGATGTCCTTGTCCGACAGTATCTTGTTGTCCCTCAGGGGCATCATTATTACGTTGATGATGAGATCCAGGTCATCGACATAGTCCTTCTCTGTGTTGATCAACTCGTTGATGACCTTGTTGCGCATCTTGGTATCGCCATCCTCGCTCACGATATTCTGATGCACCTTTCGTTCGAATGACTTGGTCAATGTGATGGGCGCTGGTAGGTCATTGTCGTCGGCTGTGTCGATCGCCGAAAGATCCATTGATGTTAGACCAGGTAGAGGTTGCATCAGAGTCGAGCCTCTTGGAGATGGATTAAGGCTTCTCTGTTTGTTCGTGCCGCTTCCTCCTCCTCCACTATTCAACATGGCACGGATGATCTTTTGGCGTTCCTTGTCATCCTTCTTTGCGCGGTCACGTTCATCCTTCTCAGCCTTTTCCAATCGTTTCAACTCTTTCTTTGTTGTTGATAGTCTTTTACTATTACCAACATCGCCATCGTCATAATCATCATTATTATTTATATTATCAAGTTTGAGGTGTGGCAAATTGAGTGAATGAGCAATATTGTATATTGTTCCATGTTTGTTTGTTGATGTTGTTGCTGTTGTTGATGATGTTGTAGTGTCTTTGTCCACCCCACAATCTGTAGAACCTATTACGGAAGTCAACTCTATATATGGTTATAAAGATAAAGTGTAGTGAAGGTGTAGAGAGAGCAAAGATGTGGTTAGTTGTCTCTGTCCTTTCATTCATTCACTCATTCATCCATTCATGCATTAATTATGTGTATAGAGATAATGTATTTATATATACCTTCTATGAAATTCATTCCCATCCTATTCTCTTAGACTGTCATTAACTACAATGAAGAATCACAATGGTAGTACATATAATATAAAAGTAAGTACACTAATTAATAGAAATAAATAAAGGTTAATATAAGTATCTTTATCTCTATGGTTTACTATATACTACTAACAATGATGAATCAAATAACTATTCATCAATCAATCTATCAACCAGTCAGACAGTGATCCTCCTGTCAGTCTATCTATCGTGACAAACCAATCAATCAAACAATCAATCACCCACTATTATTTGAAGGTCACATACACCAAAAAAGAGAGGGAACAGGAAAGAGGGCACACATTAAAAGTTTGAAAAGTTCCCAAAAAGTTGTGATTGTGGGGGCTCGCAAGTGCCCATTCACCCTCGTTAACAAGCAAACAAACAACAGAGCCTGTTTAGGTAGTGATAGGTCGCAAAGATTACATCTTTGTAAAATGAGAGAGGCTGGTTGTTTGTTTGGTTAATGTTATTTATTATACATTTATAATGCTGGATAGATGGACGATGGCATGGCTATCATGAAACAATGACCACCTCTCTATCTCTTCTCTCTCACTTCTATATAATCTAGCTCGCTTGCTTATCCATAGAATCCTGCATCGATGTTGGTCACGGCAACTGGGGCAAATGATGTCACTCCTTGATCTTCCATCTCCTTGAGGTGTGCAATGACTTGTCTGAACGTGGGCCTCTTGTCGGGATCAGAGTCCCAGCACTTTGTGATCAGTTCCTTCCACTTTGGCGCGGCTGTCAGTGGGATTGGTGGACGGTAGTTCTCGTGCGCTGCCAGATGAGCCATCTTCTGAGGCTTCATATCTTGTTGTGGCTCCTCTGACGTCAACAACTCCCATAGGATCATGGCGAATGAGTAGACATCACTCTTCTCACTGTTGCAGTCGCCCTTGAACACTTCTGGCGCCATGTAGGGTATGCAGCCGACAGAGGCTGTCATCATGGCGCTGTTCTCCATCTTTAGACGAGACAGTCCAAAGTCAGAGATCTTGCACTTAAAGTCGCTGACCTTGTATGAGCCACGAATGTCCACTGGGTTGTCGAGCAGGACGTTTCCAGACGAGAGATCCCTGTGAAGGATGGGCGGGGTCCAGCCATGCAGATAGGTCATTCCCTTGGCAATGTCCAACGCGATCTTGAGACGCATGTGCGGGTTCTGTTGCAGGATCTCAAAATGATCGACCAGGAATCTCCTCAAGCTTCCACCTCCCATCCATTCGATAACTATACAATGGTGTTCCTCGCTACCAGTGGTACAGGCTCCAAGGAACTGCACAACATTGGGATGTCTCAATTTGCTGTTGTATGAAGTGTTAGTCAGATACTACTGATGGCTTGTGAGTGACAACAAACATACCTTAGGATTGAGACCTCGTTTTGGAACATCTCGAACGATGACTTGGTCTTGAATTGGTCTCGATAGATGATCTTGATGGCAACATCTGTTTCTCTCCAGTAGCCACGCTTGACCTCGCCAAAGAATCCTTTGCCCAACAATGATCCAAACTCCAGCTCGTTGTAGCCGATCTCGTATTCACGACGTTGTTGTTGCTGGTGCTGTTGTTGCTGTTGCTGGTGCGGCACGATGGTGCCCTTGCTGCTCTCCCAATTCGTGAAGGACGAGTCATCCCACCTGTTGTTCGATATGGTGGTGGTGCTGGTGATGACCGGGCGCTGGTTGGCTGGCGCTGTGGGTTGGTCAACTTGGTGTGGCATGAGGAAAGAGGGGTGTGGCGCCGACACGTGGATCTGGTTCGGCTGGGTGACGATTGGTGGCAGGTTGTAGAGTGTTGCTTGCTTGGTGTTCTGTGGTGGATGCGTGCTGCTGTTGTTGTTGTTGTTGCCTTGGCCCTTGGTGCTACCGGCCGAGCCACTGGCGCTACTGTTGTTGCTGGTCCTGTTCTGCTGGACGCTGTGGCCCACCTGCTGCTGGTGGGGGTATTGCTGCTGCGTCCTGGGCGAGAACGTGTGAAAGGGAGGGTTGCTGTTGTTGTTATTTACATGGAAGAGGTCGTTGCGCATGAGGTACTTGAGATGTTCGCCAGACAGGGTCTTGGAGGACTGTTTGTCGTCGATGAAGCTGAGCTCATCCGTGCTGGAGCCAATGCTCCTGCCGCTGATCGTGCTTCGTTTGTTTCGCTCCTCAATCTCCTGGCTGGTGTAGGACTTGGTCGGCCGCATCTGAGACCTAAGTTGGCTGTTGCCATTGTCAAGTGACCCATTGTCGTCGTCTGGCCATCTTAACGCCTTCTTGTTGTATGATTGCTGCTGTTGCTGTTGCTGCTGCTGTTGCTGTTGCTGGTCATCGTCCGAGTCGATGCGGTCGATCAAATTCTCATTTGACGATCCAAACGACTCCATCGAGCCTCCCTTCTCGTTGTATATATCTATCATTCGCTTGACGCGATTCAGTATGTCGGCACGATGTCCCATTGACTCTATGCCAAGCTCGTTCTTCAAGTTGCGATTGGTGAACAGCGGCAGATGTCTTCCACTGATGGTGTTGTCGCAGAAGTTCTTTCGGTACTGTCCATAGCCGATTGATTCGAGCCACACCGCCACATCGTTGGGCGGCCAGGTGAGGAAGCCCTTGGCACGCGTGGGGCCCAGACTCTCGGTCCAGATCGATGGCGAGATGCCTGGCAGTGTGTCAAAGTTGAGCTTGAATGGCGAACTGAATGTGGCAACTGCAATGCCGCTGATCATGAGGTGGCGCAACGAGATGGCTGGGTACAGGGGAATCGTAGGCACGCCCCAGAATGCCACACCAAGGTAGTCACCGTTTCGTGTAAAGAAGATCTCGCGCGTTGTGTTGTTGATGCCACATCCAATCACCGTTGGCTCCTTGGTATCAGTAGTGAACTGTGGGCCGTATGGCTCGCCAATCTCGAAGCCTCCAAACTTCTCGCCGTTGCTGCTGTATCCGTAGGACTTGGACTCGCGGCCAATGTGCTTGTTCAGTGGATGAGTGGCATGTGAGAGTCCCACTGTGATGTCGGTCTTCTTGTCAAAGCCCTCGATGTACACCTCAAAGTAGCAAATGGTCTGAGACGACGAGGGGAATGGGCGGTTGGCAATGGCAACGGCGGTCTTCTTCTTGATCATGGTGATGGATATGTCGTCCTTCATCTTGAGCGACTTGCCGCAGCGACGCCACGCCGAGGGTGGTTGGCCATCGACATCCTGGTATTGGTTTTGGACAAAGTTGATGTCATCAGAGGAGCTGAGAATCTTGCGTGGCGATGTCTTTGGCGATGCAGGTGGGGACATTGAGCCAAACGACAGCGAGGCCATCGTTGACGAAATGTTGTTGGTGGTGTTGGCCGCAGGCAACGAAACACATTGTCGGTGGTTGGCACTGGTGAGTGCGCTGTTGTTGAAGTAGCCTGGTGGAGGTGGAATGGAAGACGATGACGAGTTGGACAGGGAGCCCGACGAGAACGATCCCAGGGACGCGCTAGGATTGACGCTTGATTGCTCGAGAGAGGAGAATGTGAACTGAGACACATCTCCATTCGATGATGTTGTCGAGTTTGGTTGCGACGAGGGTGCTGAGACGTTCGTGAAGGCAGCTCCAATCAAGTTGTTGTTGAGTGTAGCCGATGTTGTCGTGGTGGTCGTCGTGCTTGACACGATCTGTGGATGCTGTTGCTGCTGTGACTGCTGTTGTGGCTGTGTCTGCGCATGCTGAGTGAGGATAGAGTTGTCTCGCAGTAACAATGCCAACTGCGATGACCTGAATACGAATGGCGGAGAGAATGACGCGATGATCGAGCTGCCCGGCTCAATGGCTACGGATGGGTAGAGTATTCCGTAGACATTGGCAAAGGCTGTGCCCAGATATGTTCCGTTCCTCGTGAAGAAGATCTCTCTGGTGTCAAAGATTAGTCCACAGCCAATGACGTCGCCCTTCTTGAAGCCCGGACCATATGGCTCGCCCTCGTTGATAACGGCCGTGACGTCCTTCTCCTTCCACTTGAATTTACGTCCGTCGTCGCTGTGATAGCCATAGGATCGCTTGACCCATCCAATGTGCAGGTTGAGAGGGTACTCCTTGGAGGCCAGACCCACAGACACGTGGCCCTTCTCGAGGGTCTTGATCAGCACCTCAAAGTAACAGAAGCCCTCCTGGAAAGGGTGAGTGCTCTGAACGACACCAATGCTGGGTGGCACCTCACTGGGGATGGTGGCAGCACGGTCCTTGAATGTGATGATACGGCCACTGCGCGTGGTGTCCCAGCGGCAGTTCTCCAGCTCGTCCTTGGGGATGAGGTCCTCAGATAAGGGCGTCTGAGTGGTCTGCTTGTCGGTGGGATGGAACTGGAACGGTGGCATGAAGTTGATGATGACATAGTCGCCAGCGGATTGCAGTCCCACCGTTGGGAACAAGCCCGAGAGGTTGACCTTCTTGGCGGCAATGCCCAAGTATGATCCATTCTTGGTGAAGTACAGATTCTTGTTGGCATCCCATCCACAACCGACAATGTCTCCACTGGCAAAGCCAGGTCCATAAGTCTGTGATGCGTTGCTGACGCCAAGATATAGTTTGCCATCGCCATTGTATCCATATGATCTATACGAGTTGATGAGTTAGTAATCAGATCTAATTGAATGATCGATTGAATGAGTATGAACATACCCTTGAGCAAATCCTGGGAATGTGTCTTGGGGATGCTCTGCGCTCGACAATCCAATGCATATCTTGCCCTCCTTGCCTGTGATGAACAGTTCAAAGTAGGTGAATGAGCTTGAGAATGGGATCGATGCTCGGGATATCTGTTTGATAGTGCACAATGAGAAGGAGGATAGTGTGAGTCATCTTGAGATTGAAGTTAAGGATGTGATGTGATGGGAAAAGACTTACACCTCTAGTACCACTTTGTTGTAAGAGATACGACACTTTGAGACGATCCTCCACCTTGACGACCATCGAGTTGGTCTTCCTTGGGTCCCACTTGGCGTCCTTGAAGTCGACGGCACCAGAGGTGAACCTCTTCTTGATAAATTTGAAGCCCATGCCGAGGAACGACGACGATGAGTCGACTGATTGCTGATCCTGTTTCTTTGTTGTCGTCGGTGTTGTGTTTGCCGACGAAGAGACTGGGAGTGCGGGCGCGGGTGGTGCTGGCGCAGCAGGTGGCTGTGATGTTGTCGTTTGCTGTTGTTGTGGCTGAGCTGGTGTTGGGATTGGAGGAGGTGGTGGTGGTCTGTTGGGTGGCTTACTCGGTGCCTGTGTCTGTGACTGTTGTTGTTGCTGCTGTTGCTGATGAAGTTGTTGTCCGTAGATCGTACTCTTTGAGGGTGATCCACCAGCGGGTGATGTATTGGCTGGCGAGATTGGCGGCGATATATTGATTGGCGATCGACCCTTGAAGTTTGGCGAAGCAGACTGACCCGACAGCGACTGCGAGTGTGGCCTGGCGAATGATGGCGATGAAGTTGCCGGTGAGGATACAGACGGAGAGGCTGAATCTGTTTGTTGTTGTTGTTGTTGCTGTTTAAATTGGCTGTAGCCTGATTGCTGTTGATGTAGTTGTTGTTGTTGTTGCAGCTGTAGCTGTTGTTGTGGTTGTAGATGTTGCTGTGATGGTTGTGTCTGTTGCTGCCTGTTGTCTACAACACCACCAGTTGTGTTGTTAACAATCGAAGGGGCTGTTGGAACAGGTGCCGAAGCTGGTCTTGGCGATCTGGATGTCGGTGATTTGGGCAGTAACAACAATGGTACAGTTGGTGATTGTTGCTGCTGTTGCTGTTGATGTTGATGTTGTTGTTGTTGTATTACAGGTTGCTTTGGTGAAGTCGATGAATGTGATTGTACAGCTTGTGTTGGAGGAGGTGTCAACAAGTCGGTGGATTGGTCGAGCGCCAGCGAGTATTGTCGCGAGGGCTGAGACTGAGAATGTTGCAGCGGCGTCGATACAAAGCTTTGATTGCTGCCGTTGAGGTTGTATCGGGGCGCGCCACCACTGCCTCCAATGTTGTCGTTTGGAATGCTGTTGCTGCTGCTGTTGGTGCTCGGCACGCCTGCACTGCTGTTCACACTGCTGCTCACACTGCTGCCGCCGCTGTTATTGCTGCTGTTGTTGATGCTGCCGGCACTGGCGTTCTTGAAGTTTCGACCGCTGCTGTCGACAGCAAAGAAGTCAAAGTCAAAGTCGGCGCTGTTGAATAGCGATGACGACGAGTTGCTGATGTTGCGTACGACGGGTATTGGTGTTAGCACTTCATTAAAGAGGTCGTGTCCTGAGCTGGTCTGTTGCTGTTGGTGTGGGTGTTGTTGTTGGAGATGGACGTTGTTGCCAATGTTGTGATTGTTCTTTGGGTTGCGAGGTGGTGAAGAAAGGTTGATCAGCGTATTGCTACTCAGTAAACCATCTGCACTATTGTTCTTTCCAACATTGACCCTTGAGTACTGTTGTTGCTGCTGTTGTTGTTGCGGAAGTGGTTTGAATGTCTGCTGTTGTGGTGCAGGCTTGAAGTAGTGCTGTTGTTGTTGTTGCTGTTGCTGCACCGGTGGCGGCCTGACAAAGTTTAGATTTGGATTGCCAATGCTTGAGGCCGACTTGGAGTTGGTGAGCGAGGGGGGAGGGGGAGGAGGAGGCACAGGCGGGGCAGAGAACGATAGCGGCTGGAGGGTCGACTGGGCCTGCTGTTGCTGCTGCGGCACCTGCGCCTGCTGCTGCTGTGAGCTTGATGGTGTACTGTTGGTCGAATTGGACCTGGAGTGCTGTCTAGTATGTCTGCGAACGTATGGCGATGCTGACGACGGTGGTGGTGGCAATATTAATGATGAAGGTGTATGTGTCGGATCCAGTATGTCTATAATTGTTAACTGCGGAGCACTACACAGTCGGGGGTAATTCTCTGTTCAATCAGAATGCTCCTAATTATAATCTTCTTGTTTTGCTATTGAGCCTTTGTTATATATGATGTATATGTATATAGTATATTGTACCTGTTTCTGTATCTGTTGTTGTTATTGTTGTAATAAATATAATATAATATATATCGTATCCTTCTCTGTTTATATATATAAAGTAATAATCGATGTTTAAATACTCTGTTCATTCATTCATTCAAAGGAATAGTATTGTATTAGTATAAAGTGTACTCGGCGCTATCTTCACATCAATCAATCAATCAATCAATCGATTCGATCAATCAATCGCTCTCTGTTTGCTAATTACAGTTTAAAAGTTGTTTGAGTAATAGGTTTATATATAATGTAATAATACTAATAATAATAATAATGATGTTGACGATAATTAACAAACTATGTCTTATGTTGTTGATGTTGGTATTGATGGTTGATGTTGTTGTTGTTGTTGATGTGTTGAGTTGTTAAACACGCATACACACACTATCAATCAATCAATCAATCATACACACTCTATCTATCTCTTTCTTTATCTCTCTCACTCTTCATTCACTCTCTCTCTTGTTTCTTCTTGTTTTCCACTCCCACCCACACACTCACCTTCATTCTCTCTCAACACACCAACCAAACAAACAATAAAATAAATTAAAAAAAAATGAATTTGGTCGATGATCTCACCAGACATCATCAACACTTTGTTGGGCAAACAAGGGTCCACAATGACATTGATTGATTGATCGATTGATTGTGTGTCAAACTGACAAGTCAATGTTCTACATACATTATAAATTATATGATCACTCATGTGATTGTATGAAATGTATGTATGAATGGTTGAATGATTGAATGATCGTTGTCTTGAGATCATCATGTTGAATGCAATGATTACAATCACTCAACAACAACACAAATAGGAGAAGGAAATAACTGTTTTGTGTTTGTGTTTGAAAAAGAGTGTTGTGTTGAGTCTTAGACCAACCTGGGGTTTGTGGTGGTCTGAAGATTGGTCATGGGATTCTCCCAACTACACACGCTTTCTTTGAATAATCAATGATAGCCTCGTTCATCACTCTCGTCTTTCTGATCAGTCATCATCAAAAGATTAGTGTTTCACCATTCAACAACAATGTGTGTCATAAGTTTAGTTTATTTATAATACTCAATTTGTATATTTATCATACATGGATAAATGAATAGATAGTATTATTACTTTAAGTTAGATGATTGAATGATTGAATGATTGAATGATTGAATGTGGTCCTAACATGATATGAGCCATCATTCATCATCATGTTACTTTGGTGACAGGTTACCAACAAATACCAATATCCGAAGAAGACGAAACCAACCTACCTGCCTGGGTGGTCTCGGCTTTAGATGATGGCTCCATCCCGTCCCTAAATTGTTAATAGCCCCAAGTCCGTCCCTTTGCAAACATTACCCATCCTACAAATGTACTCGTAAGTAAAGTAAAGTAAAGTTATGTTAGATGTTTGATAAAATTTATAAATAGATATCAAAGATAGATAGATATTAAGTTTTGTTGTTGGTGTAAGTTCATGTTTCACGATCATTAGGATAAGGTCCAGACGCCATCGGATCCATCACGTGATGGATGATCGATTGATGATGTAGTTGACGTGGCTTTTAAACAACCACACTCACACACTCTGTCACCGTCATGCATACTCGATCAAGCCCACTCACACGATCATTAATTCGTTCATTCAATCAAACAAGCACATCAACATTGATCCCAACAGCCAAACACACTCGCTGACCTCACCACAACCTTAGCACGCAAAAATGTCAGTCGGTCGATCACTTCACCTTTGTTACCAACACCCACTTGGATGTCGTCCACACAACAATAAGACATAGCGAGGATCATGCGCCATTCGGGTTGCCCGATACTTGAAAGCTTGCCAAACTATCTCCACATATTCAATCAAAATGGTGACTGCTGGAGCAGGTGCGTGTGGATATGATGTGTCTCTCGAAATAGATAGTGGTATGACAGATGATTGGACCTTGTTCAATCCATCCATCCTCATCATTTGCTTTGCGGCCGCGCACTAGGTCGTTGTCTATGGCCCTGCCCAACACCATATCACTCATTTGCCCCTTGTCTACCCAGAGAGATAGTATGGCTGGTATGGTATGTGTACTTGGCTTACTTGCTTGGTTTTAGCTGACTGTCTGTCTGTCTATTTGTTTGGTGTCTGCTGACGTACCGACTGCGCAACAAAGGGGGTTTGGCCACCATCAGCTGTGTGTGGGCAGATGGGTGTGGAAAGTGAACGGCACGGGTAAAGGATAAATATATCCAAACCGTGGAAGTGTCATTATATTCAACCAGTCGAGTTATATATATATATTCAAACATATAATTCAATTTCATAAAGTATGTATACCCTACTCTGGAACTATCCCCGGACCCTCTTTGGCCCAAGGCCCACCACACCAGAGACTAATATAATGTCTCATTCCTCCAGATAATGTACAAACAATTTATGTTGGTAGCACTGTTGGCTGTGGTCATGTTGGCCGCCAGCACCAATGCTGCTGCAGTAGATTGCTCAAAAGTCTTGTGCCCATACATTGAGGCCGACAAGTGTAATGCTGACCCATCCACCATCTACGTTCCAGCCAACCCACCAACCAAGTGCTGTGCCACCTGTGAGGAGAACCCATGCAAGGCTGTGCTCTGCCAATTCGTCGATCCAAAGAAGTGCAGTGCCATTGGCAACATCTACGTGCCCGCCAACCCACCCTCAAAGTGCTGCGCCACCTGTGTCAAGCCATGCGCTGACGCCCTCTGCCCATTTGTCGACGAGAAGAAGTGTGTTGACTCTGGCAACGTCTACTCGCCAGCCAACCCACCAACCAAGTGCTGCCCAACCTGTGACAAGCCAGTGAACCCATGCAAGGGCATCCTCTGTCCAATTGTCGACGAGAAGAAGTGCAATGACCAAGGCTTCACCTTCTCCCCAGCCAACCCACCCACCAAGTGCTGTGACACTTGCGAGAACCCATGCAAGGGCATCAAGTGCCTCTACGTTGACGAGAAGAACTGCACTGCTGCCGGTAACATCTACGCCCCAGCTGCCCCACCAAAGAAGTGCTGCCCATCGTGTGACAACCCCTGCAAGCAGATCGCCTGTCCTATTGTTGACGAGAAGAAGTGCAATGACCAAGGCTTCACCTTCTCCCCAGCCAACCCACCAAAGAAGTGCTGTCCAACCTGTGACGACCCATGCAAGGGCATCGCCTGTCCACTCGTTGACGAGAGGAAGTGCATTGACCAAGGCTTCACCTTTGCCCCAGCCGCTCCACCCAAGAAGTGCTGCCCAACATGTGACAACCCCTGCGACACCGTCCGTTGTGCCTACGTCGACGAGAGAAACTGCACTGCCTCTGGCCTCAACTACTCGCCTGCCAACCCACCATCAAAGTGCTGCCCAACATGTGAGGACCCATGCTTCGGCACCGAATGTCCATTTATTACCGAGAAGATGTGTCTCGACCATGGTCTGGCCTTCATGCCCGCCAACCCACCATCACTTTGCTGCGCCATCTGTTACAACCCATGCAAGGGAGTCCCATGCCCAGTTGTTGACGAGAGGAACTGCACTCTTGCTGGAAACCTCTACTCTCCACCCGCCCCACCAAAGAAGTGCTGCGCATCATGTGACAACCCATGCAAGGGTATCGCCTGTCCAATCGTAGACGAGAAGAAGTGCATTGACCARGGCTTCACCTTYKCCCCAGCCAACCCACCATCAAAGTGCTGCCCATCATGTGACAACCCATGTGCCACCGTTCGTTGYGSCTYTGTCGAYGAGARRAACTGCACTGCCKCTGGCAACATCTACKCCCCAGCCAACCCACCAWSMAAGTGCTGCCCATCATGTGACAASCCATGCAAGGACCCATGCAAGGGWATTGAGTGYCCAGTCGTTGACGAGAGAAAGTGCAAGGACCAAGGATTCACCTTCTCCCCAGCCAACCCACCATCAAAGTGCTGTGCCTCCTGTGACAACCCATGTGCCATGGTCAAGTGCAACTACGTCGATGAGAAGAACTGCACTGCTGCCGGCAACATCTACGCCCCAGCCAACCCACCTTCCAAGTGCTGCCCATCATGTGAGATACGCGAGGACCCATGCAAGGCCGTCCTCTGCCCAGCCGTAGACCAGGACAGATGCAGAGCCGAGGGCAACATCTTCGTGCCAGCCAACCCACCATCAAAGTGCTGCGCCTCATGCGAGAAGCCAACCAACCCATGTGATGCCCAGGACAACCTCTGCCCACCAATCGACCAAGAGAAGTGCAGAGCCGAGGGCAACATCTTTGTCCCAGCCAACCCAGCCGCCGGCAAGTGCTGCGACACCTGCGAGGAGAACCCATGCAAGGAGGTCCGCTGTGACTTTGTCGACCCAAGAAAGTGCAACGACTCTGGTCTCATCTACTCCCCAGCCAACCCACCCTCCAAGTGCTGCCCAACATGTGACGAGAACCCATGCAAGGGCGTCAGGTGCCCAGTCGTCGACGCCGACAAGTGCAAGGAGCAAGGACTCTTCTTCGTGGCTGCCAACCCACCCTCCAAGTGCTGTGACACCTGTGAGAAGGAGGACCCATGCAAGGCTGTCCAGTGCCCAGTCATCGACGAGAAGAAGTGCAACTCCGACCCATCCACCTTCTACTCACCAGCCAGCCCACCATCCAAGTGCTGTGCCACCTGCGAGCTCCGCCAACGTTAAATAATCGATAAACTATAAACCAATCAATCGGAAACTCTTCCATTCAACCATCCATCCCATCCATCTTTGTGTATGATACAATGCATTGTTCTTCTCTTCTTTATGAGTTGATTGAGTCTGTGTCCACATCCACATCAGCAGATGATGTTGTCGCAGTCGAAGTTGTAGTCGTGGTCGTAGTCGTTGACAATGTAGTCTCATCGCCATCATCAATCATTGTTGAGTCAGTTATTGAAGTTGTTGTATTAGAGTCTGATTGCAGTACAACTGGTTCATTGCTCTCGACGTTGACAGCCAAATATTGGAAGTTAAAGTTGAGTGAGTCCAATGTCTTCTGATCGTCATCGCCCTTCTTGATTGCATGTACACAGCCCAAAGGTGCAGACAGTTTGTATACACCATGACTGTCAGGACTGACAAATGCGAATGTCATCTTGCTATCCCTATGTCTCGCAGGTACATTAACCTCTTTAATCAACTCTGATATCTCCTTCAATGTTGCGTTTCTCCTGTTTCCGTCGAGTTGCAAATGTGTTTCAATGAGTAAGTACTCTCGCCAACTACAACTACCAACTACAACTACAACAACATCATATCATCATTCATCATACCATGTATATAACTTGATCTCATCACTCTCTGGTAGGGATGTTCTAGACTTGAACTCTGATGCGCTGTGGAATGCATTCATCTTGAGGAATACTCTCAACAACAATGGACACACCCTCTCTCGGTTGATTGGCTGTGGTCCAGTCGTCTGGATATTGCTACCATGATGTCTCATGTGTATTATATATATATATGTATGATAAGTATCAATCAAATAATGATTGAGTGATGATGTTCAATGATCAAGTTCATGATGAAGATGAGTGTGATTGCGTGTGTGAGAGTGTGTTGCTTATGCTTGCGAGAAAGTGATTGGTTGGTTGATTGGAATGATGGAGTGCTCATTTATTCATTGGCAACAATCTAATTGCTTCTTCTGCAATCCTAAGATCCTTTGGTGCTTCTATATAAGTTGGAGGTTGGTCGCCAAGATGTTAGCAACATGAATAATTGATGGGATGGACAACCATGATCAATCAATCACTGTCCAAGACATACCTTTTGTAAATATTTGATCATAATGTGTTTGTTTCCTCTTCTTTGATCGTTGTTTGTAATAATAGAATCCAAACTCTGCTATTAGATTGACACATAGGTTGGCAATGATGGAGCCAATCATTACAAATCGCCATGATACTGGCAACACAAGTAGTTGTGCCACCTTCCAAACTCGCTCACTCGGTGCGAACAATATCAACAATGATGTTCCAAGTGTGACCAAGTAAACAATAAACAGTAGTCCTAATGTTGTATGAGTGTTAGTTCAATGTACCTTGTGTCTATCCATCATCCATCCACGCATAACTTACTGTTGGTATAGAGTGGCTTGAGGAATGGCTTGCCAAAGGATAGAGCGAGAGCGATGATGAGGTACTGGAAGTTGCCATAGGTGAATAGGGAGGTGGTGACGTAGGTGACGATGTTTTGGGGATCGATACGTTGTTCGTTGTACCATGGCTGGTGCTGAACGGTCAGGAAGATCATGGCTTGGAACGCCAGACACAGGAGGATATGTACAATGAGGGAGCCAACAACAGCACCAGAGATCAGACGACCCGACGGTCGCTTGACCGACAGCGTGTCAGAGGGCTGCGTCATACCCATGAAGATGACCAATGGGAAGATCACCCAGAGGTCTTGGTAGAGGTACATCCAGTTTCCCAGCACACTGCCCTTGAAGTAGAGGAAGATGACTGTCGTGAACTGAATCAGTGAGTACATGCCCATGAACTGGAACAACTTGAATGAGACGGCAAGAGACGCGCGGCCCTCTTTGATAAGGGTTGGGCAGCACGAGATGTTGTTGATCGTCGATGTGAATGGGGCGGCGATTGACGCCTCGGTCTCGGACAGCGAGATGCCCACATGCGCAGACTTGAGCGCGCCACAGTCGTTGGCGCCATCGCCACACATGCCCACGTAGAGACCAATGCGCTGTAGTTCCTCGACCAAAGTTTGTTTGTCATCGGGTGACATTCGCGCATAGACCATGCCGCGACGAAGCATCTGCAGGAACTTGAGCGAGCCAGTCTGAAGATAGGTGTTGTGCAGTCGCTTGAAAAAAGTGCCAGTGATCACCAATGAGTATGATTGAGGGCGGCGATCATCGTCGCCCTCAAGCTGCAGTGTATAGGGGTCGAGCTGGTAGCGTCTATCCTGCTCGCTGGCTGAGATATTGCGCCAAACCATCGTATCGAGACACTCGCGATCGGACATCTCGGGGGTGAACAGAATGGCGTCCTCGTGTAGGATACCACTCTGGCGGGACACACTGACCGCGGTCAGCGGGTTGTCGCCTGTGACCATGATCGTCTTGATGTTGGCGCGCTGCAGCGTCGCTATGATGCCCTTGGACTCAGGCTTCATCTTGTTCTCCATGACGATGAAGCCGACAAAGATCAGCTGGTCCTCAGCCATCTGGCGCATGAGATCCCGATTGGTACTGGCGCTCACCCCGTGCTCCCATTGCTTGTAGGCGCAGGCCAGCACACGGTAGCCTCGCTCAGTATACTCGTGCAGTCTGTGATCATAGTCAGCGGGCAGCGAGCTGGCCAGCGCAAGCTTCTTGATCATCTCGGGTGCGCCCTTGACGAATGAGTAGTGCTCGCCCTGTGATGTCGTGACAATGACACTCATGCGCTGTAGACTTGACTGGAAGTCGAATCGCTCTACGTATTCAATGTGCTCACTGTCCAGTAACTCTGTGCCAGCGTAGGATATCGATGTGTTACTCGCTGTTTCCTCGTTGAGATCGGCTGCGGTGGCCTGGAAGATCTTCAACTCCAATGGGTCGCCAGACACCATGTTGTTGATTGTGGACAATGAGTGACACGATGCCATGATCATCTTGAAGATACGATCATTGAATGATGCCATTGACGATGATGTGATGAACTCGCCAAACTTGTTCCTGTCGCTTTGTTCACGAGATGGAGCCAACACACCATAAAAGTCCAAGCCATCCTCTGTGATTGTGCCTGTCTTGTCGAAACAAAACACTTGGATCTTGCCCGCCATGTTGAGACGTGGCGGCGAGATACAAAAGATACCGCGTTTCTTTAGACGCACCAATGCAAAGCCAGTGCCAACACTCATGGCCAGAGGCAGCGCCGGTGGTATGACGATTGTGATCAAATCCATTGCGCGTAGGACAATGGTCTTGGAATCCTCGCCCAATGCCTTGAGACGCCACACCGTCAATGAGAAGCCGACCAGCGCGATGCAGCAGAGCACGCCAATGAACTTGAACGACTCTTGTGTGAAGCGGAAGTGCGACTTCTTGGGGAAGAGGATCGATAGGATCAGCTTGCCCTTGCTCGTCTGGAAGCCAATCTCGCGCACCATGGCCAGCACGCGACCCGACTGTGAGTGAGGAATGGTCTTGACGGGCAGTGTGCCACCAAACAGTGAGCTGCGTGCCTGGTTGATGTCGACAATAGAGTCGTCCGAGCGCTGGGCAATCTGCTCGCGCGTGAAGAGTGGGTGCTTGGTGACGGGCACCGACTCGCCTGTGAGCATCGATTCATTGCAGATGACCTGGCCCACGAGCAGCGCCATGTCGCACGGCAGGATGGTGTCCTGCTGCACGTTGACAATGTCGCCGGGCACCAGGTCATTGGACGAGATCCAGTCAAAGTTGCCATCGCGCAGCACTTGCACCTGGCACGAGTACGTCGACATGTGCTTGAGCGACAGCAAATTTGTCCTAATCTCCTTCAGACTGAGCACCGAGCTGATCGTGGCAATGATAAAGATGGCCACGGCGTAGTAATAGTACTCCTCGCACATCCACAAGATGACGCTGTATATCTGGAAGATGAAGAATGGGTGCAGCACCTCCTCGAGCAACAGTCTTGGTATGCTGCGAATGGGGAACTCGATCACATTGCGACCAAACTTGAGCAGCATTGAGTCGTGTCGCTCGCGAGTCATACCATGATCGATGAACTTGTACAAATCCGATGACTTGTACTTTGACTTGATCCTCGGTCGTTCAAACGAGTCCAGGTCTGCCTTGTAAAAGTATTTCGAGAACCTAAAGACGATGAATCGGTCCATCCTTGAGTCCTGGATAATGGAGAGGTGTTAGCGCGCGTCAAAGATCGTCTCGTCTCGTGGACGAGGGATGTGGCGGCGAATGTGACATACCGAGATGTTGCCCACGTGTACAGGACAGATCTCAAACCTCATGTCGAGGCCATAGACGAGTACTGTGCTGGCGTTGCGAAGTGTGGGAGTCCTGCGTCGCCGCAGATTGATCTCCAATAGAGTGAACCAATGGAAGGCCAAGAAGATGACACCGCACGACATCACCACCAGCAGCCAGTATAGTATCTCTCGTTGTAGACTGAACGTATATCCTTGCATTGAGAATATGCCCATAAGTTCATCATTGTCATCACCACTCGCAGCAACGTTGGGACTTGAACTTGAGCCTGAGCTTGAGACTAGTTTGGACGACTTCTTGGGTGGAGGTGATAGTAGTTCACGCATCTCTTGCTGTGCCGTTGGCAACACGATACGATGTGAATGCATTGGAGGTGACAATGGCGGTGTCTGATGTTGTTTCAAGTGCTTGTTGGGACCCAATAACAGTGAGTCCTGTTGTGACTCTGGACTCAACAGATGAAGTCTAGATGTGTCATCCTGTTGTTGATGTTGTTGTGGAGTGTGAAGTATCGTTTGGGATGGTCCATCATCGTCATTATCATCGTCATAAGCATAAAGATTGTGATTATGATTGGCTTCTACATTCGTAGTTGATGTCGTTGATAAAATAGGAAGATGTGACTGAGTCATACTCAAGTCTTCGACCTCATTACCATCATCATGTTGGTCTTCATCGTCATTATCAAGTGTCTGTTGTGACAACATTGAGCCAGTCTTTTCGATGATGTCACTATCTATCTATCTATCTCTTCTTTTAATTATTAATAAGTTGAACAATTTAATGAAGTCATTCATTCTTTCAAAGGGGGGTGGTGTTCACACAAGGTTGTTGAGAAAGGTGACTCGTCTTTTTTCAAACAACCCTGGGTAAGTCTCGTCTTCTCTTCATTAGTTTGTTTATCTTTAGTTTTGTTTGTGAAATGATAATTAGATGAATGTCTGGTTCTTTCCATACGACAGGTCCCATTGTTTGTATGTCGGAGTCGTTTGGTATGAGAAGCAATTCAATCTCACAGTACATTCCCACGCATACATATCAGAATAATCAACGACCGTTGGATATTTAGTACTGTTACAACTATTAAATTGTTCTAAATTCACATTCCCTAATGTTATTCAAAACTAATTATTGTTAATTAATGGGACCTAGGAGATGAAAAAAACGAAACTGAACTTCATAGGTATCCATCCAAAATTCAAATAACCTTTGGAAGTGATTGATTCTCAACGATCACTCTCTTCCAAACCCAAATTCAGAGGGTCGGCTTTCAAAAGGATGGAACATGTCTGTGTGTGTATGTGTGTGTGTTTGAGTGGGGGAATGGAACGGATCTAAAGATACTTCAACCACACCAACAACAACTTGTCACTCTCTAACATACACAACACTTCTTAAATCATTGATCGCTCAACTAGTACTTCATTCATTCATACATTCATACATATCTCTTTGTACTTATATATACATATAAAATAAATATATACTATTACAGTTTGACATTATAGCAATCAATCAAGAAAAGCAAAGATGTCGAATAACAATGCAAAGTATGCATCGCGACAAAGTCCATGAACATGTTTCATGAACGAATGAATGAATGAATGAATGAAGAAGTAGGATTGGATGGATGGATTGATGGGTGGATGGAAGAAGGACATTGAATGAATGAATGATTGATTGAAGTAGGAGGTTGGATGGATGGATGAATGGAATTGATGGAATGGATGATGGAAGCATGACATTGACCAACACAATCGCAATATTATTAGTGTACTATCACAGATGGATGACCTGATGGCAGAGTTGGGCATCTTGGGCGATCAGGCCAACACACAGATGCAGACAAGCTCAGGCAACCTTAATACATCGGCAAAGGGAGGTAACTTCTTGTCGTCTGGACCGGGACTCGTGCGCCCTCAGATGACACAGAGCTCGGGTTTGGCCTCGGTCGGCGTGTCAGCCGCCACCCCCATATCACTGGCGCAGGTCACGCCCGACGGCCGTCTCGTCAAGCCAACAGGCCCACCATGCGCACACTGTGGCGAGATGATCATTGGTATCTCCACAAACGCCCTCGGCAAGACCTACCACCCAGAGCACTTTGTCTGCACCTACTGCCACCAGCCATTCAAGGGCTCGTTCATCGAGCACGAGGGCAAGCTCTATTGTGACCAAGACTACAACGACCTGTTCAGTCCTCGCTGCTCGGGCTGCCAAAAGCCCATTGAGGACAACTGCATCACAGCCGTCGGCAACCGCTACCATCCCGAGTGCTTCAGCTGCAGCGGCTGTGGCACATCGCTCAAGGGCAAGCCATACAAGGAGGAGGACGGCGAGTGCTACTGCACCACCTGTAAGGTGGCCCGCCAGAAGCGTCTGGCCTCCAAGCACGAGATCTGTGCCAAGTGCAAGCTGCCAATCACTGGCGAGTACATTACATTGGGCGGACAGCCACTCCACTCTGAGCATTACCGCTGTGAGGAGTGTGGCTGTGAGTTCAAGGGCAAGACCTGTCACGAGTATGAAGGTAGACTCTACTGTTACGATGACTATCAGAAGCAAATTAGAGTATGTATTCAGGACATCCTTACATCCAATCATCTACTAACCATCACCTGGCAACCATTGAATAGAATATCTGTGGTGGCTGTTCAAAGCCTATTGTTGGACGTTCAGTTACAGCCTTGGGCAAGGTCTGGCATCCAGAGCATTTCACCGTAAGTCATCTGACATTGATGTGGCGACGTCGCCACGTCAATCACACCACCGGATCATTCAATCACTCACTCAATATCTCGATCAATCAAACACTTTAGTGTACAACATGCCAAGTACCATTCGCAGGCAGTTCATTCAGAGAGCATCAAGGCAAACCATACTGTGAGACTCATTATCATCAGTACTTTGGACGTCTTTGTGTCAAGTGTAACATACCGGTTGTGGAGAAGGGCGTTGAAGCCTTTGGAAAGATCTACCATCGCGAGCATTTCACTTGCCAGGGTTGTGATACACTGCTCGGCAAGGAGGTGCTGGACTGGGACGGAAAGCCTCTGTGCTACAAGTGCTACGAAGCGCTGCCCAAGGAGGTGCGCAAGAGAATCAAACAAAAGAAGCACGGAGACAAGAAGATCGCCACCGAGCGAGAGAAGCTGGCCAAGAAGGAGGCAAAGGAGCGATTGAGGGAGAAAGAGAGAACAGCAGCAGCAGCCGCAGCCTCCAAGAAGAAATAACATATGTGTGGACAGGGTCATGACTGTCCTTCATGTGAGCGAGCCAAGAGTGAACATAAAGTGACGCACCTGCGATCGAATGTCCAGGTCATGTAAGGTTAAAGAGTACTCATTGGTCATTAGTCTGTTGTTAATGATTGATTAATTGATTGTTGTTGTTGTTGTTGACGTTGGACGGATGTCCACTTTAAAATTGTATGGTCTGGCTTGTAGCTGTAAGGCGGGAAGTTCCTTTTGTTTAGGACCCGGAGAGCATGGTCCTTGTCAAGCTTGCGAATTGATATGGTGATTATACGTTTGGGAAATCGCCAGTATTTGATCAGGATAGTGATCACATTGGGGAACATGTCCATCAATGACTGGGCGTATTGGATACCATCGTTTGTGTTGTGATCGTAGCCCTCTGGGGCATCAAGTAGCAGCTCTCCTACATTGTGGTCAAATTTGAACTTGTTTACATATTTATACGATATTGCATGAGTGATAGTCAACTTGGGGACGCCCTTACAATGCACCAACTGATCCCAAGACCTCACTATCACATGGATCAACGAAGAGATTGGCAAGACAACGCTGGTCGTAGGTTGGTGGAATTTCTTTCCATCAATGGATAACGTTGTGATTGAGTCTGGTAGGGTTCCAGCGGGCAATGCTTGATTGAAATTGTTTCCAAACAATAGGTAGGTGAGTGTATGAGGTAGGGCACCAACCTCTATTGGTTGGTCATGCTCCATACCAAATATTAACGTACTTAATGTTGATGGTAATGAGTGTTTGGTGATGGGTTGGTTGAACTTGCTGCCAAGATTAAGAGTAGTGAGTCCAGCGGGTAAGTAATCAGTCGAAAGTGGTATGTTGATATGGTCTAACTTTAGAAAGGTGACTGAGTCTGGAAGTGGACCTGGAGTGGCATCCCTATATAGTCCAAAGGCCGCTACGGTGAGGCTGGTGAGGGAACTTGGGAAGTTTAGAAGGTGACTAGAACTAAACATCTGCGGGCCACACGCCAATGTTGTGAGAAAAGGTGGCACTACGAATGATCTGTTGTATTGATGACCAAGTTCCAGCTCCGTTAGAGATTGAGGAAGCTCACCTTGCCCAAAGGAATGATCATATTGCGAACTGAAAATTCTGCGAGCAAAGAACAGTGATTGGAGTTTAGGTGGCAGTACATCTTTTAGAGAGTGTTCGAATCTCTGGCCAAACGATAAAGAGATAAGAGAGAGTGGCAACACACCAGGCTGGATTGGAGTGTTATACGATCTACCAAAGGTCAACTTGGTGATTGATGCCGGCAGCGATCGAGGAATGATTGCCTGGTTAAAGTGGTATCCAAGGTGTAGAGTTTGTAGAGTGCTTGGCAACGAACCTGCAGTGATTGGATGATTGAAGACCCATCCACACATCAATACCACGAGTGCGGGCGGCAGAGAACCTTGCTTAATAACACCATTAAACTTATCGCCCAGCGACAGGTTGGTGATCGACTCGGGGAATGAATGTGGAGGTAGTTGTTCATTATCCCACGAGAAGTGTGTAGGTGAGCGTATTCTTTCCTCCTCCTCAATTTGTTGTTGTTGTAATAGTAGTTGTTGCTGTTGTTGTAGTTGTTGTTGCAGTTGTATGTTGTTGGGATGATTGAGTACAATATGTATCTTTAACCTCTTAAGTGTAAATGATAGGAAACGACGAGAAGTTAGGCCGAGTGACAGAACATCAATGATTGATGAGATGTGTGTCACTATCGACGCCAGAATAGGAAGTGGTAGAGTATCCATCCCACTCTATTGTGTGTTGTTGAGTATATCTGTGAGTGAGCAATACTTGGAACACAAAGACACTTAAGATTAAGTGACAAACAACACGACCTTCATTCATTTCATTCACTTTACATTAACAAAATTCCAAAGATATTTGTTATCTCTATTCCTTATTATCTCTCAACCTTCTCCTTCAAACAAATTGTAATACTATAACAATGACTAACTACCTTGACCAGAATACTCGAGTAATCGAGTAACATGTACGATAATGAGGTCTGAATGTCGAAAGTTGAATGTTGGTAATGGTAGGAAGGTATGTTATAATATTGTCTAAAGCACACACCACTTGGGCAATCATATTATCGATTAGATTGACCGTCTGATGGTTAACTACACCAAGTAAATAGAGATACGTGGATAGCATTCTAAAGAATGGGTGTACCCATGATCGTCCCGACCCTGGAAGGAACAACTGTGTGTCTCTAACTATTGAGTAGCAGACATTGTGGGCGAACCCACCCAATCAGCGCCACTACCTACCAAATGGGCTAATACCACCATTGTCTCACAAATGAGGCCTATGCATTGCCAGTTCTTTTTTTGGGTCCTGCAAAAACTGATGGTGGGTGATGAACAAAAAAGATTCGTTTCGGGTCGATCATTTGGAATCAGAGGCACACACCTACCCATTGGACTGCGTGTCCGTGTCCGTGTCCACTACCAAACAATTTGTTAATTATTAACAGCTACAAACCATACCATTCTGTAATATCGCGCAACAACCAAGGTTCAATTGATTCACAATCTCAAGTTAGATTATATATATGCCCATTTAAAACTTACACATCGTTACGCTGAGATTTAGCAATAGGGTTCCTCCCGCTCCATTCAAATAACAACCCATCACCGGATATTACGCTCTCGTAAATAGAGCGCAGCGCGTCGTTTGTTGAATGAAAGAATGAAAGAGTGTGGATGAATGCTTGAAAGATTACACCGACCATCAACGGGAAGGTAGCAGAGTCAGAGAATGCAAGCAAGTAATTCTGTTTCTGGATACCATCCTCGACCCATCCTCGATGGCCAATCCAAAGTCTGGTCCTGGACCTAAATATCCATCTATCGATGGGGAGAGGGAATGGGCCTGGCTTCCAAACAATATATATAGTGACCCATATGGCAACTAATCAATCATCAAACAACATAACTATTTATCTCTACACCTACATCTACAACATGTACAAAACAATTACCTCACTACTTGTAATATTATCAGTGATCAGTTTCACTCAAGCCTTTGATATCAATGCTGGAAACAACTTGATTGGGTATGTATACATACTCATCACAACATTTACATCCATCTTATCAAACTCAATCTAACAAATACAAACCTCACATTAGATACTGGGGCCAAAACTCTGGATGGAACCATAATGCAGGTCAACTTGAGCTCGCCAACTACTGTTCTGGCTATGATGTCATTAACATTGCTTTCCTTAACACCTTCTTTGGAACCAACAACCTCAAGGGAACCACTATCCCACTGCCAGAGCTCAACACTGCCAATATGTGTGGTGACACCTTTGCTCCAGATGTAAGTAACATTGATCTTGAATGGTCCCCACCTCTCATTAACCAAATATCTAACTGGTACCCAACCAACCTCCTCCAGTACCCCAGAGTGATGAAGTGTCCAATGGTAGGCACTGGCACTCAAACATGCCAAGCCGCCGGTAAGATTGTCATGTTGTCTTTGGGAGGTGCCACTGGAAACAACCCAATCGCCAACGTTGCCCAGGCTCAACAGTTTGCCAACACACTCTGGAACATGTTCTTTGGTGGTACGGACCCAGCCTACCCCCGTCCATTCGGTGCCGTTAAGCTTGATGGTCTCGACTTTGACATTGAGGGAGGTTCCACCACCTACTACTACGACCTGATTGTTGCCTTTACCAACCTTGCCAAGACTGACAACACCAAGAGGTACTACATCTCTGGTGCCCCACAATGCCCCAAGCCGTATGTATTCATCAAAAACCATACACAATTTCAATTGATCTAATCCTAACATCTATCAATCAAACAAATAACAATAGTGATGCTGCTATGGGACCAGGTACTGGATCAACAATGTTGGATACTGGACTGTTTGATTTTATCAACATCCAGTTCTACAACAACTACTGTGGTCTTGATCATATGGCCAGCTTCAACTACAATGCTTGGAAGGCCTGGGTTATTAACTCCAGTCCAAACACCAAGATTGTCATAGGTGCCGCAGGTGACACTTATGCTGCGCCAGCTGGTGGTTACGTCACTGCCGCCACTCTCGAGACCATCCTCGCAGACTACATCAATGACCCAACCTTTGGTGTAAGTACTAACACATTAATCATCCCGAATATACTCATATTCATTCAACTTTGACTAACATGAACATTATTAATTGATTACACATTATAGGGTGTCATGGTTTGGGATTGCCCGGTTGCTGACAACAACATTGCCAATGGAAAGTCCTTCAGTTCTTCTATCAAGTCGTACATGGTGGCCAACAGGAATCCATCATCCTCCACTACATCGACAACAACTACCAAGCCAACTACTACCACCACTACTAGCTCTCCAACTACCACCTCCACCACTACTAGCTCTCCAACTACCACATCCACCACCACTACCAAGCCAACGACTACCACCAGCTCCCCAACCACAACATCAACCTCTACCACAACTACCAAGCCAACTACCACAACTACCAAGCCAACTACCTCTTCAACAACCAACACTCCTACCACCACCTCTTCCACCACTAACAAGCCAACTACTACCACTACGACCAACTCACCAACCACCTCATCAACTACCTCCACAACTACCGACGCTCCATCAACTACCACATCCTCTCCCTCCACCACCACCCAGGCTCCAACTACTACCACCTCCACTACTACTGCCAGTCCATCTATCACTTCCGCCACTCCATTGCCAAATAGCTCGGCAATACTCCTCCCATGCTTCACCATGATATTGTTTGTGGTTGTTGCAATCTTGTTCTAAGCCCAAAACTAATAAATCAGTGTAACAATAATTGAAATTAAATGTGAGGCATATTATATAATTTGGTAATTTCTTTGGTAACCTATTTTGGGAATTAATTTAATTCCCATGTATACTCTGTGGAATTAATTTGAAGATATTATATTTCCATTAGCAATCCCAAAGTATTCTCAGTCTATAAGGGTTTATTTTAAAGAAAGGGATCTAATATTCCAAAATATCCCTTGTGGTCCTCGAAGGAAAAAAATCGAATTTTGTTTATAGCCGCCTCCCGTCCGACCTGGAAGAGAGACGCGATGTACTGTTTATTTACCCGAGGGGTAACTATACCATTGTTGGTTGTTTGGACACTGTTCTGGATGAGTCCACTGGCTCTCCGACCTGGATTTTGTTTAAATGCCTACTCTCGTCCTATCTGGATGGGAGTCGCGTTGTTCTGTTTATTTATTCAGAGGGATAACTATACAATTGTTTTGGTTGTTTGGACACTGTTCTGGTTGGGTCCACTGGCCTTTGTGTCGTCGGCAGGTGGTATGAGCATTGGTTTGGATTGTTGCCGACGCTTGCTCATGCGTTGGCTTCCGTGATTATATACATTTGATTGAGTTATAGACGGGTGTAGTTGAGTGGTGGCAGATTGTATAGGGTCTGGTGTCCCCATTGTTCGTTGAGTTGTATGGTGGTTTGGGTGATGAGTAGGTGGATTGCTTCTTTCGCTTCTGGGTTGGTAGTGTTGGTGAGTTTGGTGTACAGTCTCTGGCAGGTATTCTTGGCTCGTGTCCACGCGGCCTCGATCAGAATCTTGGTCTTGAAGAGGATGAGGTGTTTGGAGATCTGGAATTGTTCCTGATGACGTTCCTTGTTCCTGAGTGTCCAGAGGGTTTCCATGAAGATTGCGTACAGGTTCATGGTGAGGATGGGGGAGGAGTCGATGTTGAATCTCAAGGCTGTCCAGGTTCTGATGGTGATGCTAGCCTCTTCTGCTGCTTCCTTGAAGTGGCTGAGGGCGTCCAGCGATCTTGGGCACAGGAAGAAGATGTGCTCGCTGGACTCGTAGGCGCCGCAGCGCTTGCAGTAGGAGTCAGGGGCCAGTCTTGATGAGGGGAAGGCTCTTGGTGAGATACCTCCATATGAGGTCCTTGCCCTTGGGGTGGATGATACGGCTGGGTGAGGCGAGGGCCGCTTGGACTCGTACGCCACTGTTCTCTAGGATGAGTTGGCCTGGATTGGGTGTGAAGACATTCCACTTTGGGTCTTTCGTGTCCATGAGGCGGGTGTAGAGTGCTTTGAGTGTCGGTCGCTTGCCACGGGTGAGTGCTGGGGTGAATGAGAGGATAGACGGCGGCGATTCAAAGAGCTTGAGCCAGGCTGTCAGACTTTTTCTGAGCGTCTTGGACGTGATGTGTGTCCTTGATCTGGTCCTTCCATGAGTCACTGAAGGAGGGGAGGTCGTAGGATGAGCTGTCGAGGGTGTGTAGGGATCGTTCGTAGATGTATGCCTTCTGGGCCCTCACCTGCATGTTCCACAGTCCAATGCCACCTTCTTCTACGCTTCTGACTGCTCTTTGGCGCGAGAACCTATTCCTGTGTATCACAGTGAAGACGTCTTTGCTAGAGTAGAGGAACCAACGCGCAAGTGCATCCAGGTGGGCTATTCCTTTGGCGTGGGAGCTGTCGAGGTAGAGATGGTAGGTGATCTTGGAGAGGGCGTAGGTCTTGAGTATAGCCATTCGGCCTTTGAGGGTGCTGGACTTGGTCCTCCAGTTGGCCAGGAGGTTGGAAACGCGGGTGGTCAGCATTGGTATCGAGCTAACAAGAGAGAGATGATGTTGTCGTGGATGAACCTGCCTGGGACGAATCCCGTCTGGCATGTTGTAACCACTTTTGGAAGGAAGGTTAGTAGTCGGTTGTTGATGATTGATGAGAATAGCTTGTAGTCGACGTTCAGTAGAGTGATTGGTCGCCGGTTGCCAATGTCAAGGATGTCGCCCTTTCCTTTGTAGATCATGGTCAGGATGCCCTGTTTGCAGATGGGGTTTATGCCAGAATCGAGCCAGTGATTGAACAGTTGGAGGAGGAGGGGGCATAGTTGCAGCGCATGGGTCTTGTAGAAGTTGGCGGTGATGCCGTCCTCTCCAGGCGCCTTGTTGGCTTGGACTTGGTGGATGACGGCCATGATCTCGTTCTATGTGATGGGGGCGTCCAAGTTGGTGAGAGTGTCGTCAGGTATCTGTGGGTGCCACTTGCTGAGTAGTTCATTGTGTGGGCCGACCTGGAAATTTTTTACCCACCTCAAAAACAAAATAGTGATTTAATCAAAAATATCCTCGTTGGTGTAGTTGGTAACACCTCAGTCTCTCACACTGATACCTCGGGTTCGATTCCCGAACGGGGAGGTTTTTTTTAGCTTTTTTTTTCCCTCGAGCTTCTCTCGCGCTTCTCGCCCTGGAGTATCCCAACCTTTGGTGTGCATCACATCCTTCAAGTGGACGAGTTCACTACCAAGTGGCACCTCAGCACTCGCAACAGCGACATCCGTCTTCCGCCTCTGCCGCCAACTATCAACAAATACTTGGTGGCCGAATTCAGAGGCCTACAGTAGAAAAGAAAAGAAAGAAAAAAATCAAGAAAATCGACTAACTTATATATATTATCCTGCCTCTTCAATGACGCCAATTTATTTGCAATAATAATAAACTTCCACTCTAGTCAAAAAAAAAAAAAAAAAAAATCCCAACCTACATGGAACTACAACACGCTCAATATCTCCCTCGGTAGGGTTAACTCCAACGCCCCATACCGCCACCTCATTGGTATCATTGTCCACCTCATGTTGAAGATCATTTCCAATCACCAATTCGGCTCAAAGAACCAACAATTCAATTTGCTCAATGATTCACCAACAGGGTCATATTCACTTCTAGTTAATGATGTTGAAACATATTTATTGCCTGTGTATGGTTGGGAATGAGAAAAATAGTTGATCAAATTTGCAGGAAAGTGACAAAATTCATAAAGTGATGCGTTTATTATCAAACAAAGATGTAGAAAAAAGGTTGGGATAGTTCCAGGGTGTCCAAGGCAACAAGAAGAGAGGTTCAGGGCGGGATTGAACCGTCGACCAAAGGATTTGCAATCCTCTACTCTACCACTGAGCTACTGAACCTGTTGATTTTTGCCATTGTGGGCGACACGGACCCATCCAGTTAAAATTGCAGCCAGTTTGAACGTCACCTTGACTTAATTTGACCAACTTGAACAAAAAGTTAAAAAAGTATTGAGTGTAAGTGTTATGTTGATCACACTTAGTGATTGTTGTTGATGTTGTTACTGATTTAATGTTGTTGGATTGTAAGTGTAAATGGTGGAACGATCACTTGGATCATATCAGGACTGAATGGTTTAGGAAACATTGGTGACATCTTGAAGTATCCAGACATGGTTCCAGTCGTTGTCTCCAACTCACACTTGCTGCAATACTCACTGAGAAGAGTATGTCAAATGATTGATTGATTGAATGATTGAATGAGTTAGTGTCACTCAACTAATGTGTGATCATTCATCATACAACTTACAACTTGGAACCTGGTGTGATCTTTGGATACATTCCAATGACACCTTCACCATCGACAGTATTGGTGCCAAGTGATGTGGTGATGTCCCAGTGCCTTGCGACAAGTTGGCAAGAGTTGGTTTGATCCTCATCCTCATCCATCCAGATTGTGATCCTGTAGTAAAAGGTGTTGTAGCGATGTCTGTCCTCAGGCACATATAGTGCGCTGCCCTTGACCCAAACGCCATGTGTCTTGACCTCCGTGATGTATGGCGAGTACTCTGGATAGCGTGAGATGACGTCGTCGCGCAACGTGTAGACTCTTTGCTCAAGCTTCTTGACATGGCTGTCCATAAACTCGCGGAATGTATTGGCGACCGCGATGTTTGTGGCGTTGCTGCCTCCATCCAGCATCACATTGCCAAACTTGAGGTCGTTATAGTTTAGGTCATCATTGATGACGAGGTAATAGTAGCGCTCAGTGGACATTGAGCAGGCCACTGGCCACAGCTTGGTGTATATCTTGCCAGTGTTGTAAAAGATACGTTGCATGTAGATCTTCTTGGCAATTTCATAAGAGAGCAGAATGATGTTTGATTGAAAGTCGTACGCCTCGAGCGTTCCAAACAATCCGTATTGCGTGTTTAGTTGTTGACCATCGTAGATTAGACAAGATGCGACGTAGTCGGGTGGGAATGAAAGCACCTCCTTGGTGGGAGGCTCAAGAGGCGTGCCGACGTATCTGTTCATCACTTGTGGCTTTCTGCGTGGCTCAGACTGTCGTACCACCTCCACGACAGACTGTGATTGATCGTTGAAGATGGTATCGGAGCATGGTGGGTTGAAGCTGGACATAAGGAGTGCCTCCTGTTCATTTTGTTTACACCACTGTTCCAAGCGCGTCCATATCCTCAGCATAGGTAGATAGTCAAAAGCAGCCGGTGCCAATCGTCTGTGTAGGTAGATATACAATGCCCGAGTCGTTGGCTGAATGTCCGACGACATATCATCTGATGTAGATGATGGTATTGTTGTAGTTGTTGTTGTAGATGTTGTTGTAGAAGTTGTTGTTGTTGTTGGTGGTGGAGCAACAGTCGCATGTAATACACCAGGTGTATATTTTAACAACAACTGTTCTCTATTCATTCCATAGTCTTCAAGTAGAAGTGATGGCCATCTACTCAAACATTGAAGTGACAATGCAGTGCATGTTGCCGATAGACGACACACCTCTACATAACCAAGTGATTCAAGTACAGTCTGTAAAGTCTCTGTTGGTATCTGTAGTAGATAGTTTGTATTATAATCCATTGTATTTATTATATATGAATGTATGTATGGATATGAATGAATATATAGTTTGTTAATTAATGTGATTATCATTGTGTGTATGAAAAAAATCTAGTTCAGGAGTGAATGGTGAAGTGAATTCTAAAGACTGGGGGTTGAACTACCAAAGTAGGAAGATATTAGAGCCTATACTAAGAAATCATATCTACTAGACTATTCATTAATTCATTCATTCATTCACTAATCAATTATACAAGTATAAAAAAACAATATTTAATATAATAACTAACTATTATACTTATTATTACAAGTCACCCTAGTTTTAAATATCCTCCCTCGTTCACAAATAATGGGGGAACATATGAACAACATGTCCATGGTCTTTGTATCTGCTTCGAGTCAATTGAAATCACTCATTGCACTCTCGAATGGCCCAACAAACCATTCAACACAAAATGCATCTGACTTTAATCAGGGAACCTGTCCTAATTTGTAAAGCAATGATGTGTTTTGCAAGCCGAAGCCGACAACGAACGAATTGTGTAGGTTCATAGGGATGATCACTCAGCAGTACAGCGTAGACCACGTCGAATAGTGAAATTGACAAAATGAAATTTCCTCCTGACGTTTGCATTGCTCGGAATAGTGGGATTTCATTACTCCATTAGTAGAACCATATCGATTCTGGAGTCAGTGCCTTTATCAACATCCCCATCAATGGGACACGATCCCCCTCCCGCTGATCATTAAACCTAAACTCAATTCAACATCTGAGGACAGGTCCCAAATGGAGTGATCATGAAGAGCTCAATGCACAATGCATTGCTGTGCTCGACCTGAACAATGCTCAATGTACCCATCATGTCAAGACACGATGAATCATTAGTCATTATCATTCAAAATAATTCCTTATTCCATGTACATTCAACACAAATAGTATTCATTAATACATATAATTATAATTAATATATATCAATCTTTAAACTACTTACAACACTTTCGCACCACATCACGTATTCAATTTCCCAACCAATCATATTACAGGTAAGTTTGAATTAATATTCACTCAGTCTCACATCATCGATTTACCAATTTATTACTACCCCTTCCTCCACACACATACACTCAACCAACAACCAACCATCCCCGATGTGACATCTCTGTTGACGATGTGCTTATTTAAATGAAATTGAATGTGTTGTAATAATGTAATGCATTCAATTCAATTCAATTTGGGAGTATTCAATGCCCCACTATCCCGGCGATGTATTGAATGTGGTGTGTACTTGATTGATGATCACCACCTTCAACACCACTTACCACACCAATCATTATGTATTTGTTATTGATGTTATGGGCCATACCCTCCAGTATACATTGCCTGTTGCCTTACCCAATCATTGCCAAATTTACACACACCTCATCAGCAACATTACCCATCATCACACCCCGACCTGAAATTTCCTCCATTCATCAGTCAGCACTCTCTGATTGAAAGGTGTGTGTGACAACGTGTGTGGTGTCGGTTCGATGCAGTGTGTCAGAGTACATGATAGGCAAGCATTGCTTTATGTATGTGTAATCGAATTGCCGATTGGTGAGTGAGAGTTAGTAAGAGAGGAGAGCTCAGCTCACACACCCGAAATGTTATTGGCTGTTGATGCCAATGATGTTGTTGACGCTGGATGCTTCATGGTTGTAGCTTGCATAACCCTTCACCTACTTCAGTACTTGTGTCTTACGAGATTGAATGGTATTGGGTTGTTTGAGTGAGTGAGTATGACAAGTTGCTGTTGTTGTTATTGAACATTGTTACATAAACAAGTCAACCATCCATCCAACCAGCGCTAGCTTCAACTTTCAAGTCATCCAGCCACAATAATAATATAATACTCAGTTTAATATCAACATCATCATCCTCTTCATCATCACTGATATAAGTCCCATTCCAATTCCAATTCATTCATTGTCTGTACCTTTGGATGTCCATTTGTTCAAACATATAATATATCCACTTCCCTTCCATTCCCTTCCTTCCTTTGTACGTTTAGAGGTCGAGACCTCAAATATTCCAAAAACCATGTTAAACTAATACCAATTCCCCTTCTCCCTTCTCCCCTTTCTACCTTCCAGACATATACCAACATACATACATACTATAGAATGAACTCATTATACGTTGCCAACTTGGATAAGAAGAGACAGACTGCCGTCCTCGTCTACAGGAACTTCAACAACAGACTGAGTAGTCAGGAGCTGAATGAGATGATCCAGTACCTGCGCTCAGAGTTGAATATTAGAGGCTGTGAGAGAATTAAGAATGATCTGCGCGGATTCATCAAGACTCTCCAGGCCAACAGCTACGCCAAGTTCCGTGTCGTCCTGGACCACGATGCCCACGTCCTCAACATGGGCGGAAGTGGATGTCTGGGCTACGTCAGCGAGCACATCTACGACTATTATGACACCTTTGAGTTCAAGGACGTCGAGGTCTACACCCCATCCTCTGCCGAGCACCTCACCGTCGAGAGTCTGGCCGAGCGTTTCCATCTGTCCGCCCTGGCGCATGCTGGTGCTTCCACCAACAACAAGAAGCAACATACTACCACTCCACAGCATCACAACAACGTCCACACATCAACAACTACCCCAATTACTATCAACAACAACAGCGCACAACAACATCCAACTAGCAATAGCCCAGTCCATGTCCACAGCTACATCCACAACCATCATCACAAGGCAACAGCCACTGCCAACCAATTCACATCTCCATCGCAACACCAACAGCTCGTAGCTTAGGCACATTCTTGATGGATGTATTATATCCTCCCCCATCTCCCTACTCCCCCTCCTCTACTCCTCACTCTCCCTCCCTCCTTCCTCCTCTTCTCTTCCCTTCCCTTCTCTTCGTACAAATAAACAATACATTCCTTTTGTTTATACTTATAATATTATCCATCCTAATCTTGCTTTATTCCTTTACCGCCGCCGCTGCTGCTGTTGCCACCCTCTTGCTGTGGCTGTTGCTGCTGTCTAGAGTTAATCTTCTTGATATAGTCCAACTTTAACAACACGGAGAATGAGTCGACAATGAGCAACACTTGAGCCAGAGTGAATACTAGGTTGATGGTGTAGTAGAAGTTGGCATTGCCCGTTCCTTGGTAGATCCACATCTGCCAGAGAATGGGTGCCAGCACCGTTACGTAGATTCCAACCACGACAATGATGAATGAGTATCGCACGCCCTTGAGTGGCTCGTACAGCAGGGGCAGCAGCGCCAAGTGGAGCGAAGTGTCGCCCATTGCCGGATAGGATTTGAACGTGGCGATAATGGCGCACAATGTCCAGAAGTAGAACAAAGGATGGTTCTTCAGTCTGATGGCCAATGGTATCGTGTAGATGAACACATGATACTGGAAGATGAACAGGAAGAAGTTCCTAAAGTGTTCAAACACCTCGATAAAGTAGTACCAGAACAGACCTAGACGATTGATCGATCGATTAAGCGGGAGAATGAGTGAGTGAGATGTCCATCCTTGAGGTCCATCCATTCTTACTTACCAATATTGGGCGTGAGGTCCTCAACGAGGAATGTGAACCAGTAGCACTTCTCAATGAACTCCCAAGAGTTGAGGAGTGTGAAGGATATGTAGAGGAGGGAGCCAAGAGAGAAGATAAAGAGCAAGACGGTCTTGATTGCAAAGACCACGCTAGACTTGCTTGCTGTCGTACGCTTGAGTATATATGACACGGGGAATATCAACATGATTGGATAGATTGAGATGTAGACCGCAGAGGCCACAGAGAACAACGACAAGAACATGTTGCCTGTGCATGGTCGAGTGTTGGTTGGTTGATTGGTTAGTGATTGAGTCAATGAGAGGTCGCCAATGAATAGACACTTACCAGACAAGGCAAAGTATAGAGAGGCGATTATAGAGAGGTTGTTAAAGACGATGGTGCTCATGCCAACAGAGGTGAATAGAGTGAATGGGTTGAAGAGGTAGATGGCAGCCACAACATTGGGGAAGTTTGATTGTGCCAGCTTAGGGTCGCCACCCATCTCTTGAGGCAATACACTGCCCGCCAGCACAGTGATGCGCCGTAGCAGATAGGCAATGATCACATCGACCAATACAAACATCAACTGCGATGCTATGATATGTAGACCATGCAGTGGCATGAAAGCCAGCAATAACAGAGGTGCCTGATGGTATGCCGAACCTGCATAAGGTGACAATCCAAGTGTATGTAGATGCAATCCTTCAGTCACTAATATAGGGAGAGAAGAGGTGGTATTAGCATCATTGGATTGATCGATTGATTGATTGATTGATCGAATGATTGGAGCAGTGATGTTTACATCGTTTGAAGCCTGTAAGAGGTGTGCTGATCTCATTCCTCTGTGAGAGTACATTGTGGAAGCCTTGATAATAGAGTACTAGTCGCAGTATGACCGCCACTAATATGATCCAAAGGAAGCTAGTAAATGTACATGTTTTGGTTGATGATGCCGTTGATGTCGATGCTGTCGATGATGTTGATTGTTGTTGTTGTTGTGTATCCTTTGCTTTCATCTTTCGTTCATTAGTCTATATCTATTACTACTGTACATATACACATATATATTAGTTATCAAACAATGAAACAAACTGACCAGGTCTAACTATGAAAAGTGATCTTCAACCTCGAAGTCAAACATACCCTCTCACACTTACCCTCGCACTCATTCCCTCACTCTGACTTGTCCAATGTAATGTAATGTATAATGTACAGTAATACCTTTATTAACTAGATTGAGTAGATAATGGACCATTCATTCTATGCAAGATAGTTGTATATTCTACATTGGATGGAATGTTAGTATCAATCAATCAATCAATCAATCAAACAAACAAACAATTATATGTTTAAACTTACCTCTTATCCTCCTTTGTTCTCTCCAGATACTCTCTTTCGATCAATGATTCAATACGCTTCTTGACCATCAATGGATTGGGAATGAACCTTGATTGCATCTGACTTGTGACCTCTGATACCAAGTTGGCATGGTCCAAAGTCTTCCTCGACTTCATAATACGTACAATACATGCTTCGATCCTAGGGTAGACGTCGATGAATGAAGTATGTTAGTCGCGGCCATTGGTCTCCCGTGAGCATTGAGATGATACTTACAAATGCTTCCTCTCCTCTTCAATCTTCTCTCTGGTCTCAGTGACCTCGACAACGGTGTCCTTCTGGGCCACGGACATGATCTTGACCTTGAAGAGCTTGCTCTTGAATCCGGCGTTGAACTTGAATACATCGGTGGTGGAGACTGTCTTGGTCGAGGGCTCCTTGTCCAACACCTTGTTCTTGGAGTTGGTCAGCGCCAACAGGTTCTTTTGCAACTCCTTGGCACTCAATCCACTGCTCTCCTCAAGTTGTTTGAATGTCAATTGTTCGACATCGTTGAACAGCAACAACATTATCATCTGTGGTGTGGACACCTGTAGCTCATGCGACTTGTTGCCAAACTTGGCACGTAGCTCTGCCGTGCCCAGATTGGTCTGCCACGTCAGTATACGACCAGAGTGGCCGCGTAGATAAAAGGTACGGAACATATCACAACACAACAATATGTCCGCTGGTAACTTGCATGGTTGTGCGCCTTGGATTGGCCAGAAGCCAGTAGTCAACACATTGACATTCAGCTCGAATGGTAATGCGCGCTGTATGATCGTGGCATGGTTAGTCACACTCTCCACTGGCACAATCAATCAATCAATCAATGGTATACATACCTCTGTCCTCTCGAGTTGCTGTTTGAATGAGGCACATGTGTCGATGGACACCTTGACATCAGTGAACATGCCCTCGAGCTTCATGGTGAATTGGTAGCCACAGATGGTCTTTAACTTGCTGATCATGTTGCGCTCTGTATCATCCGATACACTTCTACCAAGCAATAGACGTTTGGCCAAGTGTTGTTTGTAGTACTTCTCAAAGACGTCCTTCTCCTCAATATAGTTGAACAACTCCAATATCCTATCCAACAACTCATCAATCTCCTCATCACTGGCGCCCTTGAATCCCTTCTTCAACTTATCATCCAACAGCAACGACATGAACTCTGGCGATCTCTGATTCTTGTTGATGAAGCCAATGAACTCCTACAGTCGCGTGTGGTTAGTTGATTGATTGAGCAGAGTGGCTCGCGAGACTGCCAACGACACATACCTGGTCGACGAGGACACGGAATGCATTGTCAAAGTTGAATGAGTACTTGTGGAGTTTGTCACACTTGTCCTTTAGCTCGAGGAGTTCCATGAAGTAGTTTCCACTCTCTTTGGACTTCTCCTCATCGGTTACAATGGACTTTCCAACTTCCATTAGATGTTGTCTAAGTATCTGATAGATTGTTGGTACACCATGTGATGTCCTTCCAAACATCGAATGCATCCTCCTCAAGTCATCAAACTTGTCCTCTCTAAACATTGGAATGACTCCAGACTCCATCTACAATGTGTGTGACAGGTGTCAGTCATCCATCAAACAATCGAATCACATTGGATCAAACACATTACATTTGACAAGGTCAAGACATAATCGCCAATGAATATCTTCTCGAGCAATATCTTCATCTTGGACTCAGTACTGGAGTTGACATAATGTGCCACTCTCTCTGTCTCCTCTTTGATTCGTTGTTCCACCTTGATTGGATTGAGGGAGTGGGATGGACATGTTAGATAATGGGATGGAATGATTCCAATCACACTCGCTCACTCGATCAATTACCTTTTTGAGATAATCCGAACATGTTGATGAACTGAATAGATTCTGTGCTTCGAGTTGGAAGTAGTTGGTGCTGGCTTCGATGAATGGAGTCTCGAATACTGATTCGTAGACTTTTGAATGATGGCTGGCACTGACCTCCAACAACATGTTGACCACATCTTTGAGCGATGATTGATCGATGATCTCACCATCTCTTTCCTTGTGTATGACGGCCAACAGAGTCTTGACCAGACGGAATTGGATGGTGGGGGCATTGACCACCAGCTCCCTGAACAGGTCCAAGCCCATGTCGTACAGTGGCGTCAACTTGGCCTTGGGCACATATGTCATGTTCAAGTATGCCAACACCTCGCACACCATCAGCATGTGTGTGCGATAGTGTGACCATACTGCGGACAACTCTGTGAGGAATGCCTCGCCATGTGAGTCACCAGCGGCCAGCTGGGTGGTGACCTGTGCCAGGTACTTCTGGACGAGTGATCGTGTGTGAGCGTAGAGTTGTGGGCCACAGTTGTTGGTGACCATCTTGTAGGCATTCCTGTAGAGTTCTTCATAGGACAGACGAGATGCACTCTTATTCTGGATGGCAAGTATCGAATCCTCCAATATCATCAATGACGCCTTGGCATTCTGTTCAGTCCATTGTGAATTGTTCAATACAATCTTTCTCAATTTGAACTTTGGTGTTGATATAGGTATAACCTTTGTCTTGGCCATTATTTGTTTGTGATTAATATATATATATATAAATGCAAGATGTAATAAATGATTGATTGATTGGTTTGAAATAGATTAACTTGAATCAGATGAGAGTTGGTTGCTGCTAAGGTTCTGCAGGGGATAGTCAAGGTTACGCAGAGAATTCATTTTTCAGCGGTCTCAATCCTTGGGTTCGAGCTGGTTCGACCCTGGACAACCCTTGGAACAGCAAGGGGAACCCTTTCAAACCTTATCTGATGTTAATTAAATATTTATATTTTTATTGTTGTTGTTGTAGTTGTTGTTGTGGTTGTTGTTGTTGTTGTATGATAAATTAGACCTTAAAGAAATCGTCGTCTCGTCCAAAGGAGTGGAACATATTGGTCAAATATGCGATAATTGTCCAGAGTGCGTTGTGTCGTTGAATGTTGTCAGAAAGGTCGCCAAGTGATCTGATTGTGTCTGACAATATGTTCCATTTCTTCATCTCTCCAAAGACATTCTCAATGATGATCCTCACCTTCTTGATTCGATTGCTCTCATCTTTCTCTCTCAGGATACGCTCGGCATCGAATCCTTCTTTGGTGACCTTGGCTTCCAATGCCTTCAACTTCTTAGATACCTTGGTCGCCTCCTTTCCTTGACGCAGGCGATGCTCATCGAGCGTGCGTTTTCTGATCATCTTGTCTGTGTACTCCATATGATCGATCAATGAAGCCGACTTGATCTTGGGGGTGATGGTGTTGGTGTAGTACTTCTGACCTCCTTTGAATCCTTTGTCACCGAGAATGACAATATCTTCATCGAACAGAGCCTGTAGTCTAGGTGCAGCATCCTTGTAGAGCGAGACGTCAGGCTGGGCGCCTCCCTCTGTCTTACCTACATACACGATCTTGCCACGTATATCGCAAATGACCAACACTGCCAAAGAATACATTGATTTCTTGCCAGAATAAACAAGATCCTTGATCGTCTTGTGTGGCGGCACTTGAATCCTCTGCTCTGACCCGTCCACAATGAGATGAACATTGTGCTTAATACCATCTTTCCATATTTCTGCATGATTGTCTCGAAGCTCTCCATTGTGAACCACATCCTGGAAGTACCCATGGCAGTACGACTTCAATCTATCGAACACCTTGGTGAATGAGTACCTGAGCTGAGCGATTGTCAATTGATATAGGAACACACGCTCCATCATGTACCAGGGAAGGTTGTGGCGGCACCTCATGAGGAAGACGAGCATGTCCTTGTGTTCAAAAGAGTGCTTCTCACAGAGCTGAGACACTTGACTATGGGAGAGCTTGAAGTAACTTGTGTACTCTTCATCTTGGTTGAACCATTGATCTGTAAGTGCAGAGTTGAGGGTATGGCATTTGTCAGTTAATGGACTTAGCTTGCTGGCAGCATATTTATTCTTCACCTTCTTCAAGGGTATTGTTCTTCCTCTTATTGTTCCTCCTTGTTGTTGTTGTTGTTGTTGTTGTTGTTGTTGGTGTTGGTGTTGCAGCTGCTTTCTTGGCCTTTGATTTAGACACTGGTTTGGTTATTGCTGGGCTTGGTGCTGCTGGGCTGGGTGCTGGGATGGGTGGTGATGTAGTTGTTGACATCGCATTATCGTCGATATCTATCGTTGCCCTGCTGGAGATACCGGTGTTCGCTTCGCACCATTGAGTCCATTTCTCTCGTTTGTTGGTTAGATACTCGACAAGGCAGTTCCATCGACAGAAGTATACAAAGACGCCAAACGTGCTGTCTGGATGGCAACACTTCAAGATGCGAGAACAACCCTTTGAACAGTTCTGGCAATGTTGGACAGAATCTCCAATGATAGGCTTCTCTGGATCGTGTTCTCCAATCGCAGGTACAGCAAGCTTCAAATAGGGCATTGACCTGGTATGGTTTGTAATATGTCCAACACTGCACATCATCATTTTTTGGTCGCCATAGTAGACAATGATCTTCTTCTCGATCTTGTTCTCTGGTGAATTGCAAGTCGCCTCTACTATAATCCGGTTGGGATTGGTTGGGTCTCGAACGTTGGAATGCAGGAAGCACTTGGTTTGTTTGCTAGTCTCTCCATCCATCAACTTCTTGGTATGTGTGATATTCATCAGCTCTCTATTGTTCTCTGCCGCACCTTGTTTGGTTGGCGTCTTCATTTGCTGAAGCGTGAGTGTTGATGACAACGATGTTGGTTGTGGCTGGTGTTGATAAAAAAAACAAAAAAAAAAAAAAAAAAGTAGTTGTTGTTGTTGCGATAATGACTTGATGATTCCCTCTAACTCCTCTATACGCAGCCTCAACGTGTGAGTCTCCTCCTGTGATTCTTTAGTCTGGAACATATCAATGATGATATTGTAACACAGTTTGGCGCACACGGGCAGGTGTTTGCCCAAGACCCAGATATCCAACTCAGTACCGCAGAAGAAGCATTTGACACCTGCTTGCTTAACTCTGGTGACTATTAACTGGGTTAGCTCCTCAGACATCAGATGTTGTATTATATATATGTATTAATTGGTCGCTATTACTATGTTGGAGGTTGCAAAGGGTCATCACGGGTCGGACCTTGGATTCCAAAACAAATATTTGAAGAATCCACCCACAACACCCGTTGAACCCTGCAGAACCCAAGCTAACCTTAGCAGCAATCAAGTGGTAGGAGTTGGAAGGTCGAAGGGGGGTACACAAAGATTCAAGGTAATTTCCAATCAGTTAGTTTTGACACGCTTTTGATCAAAAAACAGATACAAGTATCACAACAGTGTTGTCTTGAATGATTGTAAACATATTATACATATGGATATTATCTGTTGTTGAGTATAACAAATATTCTTTAGTTTAGATCTTCTTATTTGTGAAAAACAGGTCAATGACACTACTCCAAACCATTCCGAATAAGATGATAAGATCAATCAAGGATAGACAGAATCTAGAACTTTTGAATTATAAATATTAGCATGTGATCTAAGATAATATGATTATACGAGTGTTATCTGTTTCAGGGTAATGATCGTCTGGTCTCTGTTCAATCACCAACAACAAAAAAAAAAAAGAAAAAAGTATGCACACAAGTGAAAGTGTCTGAGCCGGGTTCATTCTCAAACACAACACACACAAACACCATCATGATCACTGGTCATAGTTTTTGAAAACACTCTTCTTTACATTATTACTCTTTGTGTCCAACAAACAAACATATATTTATAATACATACATATATATACAACATGTTGTCTAGGTTCGTCTCAAAGGTTGCACCAAGATGTAAGGCATTCAAATAGCTTATCTCTCAAGAATCATCGACATCATCATTATCATTATCATTATCGTCATATGAATCGTTCAGCAACAGCAACAGCATCAACAGTAATTATAGCGACAGCAACAGAAGTTCACGAACGGCAGATATATGCGATAGCAGTCAACACAAAGATTATGATGATGAAGATGAAGATGATATCTCGTTCATTAGACCATTCACTCACCTATTCACCTCAACCTACTTAATGACAAACATTTATAACAGGCAACCAATCGATCAGAAGTTACTCGACATCACAGCACTTCATGACCAACAACACAACTACTTTCCCATCACAACACTTTGAGAAGTACTTGACAGAGCCACAGACTGTTGATCCCGAGGGACGTGGATACTCATACCTCGTGGTCGGTGGTGCTGCCGCCGGTCTGGCCGCGATGGCCAAGAACACCGTCGTCTCAGCCCTCTCGACCATGTCGCCAGGTCAGGACATTCTTGCCCTGTCCTCGGTCGAGATCGACCTGTCCAGCATCCCCGAGGCCACCGCCGTCACCTTGAAGTGGCGTGGAAAGCCCCTGTTCGTGCGTCATCGTTCGGCCGAGGAGATTGCCTTGGCCCAGTCGGTCGATGTCAGCTCCCTCGTCGACAAGGAGGCCGACAACGTTCGTGCCAAGGACCCAGAGTGGGTCATCCTGATTGGAGTGTGCACACATTTGGGTTGTATCCCCATTGCCGGTGGTGGTGACTTTGCTGGCTGGTACTGCCCATGCCACGGCAGTCATTACGACAATGCCGGACGTATCCGTAAGGGTCCCGCTCCACAGAACCTCATCATCCCTCCATACAAGTTCATTGGTCCACAGCAGATCATCGTTGGAGACGAATAAGCGATTGTTGTAGTCGTGTAATATTGGTAGGACATGTGAGTGTATGCTCTCGACGCGTTGACGTTGGCGAGAGTGAGTCCACGGTCCTGCCACACAACTCATATTATATATTATTATAGACCAACAACAGAGGGCTCTGCTGCGACATCTAGCACCAGCAACAGCAAAGCATAGCGAACTACAAAGCTCAAACCATATACATTAAATCACCTACAAAGCACTTCGAAGTATCAACATGATCAGGTCATCGTGATGACCAAGCTCATATCATTCATTATTATCATACATGTAAAGATAGAGATAGACCTTATTCAATGGACTGCTGACTGACATCTTGTTGCMAATCTAAGTATCTCGCCAATAAGTTCCAGTCTATCATTAATCTCTTGTTCGTACTTGGTGATTGGGACCTGATGATGTTGATGGAGTAAGTAAGTGATCGAGTGATCAGCAGCCATCCAGACAGACAGGGTATACTTACTCGCATGATGTAGATACCAAACATTGTGATCACAACACTCTGGTGCATGCCATCGTTTAACAGCTTGCAATTGAGTATGCCTTGGATTGGATGTGAGAAGTGCTTGTGATTCGTCAGAGTATAGATCTGTTGGTTGTGAACCATACCATGCCCAAGCCCTGACAACTGTTCATTAAAGTTGTTGCTGTGGCTTGGTATGATGGTGTTGCGCAGTTTATACACTAGTAGCTCTGTGGCGTACGTTCCTACCAGCAGCTCATTGACTCCGTCGCCATCAATGTCAAACACATCAACACAGGTCACGCCATTAAATGAGTCTGATTGATCGAGTATCTCAAACTCCTTTAGCATGCTCTCGCCTATGTTCCTAAAGACCATCACGTATCCGATGATGCTGCCAGCGACCAGATGTACGGGTGCCGAAGACTGAGGTGGTGGTTGTGTTGTGTCGTTCGTCGAGGCCAAATGCACGGCCAAGTTGCCCAGGAGGGTTGATGGTATTGACCTCATCTTGCCCAAGGCAGGTGTGTTCGCCACAGATTCCATAGTGCCTCTATCCGTATACAATGACAATGTCTGAACTGGCCCATCAAAGTAGCAAGAGTCAGTTCTCTGTTGTTTTGTTTCCACTATCATGAATGGACGAGTTAATGATTGGTTGATTGATTGATTGATTGATAATGGTCTTACAATCTGTGATGGTGATCTGGAGAAGTCCATTCTGGCAACCTACTGCCACATATCTATTGTTGCCATGGTATCTAATGTCAATGCGCATGACGTATGATTGGATGTTGACCAACTCTGGGAAGTGTTCTCCAATGTCCCCTTCAACATACTCATGTTGTTCATTTGGCTATATCCAAAGGTCGGGTTCTTTGTTAGTCGTCTAACTTGCGCGGGCGTCAACAACAAAGAGTGTACGGACATACCTGATAAATATGTATTCGTTCATCACTGCCAGACAGGAGGAAGGCACCATTGGCGGTACTGTCGGGGTGGTAGGGTGGATGTGTGAGGTGGAAGGGAGTGAAGTCTAGTGGGATGGACTGGGCAGCTTTGGAGGTGGATGATGGTGGCGAGGGTTGGCCAGGTTTGCAGGGATGGAATGACAGTCGACCACGACTGGATCCCTGTTGCGCCGCGTGTATAACAGTCATTGCAATGGTAGCCTTGCCATTGCGTAGGACAGAGTCGATCGACACGATGATGTCCTCTGGCGGCTGATTCGAGAGATGTTGTTGTGACTTGCTTGATCCGGGAGTGGATGCAGTGCTCCCGCTGCTGACAGGTGATTGATTGGCAATGTGAGGCGATGTCTGTTGCTGACTGGTGGGTGCACCACTGGGCATTGCCGAGCCAATCATGTTACCAGGTGTAGGTTGCTTCATTTGCATTGGAGGGATGCGTGACTTGAGAGACAGGGGAAGTCGTTGCATATGTGACTTCATCACATTCATTGGTGGGTTCTGTGCTGCTGATGCGGGCTGTTGTGTCGCGACGCCACCGCTACTGTTCTGATTGGACTTGTTACTGTTGTTTGAGTTGTTGTTGATATTGTTGTTGTTTGAACCGCTCAATGATGGCGGAGATGTGATGCTTTGATGAGACTGATACATATTTGATGATGTGGCCGTCGATGATGGCGAGGTCGAGGGCGAGAGGTTGGGCGTCTGCGGTGATGATAGAAGTTGTGGAGTGATGATATCATTGGTCAACCATTGTAGTCCTAGCCGCCTGTCCTCAATTGGTGTGATCGACATGATGTTATTGCGCGATGCCACGAACAATGTTCCACTCTGACCATTCGTTAAACAACTATTGTTCACTGCCGCCGCATATGATGGCGCAGCAACTTGATTCAAATGAGTACAACTATATATATTCGTTGGTGATGACAGTTCGATAAACTCCAACGTCTCCAACTCTAGCGGTGCTATATTCTCTATGATGCCCAAATCATCGCATTCACAATCAAGTCCATCCACAACTTGTTGTTGTTGAGATGTCACTGAGGCTACATCAGCTGTCTCTGCCTTCTGCTGCTGTAGCTGTTGTTGATGTTCACTCATTGTTTGATTGATTGATTGTTTGTGTATAAGTATCAAAGATGCAAGTGTACAAGATGAAATGAAGTTTGTGGACAAGTTCGTGGATCGCCACCTCCCGCGCGAGTGGCGCCAGACGAACTTGTCCATGAATGATTGAATGAATGAGTATATGTTATTAATAGTATATATGTACAAGGGATAGCTGACTGAATGACTAACTAATGTCTCAGCGCTGACGGTCTTGCTCGGCGCCAGACGATAGTTGCGCTAGATGATCTAGTCCTGCACATAATGATGGTCTAATTCGATTGATCTCCATCATTGTAATATTGTTGATCAATATAGGTCCAATGTTATCACTGGCTGACAGTACAGAGATGATGGTTTCACTCAATTTACTCTGTCGTCTATTAATTAAATCCTCTATTATTCCTCTTATCTCATTGGCTCCACCATTATGTGTTGTAGCATCGTCCGGTGCCACTGCCAACAACATCGTAGCAATCTCTATATAATGCTTTGGTAGATGTTCAAACCTCATTGCATTCTCATTCTCCTCTTTGAATACATTGTCAAGGTAATCTATGATCATCGAGTGAGTGATTGACGTCGTTTGTTTAAATGAATGAGTGACAACATACCCTTGTTCAACCATGTTGGATAGATTATCCTGCACTTCTTCTTCTTCTTTAGAGTGATGGCTAGCCAGAGGGGCACTTTGAGTTGGATGCTGGGTACAAAGGGTCCGTAGGTACCAGACATAAAGTGTAGTTCCTCATTCTTAAAGTTGGGAATGATTGTTATTGGTTCATCCTCTGCCAAGAACTCTATTTGGAATGGTGTAAATGATCTCTGATGATCATCCTTGTTTATATTTGAGCTTCTAATCATTGACATTCATTCAAACTATTATATTATATATGATTGATTATAAGTATGTACACAAAGAGATAACAAATGATCATTACAAGATTGTGAACTTCTTGGCGCCTTTTTATCTTCGTTGATTTTTGTCATTCCACGGGTGACGACGTCGTCTTTCCAGGTGTTCCAATCCATGTGATTGATCTTGGAGTTGGAATTAATGAGATAGATATGAGGCAATGAATACCTTGAATATCTTGGTTAAGTCTTCGACAACGGTGTGATCAACATTGGAGAGGTCATCACATGCCTTGTGCCAACAACTTGGGAATGGCATTGTGATCAGATGCATTATTGGTATATTATAAACCTTGAATGGTATATCTATTGATGTTGATTGATTGATTGATTGAGTGAATGAATGAACAGGAGGATGGATATTGTTTCAATTGATTGCCAATACATACGGTCATCTTGTACCTCATTGCCAATGAAATGATTGCTAAAGTACTTCCTTGGTCTAAAGCTTATACTGGATATTGCTACAAGTTAGTGATTGGCGCGAACATAATATGACCCGAACTTACATTCGCTTGGAGGATAGTCTATCCTCAATGTCCACCATCATGTTAAATAATGGCACTGTCTCATGATGAGTTGGATAGAATGTTGGATTGGGTCCACCTATCAGATCGAGTAACATAAAGAAGTCAACTGTTTCGTAGAAGGCCTTTGACTCACCAGTCTCGTGATGGTGAATCGTATGATTGGCCAGATGTTTAGCCAGGCGTCGTGAACCATAAAGTGAATCAGTATCGGTCCAATCCACAAATGCTTCCTCTCCATCAAAGAATATCAACTTCAATCTCCTCTTGCCCTCCTTCTCCAACAACTCCTCCATCGACTTTGCAATCTCAATGATCATCGCGATACTAACAGCAGAGTCTGTTGCCGCCACAAACTTGAACTCCTAATGAGAGGGCGCCATGATTGTGTTAGTTGAGCCTCTCATTAATTCATTCGTTCGAATGATCGATCGATTGATCACTCACCTTGAACATCTTTGAATCATAGTGGGCAGCGAGTATGAGTGTTGGAGCATGAGGGTCGGTGTCAGGATGCTTGGAGGTGATGACGATGTTGGTGAATGACTTGCGACCGAATGGTGTCGAGTCGTCGAATGTGTGTTGCTCGACAGTCCAATGATCTTCATCGAATTGTGCCGTGATGTACTTGGCAACAGTCTTGATTGAGGGTGTACCAGATACTCGTTCAACAGCAATATGTTTCAAATGTTTATCCAATAGAGCCTTGTTCAAATCCGATGTATAATGCTTTATCAACTTGTTCTTGATCAATGGGAATTGATCCTTTGTCCTCTTCTCTGCTGCTGTTGTTGTTGTTGTTACTGTTTTAGCTGAACATGTTTGTATGGAACATATTGACAACAATAGAATGAGTATTATTACAACATTAAAGATAATAGTACTAATTGTATACCTATTACTTGTAATATTGTATCTGTTTGATGAAGTCATTGTCATTAAATAAATATTAAACATTCATGTTTGTGCTTTGTCCAAGTTCAAGTGAAGCAGTTAAAGAATGGCGCAACACTAATAACACGATCATTCGATGTTGTACTATGGACAAATCATGGTCAAAGGAGTTGATAATGTCGATATGTGGACACTCCGTAAGCGAAGCTGATGCCACTCATCATTAGCCGTGGACCGAGGATGATTGGTACTCTCTCTTTCCAATAAACAAGTGTTTATTGTATCGAACACATACTGCACACTCTGACAATTTCTTCAAGTACATCAACTAGCTCTACGGTCTCAACATGTTATCGAGAGCATTGCTCAGACTTCCTCTTTGAGCAGCCACAAACCTGCGAGGTACAACTCTCTATCAGTCTACGTTCCTCGTACCACAACAACGCCCTCTCACATTTTTCTATTGTTCATCCACAAAGAACATCCCAACACCTATCGATAATGACATCAATCTATATAACATATCTACTGTACCCTTGATCACCAACAAGTCGAGTGTTGATGACATGTGTCAATGGGCTACCGCAATCCCATCATTGGAGCAATCAGACATTGTCACCTTGAAGCAACAGAGAGTTAATGGTGCAGCACTGTTGACTCTGACCGAGGAGAAGCTGCTGAAGCATCCATACAACTTCCCAGGAGGTGCTGCAAGCAATCTGATGATCGCGATCGACAAGCTCAAAGTAATAGTCAAGAAGCGTAAGTAAATATTTCCATGTCTAAGATAACATACTAATGACAATACATTCATCAGCTCTTGATGCCAGCAAGTTTCAGGACTCGCTGCTCCCCGCCCATGATGACCCAAGATGGTCATGTCTGCACGACCTCAAGATAGAGATGGAGACAGATACCAATGGTCAACAAGTTCCATGTATCAAGAAGTTAAAGAACAAAATTGGTCAGTTCATAGAGTTGCCAAATCTTGCTGGCAAAGACAAGATACTTCCAAAGAAGCTTGAACGAGGTAAGCTCACCTCGTACCTTTTGACACAAGAGAGATATGACTTGGTTTTGAGGTTCGCCACAATGATCAACCTCGGTGAGCCACATATGGAGAACCCTAGTTTGCAGAGTGGCCTCATTGGCAAGACATTGGAATCGTATCTCCTCACATGTATCGCATATGTGAACAATGCAATCGTCATATACATCGTAAGTACCTTTTCAAGTCATTATTGACCACCTCTAACATATGTTCGATCAGCCTCTAACTCAGAAAATGTCTTCTCTGAAAGATGACAACGAAATGGCCGTGTACTTCCTCAACCGTTTCGTCAATTTCAACGCATCCAAGGCATCAAACATTAAGTGCAGAGGAAATCGTTGGAAGGCCCCCACTCTTCTCGATCTTGCTATTGCCGGAACAACTGACACATCTCAGGCGTTTCTTGTCTCTCGTGAACTGATGGAGCAACTTGGAACAATAGTGGAACACCCTGTCTTGTACTGCTTGGACGAGCACCAACACCTTTGGAGGGATGGCGTCCAGAATTCCTCATTTGGCAAAGCATTCACGATTGAATCTGGACCATGCTCTGGCGCAAGAACAATTCTGGTTGTCTCTGGATCTGCACACTCTGCATTCGAGATGAACCTTCCTTCAACCATGTCATCCTGGTTTCACAAAATACTTCCCTTCAGCATGAAGACATTCGAAATGGTTATCAAAGATGAGAAGAGCGGTCTTTACATCCAAGAGGAGTGGCGTCGTGACAACGAATCAATCGAGAGACTTGCAGAGATCACTGGACGATTGCCTCGAGAGTTACAAGAGTTGCACGATCAGCAGCACCAGTTCAAGACAGCAGAAGATTTCCTCCACTCCCGCAAGATACTGTACAGCCTCGAGGTCAACAATTACTTGTCAACTAGCAACAAGGAGCAAATCGATTCCTACTATCGGTTTATGGATGCATTCTTCTCACGAATCGACAAGATGGACATGCAAGTTGCTCCTCCATCTCTCTATGACTCTGGACTCATCTATTATGACTGTCGAGACAATGTATACCGTACAATATGCAGTGGAGCATTTCTTGCACTTCACGACCACTATTAGTCATACCGAGACTTCCCAACAATGTCATCACTTGGTGACACAGCCACTGGAGATCAGTTTCAGAGATTGGTTGAGAGAGCATTCAAGAGACGCATGAAGATTGACCAAATCAATGGATTCGGTATTCGTGTATCTGTTCCCAAACCAAAAAGAGGAAGACCAAAGGCGTCAGAGAAGATCGAGTTCGAGAAGATTGGCATATCATTTCCAGTAGTCGAGAGATCAGTATATATCGAACAACGAGATGGTCAGCTGAATATCCCAAAGCACTTTGGTATGAACACACTCTACATTATATCTTCTCCAACATTTCCCTACATCCTCTACAATCCCTCGACCAACTCGATCTATTTCGTTCAAGTATCATTATCATCATTCCAACAACATGAATCAAGTAGGCCAATATCCCCATCTTTCAACGACATCGACAACTGCACAAGTATTGCCTCTGGCACACAGGCAATCACAGGAAAGAAGTGCTCGACTTCCATCACTGAGCAAGAACTCCAATTCGACGCCGATAGTGTAACAGCCCACTTCATCTACATTACTTGGTCAACTTTGGAGAAACAGCGCCCTCTCTAAGAATATCACAATATTTGACAAGGAGGCTTGTCGAACAGAGTTTTCGATTCAGTAATTGGTGCCGCTCAGTTGATGTACATAAATATAGTCGATGTGTATATACTTGGATGTTATTATTATTAATTTGTTGTCGATGAAGGTCCATAGCCACCACCACCTGGAGTAAGAATACGTAATCGATCACCATGTTGTAATGGAATTGAGTTCTTGCCACCTAGACTGATCACTCGTCCATCCTTCTTGAATACATGATTGGCACCACGTTGAGCATTGCCTCCTTGCTTCAGACCTCTTGGCTCGAATGATCTGCGTTCCGACAGTATGCTCACTGAGAAATCCTTGAGGAACTCGATCTCGCGCACAATACCATCGCCTCCATTGTACTGTCCTTTTCCGCCAGAGCCTTCGCGAATGCCAAACTGGCGCACAATGACTGGATATCGCTTCTCCATGATCTCAATGTCTGTGGCACGGGTGTTGGTCATGTGGCACTGCACAGCCGAGCAGCCGTGCCATGTAGGACCGGCGCCAGAGCCGCCTCCAATCGTCTCGTAGTAGCCCAATGTCTCGTCACCGAATGTCAGATTGTTCATGCAGCCCTGGCTGTTGGCGCATGCTCCAAACGACATAAGTATGACATCGGTTACACGCTGCGAAGTCAACACGTTTCCTCCAACAACAGCGGCGTTTTCGCTGGGATATAGTATCGTGCCATTTGGTATGTTGATTGTGATCGGGTTCAAACAACCTTGATTGAGTGGGATGTCGCGCTTGACCAAACAACGTAACGAGTATATGATTGCAGACTTGGTGACGGAGGGTGGCGAGTTGGTGTTGCCAAACACCTCGCAACCAGTGCCAGTAAAGTCGAACACAGCAGTCTTTGCATCGCGATCGATGGTCAGAGCCAGCTTGATGGGTGTACCGTCGTCCATGTAGTCGATGGACACCAATGTGTCGACCGGCTTCAGTCCATGATTGTTTGAAATCTCGCACAACATCTCTTTGACGGCCAATTCTGCATTCTGTTGCACGTGATGCATGTAGGCATGAACGACGTCCATGCCATAGTATGTGATCAACTCCTCCATTAGTCCAATACCCTTGTTGTTGGCGGCCACCTGTGCTCTCAGGTCTGAGAGGTTGTCCGAAAGGTTGCGCGACTTGGCAAACAAGGTGCGAATTTCAGCCTCTTGGAATGCACCGTCGCGGACGAGTTTGAATGAGGGGATTGCCACACCCTCTTCCTCCAAGCTCTTGGAGAATGGGGGCATGGAACCGGGTGTGATGCCTCCAATGTCGGCGTGATGGCCGCGACTTGCCATGTAGAACACTGCCTTTCCACCATGGTAGACGGGCGTGATCACCGTCATGTCTGGCAAGTGGCTGCCGCCAGACTGTGGATGATTGGAGAGGATCACCTCGCCATTGTGCCAGTTCTCTCCCAGATGATCGATCTGCCAGCGCACTGCCTCTTGCATCGATCCGAGATGGACGGGGAGATGTGGCGCGTTGGCTACAAGGCCGCCATCTGGTCCAAACAACGCGCACGAGAAATCCAGACGTTCTTTGATGTTGGTCGACACTGATGTGCGCTGTAGGGTCCTTCCCATCTGCTCGGCAATACTCATGAAGCGATGAGAGAATACTGATAGTGTGATTGGGTCTAGATCCACGCTGACCTTCTTGGGCTTACCAGTGCCTATTGTTATCTCAACATTGCCTGTTGATRKGGCAAGACTACAGCATGGCAGTCTGGCTCCACAACAATCGTACTAGTATTATCAATGATGACGGCTGGGCCATCAATCTTATGACCACCAAGCAGTTCTTGAAGTAAGTACACCGGTGTCTTTACACGTCCAAGTGTCTAATATTGATTGATTGATTGATTGATCGTGTTAGGATGTCGGATTGATTGATTGAATGAATGGACTGAGATGACTCACATTGAAGTAGACATCGCTGTATGTGTTTGGAGTTGGTGGTTCGTCAGAGTTGGTATCGGTGATCATGATTGGCTTTAGGGTTGATCCCTTTGCCGCAGCTCTGATGCGGATATCATCGACCAATAGCTCGCGTCCTTGAATGAGGAACCCATATTCTCGCTTGTAGTTCTCTTTGAACGCTCGTTCATAGTCACTGTCTTCGGGACATTGGATCATCATTGATGTGTCTGTGCCAGAGAATCGTAGGTTCAAGTACTTCTCTATTGTGATGTGATCGCTCGTGAATCCTTTGCCGCACAACTCCTGCGTGGCCTCGTGGCCCAGGTGTTGTAGTCTTTGTTCAAACAATGACATGTTCTCAGGTTTGTAGACTTGTGAACTTGGTTCCTGTTTCTCCACGACGAGGTCGGCTAGACCGAGTCCGTATGCGCTGAGGATGCCAGAGAAGCGGTGAATGAACACTTTTGGCATGCCAAGGTTCATGGCAATGGCGCAGGCATGTTGACCGCCAGCGCCACCAAAGCAGCTGAGAACATGGTGGCTGGCATCGTGACCCTTGGCCTCAGTGATGTTCCTGATGGGGCGACACATAGCTTCGTTGGCCACGCGAATGAATCCATATGCTACCTCATCAACGGACATCTCTGCCACGCCATGCTCTCTCGAGAACTTGTTGACATCATCTGCCATCTTGGACATGGCTGCGCGTGCTGCCTCAGCGTCCAACTGCTGGTCCTGGGTTGGGCCGAATATGGATGGGAAGTGTTGCGGGAGTAGTCGGCCAAGTACCAAGTTGGCGTCTGTGATAGCGAGCATGCCACCCTTGCGGTAACACACTGGGCCGGGGTGAGCTCCCACTGACTCTGGGCCAACCGCAAAGAGACCAGCGCGGAAGAGCAACCGTGAGCCACCACCAGCGGCCACAGTCGTGATGTCCAAATGAGGTGCCTGGATTGTGAGACCCGAGATCTCTGTCTCAAAGATGTGCTCCAAGTGTCCATTGTAGCGAGATACATCAGTTGATGTGCCACCCATATCGAATCCAATCACTGGCTGTGGGTTCTGCTTGTCGTACGTTGCGTAGGCGTAGCCGACGACACCGCCGGCAGGGCCCGAGAGTATGGATCGGAAGCCCTTAAAGCTGTCGACTGGGCACAGGCCGCCATCGGACATCATGAATGAGATATCGACGTCCTGTGATATCCTATCGTCAAAGCCTGACAAGAAGTTGGTGATGTAGTGTGCGATCTTTGGTGTGAGGTAGGCGTCGACGCATGACGTCACTCCACGCGGGATCACCTTGATCATTGGCATCAACTGAGATGACAGTGACACCTGCTGGAATCCAACCTCCTGGCACAGATGGCCAACCATCTGCTCATGCTGAGGGAATGCGAATGAATGTATAAACACGATAGCCACACTGTTGATGCCCATTTCCTTGTATCTCTTGAGGTCTTTGCGCACTTGTTGCAAGTCTGGCTTACGCAACACGTATGCGCCGCTCTCCTTGTTGGGAGTGATTGAGGGGTCGGCCAGAGGCGAGAGTGACACACGCTCATCAACCTCAAGTACATCTTCATAGATCAAGTCTGGACGACGTATCTCTAAGTCAAAGATATTAGGTCTGGCCTGATTACCAATCTGCAACAAGTCCTTGAATCCCTTTGTAATGACCAACAACACACGTTCACCTTGTCTCTCAAGCAATGCATTCGTACCAATAGTAGTGCCCATTCTGAATGATTGGATTGTGTCAGGGTCCTTGCCACTCATTCAATCAATCAAAGATACATACCGGATTGACTTGATGTAAGATGTGTCAACATTGTCTTTTGGTATTGATTGCTTTGTTACACGTTCTAGTATACGTCTGATACCTTCACGTGGAGCATCTTTGTAGTTGTCAGGGTCCACAGACAGTAACTTCTCAATGTGATAATAAGGTGCAACAGGTAGCTCTGCATAAATATCAGTGAATGTTCCACCTCTATCAATATTAAACTTTATACTATGCTTTGGTAAAATCATTATGATCTCTATCTCTATCTATCTATCTCTAAAGTGTTATTAATACAACAATGAATGAACATGTTCATCTTTATGAAGATGTTAATTTGATTCGAAATGGAAGGGCATTCCTTTTTGAACTTCCTCACGAGCTACATGGGTTACAGGTCCGCGGACGCCATGACTGACAACTCACTCTCCAACTGTTTCAACAGAGTATGTTGATTGTGAGTTTGGTCTGTGTCTCAGACCGACATTATCATTGGATGAACTTGTTGTTGAGCTGGTATCATTGTGAACATCTTTGGTAGGTTGCCATAGACAATGTCTGGTGTCAACATCCCTACATTCCAATACACTTGAGAGCTTGGTATTGAAGCGACACAACAGACCCTTGGTCTTTTTGTTGCCATACTCTATAATTACATCTATCAAAGGATCATCCTGTTTGTGTTCATTGTTAGTGATTGATTTATTGATTGATCGAAGATTGATTGGAATGATTCCAGTCAAACAACATACCTTCTTGGTGATATCATTAATAATGTTACAAATGGTAGTCTTGGCCAATTTGAAGTCCTGACCTTGGATACCAATGGATATGTCCAACTTGATCAGATCACTTGAAGTGGAGCTGGATGACGTGGAGGTGGAGGTGCCGTCGACATGTTCTTGTTCCTTGGAAACTCCTATAGTGTCCACAGACACTTCCAAGACCTTGTTGTCCATGAAGCGTGGACATAATGATATTGGATATCCAATAACCATTAGTGCTAGACGTATCTTGGTACGACCAAACAGACCTTCAATTGCACGCCACAATGGTTTGCTCTCCAACTGAAGATATGCCTCGTCGACGTTATCCTTGCAAGACTCTCGACGTGTTCCCTCCAAAGTGACAACGATGCCACCTGACTCTGGCAGACGTACATTGACCGCAGTGAGTATGATCAATGGATCCAACTTGCTAATGTCCACCGGTTCGCTCCAAGCCTGTTTGATGATGTCATAGCTCTTGAAGCACAGGAACAATGTCATGAGCACGAATGGCGTGATGCCAAGTGCATCGGCCGCCTGGACCACTCGCGGGATGGCCAGCGGGCTGAACGTCCATACGACGAACAATGGGAACATCAACAGTTCTCCAATGAACATGGTATGGCGCAGTTGGAAGCAACGATATGTGCCACGTGCCAAGATGCCTCTATACAACTTCCAGAAACGTCCAACAAACACCTTGCGCACAATCCAAACGTATGATTGAATTGGCGCGTATAGTGGTACGTGTAGCCTTGCCAAGTTTGTCGTGCCAGTCCATGCCAAGAACATAATGAGCATCCATCCAGCATGCATCAATCTCACCTCTTGTGAGTGAACGGATGTGACGCCCATCCAATAGTCATGGATTGATTGTGGGTATCTCAGGTGGTCCAAAGTGATTGATCGAGGATCTTGAATGAGCATGCGCCAGGTCTGGTTGGCTGTCGAAACTGGATGGTTGTCTGGGCCTTCGAAGAGATATAGTGGGAGCGTCGCCAACACGAGCTGGAGACAGACATAAAAGGGGAAGGTGGTGGCCTGGAGCAGCGCAATGATGGTCTCCAAGATGGACAACATACCCTTGGCATCGCCCAACTTGGTCCACTTGTGGTTCACACGCCACTGGCTCCACAGAGGACTGCCAAGTGTGACGATGAACAGGTAGATTGAGTTGATGGCGACCAACGCCATGGCCATCTCATTGGGCACGATCAATAGACATCCCAACATGTTGACTGTGGTGAACTTGTCAAACTCGAGAACGGTGCTGAAGTGAATGGCCAGTCGGTGCAGCCAGAGCATGGCATCATTGAGTGATGATATCTTGTTTGATTGTGTTCTGCGCGCCAAGTAGATGTGGATGGGGATGAAGGCGATGCCAGCCACCTTTAGTGGCAACAGAACAATGTTTGGAATGTCTCTCAGTGTCTCCATAAAGTAGAATGCAATGATTGCACGCCAGGAGATGGTGTGCATCTGTACCACAGGTGCTGGTGCTGGCTCGCTCTTTGATTCGTCGCTTGTGCTAGAGTGATCATCAGATGTGGCAGCAGGCATTGGGACAATGACTGGATGTACCTTCCTTGGGTAGTGTCTTCTTCTCCTATTCCTGGAGTAGACCTCCTGGGGTGGCAGGGGTACTGGATGATTGTTCCTCAATGCCTTGATCAGCTGGGGCAATCTGATCATTATCACTGTGATACATAATATCTGTAGAACAGCCAAAAGATCCAACAATATCAATGTACAACTAAGTCCTGTCGCGTGGATTGCTGCCCAAGTATACTTCCACTCATTATTCGGATTATCTCTAAGATACCTCTTATACTCTCTCACTCCATCCATAATCCTCCATCCAGTAACCAATGTGATCGTTGCTATGTGTGTTTGGATGGGGTTAGAGTCAGTTTGGAATCATTCCAATCACACTATTATACAATACATACCAAGTATGATGATGAATAGATCAACAAAGATCAGTCCAAAGTGGCCAAGGACCATCACTCTTGCTTCCATGTCAGACTTGAACTCTTTGTAAAGTAGTGAACGCGCCATGGACATGAAGCGCCATGGCATGACAATGGTGCAAAGGCCAAGTAGAGCAAAGGGTACATCGATCAATGTCTTTTGGAACAGGATGGCCACGGCACGATGCTCATTGTCTCCACGTCTATGTTGTTTGATCATTCTCCATAATGAAGGTATACGCCACATTGTGATTACAATGAATGCAAGTGGTACCAAACAGATGATGTCCATCAACACTGCCAATACATATCGTAGAATGAGCAGGCGTTGTTGAGTATATCTGCGCTCGGGCTCAGAGTCATCGATTTCCTTCAATCGCGAGTACAACATTGGCATCCTCCAAAGTGTAAGCAGGAATAGCACGGGGAATGGGATGTCGAGCAGCAGCAAGAAGAACTGTTTACCCACGATTGGATGCCAGGCCAATGGTAGTTGGCCAGATGTCTCGCTCATGGTCGTTGAAGGCGCTGGGTTTTCATCTTCGTCGTTGTCACGATCGACGGAAGACGGGGGTAGGGTTGGAGGTGCGGGTGGGGCTGAGGCTGAGGTCGCTTGGCGACGATTGATTGTGAATAGTTTGGCGCTTTTGAGTTGATTGAGTGTGTCCTTGGCGCGATATACTGTGACCATGAGTATGATAAATGCGGCAAGTGTTGGGATGTCGAGTACCAACATTAGGAATTGCTTGAGTATGTAGATGCGCTGAGTCTTTCGTGGCGCGCCTGGTGGGTACGCCTGGATGAAGTGGTAGGCACGCCAACCTGTCAACAATATGGCCAATGAACATATGACGAATGGCGTGTCAATGATGTCCACAAAAAGCATTGAGAAGTTATCACTGATTGCCTTGTGTCGCTGGCTTCGCGAGGTGGCCGCCTGGATATCGCGATACATAAAGAATGCGCGCCATACTGTACATATGACTGTGAGTGCCATGACAATGTAGGGTATGTCCACGATCAAATAGACCCATTCACGGAAGATTGTTGAGTGATAGTGATTGAAGCGATCCTCCTTCAGCTGTCTGTAGCATGACGGCAGACGGTATATCGTGGCAAGAAGACATGCGCCGCAAAAGGTCGCGAGGATATCCAAGAAGATAAGTAATATATGTTTGATTACTGTCTCGCGTCGTAGACCCGCGCGGTCTTGTGCACGCATTTGGCGGATGGTAATTGGCACACGGTATACAGTGGGGACGAGGAACACAAGGAACAGGGCAAAGACGATGATGTCGAGCAGTCCCTCACAAGCTTGCCAGAACACCTCTCCTAGTGCCTGATCGGCGTGTTGAGAAGCACGGGCCAGTCGATAGGCAATCGGTATTCGATATGGCACCAATATGAGAAGAACAGACCTAGAACGAATATGTGTGAGTGAAGTGATTGGAATAGCTCCAGGGGATGGTCGAATACTCACGCTATGGCCTCAAGAATGTTGATCACTAGCATGAAGAGTTGTACGAGCACACAGAGTCGCACGTCAATAGAGAATGAGTAGTCGATGGCTGTGTAGTTGTGACGTTGGCAATAGGCCTTGATGTCGCGGAAACGCCAGTGGAAGATGACTGAGAGCAGTAGGATAGGTAGACAGAGTAGGTCAGGAATGATAAGTAACGCATGACAGTATAGTTGTGCTCGGTAGGACTTTAGATGCTCTTGACTACTATGACGCACGGATGTTGGTGTTCCAACCACCAGAGTATATACAAGGAATGGTATGCGGATCACTGTGCATACCGTGGCGACAAGGGATACTGCCGCGCCAACATCCAACAGACATTCGCCAACTGCTTCAAAGTATCGTTTGAATTCTGGCTTGAAAGATGCGAACTTGTAGCCAGTGAATGTGTAGCCAATCGAATTGACGATCAGTGTACAGACGAATGTGGCCAGGGGACCGACTAACGGATGTCCCGCCATCTCAGTGTCCTGTACCAAGCCAATAAGTTGCAAGCTATAAAGATATGAAAGGGCCAGTAGTGCCCATGGGAAGAATGGTATCAATACCAATACTCTAGGTATACCAAGTATTAGATGCCATTTTCTAGACTTGAGTATATCTTGGTTCTTGATAGTCCACTAAGTGTGATTTGAATGAGTGTGATTGTTAGATAAGTGATGGGACTTATCCATTTTAGGATATACTTACAAAAACTAGTCTTGAGTAGAGTGTAAAGGGTAGAGCTACAAAGGCGAATACAAAGCCTATCAACTCTAATAACTTGATGATTAGGAACAGGATCAATGGTGATTCACCACGTTCATTTGCCATGTTATTTATATCTATCTATGTGTATGTAACTGTTACATGTACAACTACAAGTATCACGTGTAATAAATATATATATATAAGATGATTGATTGAATGAAGATGCAATGCTTGACATCTGCCACCTCACCAAGTCGATCAAGGACTCAGGCCCCAACCCAAGTGACACCCCACCATCATACCTAGCCAATCAAAGAATCAGAAAAAAGTGGTGGTTGAAGATAGTGATGACCATTTTAGGAAGTTGTAAGATATATAAATGTGTATATATATATATTTAAGTAAGGTTCGAACTAACTATAACTTAATGTAGTTGGTAATTGATTGGTATTGGATTGTTTCCAAGGTGATTTACATCCCTTGGAAACAGGTTAATATATGATGGCGCCTGATGATGTCCATCACTTTTTGGATTGAGTACCAGTGGCCTGGAGGTGGACATGGAAGGGCCGGGCATGTTCCAGCCATGCACATTGGAATGAGTCGTCTAAACTGACGTTTAACAAGTTGGCAAACCTGTCTAAAGGCTGCAGCAATTGGATGGATAGAACGTTCCGGACTAGTGGAGTGAGATCGACCGGGACGGATGTTGGATGTTCGGATTACATGTATGATCATTCGATCAAATTTGGACCAGAGGCAATGGTGACATGGACAGCTCCTCCCACTTGTTCTTGCATTCGAGTGCCGTGCGAGGCAACTTGGTATGTTTGCCCTTGGCAAGATGCTTGGCAACGGGGACAAATGAAAAGGCATTGCTACCCTTCTTGGCGATGAGATCATTGACCATCGTGGACAAGACCTCGAGCTCTACGTGCGACCAGGGTACCTGGCGAGACTGGACCGCCTTGCAATATTGATATCTACATTGGATGTCGGACCGCGACTTGAGCTCCATGGCCACACTCTTCCAGGTTGTTCCATGCTTGTCGACCAACATGAAGAGCTGGGTCTCCTCCTCCTCGTCCCAAGAGCCCTTCTTTATCTGTGGACTGAGCACGCGGTTCCAATGTTGAGCACACTGCGCTCCGGTCTTGCCTCCGCCCAACATCGTAGCGATCTTCTTCCACTGCTTGTCACCAATATCGTTGACCAACTGGATCAGTGTCTCTGACTCCTTGATCGACCACTTGTTGGGTGGCGATCGGAGTCCCTTGCTCATACACTCGCGTTTTCTCTCACGCTTCTTCTTTGAGGGACCATAGCTCTTGTTGGTGAGCTCCATCTCTTTGGTAAAGTCGAGGTATCGCTGCTCGATACCACACTCGGTCATGTACTTGACCATCTTGACGTCACCGTCCAGCCTTACGATGGTCTCGATCAGGCCTTGGAACAGGCCCTCATTGTTGTTGTCACAACAGAGCTTGTGAACAATGCTGAGCAGATCCTTTGGCGAGGCGGATGGACCCGTTGAGGAGAGGGCCTGTTGCAAGGAGTAGGAGAGTCCACTCCGGGCGACCAAATCCATCAATGGATTGAGCATGGGTCTGAGCTGCTCGTCAACTGACTCAATGTCATTCTCGTCCTCACTCAAAGAGTCGGTGTCAAGTGACATGTAGTCGTAGTTGTCCTCACTGCCATCGGAGACAAGAGGAGAAGACATGCATGGGCTCTGGCTCTGGCTGAATCTTCTCTTGGTCGGGAAGTTTGGCGAGAGGTTGGTCATTGTCGGCACGGGTGGTGTCGACAATGGTATGGTTATAGTGTCACAGGATGATGTCCTAGTCAATGGCGAATTGATCGTCAAAGTTGGACTGCTAACTTCGCTGCCTGGTGGGCTCGTCATATAGAGCAGAGGCGAGGAAGTTAGTTGTTGTTGTTGATGTTGTAGATGATGATGTTGTTGATGTTGGTAATGTTGTAGTTGTTGTTCAGATATGGCTGGGAGGTGGAGGGTGTGATGTGGAAGTGGTTCGGGCATTGGTGGAGCGTAGAACTGTTGCTGTGGCTGCGGTTGCTGATGGCAACCACTAGACATCAAAGTTGAATGATCCATCACAGGTGTTGATGGATAAAGATGTGGAGTGAGTGGTGGTGATGGTATCAGATGATGTGATCCAGACATTGGATACATTGGAGAGTATCCAGTAGTCGAGGTGGAGGTGGTGTTGTTGGAGTAGTATGGAGTGGTATATTGCTGTTGTTGCATTGGATGTAGTGGATGAATCAGCTGAGAATGCAACACTGGTGTTGTTGGCACTTGGTCATCCCAGTACTCATTCCAGCCCAGCTGATGTAATTGTGGTTGCTGAAGTTGTTGCTGCTGTTGCTGGAACTGAGTGTTATGTGCGTATACAACCGCCATGGTTATCAGTACTCTTTGTTTGCTCTGGGTCCCAGGGCAGGTCAGTCAATCAATCAATCAGGCAGTCAGTCAGTGGTGCGGTCCGGTCCGGTCCTTTCTCCGATGGATGGATGGATGGAAATCTCTGTCTGGTCTGGCTTTCTCTTGAGAATACCCTTGGAGTAAAGTATTGTAGGAATACTAGAGTTTAGATTGATTGATTGTTAGTTAGTAAGTGTGTTGTTATTATGCAAATGGAACTGGAGGAGGTGGAAGTGGAGGTGGAGGTCGAGGTGGAGTGACCAGTCTATGACTGCAGGAGGAGAGAGAGGTCATGTGTGGGGGGTGAGAGTGGTGAAGGGGCAACAACAACACCTCCTGGATTTGATTGATGGTTGGATAGTCCATCCACAAGATGTTGTTGGACAAACGTAAAGATGGCGATGAAGAAGTAAAGTAACAAAAGTGGTTGAATGGGCCTGGCAGCAATCCGGATGTGGGGCTGGCAGTGTGCCTGCTGGGAATGATCATCACAACACAACAACTGGCAATGATCATACTCTTACTCTCTTACTATCACTCTTATGCTGACAGGAAGACTGGTGAGTGATTCGACCAACCAAGTCTGTCTCCGCCATCAAGTGTTTAATATTGATAAAAAGGGGTGATATCCCTTGTGTGTGCACCTCTTTGATGGAAGTCCCAGGTGTGTGTGTATGTTTGTATGTTGGTGTGTATTTGACGAACGTGATTGGACTCCAAGATAGTGAAGTGCTTAGAGTGTGGTTAATGGGCACAAGATAAAGTATGTGATCGAGTGAGTGTGGAAATGATCGAGTGAGTTGTATGTAATATCCAATATGATTGATTGAGTGTATGAATGAATGTGCGTGGAGCGTGGATGGATGAATGTGAGTGGAGTGTGGATGAAGAGCTATGACGATGGATGGAGGTACAAGGATGAGTGAAGTGGATGGTGTGGTAGTAGGTAGGTTGAGTGATGTGAAGTGAGGCGAAGTGGAAGGGAATAGTGTGATGATAATCAATCAATCTTTCACTTACTATCTATCTATCTCTTTATCCCTAAGATAATTATCTCTATGTAACCTCTAACTTGGTATAGTTTTAGATTATGTTGGGTTGGCTGGTTAGGATTGCTTGATTGATTGGTTGATTGAACCTTTGTTTGTTGGTTAATATCCCAGCCAAATCAAAGMGCATGTAGGTAAGGTTTCTTTGAGATTCTTATGAATGATGATGACCTACACTGACAGACAGACAAACAAACAAGACGTCAAACCACCATTAAATAGGTTGTAGCCAATCGGGAGAAGGGAAGGAGCTTCAAAAGAAGTGTGGGATGTGGAGAACCAACGAGGGATATGGATATCAGTCCATCAAACACAGTGACATGTCGCCCATTGTGGGCCAATAAGACCAGTTGGTGGTATGATTAATTAATGAAGTGGTAGTGTTTAGTATGGTACAGCACCACACAGTCAGTGTCATTTTGATTGAATGGGCGCTATAATAAAAGCAAAGGACGCGGCGAGGTGCACTGATGGGTGCGCGAATCACATTGTCGACGAGGAATTGGTGTTGGTTGGTGGGGGTGCGCACGTAATGATCGTGGCCCGCTCGCTAAAAAAAGCTGATGTGATTAGGGGGTGCAAGGGCACAAACGATCGTGTTGCGACTTAATGTCGTGATTGACTTTGGATTGGTCATCCAGAACTTGTGTGTGATTGGATATGTCAGACACAACGAATTGGAATTGGCAAAGTCATGTGACAAGACTTCGACCTCTGGACAAAAGTGTTCGACTTCTGCAGCGACTCAGCGGTAGTCGTCGTTGTGCAGTCTGTTGCTAATAATTACATCCGTATCACATCTATGTGTTGGTCGACTATGTTGCTATTATTGTTTGTTTACATTTATAGGTTGGACTATGGTACAACTATGTGATGGATGGAGGACATACTTTGATTGATTGATTGATTGATTGATTTATTGACAAATCCAAAATAGGATACATACATAGCAATGAGTAATAACTCAACAACAGAGTTATAAGTAATGTATGGATAATGTATGGATAGATGGCAAGGGAGAAGACAATGAATGAGTGATGAGTGGACAACAATAATGTGACACTGATGGCACCCATGGACGCAAACAAACAAACACTGGGTGGACATAAGTTAAATCTGATGAAGGATCACCAACATCACTCCACCTTCATTCCAATCATCCCGTGGTGGCGTGTCAACAAGGAGTGTGTGTGTTTGGAAGTCTGTTGTGGGCGCCCCTGCGTGATCTGTACTCTGGACAAAAGGACCACGCCAAACGCCCATTCCATCTTGGGAGTGGGTATTGTGATTGGCCTTTAGATTGTGTTGGTAGGTAGATAGGCAGGGAAGGTTGGCTGGTAGATTGACTGGTTGGTTGGTTGGTTGGTGGTCATGCATGAGGTATCATTGATGGAGATCCTCCAGTGTGTGGAGAGAGTAGTGTTGGTGTACTATTTTGAGTGTATCCTTACTTTGTCAATGAGATAGACTTAGTATAAAGTTTGATTGATTGTTTGTTTGTTTGTTTGATTGTTAACTAAGTATTAGATTCATTCATTCAAACATTCAATCATTCATTCATTCATTCATTAATATTAGCAACGACGAGGTAATAACAACCTTACATGCATATTAGATAAGTTTGTGTCTAATACTATGGACGGACATTAAGGGGTGGGAGGGTCAATTTGTAGACGGTCAACTCTTGTTGTTGTTGTTGATTGGCTATCGTCTATCTAATTTAATGGGCATAACATACCCTGTCATTAATATTAATATTAATGAATGAAAGAATGAAGACATGTGACATCGTTGAAGATTCATTCGCTCATTCATTCATTCATTCAAATGAAACCAATCGAGAGATGATGGATGAGGAGGAAGTGGACTTCACACGCCAGCCACGCCACTTCCCATCACAGCACAGCACAGCAAGAAGAACAAATAGATGCGAAGTTGCTCGGAGCTCCTCGTGACACGCGTGGGATGGAACCCATCCCCCAACAAACAGGTCCAGGTCATCATCACACCCAACTACCACTTCCATGGAAGTGAACACACGCAAACGACAACAACAACATCAAATTAATTTAACGAACGGCTTCCCAATTAAAGACGTACTGATGGGCACCTTTACATGGCCTGACTATTGGGGCGGGGCGTCTGCCATCTTTTGATTTGATTAGTTTTGTTTCCAAAAGAATCTAGGGGTGTGTGGTCGAGTGTCGACACCTGATTCCTCAGTCGTGGATTTTAATCGAGTTGGCGAGGTTCTTGTTGATGACTTCGCTGTGCAGATCTGATAGCCACGCTTCTTTATCCGTCCGAGATGAGAAGCACAGTGTGTACATGACCACATCGAGTGAATCGAGTCTTCCTTGCACAATCCTGACCAGTGAATCTATTAAACATACATACATAATGCAAGGCGCGGGAGTCAGAGTAAGTAAGCAATAGGAACGGTAAACAATGGCGTGGTTAAAGTGTGCCGTGTTGGTGTCGTCAATATGTTGTTTGATTGATTACTTGGCTTGCTTGCCGTGGATGTGCTTTGGTTTGAATTGGAACCAAGTCGTTTGCAAGAATGATCGAGCAGGCGCGCACCTCATTCCAACATACCGCCAACCGCCATCCATCCATCCAATCAATCAACCAATCAACCAATCATGAACAAACGAACAATCAAACATACCTTTGGCCTCGATATCCTTGATATCTGCATCGGTGAGCTGAATGGTGTAGAGATACTCGTACTTTGCTGAAGAGAAGAAGCCTGATGTCTTGGCCACCACCAATATGTCGTTGAAGCAGAACAGGTAGTAGTTGCCCGACTCGTGCTTCTTTGTGGAGGATACAGCGCATGCACCCTCCCTTACAAAGGAACGGTGTGATGCTATCAGTAGTCCATTCTGTATTGTATTGTGTTGTCCATTAGTTCGTTAGTTAGTTAGTCAGGACCAGATACGCATGCCAAAGACCATGTTACACATACCGGAAGGTTCTTGATCTCGTGGTTTAACGATATCAATCTCGACCTATTGTCAACGTTCTTCTTGCTATCATTGATGAATGTGTTGATGCTCTTTAGTGAGTTATAAGCTGAGCTTATAGTACTATGTTCTTTGTGATCCTCTGCCGTATGTTTCAATATTTCCTGGATTGTTTGATTGTTAGTTAGTTGTTCCAGACCTGTCCTTTGATCAACATACTCTTAGCAATAGTTCATATCTTGGAATACGTTGGACAGGCATGATCAATAAACTGAAGCTAAAGTAGGTGGTTGGATGGAAGAGAGGAGAGTCAGTGCAATGTCCAATGATTGATTGATTGAATGAATGAGTGGAATGATTCCAGCGATGCATACATATCAGCATTAGACCTGGACTTCTTCTTCTGGGTCTATAGTTTGCAATTGAATGAGTATGAGTATGAGTGGACATTGGAGGCAGGTCAACATGTTACATCCTGGACACGCTACTTACCTCAAAGAATTGAGCTTGTTGAGGGTTCTCCAGCATCGAGTTGAGATGAGGAGTAACCTTATCAAAGTTATTTACATACTCTACGTAGAGCTTAAAGACTGGTGCCTGGTAATGGAAAGAGGTGCTGTTAGAGTCATTGATCAATCATGGATTGATGGATGTATGAATGGAGGTACTTACAAACTTGGTAAAGACATCACCAACTTGGATTGGGAAAGTCTTCAGACGAGTCTCAATCTGCTTGAGGAAGTCGGTACTCAGCTCGGCAAGACTCTTGAGGTTGGAGAAAGTGATGGCCACATCTTCCTGTTTGAACAGGCTGGTGACATGTGACTCCACCTCCATTGGGATCATATAGTAGTCGCGCAGCAGTAGTAGTGAATGAAGGTAGGACACCTCTGTTGTGTAAACTTCGTTCACGGCACGATACCTCTGCTTGGCCTTCTCAGTCTCTGGATCGTTGGAGTGTAGCTTCAAATGTACAATCTGTCTAAGTCGTTTCCTTAGTACGTATCGACGGAAACAACGCTGGATCTTGACGACACTGCCCACTCTGTATCCATCAACGATGGCATCAGCTTGTTGTGGCGACATTGACTTGGGTCTGGGCGGTATCTTTGGCCTTCCAGCTGGCTGCACCTGGAGAGTGGCCGGGGCGGCAGTTGGGGGAGGAGTTGGAAGTGGACGAGGCTTTGGTGGGGCACTTGGTGCAGCCGGTTGTTGCTGTTTGAATATCAACTCTCGCATGGGCTGCAATGAGTCTGTTGCGTCCTGCGTCTTGATCTGCAACTCCTTCTGCTGGATGTTGAGCAGCTCTTGCTCGCGCTTCACGCTGTCCTGCTGATCCTTCAACCGCTGCTCCTCGGCCCGCTTGCGCTCCTCAAACTCCTTGGCCTTCTTCTCGATCATTCGCTCGTTCTGTCGACGTGTCTCCTCCAGCGCGCTCTTCTCTTTGGCGATCTCCTGATTGCGGCGGTCCAGATCCTGGGCCTGGCGCTCAAACTCGGCGCGTCGCGACTCCACCAGATTCTTCTCGACACTGATCTCCTGTTGCTTGCGCTTCTGCTCCTCCTCCATCTTTTTGGCGATGGCTTCCACCTCCTGCCTCTTCCTCAACAGCTGCTCCTCCTTGAGCCTGAGGTCCTCAGCCTTCTTCTGCTCCATAATCGCTCTGTTTTGCTCCTCCTCTTGCAGACGCCTCTGGATGGCCTCCTGTTGTTGCTTGAGTGCGGCCTGTTGCTCATAGATCATTCGCTGGTGCTGTTGCTGCTCGGCCTGAACACGCTGCATGAGCTCCTCCTCGTGCTTCTTGGCCATCTCGCGCTCGCGCTGGGCCTCCTTCATCTGACGCTGCATCTCCTCCTCGAGCAGCTTGGTGATCTTTAGGCGCTCAGACTGCTTGAGCGTCTCGGTCTGTCTGGTCTCGCGCTCCTTCTCCTCCTGGAACTCACGCTTCTTGCGGTCAAACTCATCGCGCTCACGTTGCAGCTCGATTGCCAGACGATCAGTCTCCTCCTTCTGTTGCAGCTTGATGCGCTCCATGTCTTGGGCACTCTGCTGCTCCTGCTGGACCTGGTGCAGTCGTTGCTGCTCGTAGTACTTGTTCCAGGCTTCAATCCTCTCATTCTCGATCTGTTGTTGTTGTTGAGTGTAGTGCTGATAGTCTGGACTGCCACTGAATGATTGATTGAGGTACTCTGGCGACTGTTGTCGTGGGGATAGGTTGGAGTACGATGGTGACGATGTGCCCAAGTATCCACTTTGTTGCTGACATCCTCCTTGTTGTAGGGATGCTGCGGCGGCAAAGGCCAAGCTCTGATATGATTGAGCGGGCTGTGTGGATGAAGATTGATAACGACCTGGTGAGGGTGACCTTGACCTTGTGCCTGGCGACACATTGGACATTGACTGGGACTGTGTGTAGTCACCTGAATGACGGGGTGAAATGCCTCCAACAGGCGAGACAGACGCTGCAGGAGGGTACACTTGAGGTTGATGATATCCATGATTCAAATATATGTTTGGAGTCTGTTGTTGTTGTTGTTGCTGTTGATACTGTTGATGATGTTGTTGTTGTTGGTGAAGATATGGATCAACTACATGTTGTGTTGCAACTGTTGGCACTTGACCATAAGGGTCAGTTGTAGGTGTTATAGGAGTATGTGTTGGTTGTACAGTTGCTCCATAAGAGTATGGATATGGATATGTTGGTTGTGGATGTTGTAGACCTTGTGGTTGTGGCTGTTGTGGAGGTGGTGGTTGTTGGTAGTATCCCTGTTGCTGTGGCTGTTGTTGCTGTTGAGGGTCCACTCCACCAACTGGATATCCATAAGGATAGTTATAACTCATGTTTATATGTATATATAATAAATATCTATCTGTACTATTAATTAATAATGTAATAATACAACAACAATGTGTTTGATTAGACCCCCGATGTGATGTTCGCGCATCTGATCTAAGTTGGGTGAGTGGGACTCAACACTTGTAAGCTGTGGGGGTGAGGGGTCTGACAAGATCACCCATTCACTGAAGTGTGAGGGGGCAAGATTCATTCAATCAGACGTCTGTTTATCGATAGTCTGGCGCATGAGAATACGATGAGATACATTGGCACTTGGTTGTTCAACCATTGACAAAAGGATGTCTTTACTACACTACTGAACTACTTCATTACTTAGGAATCTGACTCTCTTCTGTTTGTTTGGTTGTGGCTCTAATTGAAGATCTTGTTGTACTCTCTTCTTCAAAATTGATGGTTTGTGAGTAGTAGTTGTTGTTGTTACTGTCGATGTAGTTGTTGTCGGTGCTACTACAACATCAACATCATTTGGCGCGACTACCATTGGTGGAGTTGGTGGCACTGGCGGTGATGGAGGTGATTGATTATGTACATTGAGTTTGGATAGCTGTTGTTGGATTGATTGCTGTTGTTGTTTGTCACTGATGATGTTGGATACTGTGACCATGTTGTCGATTGGAATTGACTTGGTAGTACTGGTTGTGGTGGTCTTTTGCTTCTTCTTTGGTGACTTGACTATTGGAGTCTTGTCAATGTGCTCCACAGTGTTGAAGAATTCCTTCTGCTTGTCAAAGAATGATTGAATGAGCGAATGATTGAACTCAATCTTCTTGTGTGACTTTGGAATGAGCTGTGATCCAGTTGGCAACTTGATGTTGGTGTCATTCTTTGACTTGCCATTGCCCAACTTTGATGATGTGGATGATGATGTCTTAGAAGTTGAGTCAACTGCTGGATGCTCAGTGATCGTGAAGAATGAAGGGACACCTGATTGGGTCTGACGGCCTGACGTTTGACTGATGTAGGCGTTGCGGAGGTGCGTGGGCAGCTGACTGTTGACCATATGATGGAACTTCTCAATATTGGCGTCGCTGTACAGAAGGGACACCTTCTCGACCAGGTCCTTCAGCTCCAGCAGGTAGTCCTGGTGTCTCTCGCGATCAAACTTGAGCAATGGCAGCACCTTGGTCAGCTCAGTAGTGGCACCTCTGAAGCTTGATATCAGCTCATGGCAAATGAGCTTGGCCAATGTTGGATGGACAATGTCCGGATTGAATATGCTTGTGTTGTTGTTCTTCTCATCATTGATTTGTTTCTTCTGTGGACTGTCATTCGCGTTACCATTGGTGCTTGGTGTCTTGTCAAGTAGGAACAAGAGGAATCTTGCCAACTCTGTTATATTGATCGAAGCGTATGATGAGATAGTGTTGGCCTGTGTGATCGATTGAAGGATTGTCATTGAGTTCTCAAAGAGCACACGCTTGTTGTCCAGACAATCGGCAATATATGATTGAAAGAACAAGTAAAGACACTTGCGCAACTCCAACAACTCCTTTGTAGACGTAGAGAATAGCTCCAAGAACAAGAATACAACAATCTAAAGGTAGGTGTGGATTGATTGATTGAGTGAGTGAGTGGAATAGTCCCATGAATGATTGATTCGTTGAACATAACATAACATACTTTTGGATCCTTGACGATACCAGAGTAGAGTAGCTTGACAAAGCCTTCGATGCAGATGGTCTTGATCTCAAGGTCGTTGGATGATTGTGAGAACTTCCTAATGATCTTGAGAAGGGGCAGTAGCTCCTTGGCAAGCTTGTCAGGCGAGCCAAACACTAGTAGGATGTCGAATATCACTTTGAGTGCAACGAGATGTATCTCTCTTGTATCATTCTCAATGATCTTCTCAAAGAGATTGAGATAGGCGAAGGCCACCACCTTGCGATGCAGACAAAAGATGCCAAGATTCTGAATGCCAATCTTGCGCAGCTCTGGCATTGGATGCTGGATCGACGGCAGGATGATGAGCTGGAGCAGACCATCAATCTCTGGTGAGTTTGAGCACTTCTTTGAGTTGAGCAACAGGTAGTGTGCGATGAATGAGCACTTTGTCAGTGTCTCTGTCTCCTTGTTCTTGATGTCCTCCTTCAATGTGTCGATTGCGCTTTGTATCTTCTTGGACTCGCCTGGTGACTTGTTGCCCAACTTCTTCAATGTCTTCTCGAGCACAGTCAGACGCACCTTGAGCGGGTCGTCCTCGAGCGGATCGATCATGTCAGAGAGCAGTTCGACGATCATCACAATAAAGTCACGCTCGACACTGTGCAGAATGGACAGACAGCTCAGCGTCTGCTTGAGGAGATCCTGATCATTGATGCGCTTGAGGAACTCGATGAGAAACGTCAAGATGTTTGAACGTCCAACCTCGTCCGATTGGTCCATTATGGCCAGCACCTGTAATAGCTGTTTCAGAATGAATGGCTCGTTGATGTGATGGAAGAGAACGTCGCGGTACTCGGTAAGAGTCGGTAGCACACCCTCCAGACAGTCCTCATAGTAGTACTTGTCGTCCAACGATGCCGCCTCCTTCTTCTGCTGCAACTGCTTGACCGTCAGCTTGAAGTGGAAGGCTTCCTCACAGGTGACGTCGAGCGACTCTCTGCCCTTGAGCGAGAACTCGGACAACTCTGATCGCTCGTACACCTTTAGCAGCCAACGCTCCAACAATGTCTCATTGCGTTCCACATCGATCAGCTCCAGGAAGCGGTACAATGTGTTGTTCTCCATTGCGCGGAACCAATGTCGAAGTAGCTCGCTGGTGGCCTGTTGCACAGAGTCCAGCGAATCGCCAAAGCCATTTGTGAGCACGGCGATCGCCTGATCGCGGGTGAGCTCCTCAAACTGAAACGACTGCTTGAGCATGTTGAATGATTGTATTCGCACAGTGTCCTTGACGTCCTTTGTTCGCATGATGATGGCATTGAGCATTTCACTCCTCTCGCACTTGTTCATTGTGCCCAATGCTATAATGTCGGCCATGATAGCACTCCTGATGTTGTACATTGTGTCCTCATTCATCATTGCCATCAACTCTTCAAACTTGAACACATCTTTGACGTGAGAGTATAGTTTGATCGACATATTAGTGGCCAACAATCTAATTGATGAGTTCTTGTCCTTGCATCTCGATGATAATATTGATTGTAATGTGAGGGAGTTCTTGTTATTATTGCCAATGATTCCATCTGATAGTTTGAATATACTATTTGATTGATTGATTGATTGAGTAGGTGTTAGTACATTCCGTCTGGGATGGGGTGGGGATTGAGTTGTCGTTGACTCATCTTACCTCAGCTTGTCTGTTGGCGATAGGTTCAACAATTGAGATAGTATCTGTAGTGATCGCAGTCGTACTACATTCTCTTTGGAGTCTGTACAGTTAAATATAAACTTGAGGAGTTCATTCTTTAGTTGTAACTTCCTTGTGTTTGATGATGATGTTGATGTTTGTGTCGTAGTTGTCGTAGTTGTCGACGTCGAAGTCGATGTAGATGTTGTCGCAGCAGTGGCAAGATGATAAATGTACTTTGAGATAAGTCTACATGTTTGATTGGCATGCTCATCTTTGGAGCTTGATTGACAACATAGGAATATTTTGACTGGATGTAATAGAGCATGAGCGAATCCATTGACTTGATAATTGGATGCATTGAACAATCTATCCAATTTGACCAGTGTCGAGTGATGACTTGTCGAAGCAGCCTCTCCCATCACACTCTGCTTGAACACCTCAATGACCTGTTGTGTCATTGATTGTTTATTCGATGCATTTGTTGTTGTCATTGTTGACATTATATGTGTATATATATATTATTATTATTACATTGTGATGTCGTTTGAAAAAGGATATTTGTTGGTGTTGATTGAAGAATGAATAAAGTGTAAGTTCTTGGAATCGGATGTTTTGAATTTATGGGATGACCCCCAATCATCAAACTAGTGACGAAGTGAGCCATTCATTAACTTCAGTTGCAACCAGACTCGAATAGCATGTATACATCAAATCGGACTGATGGCAACGTTATGCCTATCTGTCTCCCATGGCCCAGTAGACCACTTGGTTAACGGTATTTATTATATAACAGCAGTAGCGGCCAACAAGAAGTGGCAGCAGCAGGTTAGTGGTAGCAGCAGGTAGTGGCAGCACAGCGGGCAACTACACCAACTGAATGGACACTATGTGTCCACTCTATAAAGTTAATCGACTAAACTCATACACATACACATTCACATACATTACTTGAATGAATGAATGACTCTCGACCTCCAGCTACAAGCCAAACGTCGAGATGTGTGTGTTGGGCTCGCCCATGCTTCGACCAATGCTCTTCTCCTCGCCATTGAGTATGAACTCCATGCTGTGTTTGAACTTGATCTCCTTCTCCTTCTTGAGTGCCTTGGACGATTGGATGCCACATGCGTTGCAAAGCTCTATATTGTCCGGACCCCTGCGCCACTCTGGCGTGTCGGTCACACCACAACGCAGACAACACTCTGGCTTCTTCTTCCTGGGACGTCCACGCTTCTTGGCCACAGGCTCTGGCTCTAGACTATGGCCACCATTATCGCTGCCACTTCCATTCAACTCTGCCTCGAGGCGAGCTGCATTATTACCATCACTTCCTGTAATTTCGATACCTGTACTACTATTTAGTTGTTGTTGCTGTGATGGTTGTTGTGATTGATGTTGTCTATGTTGTTTCTCTTTCTTTACAATGATGTTTCCAGTAGTGGCCACTCCGATGTCCTCTTCCGAGTCATCCTCTGACTCGACTGGACTGTGACCTGTGGGTGATTGGTTGGAACTACTGAGACTATGTGATTGGTATGATGATGACGAAGATGCCCGTACCAACACTGTTGGGTAGGTATTGGAACTGGACATGCTGGACAACAAGGGCATTGACATGGCCATATTCATTGGCACTTCCTTGCTGTTTACAAGGTATGATGAGAGTCCACCCATACTGGATGGTGCTGAAGATGAGGAGTTATGAGGATACTCGTCCATGAATCCTCCGACAACTGAAAAGTATACTTGTTGTTGAGGAGGAGAATGAAATTGGTAATGAGGATAATGATAGTGATATTGTTGTTGTTGTAGTTGATGTTGTTGTAGTTGTTGTTGATGATGTTGTTGTTGTTGTTGATGTTGGTACATTGATTGAATGAATGATTGAATGAGTTGGATGGGATGAGGATGAAGGAGTTGCGATTTATATGTGACTAGTTGACTCTGAAGAGGTATGTGATTGGTTAACCATTGGTTAGAGAAGTAATAAGGGTCATTGAATGAATGAATAATGATTGATTGACTTGATGGAATTAATGATTGAAAGTGTATGCGGCTTAGTGATGGTATGGATGTGTAAAGGTGATGAAGGCCCAACCACAATCAATGACCAACCATCAATCAACTGGATAGATAGTGGACCCCTGGTGCTTTAAAGCATTCTGCAAGGCCCCACACTCCTCAACCATCAATCACAGTCAGACTGTCCATCATCAATCAGTTCAGTTGATCAATCCTCATTCCCACTCTTCACTCACTAACACACTCTTCATCAACTTGCAACATTCTCACTCTCTTAAGCTCACAAACAATCAATCAATCATTCACTCCCAACATAAGTCATGTATGAGAGAGTGTTCGGGCCAAAGTGAGAGAATTGATGCCTCTTGCTCCAAGCACACACATCAACATCCAATCGCAATGATAAGTGTGCCCTTGGGCAAGGCACACACAACCTCCGCGACTCCCATTCTGGGCAATCACATGGCCTGGAGATTGCGATGTTGTGGTTGCCCTGCCCAATCACATTTGAGTTCTGCATCGTTCCAAACCACGACATCACCAAACACCTTGTTTGTTAGTCCATCAACCAAGCGGCAGCAAACAATTTTTGCGGCTCCAACGTCCATCACCAAAGTTTAGAGTGTGTGCTTGTCACCTGATCGATCATTTAACTTTGTGATCAAAAACACACACCACAAAGACCATCATCAACAATTTCACGAGCACGACCCTGACTAGTTCGTTGTTATCTTGCAAGAACATAAATGTGATGTGGTGATGTTGTGAACAACAATGTCATCCATCCATCCATCCTTTAGTTGGCAATCATTCAATCAATCAATCACATGATCTCCAACACTACCGCACGATCAAGACACTCCCTTCCGGCCCATCATTCAATCAATCAATCACGATCGCAGATTACTTGGCCACACTACTACATGTTGTTCATTGATTGGGAGGATGGTTCCATCCCCGCTCACTACCTCACTCATTCACTCAAACTTGTAGCTTTGCTCTCATTGACCCATGTCCTTGGACAAACACAATGTTAAATGTCTTGGTACTAATAGATAATGGATAATGGATGTTTAGATGAGGAAAAGCATGATAGCGACAAGAAGGATGGCGCTGAAATGGACATTGCTGAAGGGGATGAGCCAGAGTTCACTGAGCCGCATGGGTTGGAATATGTGGCATCAGTCCACACTTTCTTACAGCAGAGCTGTCTGGAGTGAAGGAATCAACTTGTGGACATTTGTTGATCATCATACACTGGTAGTAGGCGTAGTATGTGCTCTTGGATATCATGGCTGGTTTGATGCGGAGGTGACATGTGCCCGTCGATGGGTAGGAACTGTTGTCTCCACTGTCACACTTGCAGATACTAAATATCTTGACGTTAAAGTAACAATCATATGAGCTGCTGCACTTGGAGTTGGAGATGTCGTTGACCCTGCCAATGGAAGAATAGATAATGGATTATAAATGTGGATGTTTAGAGGAGGATAATCATATAAGTATGGTTTATTCAGTAGATTGATTGACTAAAGCTTCGTATAATGGATGTTTAGAGAATGAACATGGCAGACGCAGTAAGCAGTGTGATAACAATAATGAAGTACACATTATTAAATAGTGCTGAACCAGAGTTACATGGGCTCTGGTAGACCTTGGCTAAAGGGTTACCACAGTTGGCAAAAGCGCAACTACCTGGGATTTGGGCAGTAACTTCTGGACATTTGTGGTCCTCCAGACACTGGTAATAGTCATTGCGGGTTTTAATGGACACGGCGGTTGGGTCAGTCAATTGGGAACATCTTCCAATAAATGGTCCGGGGCTGCCATCACACATGCATGCAGAGAGGAACATTGGACAGGTATCGGAACTGTTGCACTTGGTGTTGGTGAGTATGTTCTTGTTCTGGCAGGTCCATTTGATACACAGGAGGTCCTGGAATATGTCACAATCTTCATTCTGACCACACTTATCACCGGAGACTCCAGAGAAGAATGGAACACAGACATTATTCAAACAGCTGCTTCGGGAGCTGCATTCTGCATAACTCTTGCATGCGGCACCATCGGGAAAGGGGACTGCACATGTTGAGTTGATGCAGTGTTCATTGTACTTGCATTGTGCGTCATCAAAGCATTTGGGATAGTTTGAGTTTGAACAAGTGCCATAACATGACAAACTACTAGTACATTGTGTTTGGTTGGAACATGGTTCTCCAAATCCACGGTAGTGTTGGGAGACACATCTCTTTGTTTTCTCCTCACAAGTGTACATATCCAAACAGATATTGGTCAGTGAACAATCACCACCATTGCCAGGTATTGGGACACATCTGTTGGTACCATCGTCTGTCATTACACAGATTCCATTATTGCGACATAGGTCTATACTTTTGTCACAGACTTCATTTATATTCTTGCATGAGATGCATTTGCCAGATACATTATTGATTAGAATGACAACTATTAAAAAAGTTAAAATAATATACTTCATTCTTATTTGTTATATTAATATAAAATTTATGAATAAAGTTATTGATTGATTGAAAGAAAGAATGAATGATTTAAAGATGACAACTTCTCTAACATCAATCAATCAATGATTGAAAGATAGCATCCTTGCCCAAAGCCCCTCCTTGAGCTTTACCCACCCAAGCCCTCAACTCAAACTTGTTCTGCAAAGTTGATCACTGTTTGATGTGATGAGTTTGATTAATTTAATTCATAAATTGTTATGTTTGACGGTGACCAATCAAAGTAAGTGATTACGATTTTAATCATCACAATGGTTGTTTAGGCGATTAGAATGGCACCCGAAAGTAGAGAGAATAAAATGGTAAGGAACCCATTTCTGAACAGTGCCGATCCAGATCCAGTGTAGCAGGGGATAGAGTAGGCTTTGTTGAAAGGGTAGCCACACTTGCTTGCGGAACAACTTGTTGGGATGTTTCTATCTACCTTTGGACATTTGTTGTTCATCAGACACTGGTTGAAGTCTGAGTATGTATTCTTCGACAAGGATGTTGGGTTGTAGGTTTGGAAACATCTGCCAAAATAAGGAGCGGCGCTGGGATCACATTGGCAAAGAGAAGGGAAATTAATGTCAAAGCAATCGCCTGTGCTGTTGCATCTGACGTTGTTGACTATGTTCTTGTTTTGACAGGTGTTGGAGATGCACAGTAGGTTCTGGGAGATGTCACAATCCTCGTTCTCATCGCAGAATCCACCCGCAGGTACCGAGAAGAGTGCAACACAGACATTTTTCAAACAACTGCCGTTGAGGCTGCAGTCTGAATCCTTCTGACAAGCGGAACGATATGGTAGTGGGTCTGCACAAGTGAAGTTGTTGTTGCAGCGTTCAAAGTACTTGCATTGAACATCGGTTTGACAATTGGGATAGGTGGAGCTGGTGCACGTGCCTTGACAGGTCAGGCCACTTGAGCATTGGGTAGTGTTGGTGCATGGTTCACCAAAGCCAAGGTATTGTTGGGAGACACAGGTCTTTGTTGTTTTGTCACACATGTAGGAGTCTAAGCAGAGATTAGTCAGGGAACAATCACCTCCATTGCCAGGTATTGGAGTACACTTGTTGATGCCATCAGTTGTCATTACACATAATCCATTATCTCGACAGATGTCTGATTCTGGGATACAGACTTCATTCATATTCTTGCATGCATAACATGTTCGTGTATTAATACCATTAACATTATAGACCAGCAGAACAACAATTAGAAAAGATAATATTTTATACTTCATTATTTGTTTGTTTAAATGAATGAAAAATGAATGAATTCATATCATAAATTTAATAAAGACTTATTATATCATCCATCAACCAATCAATGATTGAATTTTCCTTGCTTGACCCAAAGCCCCACCCGTGCTTCAACTCAAACTTGTTCTGCAAAGTTGATCACAGTTTGATGACGCCATGGGTTTGATTCAAACCACAGATGAACTGAATGTGGGACCCACTCTCACATGAACGACGACATTACACTGCAAAACTTCCAAGATCAATGTTCAAATATCAAAGTAATGAATTCGATAGAGATACAATTAAAGTTATGATAAATATATTACTCGGCATCATAAACAGTACAGATAGCTTGATGAGGCAGCCCAATCAATTGTGATCACATATATAATTCAAATTGGATCGTGTGGACTACTGTTGGTGAATTGATTGAGAGGCAATCAAATTGTGCATTGGTTGGTATCTGTACAGCACTCTCCAAAAACCGAGGTATTAAAGGGAACTTGTATGGGTGGAATGATCACAGGTATAATCATCAGTGCAGAATAGGACCATCTAGAATTACCTCCTATTCCAGGAGGTACTAGACATTTATAGTTGCCATCGGCTAACTTTATACATTCTCCTTCACCACAAAAGTCATAGAACTCTGGGTCCCAAGCTTCATTCAAATTCAGATTTGTGGTGATTTGAATGATCAATCAATGTCTTTATTATTTATTTATGTTCCGTGGATATAGGTACCAGTCATCAATCGGAATATTTGGATAATTTATAATATGGCAGTGGTGAGGAGGATGGCGATAACAAAGGTGATGTTGACTTTGTTGAAAAGGGCCGAGCCTGAGCTGCAAGGGCTCTTGTAGGTCTTGGAGAATGGAAAGCCACATTTTCCTCCCGAGCAGCTGGCAGGGATGTGTGAATCGACTTGAGGGCATTTGTTATCCATCAGACACTGGTTGTAGTCATAATAATCTTGCTTGGACAAACCTTTTGGGTCCATGATAGTGTGGCACCTGCCAATCGATGGAGAGACACTGCTGTCACACCCACAGTAACGGTAATTTAAAACATCACCGCAGTCAAGGGTAGAGTTGCACTTCAATTTGTCGTAGAAGTTCTTATTCTGGCAGATAAAACCGATGCATAGTAGGTTCTGGGATGTGTCACATATCTCGTCGGAATAACAATCTCCACCTTCAGAAACAGAGAAGTAAGGAACACAGACTCTATTCATACAGTTGCTAAGGAGGCTGCAGTCTCCACCATATTGACAGGCCGATCCATCGACCAGGGGCGTAGCACATGTTCCAGCATAGTTGCATCGTTCATTGTATCTACATTCGACGTCCATTACACACTTGGGGTAGAGGGAGGAGGAACATGATCCATCAGTGCAGGTCAGACCAATCGAACATTGGGTGTTGTTGGCGCAAGACTCGCCATAACCAAGGTAGTTTTGGGAGACACAGATCTTAGTTATATCGTCACACCTGTACTCGTCCAAACAAAATTTGGTCTTGGAACAATCTCCTCCATTACCAGGGATGGCAATACACTCTCCGGTTCCATCTTCGCCAGTCACACAGAAACTATTGTCACGACAAAAGTCAACATCTGGGGTACATACTTCATTCAAACTCTTGCATGAAGAACATCTACCATTAATATTGACTACCAGTGTCACAAATAATAATATAACTAATAATAATGAGTTCTTATTCATTATATATATGTTTGATTGATTGATTGAATAATGGAATGATTGGATTAAATTAAAGATTGAATTATTAATTGCTTGTATAATATAATATTGATTATTGAGATTGATTGAATGATTAATTATTGAGTGCAAATTGACTGATTTTAATCACTAAATACGAATACCCCTAACGATCTTTTGACGGGTTGTCTTTAACTCCCCTCGCGTCCTCAAGACACACGACACATGTCTATTTGGAATCGACCTGGGAAGAATTATATCAACATTTTTATTCCATTTAATGATTGACTGTAGTCAACGTAACTTATGCTTCAAAATGCTGAGCAGTTGAGACAGATACAAAGTTAAAGAGAGAGAAGGATGTATAGTGAGGGTTCCCAACCCTTGGCTAATGGATTGAAATGGATTTTTAGAGGAGGAACATGGCAGCGGCAAGGAGGAGTACGCTAAAGGTGAGGTGAACATTGCTAAAGAGACCAGAGCCAGAGTTACATGGGTTGTTGAAGGCCTTGGTGAGTGGGTTGCCACACTTGCCACCGGAGCAGCTGGCAGGGATCTGTGAGTCGACTTTAGGACATTTGTTATTGATCAGACACTGGTTGTAGTCGTAGTAGATGTTCTTGGACAAGACAGTTGGGTCCATGATTGGTTGACATCTTCCAATGGATGGCGAGGCACTGCTATCACATTGGCAACGAGTGAAATTTAGAACTTGATTGCAGTCAATGGTACTGTTACACATGGTGCTGGCGAGGACGTCCTTGTTCTGGCAGGTAAAGCCGAAGCAGAGGAGGTTCTGGGGGATGTCACAATCCTCGTTGGCAAGACATGCACCTCCAGCTGCCACTGAAAAGCGAGCAACACAGACTCTATCCAAACAGCTACTGAGGATGCAACAATCTCTATTATAATAGCAGCCTGATCCATCGGGGAGGGTGTCGCACATGTTCCAGCATTGTTGCAGCGCTCATTGTACTTGCATTGGACATCCCCTTGACACTTGGGGGTAGAGGGAAGAAGTGCAGGTTCCATCAGTTCAGGTCAAACCCATCGAACATTGGGTAATGTTGGAGCAAGACTGGCCATATCCAAGGTAGTGTTACATCGTCGCAGGTGTACTGGTCCAAACATTGATTGGTCTTGGAACAATCTCCTCCATTACCAAGGATGGCAATACACTTGCCAGTTCCATCTTCGCTGCCACACACATTCCATTGCCACGACAAAAGTCAACAGTCGGGTCACATACTTCATTCAAACTCTTGCATGAAAGGCAAGTACCAGTACCATTAACATTGGCTACCAGTGCCACAAACAATATAACTAATAATATTATTAAGTTGGAGCTATTCATTGAATGATTGATATGTTTAATCGAATAATAAAAAAATTAATTGATGGGAATAGAATATAAGATGAATGATTGATTTATTGGAGTATTTCCAACTCCAGAATATAAGATGATTGATTAAATAGATTTATTCAAACTCCTGTCATTCATTTCCTAAACCACGGTAACACGTTGTAATAAATCAACCACGTCTAACTCTTAAGACATGACACTTGTTTGTTTTAGAAAAGAATTGGCAATAATATCAACATGTTTATTCAATTGAATGATTGACTGAAGTCAATGTATGCACCAAAAGGATCCATTGTCGACACAGATAAAAGGTATGAAGTAGGGGAAGGAAAGGGAAGAGAGAAGTATAGAGAGGGTTCGGAACTCTTTGCTAATGGATTGTGATGATTAGAGGAGGAGCATGGCAGCGGCAAGGAGGAGGGCGCTGAAAAAGGTGAGGTGGACATTGCTAAAGAGGGCAGAGCCAGAGTTACATGGGTTGAAATTGGCGTTGGCCAAGGGTCTGCCACACTTGCCACCGGCGCAACTGGCGGGGATGTTAGCATCGACTTGTGGACACTTGTTGGTCTGGAGGCACTTGAAGTAGTCGGTGAAGGTGCTCTTGGATACGACGGTTGGGTCGATGACTGGGTGGCAGGTTCCGTTGGCTGGCTTGGAGTTGCCGTCGCAAGTGCAAACACTCAAGAAGTCTCCACAATCAGCAGTTGAGTTACACTTGGTGTTGGTGATGACGTTCTTGTTCTGGCAGGTCTTCTTGATGCAGACGAGGTTCTGGGAGATGTCACAGTTGGTGGTGTCGGCACAGGCGCCACCATTGGCAACAGAGAAGAAGGCCGTACAGACGCTGTTCAAACAGTTGCTGGTGAAACTGCAGTCACCATCAGCCTTGCAGGCAGTTCCATCGGCCACTGGCACGGCACAGGTTAAAGCATTGTTGCAACGCTCGTTGTACTTACATTGCTCGTCAGCAATACAGGATGGGTAGGTGGTGGTTCCACAAGCTGAGCTGATGCAGGTCAAGCCGGTTGTGCATTGGGTATCGTTGGCGCATGCCTCACCGTAGCCAAGGTAGCGAAGGGAGACACAGATTTTGGAAGTTGGGTCACAGGCGTACTCGTCCAAACAGGCCTTGGTGATGGAGCAATCACCGCCGTTGCCTGGAACGGCGGTACATTTGTAGGTGCTATCGGTTTGCTTTGCACAAATTGCATTGTTTCCACAAGCATTTGACAATGGGTCACAGACCTCATTCAACTTCTTGCAAGAGAGGCAAGTACCATCAGCATTGGCCAACAATGGTACCAATAAAACGACAAGTAATAATGATAATTTGGCGTAGTTCATTGTTTGTTTGTTTGTTTGTTAAGAGGGATAGAGATTATATTTGTATACAGTATATGTTCAATGGATGATTGAATGAATGAATGAATGAAGTTGAATGTATATATGAGCTTAAGTGCTTTAGATGTTTGTTTGTTTGATATGAAATAGTTGAAGAGAGGCCCGGCATCGCTACTTAAATAGGTTATTCTTTGTATCCTGGCCCATCTGAAGTTGAAGTTGCCAGACAAGTTGCCAGATAGCCAGCCAGCCAGCCAGCGACGCTGAATAATGTTTAATTTGGACCTACCTAACTACTAAGGGGGGGGGTGAATGAATGAATAATTGAAGCTTGTCTTTACCGTCATTAGTGTGTTTGGCTGAGAGTGTCAGTGTGTTGGTGTGAGTGTCAAAGAGTGTGTGTGTTTGGGCCTTGTTGATTGACATGTTCATCTTCAGCCCCGAATGAACCCACCTTGCCACGACACCATCTCCCCACACTCTTCAACAACAAGAGCAAATTGAAGTGCAATGTAAGTACATTATGTTTGATTGGAAGATAATCCCGATCAAAGAGGATTAGGTATGTACCAAATGTGTGAGGTCTCTGAGGTGTTGGCGCAGACGAGTCCCAAGGTTAGGGGGGAGACACTTTGTTTCATCTCCAACTCTTCAGATAATGGAACACCTTTGTGTTATGTATTCTATTAATATACTATTGTACTATATTGCCAGGATATGACCTTTTTTGGAACTTAACTTAACTTTGCAAGCGTGGTTTGCCAATAACTACAACAATGATCATTCATTCATACATTCATACATTCAATTACATTGGCAAACCGTGGATATTACCATTTCCAATTCATTTCGCTCAAAGTTCAAAGGCTAGAACTCCACGTGGTAATGGTATTCCGCATCGACACATGTATCCAGTGAGTGATCTTTGATCAAAGATCTCTCCCTAACACCACATTGTGTAAGATTCATTGAAAGAATTAGATATCTAATCCTTCAGTCCAAGGATTGTAGTGTGACCCTCCCAACAACCACATGGACAATATCTAACTTTAAGCTCTTTGAAATATCCCTCGACTTGCGTTTCTAGAACCCTAAATTCAAAGATCTCTCTCACTAAATATTCATTAATGTATCAACAAATACTAACTAAGTCTTGTTATAATTATAATTATCTCTTTGTGTGTTTGACGTTCATTGACCGAGAAAGTGTTGTGTATGGGAGTGTTTGAACTTGAACTTGAACATGAACTTGAAGTGAATGTCACATGATCCAACCACACAATTTCATTCACTTTTCATTCTTTTTAACAACATCCTCTACATGTATACCTTATCTCGAGATAATAATGTCAACAAAACAAACTAATAAGATAATTGATGATATTGATATTGATACAGATGATACTCATACATCAACAAGTAATCTAACATCAAGTAATGAGTCAATTGGAAGTTCAAGTGGAACTGGTGAACCAACAACACTCACATCAATCGCTCAGAGCAACATGGTACAACAAATATTCACAAAGAGAAGGATGCCCAAACATATGTACGTTTGAACAACCATTCAATCACATTCAATCCAAACTAACAATCAATCGCACTCATACGTAGACCTTATGTAGATGGTACAGCACTCAAATCATTCTTGAACTCGGCATTGGACTTTATACATTCATCACATCAATCATTGGATTCGAGTAGAGCTTGGATATGCTTTTGGGTATTGCATGGTCTTGATCTGTTGGGCGACGTGGATGAGCGCATGGATGTGTTGGCTCCAAGAAGTATATCATTCTTGCAACGATTGCAGAGTGCTCAAACTGGTGGATTCGCTGGTGGCATCGATCAGGTGTCTCATGTCGTCTCGACATTCGCAGCGATCAACGCGTTGATGATCATCGGAACGACCGAAGCCTACGACTGCATCGACCGCGCGGGCATGTACCGCTTCCTCCTCTCGCTAAAGACGCCTCACGGCTCCTTCCGAACACAGGTCGACGGTGAGGACGACTCGCGCTCCACCTACTGCGCTGTGGTCATCTCATCGCTGCTCAATATACAGACACCTGAGCTGCTGGCGGGCGTGCCCGAGTACCTGGTGCGCTGTCAGACGTTCGAAGGTGGTTTTGGTGCCACACCCGGCAACGAAGCACATGGTGGCTACACATATTGTGCCGTTGCCGCTCTATCGTTGATGGATCACTTTGGTTCGATTGACAGCGAGTCATTGTTGCGATGGGCTGTCAACAAGCAACCTGCCTACGATGGTGGATTCCAAGGACGAACCAACAAGCTGGTGGACACTTGCTACACCTTTTGGCAAGGTGGCGTGTTCCCAATCATCCAATCACATCTTGGACCCGTTGCACAAAACATTGGCAACGATGCCATTGGCAAACACCTCTTTGATCAACTACAACTCCAAGACTACTGTCTAATCTGTTGTCAAGATACAAGAGGTGGATTCTCAGATCATCCAGAGAAGTATGTATCCTCATTCATTCATTCTTTCACTCAAGTCCAACCGAACAATCACTAACTCAATTCAATCAACTTATTAGGGGAAGGGATTATTATCATACATGTTATACAATGTCTGGACTGTCAATTGCACAACATAATGATATTCATTTGGCAGTCAATATGATAAATCATCATACTCAAGAGATGCCACAACTGAGTAGAACTGTTACACAACTCAATGGTGGCACAGTACTAGAGGCCACACATCCAATATTCAATATCCGACTACCAAAATGCACCAAAGCATTACAATACTTCCGATCCAGGCCAAACATAAATGTATAATCAATAGATATCACCTCCTCAACTTTCATGTTTATGATTGTGCGAGGGCAAGGGCAAGGGCGAGGGCAAGGGCTAGCAAAGTTGAAAAAACGACCGAATCAAATTCAATCATCACCAATCTTCGTTACATCACATACTTATTATTATTTATTAAATATATATAGATACAGAAACAGATACATAATGAGCGAATCACTTGAGAATATATCACTTACTACAGGTGTGTCAACTACAAAGACAGATTCATCAAATGATATAGACGACGGATCATTATTATATGATGAGTTCAATCTTATAGATCAAATGGCAAAGAATGCTGCTGCACATCTAGGTCGTCTGATACAAGAACAACAACTGTATGTTGATGATCAAACATCATAGTCACAAGAACTAATCACTCATTCAATCACCTAATCACAGTCTAACAACACAAGGAGTACTACGTAATGAGTTGAAAGAGTCTAGTAAGGCACAGTTCAGAGAGAATGCAGTGCAGAAGGTTGACAATGTTAAGAAGATGATAAAGAATATAAATGAAGGTGATTCAGTACTGCCCAACAAGTTGGTAGTTGTATGTATCTACTGCGAGGATGATGAAGTACACGATGATCGCGCGACAAAGACTGACAATCAATCAACGAATCATAATTAGAAACAAAACCATGAGACAAAGAAATGGTTCAACTTTGGAGCTGGAGAGATTACTGATGAGATGAAGACAGAGGCCAACATGATAAAGTTGAAGAAGTTTGCGGATAACACTCAAAAGTACACGAGAAGTGCAAAGGCACCACTGCCCAAGTACTTTGAGATTGGTACCATTGTCAACAATCACGAGGACTATCATAATAGATTCACAAACAAGGAGAAGAAGCGTGGTAACTTGGGCGACCTCATGGCCGATGACAAGGTGATGGCCTACATCGACAAGAAGTCCTCGGAACTCATCTCTGAGGCTCGCGACAGGAAGAAACAACGTACAGCATATCATCTTAAAAAGAAGAGTAATACTAAAAAGGATTAAGATCCATCCATACATTATGGATGATATGATATGAACTGGACTGCGAATTGACTGGACTGGACTTTACTTGATCATTAGTATGGCCGCGGACGAATATGAATGAATGAATGAGTGGAGTGGATTGTGTGGCCATGCCATGCCATTGTTGGTGGAACCAAGAGATAAGAGATGGAGATGGGGGAGAGCATGGTGTTGTGGAGAAGGCAAACGCCTCATGTGAACATGGTCATGTGATGTCGTTAAATGAATGACAATAACTAACATCCCACTTATCATCACATCACAACTCAACACAACTAACTATCAGCAACAACAAAACAAACACATAAATTAAACACATACCAAGACCATCATGCCAATCACTGTTTAATACCCCCATTACCACACACACATACTAATCATTCAATCAAACACATGATCAACAACCTATTTTTACAACACTGATCATGTGTGTGAGTGTCTCATCACATGGATTTATATCTCAATCAATCAAACATTCACACACACACACGATCAATGGAGATGAAGACTAACGTTCTTTATACCTTTAATCAATCAATGACCTCTCCAATCCAACAAACACATGCTGTACTCAATCAAATCACACACTCACATCTAACTCATTCATCATCATTGATTGTACTCTCTTGATTAATTCGACTTTATATCATTTAATTGTATAAATAATATAAATAAGAGAAGATAAAAATAACTATATACTTATAAATATCAAAAATGGAACGTACTTTTACTTATTTATTAATACTAATTATTACATTTGTACTATTATTCCAAAATGGTAATTTAATTATTGACTGGAGATGAATTGACGAATTATTAACATTATTCTCCTTTTGGAATCAATCAAATCGAACCAATCCAGTTCAATCAAAACCTGATGTTAAATCAATTGAATATTTCCCATTTAATGCAACATTGAGTGGAACATCATTGAATGAGATCACAAGTATAGAGTTAGTCAAGGTTAAAGGTGGTTCATATCCAATTACCAAGATGACATTAGTGGACTCGAATCATTTGGTAATATTCTTTGGTGCCGATGTTGTTTTGAGTGGCAACTTGGTCTACTACTTCTCCGGTAGTTCAGGTACACTTGATTTGAACACGAATTGGAATCCAATATATGTTACCGGTATTACAAGTGCACCTACACAAGGTGGCATGGTCACAGTGCAAGGAGCTTTCCTAAACACAACCACAACAGAGACCAAGAACACATTGTTCATTGCCAACTATGTAAATGACACTGGTGCCGAAGCCAACAGCGACTACTTCTCCAACTATTTCATATTACCAGCATCTGACCAAATCTCAGGTACCAACAACCAAGCCAACATTACATGTATCCAAAACAGTGCATCATTCACATATTCATTCTTGCGTAAGTTGCTACATCAATTCACTCACTCACTCCACTACTTCAACTTCTAACTCATTCATTCATTCATCAATATTTAGCACCTTATGTTACATCTTTAACATATTCATCAAGTAATATTGTTATTAATGGAGGTAGTTTTGGAACTAAACTTGGTGATGTAAAGGCTTACTTGGATGGTATCCAACTTCCAGTTAGTGAGATTACCACTCCACATCTTAAGATCACCACTGGCTACCCAACAGGAACATCCTTACCCTTTGACTCATCATTCTTTAGCTATGCGGGTGTCAAGTCCCTGACCATGTCAGTCAACCAAGACATGAAACAACCATACTTCCACACAATAAGTAAGTCAATCAATCAATCAAGAACATGTATTGATCAGTATTCTAATATCATACCCTAGGACCTGTTCCAACATCAGTAACAAGTGTTGCCAGTGACCTTGGAGGTTTGGTAACATTGAGTGGCGACACATTCACTCAAACAAGATGGAATGGTAGTTTGACCACTGTATCAATTAAGATTGGTGGAACTTCATGTGATAATGTTACTCCAGTATCAAAGAATGGAAATCAATTCTCATGTTTGATGCAACCATCTTCATCAACTTCACAACAGATCAATAACCTACCAGTGTCTATTATGATCGATGGTGCTGCCTCCTCTGGAGACAACAAGGTCACATTCTCTTATGATATCCCAGACATCCAGTTAGAGGCCGAACAACGTGGAGACCAAGTTAGATTGGTTGGCCAGCGTCTTGGCAACGTCAACAACCTCAACCAGACAATCATTACATTTGACAGCCAGAACTTGGTTGCATCGTCGATTGTCTTCTTGACCACCTCGACCCTGGAGCCAAACGGACAGGACAAACGTGTCCAAGAGCTCAACTTTACCATCCCCCCTACCACCCCAATCGGCATGCCTTTGACCATCGGCCTGATATTCAACGGCAATCAGTCACCTCAGACCAAGTCCATCATGGTCTATCCTCAGGTGCTATACGTTACCTCGCCACCAGTTGCTGGAGGACTTGTCACAATCAAGGGAACATTATTCCAAGCCAAACAAGAGAATATCACAATCCCACAGTGCGAATCATTCACCCTGATCAACAGCACCGACATTACTTGTCAGCTTCCTCTTGGAAGTGGAGGCAACCACACAATGAACATCACTCTCAACACGATCTCTGTAGTGACCTCTTTCAACTACCAGCCACCAGTGGTACGCGAGATCACCAACTTCAGTTCGAGCGGTGGTGGTGTTACAGTGTACGGAGACAATTTTGCCACAGCCGACGACCTCAGTGTGACCATCGGTTCGGTCAAGTGTCGCGATCCTCACATTCTGACTTCATCGATGTTGGCATGCCAGGTGCTCAACACAGACCTGCCCTCTCCCCTACCTACTGAAATACAGACCGTGACGGTGACAGTGGCTGGCCAGACTTGCGAGGCCAACATCTTTGGCTACATCATCCCTAATCAATCAAACGACATCAGCAAGCAACTCAAGTGGATCCTTCCCTTTGGAATCCTGGCCGTGTTGTTCATCGTGGGTACATTCACGGTGCTCACCATCAGACTGATTATCAGAAGGAGGCGAGTACAGGCCGTAAAGAAATTCATCAAGGCATAGTTCAGTACTAGATATATATATACTATTTACATTACTCCTCTGGCAATGGACCATGGAGACGAATGGAACATGTCCATCGTTCACACAGTGCCTTTGTGCCACATGGGCACTCAATCTGTATTACCGAGAGATTTCCAAATCATATCATCAATTAAAACGTTGTAATTAATATCCAATATAATATATCCACCTTATCTGATCAAATGAGTGATTGATGTCTTTGATGGGATGGAAGTAGGGGACCGGGACACATGATGATCAATGTTGGTGATGAGCGACGACATTCAGGCTGTGTGCATTTAGTGACGATGAGTGATCCATGAACTGAGTCCTGATGATGTGCTGGAGACCAGATCCGGTGGGCCACGACATGGAGTGATCCCAATGGTGATCGATCCGGGGGTTGCGATGATATTGTGATGATGATCCATTGATTGGATAGAGGTCTAGACTTTGCGGGCGATGACCCAAATGCATGTGTAGATCACTTTGAACAATGATTCCCTATTCTGTTCATACGGGCAATCGATTGTCTTGAGTTCCTGTTGTGTATGTGTAAGTTAGTTAGCGTGGTCGCCAATTCAGAATGATTGATCAACTTACCATGATTTCAAAGTTATAGGATCTGATGACTTTGACAAGGTCGTCCGCATTGATGTGCGTATCAAAGTGGAAGTGAAGTGGTCCATTGTTGATCCATAGACCGCCAGGCTTGAGTACGATGCTAATGCGCTCGATTACCTTGAAGATATCATCGACAGCATCAATAAAGAAGCATGTGGAAACACAGTCGAATGACTCCTTCTTTGTATCCGTTGCAAATATCGAGAAGAAGTCACCAAATGCAAAGCTCAATGTGCCATGTCCATTGCCCTTGATGTCTATCAATGTATCCGGGATTGACACTGGTCTTAACTGGAGGATCGTGGATTGTTAGTATCACATTTGATCGACTCATTCACAAATGATCAAACATACTTGTGATTGAAGATTGATGTTGTTCTTGGTCTGATGGACGAATGGATAATAGCTATGAGAGAGTGGCTGGATAACACTGGAGAACAGCCGTTTGATTGGTGATTATTGAGAAGAGTGAGTTCTCGTTCAATACCGTGTGGAAGCCCAGCTTGGATATCTCGTAGGAGAGGCGACCACTTCCGCCTCCTGGACACAACACCCTAATATTGGCTCTGTTGGTGCGGTCCGGATAAAGGCGCTCGAGTGATGTTAAGAATGGAGAGAAGCCAATATCTCTCTCTTGTTTGCCCTGGATAATGATTGATTGATGGATTGATTGAGTTAATGAGTGAATGAGATGGAATGATTCCAGCTGAATCCAGACTTACCTCTGCGCTCCAGTCGCGTGTGATCTGAAGCAAGAGGTGATGAAGCCTGTCAAAGATACTCTTGGAGCCCCAGTGCATGCCGGAGGTCGGCTTCTTGGGGGTTGACGAGGATGAGGAAGTGCCATTTGATGGTGACGAATTGTAGTCGGTGTTGTCGGTCAGGTCTTGAGATTGGGACTGCTGAGACTGCTGTGACTGTAGTGACTGCTGAGACTGTTGCGATTGCTGAGACTGTTGGGACTGCTCGTCCTCCTCGGAGTGTGGAGGAGAGGGGTCATAGTCCAGCAACACAGTGGGTGAGTCTTCAAACTCACCGCCATCTGAGTCCAACTCATACTCTGAGCAGTCTTGGATCGAGTACTGAGGCACAGTGTCACTTGCCAGCCAATTGATAAACACTTGATTGTCTTCAATTCTCTTGTCAATCTGATCAAACACTTGTGTCTTTGAGAATGATTGAATGGAGGGAGTAAGTGAGTGATTGTTCATTGGCCATGTTGAGTGTGGATAGCTTACAAAGTGTTCGACGAGAGATGGGGAAATGTTGGCGCTGATGATCACGTCTCGATACTTTTGGTTGCAACTCTTGGATGATGAGGCGTACTTCTTGAAGTGTGTTCGAATGGTTGACTCTAAGAATTGAATGATTGGCTTTACAACTATTCCTGTTGTCGTTGTCGTTGCTGTTGTTGATGTAGTGGAAGTAGTAGTAGTTGGTGTTGTTGTATGATGTTCCGTATCCATTGTCGATATGGTCATTTGGTCCATTGACGACATTGGAGACATTGAATGTGGTGATTCATGTTGTGAACCACCCATTGTATATGTCTATCTCTTCTGGTCTCTCTCTCTCTCTCTCTCTCACCTAACTTAATATATTTATTTATAACTTTATATCACTATCACTATCACTCACAATTAGAAGTTAGTTGACAAATGCCCAACAATTACAAGTTACTTGGTATGGTCCAAAATCGATTTTGGTCGAGTCTAGCTCGATGATCGACCACGAAAACGAACGAACAAAAGTTTGAAGTCAACAAAAAACAAGATACAGATATTTTCGAGAGATACATCAAGTAATATAAATATATATTTGTATAACAATGATTGGTTGATTGACTGGAAGAATGAATGGTATTATTATTATTATTATTAGGTACATGGTACGACTCGAGAGGGAAACTGGAACTTGAATGAAATGTAGTGATGCTGGTGCCCCGTTCTGAATCCGGGAATGGAGATGTTGTTGGGGGATGTGTTTGGAAAACAATGTTGTATCCAAAGAGTTAGAGATAGAGTGAGAGAGAGAGAGCCAATGGTGACTCCCATCTTGTCCACAATGTTGTTGTTGTTGTTGATGATGTTGTTGATGATGATGTGGTCGTTTGAATCTGTTGTAGTTACTGTGTTGTTGCTGTGTTGTTGCTGTGTTGTTGTTGTTCAGATATATTCAGTTAGTTAACAAAATGACTCGGTAACATCCTTGAGCAAAGCCTTCCTTGTTCGTGACAGTTTGTTCTCGAGTATAGGTGCAATGTATGATGCCTTCTCTGCATTCAACACTGGTTTGTTGTTGTTGTCGATGAAGATAGGTGATGGAGAGTGAGTGAACTGTCAGCATGATGTGTCTCAATCAATCATTCACTCATTCAATCAACTTACACTTGGCATAGAAGAAGTCCTTGAATGCTTGATCCTTCTTGAATAGACCGTTGGCTGGCATGGCTGGACCAAACTCGGGAACGGTCTCTTTGGAGACGATGCCTAGACGATAGTAGCGCTGGCCTGGATCAGACTCGAGACGAACGGCCTTGACCACCAGCACGACATGTACCTGTCTTGAACTGATAGTGGTTGGTCTGTAAACGGTATCGCCATCCTGGAATACAATGACTACAATGTCATTGCCAATATGTCGTTTCCTCTCCAATTGTTGCTTGTCCTTCACATTGAATGGTAGCATTACAGATACATGATACATCACTTCATTATTATTGACACGTTGATAGATTGAATGTGTACCAGTTGTTCCAGCTATTGATTGATTGAGTGGAGTATGAATGAGTGAGTGATCGTGTCCAGGTCATGGGCGAGGCAGTGGCCTTCCCATCAATATCAATCTATCATACATCTAACATCCAGTCCTGCTCTAAAGTTTGTCCATCCAGTTAATGGTACTCGCTCGCCAATGAAGTCCAGGAACTCCTCGAACTCTGGACTCGAGTCAACTGTTGAGGAAGAAGGGGAGGTGGAGTGGAAGGGTCATGATCAGTATGATGGTCCAGTCACTTGTCCACTCATCAATCGCTCGCTCAATCATACCATTGGCAAACATCTCATCCTCTTTGGTCTGTCCCTCCATTGCATATAGGATACCAAACTTGAAGCCCTTGATGGTCTGCTTCTCTTCGAGGTTGAGCAGAGCCTGTGGCAGGGCTGGATCGACAACCTGTCGCATGCCATTGTAGTACTGTGGCGTGATTGATCGCAGCATATCATAAGGTGATGGTCCTGCTCTAAATAGTCTTCTCCACCACGATGCCTTGACTGTCTCTGCTGGTACCTGCATCCTTTCATTACCCTACCAAGTGCATGTGTCAGTGTTCGTGTCAACCTCAGCAACGTGTCGATGACTGGCGATGTTGACATGAACTTACGGCTGATGTTCTTATAAGTACACTATAGTGCTTGCCATCCTGTTCCAGCACTATTGATACACATATAGGGTTCTCTGGCTGGGTTGAAGCCAAGAAGTTGTAATGTTCTATGTGTTTGTGTGTGTGTGAGTGTGTGTCGCCAGACTGTTTCCGCGCGTGTTTCCACGTGTGTTACCGCGTGTTACCGTGTTTCCATGTCGCGACCATACCTTTGTTAAAGAATGTCTCTCTGTAATATAATGCATCATTGTCTGATAGATCAAAGACTCCATCAAACACATTCTGTACTGTTGAGCAATCAAACACTTTAAGCTCTTGATCGGCGGATGAGCCCTCTATCCTATATGTAACAGATGGAGCAATCAATACTCCAGCATTTGTCGATGATGAACTCATATCTGTTTAGGTCTCTGTTGTTGGAATGAATATATATAATATATATAATATATATATAATATTAATATGATATGATATAGTTAGAGCAAGATGATGATATGATGAATGAGTGAATGAATGAATGAATAGAGGTGGTTTGGTGATGGAGATAAGAGAGGGAAGAGGACTCTTAATGTGAGTGTATTATAAGTGATTGAGTTAGTGTTTGTCAATGAAAGTGATCATGATCACCAGTCACCCCTTCGCACACTCACCAATCAATCACTTATTGAGGTGCACCCACCTCCGATGACCCCCACTCACACACCATCACACCTAATGAAGAGTTTGATCAACAATGGGTCTGTGATAACGAAGTAGATATGTTATTTGCTAGAGAGGTGTCTATTATTATTACATGTTTGGGTTTGTTTGGTATTGATGGGATGGGTAGAGAGAGGCCGACCGTTTGATTGATTGATTGATAGATTTGATCATTCATCATCGGATAGGATATCATCCAGAATAGATACAATTGCATTGTCCTCACTATTCAATGGCTCTACAAGTGTGAACTTGGTCTTGCAGACATGTTCCAACAACTCTGCACAATTCTTAAGTATTGATTGATTCAATGTCATTGTTGATGGTCTCTGTGATTGATTGATTGATTGATTGGTGATGGATGGTTAGTGCACTCAAACATGGTTCCTAACAAGTGGATACACTTACATTGAATCCAGGTCCACTGTCTAGGACACCTTGGAATCCAATCTTTTGAAGGTGTTGTGCAATGATTGATTGTTGTTTGTCGTTTGAGGTGTTGGCCATGGCACGTGTTGGCATGGTAGAGTGTACAGAGTTCATTTGATCGACGATGTACAGTGCATTCTCGACAATCTTGTGATTGTCACAACTTCCAATCACACTGGATAGTCTTGGAACGAGCAAAGAGTATACGGTGGTGAACAGCTGTGCATTGTACTTGATACCCTCGCGCAGGATGTCAAAGACCAGCTGTTGTTCGGGCTCGCGATCTGTGTTGAGCAGGACTGTCACCAGGAAGCTGATCAACAGGTGCTCGTGATTGCCATCGACCAATGTCTGTGAGTTGAACAGTAGATGTCCTTCCGTGTTGCTGGCCGATGCTGGTAGCTCGCCCTCAAATAACATCAATGCCGTGATGTATCCGAGCGTGGCGTTGTTTGTCGTCGAGGCCTTCTTGGCCATCACCAAGAGTAGTGTGTTGAGCAGGCGCATTGTGATCTCCTTGGTCGACGCGTTCTTGAGTCCCTTGAGACAGTGTGTAGCCAATGCGAACGACATGTTGTTGTCGAAGCTTGTGCCTGAGACCTGGCACACTCGGTCGATGATAGGTGCGCAGTCTGACTTGGCCGCCAGTAGCGTCTGATGAACATTGTCCTCGCCACCAAACAGCTCATACTCATCCATTGTCTTGATGATTGTCTCGAGGAGCGTGACTGCCACAGAGTAGATGCGAACGTCATACACCTGCATGAAGAGTATGGCCACCCACAGGAGAGAGGGCAGCACCTTGGACTTGGCCGTCAGGTACATCTGCAGGTTGCTCAGTGCGTGCAGACCGCAGTACACCATATCGGAATGGGTGACAAGTGCGTTGGGCGACTTGGCCGTCTGTGCCAACACTCCCACCACATCCTTTATGTTCTTCTCCTTGAACTGGCCAGCCTTGATGATGTTGCCCACTGTGATCAACGAGCGGCTTTGCACTGGCGGGTTGTTGGCGACTGCGGAGCGCACTGCCAGGTGTGTCCAACGCAGGTGCCACTGTTTCGAGCCATCATATCCATTGTCCAAGAACACCTTGAGTATTGAGAACAACATCTTTACAATTGGGTCCACATTGGACACTGGCATCTTCTCCATATCAGTCTTGATCCAATCAAGGTTAGTGGTGGAGCTGCTTCCAGCACCATGTCCATGAGATGTACCATGAGTCGGTCCATGATGTGAGCCATGTGTAGGGCCATGTCCATGAGATGCACCATGATGTGAGCCCTGAGCACTATGATGGGCAACGTTGCCGCTGCCACTGGTGGCACTTGTGGCGTCGGTAGTGTGGATGCCAAAGAGGATGAGGAACTTTTGTTCGCCAAGCTGTGAGATAAGGAAGGGGATGGATGCGAGACGTCCATCATTCGACACGAGCGAGTTGTAGAGTGAGTGCAAGGTGTTGATCAGGATATTGTACACGGCTAGACGGACCAGGGCCGAGCCAACGCAGAACAGACTGGTGCCAAGATAGAGTATCTCGGGCAAGTACAATTGAGCGCACTCGGCATTGTCGAATGTCACGTACTGGAGAAGACGGAGGTAGGTCGCAATCTTGCTCCACAGGGGATGCTCTGACAGGTTGCCTCCACTCACCACTGGCTGTTGTGAGGTCTTCTCGAGCAGGCGCAACAGACGCGCGATCAGACGACCGCTTGTGGTCTTGGGTGCCGAGTATGAGATTGAAGTGATCATCTCACCGACGGCATCCGTGTGCTTGGGCTCGGGATACTTGCGGGCACAGCGACTGAGCGCCAGGCCGATCAGGACGTCGCTCTGCTTGCCAATGTTGGACCAAATGCACTCGTGAACGGATGGTCGCAATGCCATCTCGCGAACGGTCAGATCAATCATGATGTCCAATATGTTGACGGTCTTTTTGTAGCGGTTCATCAACTCGGCTGACGCGCTGGCAGGCGGCTTGGTCGCGTGCTTGGCCAAGTTGGCGATCCAGGGAGCGATGTACTCGAGCACCAGGAACTTGGAGCCCTGTGAAGCCTTGGTAATGCCGTGCAGTGCCTCAAGCAGGAACTCTAGCGCCAGGCCAGGTTGTAGACGAGCGACTCTCTCTGATATTTGAACGATCTGTTGGTTGCTATTGCGTGGAACAAACAGGCCGCACGTGTCCATGATGCGAGTGCCCTCGGCGAAACTGGAGTAGCGCGACAGTGCACCTAGCATGTTGTAGGATGACAATCGCAATGCGCTGAAGCTGCTGCCAATGTTGAGCAGGGCAATGTTAAGCAGCGTGCCAGGGATGTCTTGTGGGAGCACGCGGTTCGCCGGCACAGTGGCTATGCGGTTGGTCATGTTCCAGCGAGCCGTGCATTGGGCGATCGCCTGAAGGATCTGTGCACGCTGCGCGCTCCTGAACACCAGTGTCTGCTGCGGGTTCTGCAACTTCAGCTCAAACTCGTTCGCCTCCGACACGTTGTCCGTGCTGACCTTGAGCACGGTGCTGATGTGGTAGTTGTCAATCAACGCGCTTGATCGTCCCATGATAGAGTACAGCTTCATTGTGACCAGTTGGATGCTGTCGTTAGTCAATCGTAGCGTGTAGCTCTTCTCGCGATACTGTCCACTATTCTGAACGACGGGGGAGAACGACGCCTTGGTGTTTAGCTCGCTGTTGCGTGTAGTGTCAGGCAGGCCGTTGTTGGCTTCGTGAATGTGTTCAAAGATGCTGGAAGGGTTGGACGAGAACACCGTGTACTTGTGTGTCTTGGAGTTGGCGCCGATGATCTTGGTGATGGACTTGGCGTGCGACTTGACCAGATGACTGGGGTTGAGAATGAAAACGTGTCGCAGGCTGTCCGTCAGCCAGGCGGGAACATGGCGAATCCACGTCGAGATCCAAGACAGCGGGATGATGTTGATCTGTGTGAGTAGTGAGCAATCCACCACGATGACGTAGCCGGTGGTAGTGGCGCTGCTGTGCTCCTTGATGGTCTTGAGCAACATGTAGTACATGTGCTCCTGGTCGATGGACGGGTCGAACCTGCGAGCGATGTAATAGAACACGGGCAAGTTGTCCTTGATAGTTGTGCCCTGGCAGTAGAACAATTTCTTCTGCTTTAAGTAGTCCAGGTTGCTGTTGTCATGCTTGCGCAGCAATGAGTCAAAGTAGTTTGTTGAGCCAGGCTCCCAGCCACCCGCCGCAGCGACTCCGCCAGGCGCGCCACCAGTAGGCGTGGGGAGGGCGACCTTTTTGCTCATTGGGGTGGGCGCTGGCAAGCTTGGCGCGCCAAGACTCGTGATGATCCTCTGCAACTGTTGTGCATGAGCCTTGTTTGTGGCCTCCAGAGCCTTAGTGATCTTGTCCAGTCCGTTGACAAAGTGGCTGTGGAGCAGGACTGTGTCCTCCTGCTTGGTGTCCCATGTAGGGCGTGCCGGCTCACTAGTCGTTGAAGCCTTTTGGTCTGGCGAGAAGGCGATCAGCGCCTCGAATACGTGGTCCACCAACTTGGCATTTTCTGACACAAACGTGTTGAAGTTGTTCATGAAGGGCTCTCGAATGTTGTTGCCTGTGGCGTTGGAGCCGAGCTTTTGGAGCACCTTTGTGACGAGGAGAAGAGCACGTCTGTTCTCCTTGTTGAGCGCTGCGGCCGACGAAACGATGCCAAAGTTCTCCGGTGTGATGATGGCCGGACAGATGTACTTGAGGAAGAGGATGCCGATGATTGTGAGCTTCTCGGCACCGGGGAAGAACTCGTGCACTGTCTTGGAGATGTAGGCGGCAAGCTCCTTGACAGACGATGGAACGCTGCCCACCGTGTCATTGATCGATCGGATGAATTGGCGCGCCAAGATTGATAGACGTGCGACATTGGAATTGATATCCTCACCTGGGCCAAGCTTGGTGGGATCAATCTCCATCGACTCTTTGTTCGTGAGCAGCTTGTTGATCACGGGGAACAGAGCCTGCTTGAGGTAGGGTTGTCCAATTAGCTTGATGTACGAGGCAATCATCTTGCTTGTAAGTGTGTTGCCGCGGAGCATGGTGGCGGCGTTTGGTTGTTTGGTTGTGGACACCTCGTAGTGTATCATCTTCTTGAGGATGCTGATGGAACGATCGTTGGCGTCGTAGAAGTGGACCAGGATACGGGCTACTTCGTCCGACTCGCTGGCCTGAGCCAGCGCCACAATACCCTGATACTCTGGCTCCAAAAGGTAGTCGTAGAACTGCTGGTACTTGAGCTGCTCGGTTGTTTTGTTGTTGTTCATCTTGAATGAGGTCTGCGCTGCAAGTTGAGGTGTGCCACTTGCTCTTGCCATCGATGGCTGGCTACCCGATGCAACAGCCGTCTTGAAGGTGGTCTGTTGTGGTGGCGATGGCTGAGTCGTCTGGTTTTTAGTTTGTGTAGGACTTGATGATGATGAGGTGGAGGTGGCAGAAGCAGGCTGTTGTGGAGGAGGAGTACTTTGATTGAGAATGTTGGCAATCATTTGAATGAACGAAGCCCTTGTCTCTGGGTCCTCATGATAGCCCATGTTGATAAAGTACTCCTGCCTCACGTTACTACTCAACATATTGTTCAAACATTGAATGGCACCATCAGCGATCTGTTTGCTCATCTCATTGCCCTGTAAGAATTGATTGATTGATTGGGGGAGAATGGTTAGAAATGATTCCATGTCTCGCAAGTGGCACACAGGAGCACTTACATCTTGCTTGCACTTGCTCAACAGTGTGGAGAAGATGTTGAAGTACTTCTTGAAGGGGTTTGATCCACTTGAGTCGTTGGCTGGGAATACTAGGCCAGAGAGGAGTGAAGCCATTGAGGTGATGCATGAGATGTCAACGTCCTTGATGAGCTTGGCCTCAGCCATCCATTCTCCTGCTGCTCCTTTCTGCTCGCTAACACTCTCACGTATGTTTGATTGTCCACTACCACCACTGCTGTTGCCACTACCACCTTCCACACGTGCATGAGTGTCCGCGCCATGTCCTTGACCAGGATGTCCTGGTATGATGGCATTGAATACTGTGGTCCACTCAATGATAGACTCAAGGACAGACTTGCGGAAGTCCACAGAGAGGTTGATGACGGTGGGTCGCTGCGCAATGATGTCCAGGAGCGAGCAGAAGTTCTTCTTCATTCGCAAGCTGGTGGCGTTGAGTAGCAAGTGACCAACATACTTGATGATGAACAACATCATGCTCTCGAGAGCAGGCGTGGTGGCCGCGTCCAGATCCTCGGGCTGCTGTGCTTTGTCAATTAGGTTCTTGAGGAGATTGATGGTCTGGTCGACAAAGAGCACGCATCTGTCGTTGCTTGGGTCGGCTGCGGGCTCGCTTGACGAACATACTTGTAGCTCGCTCATCAGATACTTGGTGAGCCACGACTGGCATGCGGGCGCCAGGGATGTGCCGACCAGGAGGATGGATGTCTCGCGCATGAACATGTTGTCGCTTGTCATGTGTTCGATGACTTCGTCCATGAGCATGCTGATAACTTTGACGCGATCCACATTAGCCGACACGACTGTTGACGAGGTGATCTTGCGACTCAGTCTGATCCTAGTCGTGAAGTTACCGATGGCTGCGTTGAGCGTACCAGTAGATGAGCTGGATGTGGGTGCCACAGCATGTGTCTCTTTGTTGAGCGTGATGTTGCCCAGACTGCAGAGGAATCCCAGCATGTTCTTCCACTCTTGGCGAATCACACTGATTGGTCGTTTGGACCTGTCATTCGAGTCCTCCGTGCCGTTGGAAGCCATGATCAGCGGTGCCAGCAGAGTCCATCGTGCAAATACTTCCTCCCAAGCAGCAAAGTTACCGGTGGTAAGCTTGTGGATGCGACGTAGCAGTGAGCGGATAACCTTTTGCTGCTGCTGTTTTCCTGTGTGAGCCGAGCAAGATGTCGCCATCTTCTTGTATATGGCCATGTTGGCCAGGATGCCATTGCTGTCGTCTGAGCTCTCGCCCAGGATTTCGATCTCCTCGCACAGCAGGCCGAAACAGTGTGCAACGCGGGAGCAGATGTCGCTCTCGCTAGAGCACAGGTGGATGAGAAGGGCAAACTCCAGCTTGGTGGTGCCCTGTTGGCGGGTGTCACGCACAGAGTTGTGCGGCAGCAGACTGTCACGCGACTTGAACAGGAACTCATTGCGGCGAGCCAGCACCTCCTGCAGCAGTATGAGCATGCGCTGTGTGTGCTCAAGTGATTGATCGCGATTGTCGATCAGTGAGTTTGCCAGCGACACGTTCACTGCTGAGCTGATCTCCCAAAAGCCATTGATCATCTTCTTCTCATACCATGACTCGACGTATGTTGGTTCGTGCAGCTTGAGCAATGTGGCCGAGGCCAAATCGACCAACTCCTGTGACAGTGTCTGCGACGCTGCGATCTGGCACAGGCCTACCAAGATCATCCTAATGTCTTCCAAGTCCTGGGCGGGTGATTTCTGGATGTTGGGGAAGTGAGGAAGAGAGGTTAGAGGTGGGGAAAAGGAGTCCAAAGCGAGCCCACATACCATGGGAATCAAGGAGAATGTAGGATCGACCTGGAAGAGGTTGATGATGAGTGTGATTAGCTGGATATCAAATACAAGTCGCTCCTGTTGCTTCTTCTTGTCGTTGCTTGAGGCTGTCCTGATTGATTGGAGACATTCATTGAACATCTGCTTGAGCTGCATCGAGACAATGGGATAGACCTCTGTGAGAGTGGCGCACCATGGTAGGCGCGCACTGCTATCCTCGTCGTGACGCAGACGCAACAAACTCTTGAGCAACACCAGTCGGTATTGGATTGAGATCTCATTGTTCATTAGGTCGGGCAGGATGCCGCGCAGTTTGCGCGACGATGTCTTGATGAGCGCCACGAGGAAGTCGGCCATCAGGTCGACCTCGGCAGGTGTCTCGGGTGGGCGCTGAGTGAAGCGCTCCTTGATGTCGGCCTCGATTAGCGAGGAGAGTGGCTTGACCGCCGACAGGTCAGAGTCTGACACGTAGACAGACGCACGATAGATGTACACGTAGCACACCGAGACGACATCCGCCAGCTTGGGCTGCTTGGTGTACTTCTTCAGACTGTCCAGGAATCGGCGTTTGACCGCCAGGTCACCGCCACCCGCACTGCCAGCCTTCTCGTTGCGATGCAGCTTGATCATCACATCCGGGCACAACAGCAGCAGAGTGGTCATGAGCGGCCACAGGTTGACCTTGTGTACCTTCTTCTTGGCCCATCCGTCGACAATGTCAAACAAAAGGTCGGGAGCGACCGACAGCCGCTCGCCCTTCTGTGACATGGATACAAACTCCATGGGGTGGTGATCGATCCAGTTCCAGATCGCCTTGCACAGTACCTGGGCCAGAGTGAACTGTTGTTTCTCGCGCCTGAACGAGCCGGCCGACTTGAGGATCTTCTCCAGTAGCTCGGCAAGCATGCGCGCGTTCAAGTTGGTGTGTTCCAGGAGTAGGAAGTAGTTGGAGAACTGCTCGTCATTGGGGTTGACACCGGCCACACTGTTTAGGCTGTTGCCGCTGTTGCCACCTCCCAAGCTACTGCTGATGCTGTTGCTGTTGCTACTGCTGCTTCCCATGTTGATGACCAAGTTGAGTGTTTCAATAATCCTCGTCTGTACTATATCATAGTTGGTGGCGGACAGCTGGTAGATCACTTGGCCAGATGACAAGTGTGTCTCTGAGTCATTGGCCGATACGGCGCGTATCAGGCAACCCATCGACAAGTTCAATATACGTTGTGCCATTGAGTCTTGCAAGGGTGGAGGTAGAATCTGCTCCTCCTTCTCCTTCATCTGTGTTGTTGCGTGTGTCAGTATCCATTATCCATTAGTCGTCCTCATTGCCATGTATACTTACCCTCATGATCTCCTTCTCATCTGTGATACGGCTCATCATCTCTTTGTATTGTCGTTTCTGTTCGGGGTCGAGGGCAAGGGTAGGGTTAGTCGATCGTTCACGTGAGGGTCACTCAACTCCGAAGACTTACAATATGTAGCCACTGATGTTCCATGCATCTAGCGAGCAATGAGAATGTATAGGCCAATGCCCATGAGTTGTGATCGCCATTGTCACGTGAGTCTGTGTCTCTGTTGTTGTTGCCGCTGTTGCCACTGCTACCGCTGCCAATTCCACCACTTCCACTTCCACTGCCACTACCGCCGCCGCCAACACTTGTGGACTCTCTTCTCTTTGTAAGTGACTCTATGATATCTGCCAATCCATTTGCAACAACATTCAACTTATTAGCGCTGAGTTCTATCAATGTCTGTTCATTCTGTTTACGGATGCCGTTCTGCAGCATCTGATCATTGCTAATGAATCCATATGTCTTCTTATACTTTATCTACATTTGTTTGATTGATTGAATGTTAGAGGTCATAAGTTCGCGGAAGTTTGTTGGACTTGTGGCGTGTGGCAAGGTGTGTGTCGTGTTTCCGGGCTGAAGTCGCCGTGTGGCGAGGTGAGTTTCCGCGCGGAAGTTGGGTGGTAACTCGATATTACCTGTACACTAAACCTGTTTATCAAGTCTGTTATCAACCTGTCCTCATTGTCCATGTTGAAAGTATATGTTTATAATAAATAATATAGTAATAGTAGTAGTAGTAGTAGTACTTGAAGCTTGTTAAGTTCTACTATTGCCAGTAGTGATGCAGACTACTTTTCTGTCTGTCTGTCTTCCTGATGATGAAGTTAAGATAGTAATTAATTAAAAGTACAACAACAATCTGTGTTTGAGAGGTGAGAGAGAGATACCAACAAAGCACTCCTCCCTCAATATTAATACAAATATATAACTATTATTATGATGTGAATGATTTAGTCAAAGTATCAACAAGGTCGTCATTGATTGATGCCAACTTGGTCAGTCATTCATGTCACCCACTCACACAATACATCAGAGCACAACATAACATCAATCAACCTCATGAATTGAATTGAATCAAGTAGTAGTATTAGGTGATGGCTCCAACCCAATCAGTCATTGATGAAACCACCCAATCACTTAATGCCACTGTTATGATTGATTGATCACTGTACCCCGATCAAAAAAGGCTGTACTACGCCAAAAACAACCCCCACCCCACACCGATTAGATATTGTTTGATTCAAAGAGGACCCATGTTTTTTCCCACGACTTTGACCAAAACAGGGGTGTCATCATTATGGATCGGAGTTATTATTATCATGATCATGATTTTCATTTAATTATTATACACATAAATACATATCGTATATATATTTATATATATAAAATATAATAAATGAATAAGTTAAGGGAATGAATTGCATAAACAATAGAGTTTCTTTGGTTATAGTTGTAATTTCAGTTGGTGTATCTCTTCTACTTGGTCTCCCTGTTTGTGTTTATAATCGATACACAACGCAACTACCCACCTCTAATGACGAGTCATCAACTAAACATACCAATACTGGATTCACATTTATAGTCGATAACACTGTTCAACAACGACCTTTACCAAACAATATGCAGTCGATTCTCCGAGGTAATCATTTTGCAAAGATGTACTGTCCAGTCAGCAAGGCAGGGGATTGCCACAACAGCACCTATTCTTCTTCCGCTGACGGCTTCATTCAACTCCCAGGAGGGACCCTTGTGAACCCAAAAAGCATCTATTTTGGACGACACTCATTTGTCAGCAGCGCCATCATGGCCTACTCAAACCATCACCATTTCATGATGCGACCAGAGGACGTGTGGATATCCATAACCACTCAGCTATCGAGATACCTTTTGGCCAATAAGGAGAAGGTCTCCAACTTGTGGCCGGGGCTTGCCATTGGTGAGCATTTACACACGACGCTCATCATTGTGGAGAATGACGATCCTTATGACTTTGCAAAACGTTTGGTCACCCTAATCATCGAACGCATTCATGATAAGTCTTTTGCCGACTGGTTTATGCCAAACTTCACAACTACCACAAACAAGGACCGGATGGTTGGTTCCATGGTATTTGCTTCAGCGGCACATACGATCCATGACTATGAATGGATTTGGACGAACTGTGGACTACCAAAAGTCACTCTTCTTGGAACGGTGGAAGATTGGCAAAGTATCAGAAAATTAGCGGATAGACTTCTCCAATTTGATGTTGGAGATCAAAAAATGTCTATCTGGTGCATATACCTCTTTCCTGTTCTGGACAAACTAATCGATACGGCATTGCGCCAACCTGACATTGAATGGTGGCGAAGCATTGTTGATGACCGATTCCTCGAATCCGGTGCTATTTCTGGCTGGATCACAACATTTGTGGTCTTTGATGACAATGGACAATGGCAAGACAAACAAACATCTGTAACCAAGGAGCCAAAGTGGTACGTTCCCCGTGGCGATGAAGAGGACCAATTTCCATTCACCCTTGCCAGACAGTTTTATCCGCCACACCTTCCAATAGTTCGATTGGATCACATAACCCGAGGGTATGTGTCGGTGCCCTTTAAATACACCGCTGGCTCAGAAAAAGTATACCATGGGGATATCGTTGCTGGACATCTTGCAGTTGACTTTGTTAACAATAACAACACAATTTCGCCAAGGCTTGACTTTGAGATAGTTTCACCATCGTTCCGTAGTTAACAGTCACGAGATCACAATTAATGATACTAAATAAATACTATATTTGGTTGACTGGCACTAATCAATTTGATTGATTATGACCATCACATCCAGAGACCCAGTTCCAAACATTTTTATTTAGGTCATTACTTGTCCAATACCAGTTCCTTGGCAATGGAAACATTCTTTCTTTCCAAGACCATTGCATATTTCACATTTATGTTGTATCTTTTTTTTTATTAAGTTAGTTAATTCGTTCAATCAATCAATCTATCTATGAATCAAAAACTTACCCTGGACTTTGATCGAAATGATCCTGAACAATGATAGCATAGATTCTGTCCAAATCCATTACAAAAGAAACATTTTCTTGTTACCTTTGATGTAGTTTTAGTTTGCCATTTATAGATTATATAAGTTATAAGTATCAAGAACAACAAGAACATCAACATTAACTTAACCTGGCCCCAGTTGATGACGGGATACACTACATCCAAAGGTGGTAGTATATCAAATTCTTTTTCTTCATGTTTTTGTTGGTTATTTATTAATAATAATAATAATAGTAGTTGTTGTAAATGAAGTGATGTAATTAATATATATATTAATTGATTACAATGATACAAGTTAATTCATAAATAAATAGTTGTTGGAAAGGTTGCCCCTTTGGATTATCAAAATAAAGTGACGGTTGATGTCTTTACACCCAACCAATCAATTTTTTTATTAATAATAACAATTAAGATGATGATGATGATGTTACTTGACATCTACAGAATAGTACAACACTTTGCATTTGGATCATAAGTCTGCATACCAGTACCCTTGCAATGGAAACATTCATCTTTTCCAGATCCTCTACAGATGCCACATTTGTGATTCTATGTTTGATTGATTGATTAGAAATTATTTGTATGATCATGTTTCATTAATAATACATACAGTGAACTTTGCACGACCTGATCCACTACAGTGGAAGCATGCCTTCTCACCCTTTCCATCACAGAAGTAACATTCTCTTGTTACTAATTGTACTAGGGCCGGTTGTTGGGGTTGAGAGTGTTGTTGTGGTGGATAGGCATATCCATGTTGTTGTGGGTGTTGTTGTGGAGGATATCCATAACCTTGTGGAGGTGGTTGGGCATAAACTTGTTGTTGTGGATGGCCATACCCTTGTTGTTGTTGTTGCATTGGTTGGTTGGTATTCATTTATTTGTTTGTTACAAGTTATTGTATTTGTAGATATTGTAGTTGTTGTGATAGTTTGGTGAATGGTTTTTTAACTTGATTGGAATAAGACCATACCAAAAGGTTAGGTGATAGTATGATCGATAAACATCCAATGGCTGGTAGTGTACTTAGAAATGATACGTAGTTGTTTGGTTTATTTCCCTCATTTCGTCCATTGACCAAAAAAACTCTATTTTTGATCGTGTTCGCCCTCAATCCAACTCATCAACGTTTGATGACTTTTGTTGTTGATGTCCATTGCCATTACTAGTACCATTGCCATTGCCATTGCCAGCGCCATGCTCTTGATACATCTTGGTCATGATTGGATTGACGATTGACTCCAACTCCTTCTGTTGGTACTCAAACTCATCTTTGGTAGCAGTGTGATTGCCCTCCAACCACTTGAGCGACTTGTCAACGGCCTGTTGCAGTGCGCCCTGATCATCGGATGATAGCTTCTCACTGACCTTGTCGTCTCGAATCGATTGCTTCACAGAGTATGCATAGTTCTCCAGCTTGTTCTTGGCCTCAATGCGCTCCCTCTGCTCCTGGTCCTGCTGCTTGAACTCATTGGCCTCGGCAACCAATCGTTGGATCTCCTCTGGTGTCAGTCTGTTGCTATCATTGGTGATGGTGATCGATCCCTTCACGCGCTGGTTGGCCTTGTCGACCGCGGTCACATTCAGTATACCATCGACACTGATGTCATAGGTCACCTCGATCTGGGGCACGCCACGCGGACATGGTGCAATGCCAGACAGCTCAAACTTGCCCAATGGATTGTTGTTGGCGGTCATGGCACGCTCACCCTCAAACACTCTGATCAGCACACTGGTCTGGTTGTCTTGGTAAGTCGAGAAGGTCTGCGATCGCTTGCATGGCATGGTGGTACCACGTGGGATCAGCGGTGTCATGACACCGCCCGCAGTCTCCAGACCGACAGTCAGTGGCGTGATGTCTAACAGGATGCAGCCCTTGACCTCAGCATTGCCAGTGTTGTTGATGATCGCCGCCTGGATGGCTGCGCCGTAGGCCACGGCCTCATCAGGGTTGATGGACTTGTTCAGCTCCTTGCCATTGAAGTACTCTTGCAACAAGTGCTGCACCTTGGGTATCCTGGTCGAACCGCCCACCAAGACAATCTCATTCACCGACTTCTTGTCCATCTTGGCGTCCTTGAGCACGCGCTCCACTGGGTCCAAACAGTTCCTGAACAGGTCGGCATTGAGCTCCTCGAATCTGGCCCTGGACAGGGAAGTGTAGAAGTCGAGACCATCGATCAGGGCGTCAATCTCAATGCTGGCGTTGGTGCTGGATGACAAGGTCCTCTTGGCGCGCTCACATGCTGTGCGCAGACGTCTGAGCGCTCGCTGGTTGGTCATCAAGTCCTTCTTGTGCTTCCTCTTGAACTCCTCGACAAAGTGCACAACCATGCGGTTGTCAAAGTCCTCGCCACCCAAGTGAGTGTCTCCCGCGGTGGCCCTGACCTCAAACACACCATCCTCAATCGTCAGCAGGGACACATCAAACGTGCCACCGCCCAGATCAAAGATCAGGATATTTCTCTCGCCCATTCCCTTGCACTTCTCCAGTCCGTAGGCGATGGCGGCTGCGGTTGGCTCATTGATTATACGTTGGACATTGAGACCGGCGATCATACCAGAGTCGCGGGTTGCCTGGCGCTGGGCGTCGTTGAAGTAGGCTGGCACGGTTATCACGGCATTGGACACGCTCTTGCCCAGGTAGCTCTCGGCGGTCTCCTTCATCTTGATCAACACCATGGACGATATCTCCTCGGGCTTGAATGTCTTGGTCTCACCCTTGAAGTCCACCTGGATCACTGGACGGTCATTGTCCGAGGCGATCACCTTGAATGGCCAATGCTTCATATCGGCCTGCACGACTGGATCACTAAAGTTGCGCCCAACAATACGCTTGGCATCGAATACTGTGTTGGTAGGGTTCAGGGCCACCTGATTCTTGGCCGAGTCACCAATCAGTCTCTCGACATCATTGAATGCCACATAACTTGGTGTTGTCTTGTTTCCTTGATCATTGGCAATAATCTCCACTCTATCATTCTGCCACACACCAACACATGAATATGTTGTTCCAAGGTCAATTCCAATAGCTGTTGCCATTATTATATTATATTGATTGTTTGAATGATTGATTGATCGATTGACTAATTGATATTAATAGTTTGGATTAATAATAAATTAATATTATTATTATTAAATATAATTGTTATTGATTGTTTGATTGATACTTTCCATTGTTGGTTTCCAGGATCTATTTATGCCATAGTGATCTATGTGTATTTGAATGGAATTTCCATCGTAGTTATCAGTGATCATTCTTTGATTCTTTGTTGGAATTTCATCCAAAACCACCAGAATTATTTGAGAATTTTGATTCTTTTTGATGAGCTTTGTCATTCAAACTTTGACATCTTTGGCAATAGATGTCCATCTGGACAAACCAAACTTGATGGCTCAAAGGAGACGATAAATTATATTTTATATTATTTAGTTCACCTATAGGTTATGAAAATAGATAATAGTTATTATTATCTCAAATTATGAATCCATCACCTTTTGTTCATACATGTCCACAAATAGGATTTGATTCATTAAAAGGAAATATTTGTTCAGAATGGTAATTATTCATATGACTCAATCAAACAATTAAATTATTAACCATTGATAATAATAATTAGGAAACCTAAATACTCTTGATAAAATATTAAATATTGACTTATGTTGTTATAGTAGAAAGGATGAGGATGTAGTTGGTGAACATTTAAATAGTGGAATTATACATCATTATGGTTACGATTCAAATAAGATAGTATGTTTGGAATTATTGGATAGTACAACTACTACCATTCAAAATGGACATGATGTTGTATTAGAGTATGATTCAAATACAAACACACTTTGGATACATCTTGGTGCATATGGCTTGGTACAACCTTCAACCTTGCCCTTTGTCCGAGAGCATCCTCATCCAGCAATATTCTCACATATGCTCAATGGAAGAATAGCTGCATTTAGAATTGATCAAGCTAGCTACACTGTGGCGCACTTTCCAGCAATCAATCACAGCCATATCAGTGATCGCCAGCGAAGATAGATACTAGACACAACCTAAAAGTTATAAATATTTAATACAATACATTGGTGGATTGACCAATGCGTGTATTTGTTTAATTGAATGATTGATCAAATGATTGAATGATTGTGTCCACTCCAACTAACTTGGTCTCATAAAGGTGGTCTCTGTCATAAAGTTGGCAAGGAAGAGTGAGAGCAGGATGTATGAGAACATGACTAGGCCGAGGAGGGAGAAGAAGAACTTGGCCTGGCCAACTAATGAGCTGTCATCTTTGGTCTTCTGAGCAAACATAACTCTGGCCTGAAGTATTTGTTGTTGTTGTTGTTGCAAGTTGATTTGTTGTTGTTGATTATGTTGTTGTTGTTTCTGTTGCTCATGTTGTTGTTGTTGCTTTGCCAATATTTGTTTGATAACTTTACGCGAATCCTCCACTTCATTCTTGTGAACCTCGACCTCGGACTGACTACCCTTCCTCCAATCAGCCACGTCTCCATGCAGCTTGATCCATCTCTCATTCAACTCTTTCATTGTGTTGCCAAGCCTTGATGTTGCGTCCTTGTACTGTATCGTCTGCTTCTGTTGCTCAGTCTCTGGCTCCTCGGGCAGTTGAGGCAGTTGTGCGATACTGAACTTGAGCTCGAGTATCTGATGGTCCAGCAGACAGTCTGGACTCTGTGTGAATGATTGGGACAGCTGATCGATGCACTGGATCATCTGATGGGCCAAATGGTGCGAGTGGTTGAGCTGCTCGACGACCGCCATGTTGCTGCCCGCCAAGTGAGACTTCAAAGCATTGTACTTGGATGTGAATGTGTCGATGGACACTTGGTTCCTCTGTGAGTTCTCCAGGCTGGCCTGCAGCTTTCGATTATGTTCGCTAATATCCGATCGCTCAATCTCCAGTGAATCAATCTTTGCTCGCAGCTCAGTGATCTGATTCTGAACTTGTGCGACATCTGGTGCCGGTTGTTGTTGTTGTTGCAATTGTTGTTGTTGTTGTCGTTGCCAATTGATATTCTCATCAAATGCAATCTGTTGCCTTTGTAACATCTTTGCATGTTGTTGTTCCAACAGCTGATATTGTTGCTCTTGTTCCAAAATACACTTCTTCATCTCGTCCTCCTCTGTTGACAGTCTTGATATCCTTGACTTTAGTCTCTTGATCTCACTATCCTTCTCGTCCTGCACCCTCTTCAACTCTTCCTCATTGTTCAGCATTGTTGAATTCAAAGACTTTAACTTCTTCAACTCTCCCTTCTCTGTTTGATTGGTTAGTGATCATTTGATTGATTGAATGATTGAACTGATACATACTCCTTTGTATTGTGCGCTTTAACTCTTCAATCTCATCGACTTTGTCGTTCTCTCTTTTCTTACATCGCTCATACTCGTCGTTGAGCTCCTTGTGCCTCTTCTCGATTGACTTGAGTGTTTGGCTCTCTTTCTCCTTCTCCTTGCGCAGCTTGCTGTTCTCCTCCTTGTAATGCTCCAAGTCCTGTGCGGTCTCTTGTAGGTTGGCTTCGAGACCCCTAACCTTCTCCGTGTTGTTGTCTCTGGCACTCAACTGTTGCTTCAGACTGTCGATCTGAGTCATGTAATCGGTTGAGGTGAGCTCACCGTTCGATCCAACATCCTCCAACTCGCCGTAGAATGGTGGGACGGACATGTCAAAGCGTCGCAGGCTTGGGTTGGATGAGACAAGACCCGAGCTCCTGGTTGAGAGCGAGCCGATTGTGCTCGTGGAGGACTTGGACATTGACGAAGACATGATGGGTAGGTTGGCGCCATCCTCCTCAGGATCAGTGTTAAAGTCGAGCAAACTGTTGATTGGATGATCCAGGAAGACATCTTCATCCTGCATCGATGTGTCTACACTTGCCACTCGCTGGAAGTCCTCCACCATTCTCATAAACTCCCGGTTCGGGATGGTGTTGTTGATGAATGGCAGCGTGGCGATGATACCCTCGGCCTCGGACGGTCCAAAGCCATTGACTAATATGCTTCTAATGTCCTCGACGTGTATCACTCCATCGGGATCCTTCTTGATCGCTTCGTAGAATTGGAACAGCTCGTTCCTCTCCTCCTCGGGTGTCGCCCTGCCATCATCATTGTGCTGGTAGCCCATGGTAGAGTTGGTGGTGGGCGTGCTGAACTGTGACTGCTGCTGACTCTTGAACAGGGGTGTGTTGGCGGGGAAGTCGATGATATTTGATGGACGCTTGTTCATAAAGTGTGGCGAGTACAGTTCGAATCCACCCTGGCCAGCACCATCACTCGCTGTATTCTTGAGTGGGATGTTGGCATTGATTGGAGGTGATTGAGGCTGTTGCTGATGCTGCAGCATCAAGGTGGACATGTCCAGGAATGACGTTGTCTGTGCACCACTCTTGCTCAATGCTATTGGTCTTGTATTCTTATAGTACAAGGACATTGAACTCAATGTTCTTGCAAGCTTTGATGGACTACCTTGCAATGCCTGTGACTGTGATTGTGACAATGATGATGATAAAGTGTTTTTGTCATCCAATGATGCTCTCCTATCAATATTGGAGAATGAAGCGGAGGATGAGTGTACAGGCGTGTGCATTGGTCCTTGACTAGAAGACGACGACGATGGCAACGAGGCAAACAAGAATGAAGATCCTGATGCCGACGAGTCTGTAGATGTGGCCGATGAATTCAACTCTGACAATCTAAGATTTGGTGCCGATGACGACGAAGAGTATGATCCAATACTAAAGCTATCCAACTCGTCCAAGCTCAATACCTGATCCATCTGTGCCTGTAATAATTGTTGTCTCTTACTACTAATATTACTATTATTGTTTGTTCTTGTTGTTGTTCTTGTTGTGATATTGTCTGTCTGTGTCTGAGTCTTTGTCTGTGTCTGTGACTTGTGTTGTTGTAGACTTGTTGACAACATGCTGCTTGTTGATGTAGACTTGTCAGCTGCTGCTGTTGTGATGTTGTTGTTGCTGTTGATGTTGGATGTCAAAGTGGATGCGGATGAAGACAGGTGACCATTCAGATGTGAGTGGTGTCCCATTGTTATTGTTGTCTTATCCATCATTGCATCAACTCCGACTTCCATTTATGTAAGATTCAGATGTGTGTCTGGTCTGTCTGCTGAATGTGTGTTTGTCTTGTGTGTGAGTGTGTGCTTGTTGTCTTGTGATGCGTGTGGTGTGTGCGTGTGTGATAGGTTGTCGATGTGATAATGATCTCTGAATCTAAACAATAATAAGTGATAAAGATGTAAAAGTTACTTATAAAGGGAACTTTTAGATCTGTGTGTGATAATGAATGAATGAAGGAAAGATGTAGAGGTATGTATTATGAGATGAATGGAATCAAAATTCGCGCGCGGTGTTGAATGATTGACGAAGACCTATCCAACCTTAGCAGTCAATCACAATCACCAATACACCCTTTATTAATTGATTACTCTTTTTGTTTCGCTGTGAACGATTGGGCGCCATCACAACACCCTCCACCCCCTATCATTCAAAATAAAATGGAAATGAACTCCAGTTTAGGCAACCAATATTTAAATATCCAACACACATGATTGTAACGTACCGCAGACAACCCCTTTCATTCCCACTAACCACACTGTTCACATGACACTACACACACATACATCTCTTGGTTGGATCTCTACATTCATTCATTCATTCATACACTCACTCATTCATTGTTATACATCTTGATGAAGTAATAAGTATTAGTGGTGTGAAGTGTGTTTGTGATTGACAACAACATCAACACAAGACAAGATATATAAGTGTCAAACACAAGACAAGTGATGAACATACACCAACACTTCCAACAACAATACAACAACAGAGACATTAACAACAACAACAACAACAACAACAGCTACTACTAAAGGATGAGAATACGTCTACGTCTTAAAACACTTTATGCCAAACCATTGAATGGACCGGCCAACCACCAGTTGACAGTGGTCGATGTCAACCCACAGTATGAGATACAACAGCTGCTGAATGGCATGTCACACAAGAGCACAGAGTACCGCTTCTTCCACGCCAACTACTTGCTGGAGATGGACCGCACATTTGACCACTATCGCATCAAGGAGAATGATATCATCGAGACCGTGTCCAACCCATTCATCATGTGCGTGTTCTACAAGCTGCACAGCATGTATATCGCGCAGCAGGAGAATGAGCGTCGACTAAAAGGCTCAACATTCAACTCGCAGATGCTCATTCGCACGCTCACCTGTATCAAGTCTTTGTTCAGAGACGATATACCTTTTGTTGGCGACGACGTTGACAAGATCAAGCCCTACTTGAGAAACGCCGACATTGTCACTCTGCGCACCGAACTCATTGACTTCAAGCGATTCGATCAGCATCACGAGGACCCGATCGGACACTACGTACTACGCATATATAACATGCTGCCCGACGAGGAGCAGCGCCGCATCAGACAGACATTGGACAACGCGTACATGGCCTTCCCAGCGACAACAACAACAATAGAGACACTCACCGAGACGGACACGGACACTGAGTCCGAGGGTGAGTGTCTCACTCAGCCCGACCCCGTCCAGCGTGACACAATATACATGGCACCAAAGGACATTGATATCGATTGTGACACTGACGACGATGTGTTGGAACTATCCCGCGAAGGATCATTCAACCTGCCACAAGCCTCCAACTCGGTCACGACCCCCAATAGACAGAATGGTGGATTATCTTTCAACTTGTTGCTCAAGAATGGAACCACAAAGGAAAGCAATGATCCCGTATTCCTCAAGAAGCTCAAGTACATTGAGGATGTCAACATGAAGCTCATTCAAATGTTCCCAAGATGTGGCATACCAATCCTACCTCGCGTGACCATGAACTATCCAGACGATCAACTATTCCTCGACAACTCAGACGCGCCACTCCAGCTCTCCGACCTGGAGCCACCTCACTCTCCACCTGCGTTTCAATCAACTCAACCATCAACCTACAACAGCAACAACAACAACAATAATAATAGCATGAACCGGAGTAATGGCAACAGCAGGAACCACAGCAGGAACAATAGTATGAATGGAGGAGGAACATCATCAGGAACAGGAAGGAACTTGTTTGGGAGCAACTCATCTTTGAACAAAACAATGTCACTCAACAACTCGGCGACTATCTCTTTGGGTGCCAGCTCACAGGGGTCATTGTGGGACAACAGCTTCAATGGTTCACAAGGCGCTGGGTCGCTCAATGGTTCACAGAGGTCGATTGGAAGCCCGACACTCAGTCTCAACAACTCCACTGGCTCCAACTCATCCGCCACCAGTGGCTTTGGTCTCAAGCGTAGCACAGGACTGTCACTCAGCCAGAACTCCACCGACTCAAAGTTCACCACTGTCACGGAGGTTGTGTCACACTTCCCCGGCTCACTAGAGTATCAACAGAAGCAGCAACAGCAACCTTTGGCTGTGGTACCCAAGCCTGATCAGGCCTCAGATTCCAACTCAAACGACTCAAGCATGCAACTGAGTGTGTACACGGGCAAGTCGACGGTTTCCATGAGGGCCGCCGCCAACGCCAAGGAGAAGCTGTACTCGCCATTCTTCCAATCGTCAATGTACGCTACATTGATCGCGCTGTCCATTCATGACGGCAAGATATTCACAGACATGGAACTGGCGGCCGTGTCCCAGCCCTTTGCCTACATCGACATGATTGATGCTCAACCCGTGCCCTACTACTCCTACGCCGACAACCTCACGACAATGGCCTCAAAGGAGAAGGGACATCTGCTCAAGTGTGAGAACAAGATGTTCTCGCAGTCACCCAAGGGCAAGGAGTACGGAAAGCATCTGCTTCGGTTCAACATTGATTATGAGCAGTTTGTGGCCAAGAACAACACGAGACCGATATTGGAGCAGAGCAAGGTGACCGTGGTGATCGACACGCGAGAGGTCAAGGCCAAGTGTATCGAGAGGAATCTGCGAGACATGGGCGTCAACACCGTGATCAGGAAACTAAAGACTGGCGACTATTGCTTCGTGCCCACGCTGCCCACCTACTCAGAGTCGCTGGGCAGTGAGCTGATGTATCCGTTCCTGATGGAGAGGAAGACATGGCACGACCTCGAGAGCAGTATCTTTGATTCCAGGTATCTCAGTCAGAAGCAACGCATGGTCTCACACGAGATCCTCAATCGCAAGGGACTTTTCTACCTGGTCGAGGGTGTCAAGGAGGCATACAAAGGCGCAACACAGTTTGATGAGCTGGAAAGAGTATGTAATCAATCATTCAATCAATCAACCTGGGAACCATTCCACTCACTCAATCATATGATCCAACACAACAAAGAAAATAGAAGAGATGGTGAATACAGAGAGCTTCAATGTTATCAAGACGAACAACTTGTTGGAGACATGTAGATACTTGGCAATGTTTGCAAAGTTGTTGAGCGAACATTGGGATGAATCAAGAGGCATGTATCGATGTGCAGTGATCAATGAGTCGGCAGTGTTGGCCAATCCTCTGGCATCAAAGAAGGACCAACAACCACAGACAACGCCCGTGGACCGATCATATGTCACAATGGATTGCAGCTTGTTCAAGGAATACCTCTTGGTGCCAAGCTATCGCGAGCACGTCGAGCTCTGTGTCCGACAGACGCGCCACATCGAGAAGGTGTTTGCCATTCAAGGCCTGGCTGACTACACCAAGTCAATCTCATCCAACATGAATGCCAAGGTGAGGGAGTTCATCAGACATCATATGCTCAATGAGCCACTGAACAAGTACTTCACCCAAGATAACCTGCTGCTGATTGAAAGTGTGGACCAGATGTTGGTGTACTACTACCTGCTACACTTGCAAGTTGTCGTTGGAGTCAAGGTCATACCATTCCCATCCAAGACTCAAATGGACAATCTGATTACGTTCCGCGATAGGGAGGTCAACCTGGAAAGCAGTCTAAAGATGTCCAATCTGCAACATCCTCATTTCTACGCCCTACCCATCTCAATGGAAGAATCTCAGCTAGTGCTCACTCGAAGTCAGTCACTACCTTTGGCAATCACTCAATCATCATCATTATCACAGCCATCACTTTCACAACTTTCAACCTCAACATCAACAACATCTACATCATCAACATCATCAACACCTCAGAAGCGCAAGTTATCATCTCAATCATCTCAATCCTCTCAATCCACTCAAACATCATCCCAATCATTCCAATCGACACAAAGCTTGCCACCTCCAATCCAGCTACCATCCACGACGACTATAACTACCACAACGACGACAAGTGCTCAACCACAAGAGCCACCAACAAAGAAGGCGAAGGAAGAGAAGAAGAAAGAGAAGAAGGATAAGGATAAGATGGATACGACTCAACCAGATGGTGATGTTGGCTATCGCACTTGTAATCAACCAATGCATCAGGAGTGGTGGGGAACCAGTCCGGATCTGCCCACGACAGACTTCTACGCGCACAGCAAGCGATGCAAGAAATGCTACTGCAAGATACAGAACGAAAACAAACGACAGCGTACAATGAATCTGTCTGCTAACGGCGGTGACGAACATTTGCCGCCAGCAGCCCAGGTTCCCAGTCCCTTGACCACCGCCAAGACAGAGCCACTGCTCCAGCTAACCAATGCCCCAGATGATGCCACTCCAGCCCACGTGGCGCCAGCACCTCCCCCAGCAACCCCTAACAACAAGACTGGAGGACTCCAATCAACTCCCAATGGCACAGTGGTCATCCTAGACTCGCCCAATGGTGGTCCACTGCCTAGCACAACATCAATCATGAACCGTGACGCCCAGCTTCATCCGATCCATATCGAATGATTATAGATATATTATGTACATTAGTTTAATTAATTGGATTAAAGGTTGCTAATGCGATGGCGACCATTTCGGATACATGGCACCCAAGATTGTAGACTTTGTTGCGCCAGTGACAGATGGCACGTTGCCAGACATGTGGTTGACATGCAGGTATGCTAGATAAGCAAAGGCCAGACATTCAATTGCGTCTCCATCGACGCCAACACTGGATGTTGGCTCCACTACTGCGTTTGGCATTCTCTCTTCCAATCGATCCATGATCAACTGATTACGAGCACCACCTCCACATACCAACAGTCGATCACAGCCACCATGTAAATCCACATGACTTGCTATTGATTCCACGGTTAGATCAACAAGTGTTGATTGTACATCGTTTGGACTAAGTGTAATGGTATTTGAATGTTGCTGGTTGAACTTGTCAAGTTGTCCATGAAGCCATTCGAGATTGAACTGCTCTCTGCCAGTGCTCTTGGGAGGTGATCGTCCAAAGTATGATGTCGACTCAATCATTTGCCTTAACAACTGTTGATTGGTAGTGCCTTGTGATGCGAACACTCCATCCTTGTCAAAGGTCTCGCCAGTACATTGATTGATCCACGCATCCAACAATATGTTACCAGGTCCAGTGTCATAACCAACAACAGGCTCACCTGGGTGCAGCACGGTGAAATTGGATATTCCACCTATATTGACAACGATTCGAAGTTCATTGTCATTGGCCAACACTCTTGAATGGAAGATGGGTACGAGTGGGGCACCCTGTCCTCCACAGGCCATGTCTCTTCGTCTAAAGTCACCAACTACATTGATCGAAGTCCTCTCTGCCACTATGTTATTGTCACCAATCTGCATTGTGAAGGGGTATTGAGTGTCTGTTGGCTGATGCCATACAGTCTGTCCATGACAACCTATTGCCTTTACATCACTTGGCTTCACATTGGCCTTTGACAACAATGCATTGACCGCATCAGCAAACAATATTGCCAACCTATGATCAATCTCACCAAGTGTTCGCAAGGTAGTTTGTTGTCCTTGACATATTGACAACACTGCATCCTTCAAATCACTTGGGTATGGATGTGAATGCATTGCTATGACCTTGAACTCGTTAGGTCCATCACCTGATTGTGACGATTGAGTAGTGTTGGTACTGATGTCCACCAACACAGCATCGACTGCGTCCATACTCGTTCCAGTCATCACTCCAATATATAGTTGATGATTATCCATCCTATTTATCCTATCTCTAGCTCTATCTCTATCCTATTCAATCAATCAATAACAATCAATCAAAGATTGGGTGTCGCTCGAACCTTTGATCAAAATATCTAGATTTTGTCGATCTTAGTGCTGATGGATCAGTCGTTTATTCAGTACTTGAGTTCATCATAGTCGTAATCATCTCCGTCGTCTTCGTCTTCGTCTTCGACATAATCCTCGTCATCATCAATTCCCATCGCCTTGAACTTTCTAATGTTCTCTTCCTCTGTGTGATGGATACGCATGTTCACAAGGTTAGTACGTGGTGCAGCCAACCAAAGTGTCAATAAACATACTCTTATGATCATAAACAACCTTGACACCTTTGGAATCCTCTAGGTCACGCTTCAGCTTGTCCCACTCTTGTGTGGCCTTGAGTTGCTCCTCTTTGGAACGCTCCTCCTTTGATCGGTCAAGGTCGGCCTTGTAATAGGTGAAGTAGTCTTGTGCAGCCAGTTTGATCTTGTCAAAGAACTCGTCGATTCCCGAGCCATCCACGGCAGACACACCAACACTCTGTAACGTTGAGTAGAACTCCTCCAGTACAAGACTCATCGATCGCGTCAGATTGCTCATGTACGAGGGGTCGGATGTGAGCGCGTCCTGGAACGACTCAAAGTCATTCATCCATTCCTGCGCGAAGCGATGATTGGCCACATCGATCTTGTTGAACGCGACAACCATTGGCAGCTTGGTCTTGTACATGATTGAGCAAGCGTATAGCATGTTGGACATGAATGTCGTGGGGTCGATCGTGCGGGGCGTGTCCACCACGTAGACCAGGACTGTCGGGAAGGACGAGGCCATGAGCTCGGTGATGATACCACCACTGGCCGACCAGGTAAACACCTCGATCTGACCCGGTGTATCCATTATGATGTAATCTAGAGTCGGTGCACGCTTCTCGACCAACTCTAGTACTTTATCGAAACGAGTCGAGAATAGATTGAGTGATGTTACGATTCCACCATTTGGTCCAAGTCCATATTGTTTCATCACTTGCTTATAGTTCACTGTATCTCTAATATCAATATTTGGTGTATATGGTAGCTTTGCAACTGCTGGGTCACAATTTATAATATAAGCTGGTATCTTATGTTCGTGTACATGTGCTCTAAGTCTTTGCAATAGTGTTGTCTACATGTATTGGTTAGTTAGTGAGTGTCCATCATCATTCAATCAATCAATGAGGGTATGTATGCATACCTTGCCACTACCAGCCATTCCAAGCAAGATCATATTGATCGGTAATTTCTTTGGTGCATCTGTTGTCGCATTATTATTGTTATTTGGGTCTGTTGAGGTTGATGATGTTGATGATGGTGTTGATGTCTGTGTAACATTGACATTACTATTAGTATCTGTTGTTTGTGACATTGTATCTCTTTATATGATTTTTATATGTTTGAATGAATGAAGCACTTTATCGACTTTCGCCCTGTTCTTCAACTTCACTCATACTAACTTTCTTTTATTTCGCTGGCACTTTCGTTCGTTTCTTCTTTGTCATTTTGTATGAATGTTTAGAGATACATAAATATATATACGTTCAGATATAGTCAATAATGGAGAACAAGAAGAATAAGAAGAATAATAATAATAAGAATCAAGATGATGAGACAGAATCAGTTGATTTGAATAAGTTAAAGTTGGATGATGAGGAACAGGAGCAGGAGCAGGAGCAAAAGAAGGAGTTCATTGATGATTCATGGTTATCAACATTAAAGCTTGCACCAAGTGATTACTTGACTGAACTAGATCGTGCCATATGTCCACAATGTAAGAAGAAGAGAAAGTACTTCTGTTACGACTGCTACGTACCCTTTGGTGAGCCTGGACTGGCACCAAAGCTCAAGTTGCCAATCAAGTGTGACATGTAAGTTGATGTCTTTGATTGATTGATCAAGTGATACGACATTACTAACACTCATAGATCAATCAAACATGTTTGTAGCCTTCATTATCCAACTGAGTTGTTGTCAAAGAGCACGGCTATTCATTCAAAGGTGATCGCGTTTGATGATGTATCGATACATGAGTTCCCAGAGGTACCAGATTATAATGTTGATGAGACGGTGCTGTTGTACCCATCGGCCACCTCGGAGTTTGTTCGCGAATCAGACCTGTCCAATGTGAAGCGTGTCGTGTTCATCGACAGCCAATGGCACACGGCCAATAGAATACTGCGCGATCCACGCGTCAAGAAGCTGCGATGCATAAAGATCGACCAGCACAAGACATTGTTCTGGCGCTATCAACAACATGGCGATGCATATCTGGCCACGATCGAGGCCATCTACTACTTTTACCGCGAGCTACACATGCGTTTGAATGGTGGCAACTACGACGGACAGTATGACAACCTATTGTTCTACTACACCTTCTTCTACAACCTCATTCAAAAGACCTACAAACAAGGTGATCGCAACTTCTGGAGGAAACAGAACTATATCAAGCCAGCCAAAGATGGCATCACTGGCGACTCCATTACTGGCGACTCAACTGGCGATGACGAAGCCAACGACTCCACCGGCAACACTGGTGGCGACTCCAACAACACATATATCAGCACTGCTGACACAACAGACTAATATTCATGGATTAAAATGTACTGTAACATCACCATGGACAACCAAACCCTCGCACAATCACTCAAACAGCCTGGAATCATTCCAATCACTCAATCATTACTTGTAGTTTACATAATGATGGAATCCTTCTTCATTTGAATAGATGACTGTCGCAATGCTTGACGAGGCTGGATGCGTGGACAATGTGTACTTTGAGTCCAGAGTCACGTGACATGGTGATGAGATGATTGGAATCAATCCATCGAATGAATCCAATATCCCGTCGACCAAGTGTAATGCTTGTTATGTTGGCAACAATGAATCGTTGAACAATGGCAGTGCGTGGATATGTTGATTTGCGATACTTATTCATAACAAGAGTTTGAACATGTCCACCAAACAGATCATTATGTAGCAATGACAGTGTTTGTGGCATGTCGAAGGCTTCCACGATCAATCTCTTGATGCCAGCACAATGCAAGAATGTGTCTGGAGCGCAGTACGCCAGAAGGTCATTGCCAAAGCTGAGTGATGTGAGTGATCGTGGTATCAACTCGCTGAACAGCGGCCGCTTGAACTTGTCGCCAATGAACAAGTGAGTGAGTGAGTCTGGGAGCAACGATGGTTGAAGTGGATGATTGAAATATTGACTTAGTTTGAGTGATTGCAATGAATTGGGGAGGGACATCTCCAAAGGTTCATCATAATTGTTGCCCATGTCCAACCAGAGAAGTGATTCGGGTAGTAATCCTGGAGTCAAAGTCTGATAATGGTTGTGGCTTAGCTTGAGTCTTGTTAATGACGCGGGGAGTGCGTTTGGGGAGATGTATGAGAAGCCATTGTTCAACCACAGACTCGTTAGTCCAGAGGGTAGCGCGCCCCGTTCGAGACTGTGATTAAAGCGCATGCCCAAGTTCAGTTTGATGAGGGAGGCGGGCAACGTGTCTGGAATGATGTAGCAGTTGAATGAGGCCATAATCAAGGTCTTGAGCGATGATGGTAGTGAGTGTGATTGAAGTGGTTGATTGTAGCCACCAGTGTACATCATCGTCAGAGATGATGGTAGTGCATCAGAGATGAACGGTTGATCATAACCTTGTCCTAGCCACAACTCTTTTGTTGAGGTTGGGATGATTCCAGGCACAAATGGGTGATTGTATGCATGGCCCATCCAAAGCCAGAGGATTGATCGTGGTAGTGATCCAGGCTTAAGTGGTTGATTAAAGTCATCACTCAATGATATGTTTGTTATCGTTTCAGGTATATCACCTGGTTCGATCATATTGTTGAATGTAGCATTCAAAGTAGATTGTGTTGACCTCTGGTATGTAGTTCACTTTGGACAACGATCCATTATATGCCCCATTGAATGTAACACCAGTCTCACCATTAGCATATGACTCCAACTCATAAGGTTGGTCATCAAACTTTGGCTCAATTGTCACACATGGCATATCTGAGTGTAGTTTGTTTGTACAAGCGTCAGTAAGTGGTGTGTGGATGACTCATCGCCGCTGGCTTCGCAACATTACGGAGCTGGCGCTCCTTCATTTCAGACTTCCAAATTCTCTTCTCCTTATAGTTTTATATACTTTAACATTAACAAAAAAGGTATCTGTATCAAGTAATGTAGAATTGTAGTAGAAATAGAGACTTTAAGTTCAAAATATTAGAATTCCATTAGTCCTAATTAAAGAAGGTCCTCTTCCAAATTCTACTACAATTCTACTTTCAGTACCTGTCACCGCCATAGCAGTGAGCACGTTGGAAAAAGAGTATCTGTCTAATCAATGTAGAATTGTAGTAGAAATAGAGTTTAGAAGTTCAAAAAAATAGAATTAATTTAGTCCTAATTAAAGAAGGTCATTTTTGTAATTCTACTATTATTCTACTTTCGGCTCCTGTTAGCGCTGTAACGGTTTGCTCGCCCAAGAGAGTTACCAGGAGAGTACTCAGCACGTTGATCCAGCACGTACTTCCGATTCGTTCACACACTGTTCACCGATTGTTCACCACGAGTTCACCAAAACAACACCAAACATACACCGAGTGTGGTTGGAGCATGGACTGGGGACTGTTGGAGGGTGACGGGTTTATTGTTACAACTCAAAGAGCAATGCGTATTGTGTGATCTTCTTGACCTGGGGTGTCAGTTTGACATCTTTGGTCTTGGACGTTGTGAGGTAATGTTGTTCCTTGAAAGAAGAAAATTGGTCCTGGGGAAGAACGAAATAGAGCTCTACGTTTGCCACTGTAGCTCCAAGTTGATCAACAATACTGGTCAGTTCTTTCATCAGAGGCGGATGATCTGCTGATACTGTTACTTGGAACAGCTGATTGGGCTTGATCAAGCTATCGATGGCTGGAAAGTTGGAGAAGCTGGGCACAAGATATATGTTGTCCAGAGCTGGACCAATATCGGTGATTGACTTGATGATCGCTGATGAAGATGGCCTGGGGAATGTAATGGTGTCGACAAGGTTGGTCTTGAGGGCTCTTCTCTGGAATTGGCCTCCATGTTCCTTCAACTGTCGATGCACTACGGCCTCTAGGAATGACCCTCCAAGTGGTGAGTGAAGGAATCTGGGTACTGAAAGATGACTCTTGACTTGTTCCAAGTTCTTTTCCGCGATTGCGTTGGCCACCTTGCTGGCAACATACTTGGATGAGAAACGAAGAACCATTGCACCATACTTTGGAATGCCACTGATGTCGATCGGGATGATTTGAATGATCTTGTGACTGCCTGGTGCTTGTGGGTCCTCCTCGCCAACGCTCTTTGCACATGTGTCAAGGTCAAGTGTTGTGATTCCATTCTCGAGAGAGTGTTGGAAAGCTGCATTGACTGCCTTCTCCAAGACAAAGCGTGGAATGCCACCCCACTTTAGCCAAAGATCCTCGAGAGTTGCCTTTGTGATCGTTGGTCAGTGATGCATGTTTGGGTATGTAATTAGAATGAATAACATACCTGAGGCACTTGAGGATACAAGAGGGGTTTGACATGGTCAAGCTCATCCTTCTCCCAGGGGGGCATAAACATGCGAGTGGTACGATCGTTCTTCAGGAACTCCTTGTACAGTGCTGGATCGGGGGAAGACACAATGATTGTCTTGGCAGCGGCATTGGACACCTTGAGACTGTCAACCAAATAGTAGGTGGACTTCTTGGTGAGGTAGGGAATCACAAGCTCTATTGGTCCACGGTTGACAATTGGTGTTCCATTCCCATCGAAAGTGTAGAGATAGAAGGAATGTGCAGAGTTGGAATGAATGGAGTGGACCACGAGCGGAGCCTTCTTCTTTGCGATCTCCAGCATCAGATAGTAGAGGAAGCATGACTTTCCAATGCCAGGGGTGCCAGTCACGACAAATGAGCCGTAGATTGGATCTGGTGGTGGTGGCGCCGAGCTTGACGCAGATGCAGAGCCAGGTAGTGTCGCGATTCCTTCGTATCGGTCAAACTGGGCAAAGATCAGATTCTTCATCTCCTCGTAGCACTCTCTCACGTAGAGTGATGATCTCTTGGAAGGGTTTCCCAAGAAATGCAAGCCATTGGGAAGGGTGAGTACCATGGATGTTGGATCGATGGCACATGTCTGAAGGGCAACCCAAAACGACACGTTCTCTGTCTCGGCTATGGAACGATATGTCAGTATCGACCTCACACATCACTCGCTCTCACTTCTACTTACGCGCTTGGCCACCACCTCCTCCTGCAGCACCGGCTTGAGTGTGTATGTTAGTATTGAATGAAGACATTGCGCCGATGTTGTTTGTACTTACGAGCTTGGGCTGGGTGTGCGATATTGAACAAAGCAGTTGCGATGCCAGCAGTGAGACCAAAGGATCTCAATTGATCAACTGATGAGAGGCGAATGGTCAAACCATTGATCTTCTGAGTGTTGATGGTAATGGTGTCGGGATCATCCTTCTCAAGCTCAAGGTGCTTGATAAGATCAGCGGGTGTTGTCTTATCGGTGAGAATGAATGGAGATGGAAGGGATGTTGATGATGTCGAGGTCATGACAAGAGAGAGATGATGATATATTCAAAAAGTGATGTAATGATAACCAGTAGTGATTGATGAGGTACAAATAGAATAGATAGAGTTGTTGATGCTGATCTTTAACATTCCTATGATATCATGAGTAGTAGTGCTTTGATGTATGCTTTGTGACGTTCTCTGAACTCTGAGTTCTCGTCCCAATAGTACTCTTTGAATAATGACATGTTATATCTGTTAGAGATAAATTGCTTAATTTGATTTATTTGTTTATGAGATTCCAAAATACATCCACAAGCAGTTGATGGCCAACAAATAGGTTCAAAGTGATATAAATTAACATCTAAGTGTTAATATATAGAATGAGTAGATCAACCAGAGACATCGGCGGCAGACTGAAGAAGACGGGCGTGACCGAGATCAAGCTCACAGGCAACTACACCAGAGCAGACATCGAACGAATCGCTCAGCGAGACAGCAACACGCTCCAACGATACGGCGCCAACGCAAGGATAGAGGCCGTGCTCGACTACGGCAACCATCAGTATCGCTCAGGCAAGTTCACCAAGGTAGGCGAGCCGATCATCATGTTTGATCCTCACGAGTACGATGGCGCGCCAATCCCAGAGCCTGACACATTCAAATCGTTCTACATCTACGTACATCAGGCAAAGGGCAAGGCGGGAGGCTGCGACGGCGAATGGAACAACTGTCTCTATTACTGCCTCCTCGATGCCTATCCCGAGCAGGTCACTGAGCACTTCGGCAAGCCATCGCGCCTCAAGATGTTCCTCGGCCTTGATGTCAAACAAAAGGTGTCAATCAAGGGAATCGCAGAACTCGAGGAGAGACTCAACATCAGAATCAACGTCAAAGGTGATCACTGCTACGCCTCGCCCAGCAAGGCAACCAGAGAGGTCAACCTGATACTAACCAACACGCACTACAAACTAGACAAGGAAGGCACCTATGCAGGCAAGGGCATTAGATACACTCGACACAACGAGAGGGACGTCTACATCAAGCCAATCGTATTCAAGTATCTCAAAGGCGAACAGGTCCAGCTCTACGATGACGGCGATTACACGACCATCAGCCTAGAGCAGTTCATCAACAAGAAGAGGCACAAGTACCAAGACAAGTGCGAGTACATCCGTATCCTCTCAGGCATGACCCTGGAGGAGACATTGGACTCGTTCAAGGCCGACGCCGACATGCTAAAGGAGGGTACTAACGGCATCATCAACATGTACACAACAGGACAGAACATCAACAAGGCTGCGATCAAGCTGTTCCTCTCGTACAACAAGACGGTCAAACCAGAAGCCATCAAGCAGGACGAGGGCGAGTGGATCCTCAAGGCATCATGTGGACCAATGATGATGGCGATGCAGTTCACAGGTCCACTCTACAAGTATGACATCAGCAAGATGTACGCAGCGATCATGAAGAGCGGTGGCTTCATGGTCCCAATCAAGTGCGGTGACTTCCAGCATCTGACCGACAAAGAGCTCAGTGCAATGAGGACTATCCCATTCGGTATCTATCGCGCCACGATCAACGGCAAGCACGGCGCATTCAAGACCAACAAGAATGAATACTACACTCACTACGACCTCATCTTTGCCAAGGAGCTAGGACTATCATTCAACCTCAAGTGTGACGAGAAAGCGAATGCATTGATCTACAACAGCAGCTGCAGGATCAATGGCTCCATCCTATTCGGCAAGTACATGGATCAGGTTCTCAGCTGGATCAAGGCTGGAGTCCCTCGATCAAAGGAGCTCTATCAACGCCTCTGGGGTGCTCTCTCCAAGCGCAACAAGATCAAGGAGCACAGCGAAATCGAGAGCCCTGTGGAGATGATCAAAGCAGATGGAGGAGAGAGAGCCATCAGGCATTTCTTCGTTGGCAAGGACGAGGAGAGCGACAACGAGAGCCAGACCAAAGATGAATACTCCATTGATCGCATCCATCCAACACCCAATAGCAACGCGATGGTCAAGGCAGCATGCGACACCAACATGTTCGACACGCCATTCGCTCGCATCATGCCATTCATCATCTCTCGTGGACGCAAGATGATTGGAACGATAATAAAGGACGACATTGACTGCATCAAGCGTGTGCACACTGATGGATTCGTCTCGACCAAGCCCTGGACTGTCAAGACTGGCAAGAGGTCACTCGACTACCCCAAGTTGGGCAAGGAGTGTGGCGACCTGCGATACGAGGGCTACTGTCCCAATGCCATTGTCAACAACATGCTCAAGCCGGTCGGAGAGTTTGTAATATAATCTCTACTTCCATCATAATGGACGTAAAGACAGAGATAGAGGACTGGAAACAGATGTATCGCTTTACCGTCATCTGTCAAATCCACAATCCTTGTGCCACGGCCGGACGTGGAGATGGCATAGTGTTGTATTAGTTGTTATGATTAAGGGGCATTCGTGCCTCATAATTATTTCTTTCTCTGCAGCACGTTCCGCACCCTCTCTCTCCCTTAAGTCTACTGGTCTAGAGCACATCAGAAGCGCACAACATCACACTCCGTGTTTCTCAACACGATACCTACACCAAAGGATCATTATCACAAGTAACCAAACTTCTTGTATCTCTCCTTCATCTCTCTCGCCTTCTTCTCCTCCCTCCTCACATCACTGTAGCCAGTCGCCTCTTTGAACGGCACGCCTCGATATCTGTTCAACAGGAAGCGCATGGCATGATACCCGCACGTGTCGGTGTTGGTGGCCTGGTCGATCACTCGGTTGACCTTGAACTTGAGATAGACGTCTGGGTCGATCTCTCTAACCAACTCCTTCATCCTCCTTAGGAAGTCAGTGCTGGGATCATCACCAAACGAGTCATAGTACTCGATCGACTTGTCGCCCTTGGCATCGATGTTGCAGGCAACCCAATGACTGCCCGGCTGGTTGCTCTTGTCCAGGTTCATGATGAACGACATGCGCTGTTTGGGTTCCAACTCATCCAGTTGATCACTCGCGATGACGCCCTCGAACCCATCCTTTGCGTACGGCTGCATCAGCTGTACGATCTCATAGTCATACAATCCACCATCCTTGCGCCCGCTGCCCTTCCTCATGCCTTTGACTTCATTATAAATAGAGTCCAATTCTGTCTTTCTCTGTGGCCCTTGAACACCTTCTTTAACTCATTGTACAGCTGTTGTGAGGCGATGTCGCTGTCGTAGTATTGCTTGACAAACTCCAACACTTGAGGTGCCAGTGACGTTGGGATTGGTTTGAGAGAATCCATTGCCTGTAGTCTCGCCATCGTTCCTGCTTCTGATATCAGTTCTCTCTTGAGTTTATTTCTCTCCTCATAGGGCACGTTCTTCAAGTCCTTCCCTAGGTCATAGTTGAGGTTATTGATTGGGTATCCTGTGTCCAAGTAGTGCTGCACTGATACCATGACCTTGGGTGTCAACTCTGCTGGTATCGCCTTCGTTGCCTTGAGACTGGAGGATGTGATCGAGACTCTCCTGTTGTTGTTATTGTTATTGTTGTTGTTGACTGCTGTTGACGTTGTCGATGCTGTTGTCGTCGTAGTTGATGTTGTTGGATGTGGAGGCGTACTGTAAGGAGACGGCTCGTCAATAGGCTCTGACTTTACCTTGGGCATGGTGCTGGGCATGGGCTTCCTGAGTCGTGATGGTTGTGGTTGCTTGGGCTGCTCTGACACGATAGAATGCAATGTTGCCATCTCCTTTATCGCTTTCTGTTTGTTGGTTTCTATCTCATCCATCTCGCGCTCATGTATCTGCTCATTGATAGTCTCATCCAGCACCTTCTTTGTTTGGGCATCCTCCAATTTCCGCTTGGCTACTTCGATCATTGCCAACACATGTTGCCGTTGTTCATTGCCCTCTGACGACGAGTCATTCTCTAGTTGCTCTTCCTCTGTCAGCAATCCGCGAAGTTGGCGTAATAAATTAGTCTGGTCATGCTGAACCTGCACTCTCTCCTTCTCTTGTTGGTACCTTTTGCCCTCGTTAACTGCTTGCCTATGGAATCGGTCCATATCCTCATCAAACCGTTTGTTCAACGAATGTTTGATGTCCTGTATGCTGGCGTGGGTCTAATCGACGAGGCCATGAGTTGCGTTCTGCTTCTCGATCAGTCGGTCGTAGTTGTTGTGCTCAG